ATAGTTTCCAACTACATATAGACGTAAAACGAATCAATCAATCAATCAATCAATCAATCAATATATCCCCTATAGGCGCACCTGCGAACGGAAATCCGCTCGTTAGTAGGGAACCGATAGAGAGATATATCCTTTCTACTAGGGGGGAGAAGCAGAGCGGAGGATAGGCAGACTAGGAAACTAGTAGATGGGCCAAGGGAAAGTTAGAAACTAAGCGTTAAGATAGTCCGGGTAGTAGTGTAGTTTCTACTCGCTATAGGCCGGTTCTCTAGCTAGTAGGCCCTCTAAAAAAGGGCAGGATTTCTTTATATATGGGCGTTTAGGTGAGACTAAGAAGTGTTATTTTTACAGTAGGTTACGCAAGGATAGCTTATAGGTCCTATAGAGACCTGCATAGCTTATAGAAATCAATTAATCAATCAATCATCTAGGTTAGGGCGCCCCTTTCTAAAGTTACAGCCGCCTATATACTTATCGCATCTACGCCTGAGTTTTTTTTAAATAGCCTTAGGTTCTTATCGAGGACTAAAACTGCGCATTTCGATATCGCTAATATACGAATACCGTAGGCTCGGAGCAGCTCTAGCGTTATTAGGAGGGTAGGCTCGAATACTTCGCCGAGCTTACGAGAAGTTCTGTGGATGTTTCTATCTTCTGCCTCCTGTCTTCGAAACTCGGAGAGGCTTTTTCCGACATCGTTGAACTCTTTAGATGGAGTGACTTTGAGAAGAGAAAAGTCAATGTTGATTTTTGCGAGGGCTAAAGTATTCTCGTTGACTCCGGTTATACCTAAAAGCGCTAACCGGCTAAAAGACGCCATGCTTAGTTCGACCTGGCGAGGCAGGATGAAATATCGAGTTATTCTAGCGAAATTTTGAACGAGGTTGAAAGGTAGAAGTTTGCGTTAAGCATTCTTTCTCTCCGGTCGCAGTGCGGCTGAAGCTTACCCCGTAGTTTATGCACGGAGACTAGGGTAAATTCGCTTTATATTGTTGCACGAAATTAATCGGAAACTAGAGACCTCGGTAGACAACAGCTCTTGCAGTAGCTTCCTAACATTCCTAATTAAATAATAGGCTGAAATTTCCGAGGTGCTACAGGGCGCATTGTAGGTAAAAAGGTTTTTGTGGCGACCCGGATTTTTGATGTTGGCTCGAGACATCAAACGGTATAGCATCTACGTGTAAATATATCGTGTTAATGCGCAAACGCGGTTACCGAATCCAACGATGTCTGCCTTATTCTCAAAAAGGAAAAGCTTGTTTGGATGTGTTGCGGACGTCTCTCTGAGACGCGACCCGGCGGATGGCGGTGACAAAAAGACTTTTCCAACCCCATATCTAACCCCAGACTTCTCCGCACCACCACACTACTACTTATCTGCTGTGTGCTTGTCATCACTACGCTTTTACTAGACAAGACGGTGTGGGCAGTAATACTTTAGACGACAAGGCATGCGACGAGATAATCCGAAAGACGACGCGCAATGCCGCTGGCCAGAGAAGCGGACGTAGCGATTCACCCTCTTCCACGCACTCTAAAGTAGCCACGAAGAGCTATGGCGGTTCCTTACCATCCTTACTCATATAAAGAATCTTTTTTGAGGGGGATGCGGCATCTCACACGAAGGCAGTAATAAAGGCGATGCTAACATAGGCAATATCTAAACTGATTATTCTAATGAAACTTTGCGACAAGTCTTTTCTTCACGTGTTTTTATCCTGGAACTTGTAGGTGGCTGTGGTCATCTCTTCTCTATGTCTGGAGTGATTACCCGAGTCTTACCGGATAATTCTGCTTACTCTCCGATGGGCATTTCAGCTCCGGCTTGATCGCTGACATGAGATGATGAGATTAAGGCTAAGTGCATTGCTAATCCTCTTCTAATCGAATTCACAGAGCTTTCCACCTGTTCCGCCATGAAGTCTGAGAACTACAATCTTCCAGAGGGCAGCGCGGGTCCCGACGTCGTGGAATATCCGAATGCCTTTAGGGCTGCTTGCATCTCTGTCGGAGTTGCTCTGGGCATTTTCTTGGTAATACTCAACTCCAACGTCGCAGCTAGAGATACTAATACTAGCTTTTGCAGGTTGGCTTGGACATGGTAAGTATTAAGTCTTCGATGTCCTTATTTATACTCATTGTACTAGACGATTGTCGCGACTGCCATCCCTCGAATTACCGATGACTTCAGCGGAATTGACCTTATCGGCTGGTACGGCTCAGCCTTCTTCATTACGCTTGCTTGCTTCCAACCTTTCTGGTATGACGTCCTTTAACCACCTCCATATATCGCCGCGCTAATGCAGTCGCAAAGGGGCAAGGTTTATCCTTTCTTCTCTCTTAAATATGCATTCTTAGTTGCTGTGTTTATCTTCGAGCTGGGCTCACTGCTTTCGGGTAAGATGCTCGTTGCAACCGCATTTATACATTCATGGCTGACTTGGCCTTCCAGGCGTTGCGCCCAACAGCACTGTCCTCATTGTCGGACGAGCTATTACGGGTGCGGGCGGTGCGGGCATTGCAACGGGCGGTTACGCCATCCTTAGTATTATCGTGCGACCTCAAATCCGGCCAATCTTCACCGGTCTCATTACTACAGTCTACAGCATTGCCAATGTCCTTGGTCCAATCCTGGGTGGCGTTTTTGCTGAGCAAACTACCTGGCGCTGGTGCTTCTACGTTAACTTACCGTTTGGTGGAGCCTCTGGACTAATCATCTTCCTGCTTTTCCACGTGCCCGAAAATGCACGTAGGGCCAAAGCGCCGCTGAAGGAAAAGTTGTCGCACATGGACCCTATTGGGATCACGCTTGCCCTCGCGTCTCTCATTTTCCTGACACGAGTGTTCCAAGTCGCGGGCCTTGACAGGAAGTGGGACTCAGCTGAGGTCATCGGCCTCCTTGTTGGCTGTGTCGTATCCACCATTGCATTTATTATTTCCCAGTACTTCCAGGGAGACCGCGCGCTTCTTGTATCACGGCTCATCAAGAAACGCATCGTTGCTGTGGGCATGGCCTATGGCTTCTTCCACGAAGGGGCCTTTTTTCTCCTTCTTTACTACGTCCCTATCTACTTCCAGGTCGTTAGAGGCGCCACTCCCGCAGAGGCAGGCGTACGCAATCTCCCTTTGCTGATCAGCTGCGGCGTGGGATCCCTTCTCGTTGGATTTGTAGTCTCTCGGTTCGGTCACTTTGTTCCACTCATGCTGTGGGCCAGCGCCGCTGGCTGCGTTGGATCCGGTCTCATCTACACTCTAAACGCTACATCTTCTCCTGCTGAGTGGATTAGCTATCAAATTATCGCTGGCCTTGCGTATGGGTCTGGCTTACCACTAGCCATTATTGCAGCTCAGGCCAAATCCGAGACCGAAGACCTTGCTTCGACCACTGCTATGCTATTATGTAGGCTCTTCACTGTCTAAGCTAATACTAACCCATTTTTCTCACGCGCTACTTTCCGAAATAATTATACTGATTCTCATTGCCATATAGTTATGTTCAACGTCGGAACGTCCACTTCTCTTGGGGCAGGTCAAGCTGTGCTGAACAACCTGCTTCTGTCAAAACTTCCAGAAACGGCGCCAAACGTCGACCCATTCGATGTCATATCCGCTGGCGCCACCGAAACCCGTGCGACATTTCCCACTGCCGTTGTTCCGGGGATTGTACAAGCCTATCTCGAGACTTTGCGCGCTATTTACGCTATTGTTATTGCGTACGCCGGTGTTGCGGTTGTATTTGCTGTCGTCAACAGATGGGAGAAGCTGCGCATGAAAGAATAGGAACTTCTAGGTAAAGAGTAGTTGCAGGACCCTTAGGGACCTCGCGCAATTGGCATTGCAATATCAAAAATGGTTTAGTGAGGATACTCTTGTCCACTCGTCTGCTTAAATTTAACATGTAAGAGAGCTAATTATCTGTAAAAATTAGTCCGTAATAAGATTGAAGCTATTTTCCTTGGACCAGATGTAACACAAGGTGTTTCGGATTCCACAGCTTTCGCAATAAATACTTTCGCTACTTACTATTTACTGAAAACAATGTACATGATTTCTCTAAAGGGTCAAGGTTTGATATGTTGGAAATCTTCTTTGAAACACTTAATTAGCTTTAGCAATGCCAGTCAAACAAGATACACTTGCGTCGTTTGTATATGTCATTTCGAACAAAAAGCAATCTCTCGATACAAAGAAAAAACAAAAGGTAGCCTGCATCTGCATACGTTTGCTTCAACGCTCAAGCCTCCTGCTGAATCATGTGTACCCTTTCCTTGAAATAGCTTGGACGCCCATCCTCAAATACAAGTTCAAACTTTGAATCCTGTTCAAGATCCCCCTTTGGCCGACTAATCAAACTATTGTCGGCCGTAAACGCTACACTGCAGTGCCAGGGCGTTGTGTACGAGGTGGTTGTTGGCAACAAACTAAGAGAGATTTTGTGCTCGCCTGTGGATTGGTGGATGCTGAGGCGGAGGTAGCCCGGGAAGTTATGTTTGACTGCCCCTGCGAACGCCTGTAAATCGCCAAAGTTTTAGCAAATTGCATATACATGGTAAAGTCTCGTTTCGCTCTTTCATGAAGAAGTTGAAATACTTACATATCCACGGCTGATCATCTCCTTTGCAAGGATACTTACGTCCTTGCGAAACTTCGTCTTGCTTCTGTTCTCGCCGAGGGAGAAGATGAAGCGGAGGTCACTCTCCAGGAACCGTCGGTAGCCGCTGTAAGTCAGCCTCGTGTCTTCTTTCTCTTCAATCTCCTTGGTTACGTCCAGATCCGGTCTGCCGAATTTGTTTATTAACGCTCGACGAAAGTTTGTGGCGTTCGCAACGTAGGTGATTTCCTCGAGCTTGGACGGAAGAGATGGAAGCTCAACAAGATCTCGTAGGCGGCTGAAACTGATGTTCGTACAGTTGCTCTTGACGGCTAACGCGCGCAGGGCTTCACCGTATGCCCAAACCTCGCGATCCGGAATCGTCAGGAGATCTGGAAGCTCCCAGTTAGATCATCTGTTGTTTCCAAAGCAAGCAACCATTTAACGGATCATTGGGTACTTACCATTGTAAACCAATCCATCTGAGATAATGAGCAAATTCGCCCCAGGTCCGTACACCTCCTTGATTTCCTCGCACATTCCATTCAAGCGCTTCAAAGACACTTCTTCCGCCTTGTCCGGTAATGCGCCAAGCACCTTGTAGATTTTGTTTGCTGACTTGAAAGGAAAAGCCGGCAAACACATCTTTACCGTCTCTTCTTTTTCGACAAACTTTCGAATCACAGAGATGAATTTGACAGAGCCTTTAATCCAGAGATCATGCGCATCAGCGGCTTTCGTCATGAGGTAAGGCTTAATGACAGCAAGAATCTTTTCAGCGGTCTGTGTGTGAACATTGTTGTCGTCTTCAATGACCAGGTCGTCTTGAATTTGAGCTGCAAGGTCTGTTTTCTCGGCCTCAACTGTTGTCGTGTCGTCGGGAAACCCTGCGACTGAGGTAATCACAGTTTCTGACTTCATGAACGTTGGTTCAAGAGTGTTCAGTTCAGCCGATCCGATTGCCATTTTGAGGGATTGTTGGTGTGGTGTAGGAAGTCTCGGGCGTACTGAAGATAACGAAGCTGGAGGTGACGCTATCCAGCATGAAGGTAATTTTTTCTTTATATATTATATGTTATAGTCGGTGAGAACAGTTCCAACACGCATCATTGTATTCCTTGTTCCTTAAATTAAGTAAGACTCCGAAGCTTACCGGCCAAATACTCCTTCGTAAGAAGGGTCTTACTCGCGGAGTGTTTTTCGGGGTATATCGAATATCTTCAGGAATTAGCGGATGAATTTGTTTCGGACTGTTTGCCAACAAAGTTTTAACTTGTCTCTCTATAGACTTCTTCAATCCTTATCCGCAGCAGCGGAATTAGAAGTGGGCATGGATGTTCACAGTTAAGCAGCGTTAGGCTGTGCTAAAAGATATTCGATTTCATTAATGTTAAAGGTGTATACAATTATGTTTTCTTCAAGTCTTTAAACGGAGAGATCGCCTATTTATTTGAAGAGTTTCTCTGTATTTACAGCCTTCTTCGATAGCTCCCGTGAAACCAGTAAGCCTCTCTCCGTTAACTGTTCAATGCGTTCCATTACGATCCTCGCCTGAGTGATGTTGAAATCAAGCCTCTTTTGCAAGAGAATGTCCCTCATTAGTTGGTTTTTTGAGGCCTGGTTGTGGAAAAGAACATCGCAAATCTGAAAAACCTTAAAGGCAATAGCCGAAATTAAGGATGAAGAAGCCGGGTCCAGAGTAGTTTTAGCTAGGTCTGGAACTGGTTTTGATGGTTTTTTGTCATCGCACATATCGAACATGAGCTTGCAGCTAGTATCGATGTCTTCAAGCATCTCATGTAACTCAGAATCTGAGACTTTTGGTTTCTCTTCCGGTGACAAGCTACCACAGTCTGATTGTGTAGGACAGATATCTGCCATCCGTGTGAGATGGCGCTGGAGTCTTCTACAATGTTCCAGCAAGTTCGAGAAGTCTTTTTCTTTGGAGATCTCGTACTGAATGCCACTGCCAAAAGAGTCGTGTTGTGAAGTCGTCGACCATGTCGGAGTTTGTGCATCAGGAAACTCTCCAGGCTGTTGAATGTCGGAAGTCCGATGCGACGGTCCAGCAAAATCTAGGAACGTGGATTCAATCGATTGACCGGGTTGCATGTCCGGAAAACCGGCATCTATCCCGGGATAATTTTGAGTTTGAACTTGGGGCGAGCCCGGTAATCCGTATCTCTGGTCTATTTGAGGCTCCGGCATTGGCAAATTTTGTTGATGGTGTAGTGCGGAGTGAGATCCGACCCAGGACCAGTTCCAACTGAAGGGGTCATCCTTGTTGCTTCGGGCGATCGCTCGCGGGAGTTTTCTTCCCAGGATTTCGTCGTGCGCCGGCGAGATCGGGCTGGCATTGTTGGTTGGAGTTTCCATGGGCATGGACATGGTGGTCGTACTGCCGATGATTGTATCCTCCGAAGGATAATTCCGGTGCATTCGTGGTCGGCCGCTTTTGTAGCGGGGCAAAAAGAAGCACGGAAGTCCTCTCGACTGGCAATTGTGGCATGGACCGCCATTTCTCGATGCAATGCAGCGAATCTTACGTTTGTGACAGGCATCACATGCATTACGCACATGTGCCTGTGAGGCAAACGTAAACTGGTCGCCATCACTGCGTGATGCCATGTCGCTCACGATAGGTTGGTTGTTGACGAAACGTTGGAGAGAAAACAAAAGTTACTATCCGCTACCGTAGGAATTATTCAGATATTCTAAGGCAAAAGGTACCGCTTGCATCGGGCCGAGAATATATGAGCGGCTTATCCCTACTCCTAGGCCCTGGCTTACTCGCTCGCTTACTCTTCACTTCCTTCACCGTTTTCTTCACCGTTTGTCGTGGGGGCTGACTGTATTGTACCGTGTCAGTCATTTGTCCGAAAGGTACCTGCCCGAATATGACTTGTAGTCTTGGATAAAACGGATCGAATTATTTTATTACCCGGAGAATTTACCGATACGCATCAAACCGCAGACGTCCTGATTTCTTATATTAAAATATCGACTTGGACGTTCACCAAATCTCGCCTTTATCAACCATACTCTGCTTGAGTACCAGCTCCTTTTGTTTGCATCTTATCTTCTTTAACTCCTCCACTATGGGTTCTGAATACAAAGACGTAAGCGCCAAAGGCATGGCAGCTTACAGAGCGCCATCGCTTCTCCAACCTCACAAGGCTCGTCAAGCCTTGCGCGATGCTCACGAGGGTAAAATCAGCCCTCTAATTGGCTATTACTGCGGAATTCCGGCAGTTTCTACAGCTAGAGTCATGGCTCAGCTGGGCGCAGACTTTGTCTGGGTTGATTGGGAGCACGCATCTTGTGGCGTAGAAACCATGACGACAGTGCGCAACCTTGGCATCAGACTATTACTCCAATAAGCTGACATCATTTCAGATTGTCCACGAAATTCAACACATCAGCGAGGGTAAAACAATGGCGTTTGTCAGGTGAGCTCGTGAAAATTTGAAGGTGATAGAGCAATGATTAACTCTTTGAAAGAATCCCGGGCCATGACCATGCTTCAATTGGCTACGCTCTAGATGCAGGAGCCTCAATCATTGTGCCGCAAGTCGAAACTGTCGAACAAGCTGAGCACATCGTATCGGCCGCAAAATTTGGGCTCGCACAAAAAGGCACCCGATCGGCGCCTCCTGCCCGCTGGCTTCCGGGTTTGGGCGACAAGACAATCGATCCAACGCGCTCAGTTTTCGAAAGTGTCAACGACCAAGCCGCCCTCGTCATCCAGATCGAGTCTGAGAAGGGTATCAAAAACTTAGATGCCATTCTCACCGCAGTTGGGGACCGTATCGACTGCGTCTGGATTGGAACACTTGATCTGCGTGTCAGCATGGGACTGAGCGGATTCTGGGGTCCCGAGCCCGAATTCTTGAATGCTGTTCAGCTCTATGAAGAAACTCTGAAGAAGCACGACAAACCCAATTCGGGCATGTGTGCCGCTGGAAACTGGGCCTCCGGGGCGAACAAGTCTTTGGTCATTACAACCGGTGACTTGTTTGCCTTCTTAGGCCAGACAGGTGTTCTCCAAGAGGCGAGGGACAATCTGAAGCCTACGGATAAGCGACAGAAGCGTACTTAGGAAGAAATGGTTCGCTTGTAAAGTGATGGATAGAGCTCCAATGCATACTTTGAACCTATCTACGTTGTTTTAAGTTGCAATATGCATCATTACAAAAGGCCTAGAGCTAAGTAGTGTACTACTGCTGCCCCCTACGTACTACACGAACGATTCGGGCGTCACTTGTCGATAATGCGACGTCAGATGGTTACAAAACAACTGCCTACATGGTGTTTGGTAAGAATATGGCGTCTCATGGCGACAAATTAACTCCCAAGAATAGGTTAACGCTATAAGTATTTTATAAGAGAATGTAGTAGTGCGGGCGGACTCTAGGTTACGAAAAATACTTGAGATAGTTCCTCGTCATAATTATCAGCCAATTTCATTAGCAGGAGGCAAAATATTAGTGTTTATTAATTATCTAGATTTCAGCTTCTAATATTTGATTTTTCAGCACTTAGTATATTTTATTATATCCCTTCAGGACCGATAAATATTTGGGCCTCACGAGAAACATGGATATTAATCTTAAGTTTAACTTTTCCACCTCCATAATGAAATATTAGCCGTATCCTCCGATATTAGCGGTACCTTTACTATGCCAGGCGGTGAAGAATTAAATCTTACTCCGGCTTACAGCTAGCAAGTGATTACTCCGATAACGCGATTTATCTTATAGTCCGCCTAGTCTCGGACAATTAATGCCTTTAGACCGGAAAAGTGCATCACCAGTCGAAAGACACTTCTTGTTTCTCTCGCGTTTATGACCTCTTATAATTTGTATAAAGTGCCTGTTATATAGCAGAGCTCTGCAGTGACAAGTTTAGACCTTGTTTCTTGTGCAATCAACTTCCGGCTTCATTTACCATGCCCGTCTCAAAGGAATACGGCAGGCGTCTTATCCCTACAATTGTGGATGAGTTAGCTCAAGAAGAACCTGACCGTGCTGTATACTCAATCCCCCATTCGCAAGATGTTTCTGAGGGCTTTCGTGACATTTCCGCTTCTGTATTTGCGAATGCAATCAACAGAACAGCCTGGTGGCTTGAGTCGGAGTTTGGGAGAGGCTCAAACTTCGAAACAGTCGGATACATTGGTCCTCGTACTTTACCCCACTCCATTTTATTTGCACAGCTCGTACTAAAATCGAATCAGACGATCTCCGATATGTAATCCTGATCATCGCGTGCGTCAAGGCTGGCTACAAGGTAATAGCTCTTTTCACTGATTCCTGACCACTTGATAACTTCTATAGGCCCTTCTACCTTCTCCACGAAACAGCATCGAAGCTACTCTTGCAGTCTTAAATGCCACCAATTGCAATATCTGGGTAACTCCAAAAACGCGACCAGACTTTCTTCCGCAGATACTCTCCCAATGGCCTATGAATGTACTGGAGATTCCCGAATCAGACACACTCCTGCAACCAGATGCAGTCGCTGCATACCCATACAACAAAACTTTTGAAGAGGCTGCCAACGATCCCTTCTGCGTCCTTCACACTTCTGGATCCACTGGCCTTCCCAAACCCATCGTTTGGAAGAATTCTCTTCTTGGTACATTGGATGCCACACGCTTACTGCCAGAAAGCTACGGTCGCCGTCCCTGGACTGTCATGTTCGAGAAGGGAGATCGATATTATTGTGCATTCCCTCTTTACCATGTAAGCCATTTCGGACCTATAAATCATGAGCTATCCGTTTGCAGACTATCCGCTTATCCTTATTATATTAGGGCGCAGGATTGCTTATGAATATCCTGGTGAAAACCTTCTACGACACATGCAACGTGATGGGTCCCGTCGGTGTGCCTCCAACAATCAATCTTGTTGAATCACTTCTTGATCATGGAAAGATTGATATCTGGAGCATCATTCCTTCTATCGTTGATGACATTGGGGAGGCACCTCACATCACCGCAAAGTTTGCAAGCGCAAAATTCATAGTTGCATCGGGCGGTAAGATCCCTTTTTCTCCTTGACACTGAATCATCACCAGCTAACAACTACAAAGGCCCTGTCACATTTGCAAGCGCCGACAAGGCTACTAAGGCCGTTAGGATATGCAACATCACAGGTACTTCTGAAGGACTTTTCCAGGGAAGCCTTCTCGTCGAACCGGAAGACTGGATCTATTTCTCATTCCATCCATATGCTGGCTTCGAGTTCAGAGAGATTGCCGAAGGCGTCTATGAGCATTGGGCTGTCCGGAATGAGGATCGCGTCGGCCTACACCAGGGTATTTTCCATACGTTTCCAGACGTGAAAGAAATGACCCTCAAAGATCTTTATTCGCCGCATCCTACAAAGCCAAACTTGTGGATCTACCGAGGCAGAACAGACGATTTGCTCGTCATGACAAGCGGAGAAAAGATCCGTCCTCTTCCAATGGAAGCAATCATCAACAGCCATCCAGCTGTTAGCGCAGCGCTTGTAGTAAGTGTGAACAGTTTTCAGTTTAAAGAAATGGCTATTTCGCTCGTTCATTTAATGAAGAAGACTGCTCCGTTCTTCTCAAACTTAAGCTGATCAATCGGGCAGATCGGAACAGGCCAGACGATGCTGTCGCTTCTCATCGAGTTGGTTGGTGACGAGCCTTCAACCGCAGCAGAGCGTGAAGCACTCTTGGATAGTATTTTAGAGAGAGTCCACATTGCGAACTCCTTGGGACCTTCGAATGCACGCATATTCAGGGAGTACATCTGGTTTGCGAAGCCCGATAAGCCGTTTGTCCGGACGGATAAAAACACTGTTAAGCGTCGGGACACTGTTCTCCTTTATGAAAGGGAGATTGAGCAATTCTATGAGAGCATGGAAGAAGATGGTAACTACGCCGCCATTGACATTACCTCCCCAGAGACAATTGCCCGGGGCATCCGAAACATGCTCGTAGATTCATTGCCGTCGATGAAGGAGGTTGGGTCGGATGAAGACCTTTCAAACGCCGGATTGGACTCCGCGCTGGCATTCCGCCTTTCAAAATCACTTCGTTCAGCCCTTGCTGACCATGAGGAAAAGAAATCCGGGCTTACTCCCAAGTTTGTATACGCTCATCCAACAATGAACGCTTTGGCGAGAGCTTCCTACGATTTCATCCACAAGGCGGGCAGCAGCTCTGACAACTCCCCGGAATTGCAACAGAAGAGTATGGAACAACTTCTTGCCAAATACACTGCTGGCTTGCCTTCTCCACGAAAACATGTACCGAACACAGCAGATGGGTACACGCTCATCACAACAGGAAGTACTGGATCACTTGGTTCCTACCTACTGGAATCACTTTTACACCAAGACAAGACCGTGAAGAAGATATACTGTCTGAACCGAAGCGAAGATGGAAAGGCCAAACAGACGGAAATAAGCGGACCGCGGGGACTAACCACAGCTTGGTCTTCAAAGAGTGTTGAATTTCTACAAGCAGACTTGTCGAAACCAGAGCTTGGCCTTGAGAAGAACAAATATGACGAACTTCTTAGGCAAGCAACGCACATCATCCGTAAGTATACGTTTATCTACGCCTTTGTTCTGCAAACGCAGCTCTGACATTAAAGTAGATAACCAGTGGCCGGTCAACTACAACTGGGACATTGCTTCATTTGAGCCTCATATCCGCGGTGTCCGGAATCTGATTGACTTCGCATACGAAAGCAATCATGGGGCCTCCCTGTTCTTCGTGTCAACGATCGCAACAGTTAGCCATTTGAGGCCTCACGGTGCTGTTCCTGAAGCACCAAATCATATCTTGACTTCCACCGTCGGAGGCTACGGCTCTGGAAAGCAGGTGTCGGAGCTGATATTAGAGGAGGCGGTGAAAACCTCCGGTGTCAATGCCTCTATTTGCCGCGTGGGGCAGATTGCGGGACCTGTCTTACGTGGGCCGGAGAAGGGCATGTGGGGTAAGCAGGAGTGGCTGCCAACGGTATGGTATTCCCGATGCTGCAAGTTTCGCATTAGTGTTTTATCGCTAACAGGTACTTCAATTTATAGATCATCGCCAGTTCCAAGTACCTCGGTGTGCTTCCATCGACATTAGGGCCTCTGAGCCGAGTTGATTGGATTCCCGTTGACATCCTCGCTGACGTTATTGTCGAGCTGAGCGGTGCAGCAGATGATGGCAGGACTGTTGCAATCGTTTCCAGGAACGCAGCTGCCATTGAGCCGGCTGTCTACCACGCAGTCAACCCTAATGCTATCGATTGGGCTAGCCTGGTCCCTTCAGTGGCAAAGCACCTTGGCGAGTCAATCACAATCGTGGAATGGGATCAGTGGATGGATGCGTTGCGAAAGTCTACGCTTGGTGCTACGGCGACAGTCTCACTGAAACAGAATCCGGCCTTGAAACTGCTTGACTTCTTCGAATCGTGGGGAACGGCGGATGAGGCAGAGGAATGGCCTGTCTTGGAGACAGCAGAGACGGCGAAGAAGAGTACAAAAATGGCTGAGCTTCAGCCGGTTTCTGAAGAATGGATGGAGTTGTGGCTAAGACAGTGGAAGCTTTAACTTTTTCCTCTTTCGAAAGTTGGAGGAGGTATTTTCAATAGGTTTCTCTTAGCAAGGGGATTTATTTGGGGTTATTCTTTCAAATATGAATCGAAAAAACAGACCATACTTCAGGGGATTTAGGCAACGATATGGTGCAGTTTTGCAAGGTTGATCTCGGATGTCAGCGCATCCGTGTCCGGCCAAGCAAGGGGACTAAGCAACGGATTTCGGAACGAACATGAGCCGCTTTCTAGAAGGGCGGCGTCTGTTGTCGCGCGGTGGCAGGGATTGTGCGTGCACAGCCTGGCATGGGGCTGAGCCGATGGTTGGCTGTTGGGCGGCGCGGCGGGCGCGGCGGTGTGGATGACGCGGTCAGAGTGTTGTGATAAGGCTTAGCGATCAGCCTCACACGTGGTTGTTAGCCTACTTCCCTTTCGGGTATTTGCGCCAGCGACTCGGCTAATAATAGCCATCTTAAGTCCTTTGTCACCTGCGGCTCCGCTCCGTAGGGCTGTACACCATCTGTTTTCTTCGCTACTGTTTCCATCTACGCCTCCGCGATACCCCCACACTCGGTTGTTTTGCCATTCGTGTTCGGATTACATGCTGGTTTTGCCATGTCCCGCGCTGACTGAGCCGCTCGCCCCACAAAAAAAGATCTCGCCCTTCCTGCTAAGCTTTAGGAAGCCTGATCGCGCACCGTATCTTGCTTCAGCCTATCGGTATTGGATGTGGATAGACGCGTTACCTACTTTAGAGCTATGTAAGGCATCCTTGTGAGAAAGTAATCTGGCTCATAGAAACGTGGTGCTCGCTCACCGATTCACTGACAGGAAGTGGATATGTGGAGGCATCCAACAATAGAGTAGATAGTGATCCTGTCAAATCCGTGCATGGCCTTGGCAAGTTGGCTCTTCATGGTAAACCACGAAGTCGAGAATCTTTACTTTGCGTCATAGGTGATGACGGAGATTATGCCATCATTTAATGCCGACGAATCTGAGAATGCACTGTGCGTAAGACTGAAGAAGCTCGATATGTTTCCGGCGAACTATCATGCCTACAGACTCACCGTAAGTTCATACCGCAATAACTGAGTAACCGTAGAAAGGCTATGTGCTATTTGACAATGTGCAAGTGTGAAAAGGTCTAAGCGAAAAAAGCTCTGGATTGTTCTAATTGAAGTGGGACCATCGTATTGTTGGTTTTGGAATCGTGAAGCCCCGCAACCCAATGGACTGATACGTTCGTGACACAGCACGGCTTCTTCTGTTGGAAGGATGTAGAGATTCTAGAAACACAGCCCGAGTTCAAACAAGCTTTTGAACCCTAGTAATGGCGGTGTCTACAGCTTGGGATTATTCACCCTTACTGGTAGGACGGGTGGGGCCATGTCAGCCTTAGAGGTATGATGCCATGCTGATGCCCACGCCGCATTTGCCTGATTATATTTTAGGCCATTGAGATATATAAAAGAGACGCCCTCGTTTCACTGAGTCTTCACGATATCTCCATCCTTATCTTTACATCGTTTTCAATTTCTTTTTTGCTCAATCTTTAGTTTCCGCACTCTCAAGCACACTTCAGTTTCAGAAATGGACACTATTTCTTCCCGGCAAGAGCTCCTCGATTCCATTAGAGGCCAAAAGCTCTATTTTCCCGACCTGCAACCATTGTCTCGCCATTGGCCGACTGGAGTTCATCCGGAACTCGAACGATTGCGAGATGACATGAACAGTTGGCTTTATTAGTAAGAACAGAACACCCATTGTCTTCATCATCTTTCAAATCTGGCAAGTATCAAGTATAAAGGCTAACCAAGAATGAAATTCGCAGTCATGTCCCTTCAGAGAAGCACAGGAAGGCTTTCAAGATGGCCGATTTTAGCCTGTTGGGAGCAGCAGTCTACCCTAACGCTAGATATGAGACTCTTAAGATCGCAACACTTGTGATTGTTTGGGTATGTATAACTACCTAACATGACGAGAAGGTTTGGCTAATTTATATCACTAATTCCTAGTTATTTGTGATGGATGACGGTAAGCAATCAAACATCTCCCCAATGCGAAACATAATCTGATTCTTCTCGATTCAACTAGAGCTCGACATGGAAGACGCAGCCCTGGTAGACGACATTGAAACGTCCGACAGATATCGTCAGGAAATCATTCAATTTACGCGGAAATGTCTCGGGCTTCCGCACGAGAACGACTCAAATGCCATGGAAAACATGGTTCAAGAGCGGTCTGCAAAGAACACTTCATACCGCCATATTGTCCAGAGTTTTGCTGGCATCGGCGCTGCAATTCGGGACATGTACAATGTCGGTGAGTATCACAATGTGCGCCCTTCTGGGTGAAATGATATCTTTGTGCTGAAACCAAGTAGAGCAAAGAGAGAGGCTTGCTGCGCACCTGGTGCACTGCCTACGCATGACAAAGTCGGAGCAGTTCTCCCGTCAAATCGGCAGAATACCCACTCCTGACGAGTACTGGGAGATCCGTGATGGGGCCTCCGCTGTGGGAGTCACACTAGCATCGCTTGAGTAAGTCTCTTTCTCCACTGTCTGAAGGCAATACTTCTTCATAGAGCGCCCCCGGCAAAAACTTCCTGTTGGCTTACAAATGAGCAGGTTTATTGCCGAATCCAAGGGGATTCCGCGCCAAATCTTTGAGGATCATGACATGACGAGACTTTGGACGCTTACGAATATGAATGTCTCATAGTACGTTGAAGGTCCTAGTTGAATTGACAGAGTACCTAAGATAAACTAACATAATGACCCTGGTAAAAGCATCAATGACATTTTCTCAGCACAAAAAGAACTGGTATGTTGAAAACATCTCCTTGGCATAGGAAACACATGACTTTTATGTTCGGATCATCTAACATGCATTCACGTAGGCCGGCCTCTCCATCTCAAACGCGGTCCCGGTTTTCTACGCGGCTTCCGGACCTGAAAACCGCCTTGAGACTGCGATCAAGAGGATAGTGTCCTTGATTGCGACCACTATTGCCGAAATTGATGAAGTCAGCAATACGCTTCTCGCGCGATATGGCAGTAGTGATCCAGAAGAACAGGTCACGAAGGATTTGCGGGCTCACATCGACGGCTGCAAGAATTGGTGTACGGGAAATCTGCACTGGAGGTATGATGTCCTGCAATCGTTAACTTATCTTACAAATGGGTTAATGCTAACGGTTTTTTCTGTAATGTATAGTTTGGAAACTCCTCGCTACGGCCACTTGGGAGAGAATGCAGATGGGAATGGTGGCATTACCATTCAGTTGTAAGAGGTTTGGCATGTGACTTTTTCGCAAGTTTACGTAGAAGCCGGCGTTGAATATGGTGCAGCATAGATTTTAATCCTTCTGCTTTAGCGAGTAAAACTCTTACTTGGATTATGGGCTGCGGCAAGGATTGTTTTCTTCGATCGTGGAGACTTGTGATGGTTAGCCGGGGAGCTACCCGGAGTGTGCTTTGCGTGGACAATGGGAACGAAATAATCGTGTCTGCAACACCAACAATTTTTCGCTACGAACGTTTTCTCAAAAACTGATCTCATGATCTAAAAGATATCAGACAGATCGTAGTTACATGACAAGGCAGCAACTCAGCAAAATGCCCGATTATTTCTCGCGCTTCTCCTTTTCAAGGAATTCCAGATACTGCGACACGGTATCCACCACCATTTTTTCGAGGCTTTTGAACTTGATGCCGAACGTGCGCTGAGCCTTTTCGGAAGAGAAGGCAATGTTCCTCGTGGGCAAGTTGCCGTCGTTCGGCAGCACGCCGCTCTTCACAAACTCGGGGAACTTTTCCGCGACAATGGAACGAATATCGTTCCAAGAGAAGTGCGTGCTAGCGAGGTAAGACTCATTTCCGGGGATCTTTTCGCGGTCCAGCGCGCGCACGTGGAGCTCAGCGATGTCGTCGATGTGGCATGCATGGGCGATCTCGGCGGTGTCGGTCTTTGCAGCGCCCGTAACCATGCGCAAGAAGTATCCCGTCGCCACAGTCAGACTTGCTAAATCGGCAGACGACTGCGCGATGTAGCTCCTACCTTCGACAAAGGAGGGCGCGATGTTGACAAGGTCGAAGGATGGGGAGTTCTCGGACATCCACGCCAGCGAGCGACGAAGAGCCGCTGTTTTGGAAGCGCAATACGCCACCATGTCGTCTGACCAAGGTGGGGGGATTTCGTCGTTCATGTCGGCCTCAGTGACGACTACTGTAGAGGCTGAGTCTGGACTGGCTGGCAACTTTGGCGACATGAAAGCGGCGAGTGAGGAGGTGACAACGACGCGCTTGACGGTCCCCGCCTTCTTTGCACTTTCCAGAGCCGAGAGAGTGCAATTGACGGCTGGGTGGATGTACCTGTTGTATCGTTCTTCCGGCGCAGCATCAAATTGTGGCACAGGCGAGGCCACGTGAATGACATAGTCGACTCCCGCGATCGCGGCATCGAGGGACCCCGGCGCAGTAAGGTCGGGGACGGTGAAGAAAGATGCGGAAGAATCCAGGCCGGGAAGAGCGGGATGGGCCTTCAGCCAATTGGCCTTTGTTTCGCTGCGGACAACGATGTGGACGGCGTAGCCATTGCGCAGAGCCTCAAGCAAGACGGCGAAGCCCACGAATCCGGTGCCGCCGGTGATGCAGACGGTACCTTTGGACATGGTGTGATGAGTGGTGGTGGGCGTGGACGTGTCAAGATGAAGGCGGGGGTGGCTTAGTGAGCCTCCGCGCTAGCCGCATACGGTAATGACTTGCCGTTCATGCTTATCTACAATATCGTCAAATACTCATCGACCAAGATGCAGATACTTCTCAGCCATTTCCATCAAGCTGAAAGCCTTGCGTGCATATTTTTCCGGGCAATCACGCCCCTCTTCCTTCAACGCTGACAGCGTACGCTTCCAGTATGCCCACCTCGCCATACTGAACCCCGACTGTCCACCATCGACACCTGCCGCTACCGCTAGATCTCCCGGCCTTGCCATCTCAGCTTGCTCCCCCTCGATTTGAAATCCACTCTCTGAGAGGAGAAGTAGTTTACTCCCGCTGTAACGCAGCCAGCGAACGACAACAGCGAGCCTTTCATCAGCCACAGGCAGCCGAGACTCGCTTTCATTCTCTTCGCCATCTGACATCTCCAGCACGTTCCGCAAAGTCCACAAAGCGCACGCCGCAAGCTCCGATCCGCACACGCCAGCCGCAAGCAGCCGCGCGATGAACGAAGCCAGGTTTTCGTGCTCCGCTGTACGAAGCTCTGCTGCTTTCTTCCACTCTTCATACACGTCGGTAAGGAGGAAAGGAAGATCTCTCCAAATGACTCCTTGGGAAGTATACATGACAGGATTGTCTTTGTTTTCCTCCTCGGGGCGTTGTTGAATGACTCCCAGCTCGCGCGCCTGCAGAATCAACATCGCCATTCTGTCATGTTCGGCGCTATAAAAAGGTGTGCTCTTGGCCGCTTGTATGACTGTCCACCAGAGGTCGTGCAGGTCAAACTCGATGCTAGTGCCGGGCTTGGAGCGGGAAGCGCGCAGCGTGATGATGTGAATGAAGGAATGAGCCGTGGTGCATAGATCCGAACTGTCTGTTCCCAGCTCTTTCTTGACGGTTTCCTGATAGCGCAGGGTGAAGTTCTGTCGTCTTTCAACGAAATCATCTGGTAGGGGTTCCATCCTTTCGTCCTGAGTTCGCGCCTAGGAAAGTTTCATGTGAATTTGTTGCAGAGGTGTATCGGGTTTGGCTCGTTGAAAGTAGGAGTATTGACTTTTTTCCAGAGCAAAACAGAAGTGGTACTGCGGCGATTACATATACCGTAGTACACCACGTAGCTGTTGTGGGGGCGTGGCGATCTAAGTATTCGGCGTTTCAGGCGCTTATTTTAGGTATGATCCGCAAATTTATGCACCTCTGACGTAGACACTATACGTAGTAATGTTCCAGGAAATTGAACAAAAAAAGCACTGGTGCAAGATCCTTATTTGATACTTTATATCCCGAAAGTAGTTTGATTATGTAGCCGCTCCCAAATCTGATCCCTTAAATAGCACTTTCTTCTTTCCGCGAAGCAGAGCGCATTGAAATACAGAAATAACTAGTAGCTTATAGAGGAAGGTATAAACGGAGTTTACACTCCATACATAATCCCAGAAATCCCGGTAGCTTTGCACTACAGCCGCCGCTCGCTGCCCGTCTTTCGTTTTCCAGCCGCAAGCATGAAGCCCGCCCTCATCGCAACACTGCGCTGGAGGGAAAATATGCGGAACCGCTGATGCAGTTGTAAAAAAGCTCAATGTCCACCAGCACAGTAAGTCGATTTTAAAGCGCGCGGTGGTAGCGAACAGAGTACTGATGCATTGCAGAACTGTTACTGTAACGCAGACCAAGGTTAAATGGTACCAATGGTTTCTGACTACCAAGACGATTGTCAAGATAAGCACGGTCAAGGTCATCCAGCCGACTACGCTGATCCAGACCCAAGTTCGGACTCAGACTTTAACGTTGCCAGCTTCTTCTATCACCGTAACAAGGACGACTGGTGTAAACACAGCTACATTACCCGGCGCTTCCCAGGTTGTAACGGTCACTAAGCGTGGGGGACTTTCTACCGTTACGCTGCCTGCTCAGGTTTCCACAATCACTCGGACTCTTTCTGCCGCGGATGCTGTCCCTGTCACTGCCCCTGCTGAGGTATCTGATACTGCTTTCTCGACGGCGCAGACATCGACTACAGCCATAACTGAGGCTTCAGACGTCACTACTTCCACTAGGAGTTCCACTGTCACGGAGGTCCTGGTCACGGAGACTTCGACGTCCACTAAAACCTCCTTCACAGAGGCGACAACTATTGAAATCCTAACTACGCCGTCTTCAACTACAACTAAAAACTCCCCTATAGAAGGGTCCACACAGAAGTCTTCTACTACTATTACTATAAAGGCTTCTATTATAACCAGTATCCCAGCAACAGAGACTTCGTCAACCACTAAGTCATCCCGGAGTGCTTCTTCTATACCGTCGAAACCTTCACTTCCCAGACCATTGGTGTTTCTACCATTGAGACAACCGCCGCCTAAGCTTCCACCGCCGAGACACTAGCCGCCGCTACCGGTGCTGTGAACGCAATTAGAAGCTCTCCTGTTCGGATCTTTACCACCGAAGTGTCCACCACTAAGACGCCTGCCACTACTCTTACTTCTATAGAGGTTTATACCATTGAAACTCTTACTACTAAAGCACTCGTTTCGGAAACTTCCACCGTTGAACTCTCAACTCGTAGAACGTCCGTTATCGGAAAGCCTACCGCCACCTAAAATCCTACCATTGAGACATTAATCACTGCTTCTACTAAGCACTTTCTTATTCAAACACCTGTTGTTCAAGCCTCTACTGCGGGAGTCCCCTCCTACTATAGAAGTATCCACTATTGAGACATCGGCTACACAACCAGCTATAATGCCATCCAATATCGAAAATACTATTACTGCGACTCCCACCAACGAAGCTTCTACTGCTAAAGTTCCCACCGCTAAAAGCTCTGCTTCTGAGGCAACGACCCTACAAATAACAGCCACTGAAACATCTGTCATGCAAGCAGCTACGACTATGGTACCAACAATCACTGCTATAGAGACCTCTACAGCTGAAGTTTCTATTGCCGCCTCCGCCGAGGCTTTTACAGTTGAGACGTCCACCGCCGAAAAATCCGATGCTAAGGTGCCTGTCACACAAGCTACCACCACTGAAACCTTCGTCACACAAACATCAATTACCGAAGCCACAACCACCGACGTGTCTATCACTCAAGTACCCACACCCGAACCATCCAACACGGAGATCTCCGCTGCCGAAATCTCCACTTCCACCGAGACTTCCGCCGTCAGCTCAGAAAGCGCGCTCTCCACCGCCTCACGCAAGAACGAAATCACCAACGGCGGCTTCGAAGACGGCTTCTCATCCTAGACAACCGCCGCGTACGACTTCACAACGCTCAAATCCGCGGCAGCCGAGAACGTACACACAGGCAACAACGCGATCCACATACACTTCTCCACCAACGCAGGCAGCAACGTCTCAGCGCAGGGCGGGATGAGCGCGTGCCAGGCCGTCCGCATCACGCCCGGGAAGTACTATATGGCCATCCTGTGGGTGAAGGCAGGCTGGGAGCTGTCGGACAGCACGTTCTGCCTAGTACAGGGCGCGGATTTCCTGGATGCGGGCGTGCTGGCGCGGGGGTGGAATTTGCTCCGCGGAGAGTGGCTGGGCTTAGGGTACGGCTCGGGGTTTTGGATGGGCTCGACGTGTTATGCCGATTATGGGCACATGTATGACGCGTGGTTGGGTGATGTGGTTATTAACCAGGTGACGGAGGACGAGGCTAATGCGTTTTGGGATTCGCAAGAGTAATATGAATGGAATAGGAAAGCGGTACATAGAATATTAAGTAAATGACGATAGAACCGAGATCCCTGGCTCTAATGGATGTTGTTTATTACTATTGAAAATCTGGATGAACCCCGCGAGATGAACGAAACCGGGTTACAGAGAAAGGCTGGCAGCGATGCTATTATAAATGAACGAAAAGTACAGTCAGGCGCTCGTTTACAGAGTGTAGCTGGGAAACAAGGTGCAGATACGACAAAAAGCAAAAACAATATGGAGGGCACGCTCCGTTTTAAAAAGAGAATGAACCCGACCTTCACAATTGGGCTTTCTTTCTGCCACAAATTTACAGAGTAAGCACTGTCACAAACTGGCAGGGGCATCAAACCCAACCTTCTCGGCAAAGCCTTGTTGGCAAGACCTGATTCGCAACACGAATGCAGGCTGACACGACCCTTGAAACCATGCATGCGGCTAAATGCACTTACAAAATCCTTTACCGTCTTTTGCTTGTCATCGCCTCTTTCACAACAGCAGCCAAAACCTCGCTGTTTTACTCTCTTTTTGAGAAAGCACTGTCTTTGAAGTGGGCTGAAAGAACAATGGAGGCACATGACTGCGTCGTTATTGGCGCCGGCAAGCAAACTCTTCCTGGCTCGCGACCCGCTCCAACTAACCCATGCAGGGTGGTATGGCTTGGCCGCCGCAAAGACCTACATCGAGCTGCACCCCGAGCAGAGCATCGTCGTCCTGGATGCGGCTGCGAGCGTAGGCGGCACATGGGCCCAGCATCGCCTGTACCCAGGCCTGTTGACCAACCATACAATGGGCAACTACGAATTCAGCGACTTCCCCATGGACCCAGAAACGTACGGCGTTGCGCCTGCTGAGCATATCCCTGGTGCCGTCATCCATCGTTACTTAGCCAACTACGCGCAACACTTTGGCGTCTACCAACGCATTCGCTTCAACACCAAAGTCGAAGCTGTAGAGCCGAGCGGTGAAGGGTGGAAAATTACGACAGCGCAAGGAAAAATTGATACAAGAAAGCTAATCATCGCAACGGGCTTGACGTCCGAAGCCTTTATACCCCGAATTCTCGGTGATGAGACGTTTGGGGGCCCAATTTTCCACTCCAAAGACCTCCAACAGCACGCTACTGATGGTCCTTGCAACATATCAATCCTAGGCGGCGCAAAGTCGGCATGGGACGCCGCTTACGCGTATGCTTCCAGCTCCCCCGACGTTTCTGTCGACCTCATTGTCCGCAAATCAGGCAACGGCCCCGTTTGGATGATACCTTCATCGCGGTCTCCGCTGCGCCTCGAAAGACTCGTGCAAATCCGATTTATTAGCTGGTTCAGCCCTTGTATCTGGGGCGATGAAGATGGCTACCGAGGTATCAGAGGTTTCCTCCATAATAACTGGCTCGGCCGCAAGATCGTAAATCTTTTCTGGAAGTTGTTCAGGCCTCCCTCCGCAACTGATTTGGACAAACATCCTGAGGTGAAGAAGCTGGTGCCTTGGAAAGAACCCTTCTGGACCGGAAATAGGCTGGGCATCCTAAACTACCCGACCGACTTCTTCCATTATGTACGAAACGGCCAGATCCGCGTCCACGTCGCCGACATCACCCACCTCTCAGAGAAGACGGTCCACCTCTCCAACGGCGCGCAGCTCAAAGCCGAAGCGCTCCTTTGTGCCACCGGTTGGACCCCCACTCCGCCCATCCACTTCCCGCCTGGCAGCGACGCCAAGTCCGACATGCCGCACTACGAGCCCGACCCCAGCAGGCTCGAGCAGCGCGCAGATGCAACAGTCCTAGAGCGATTCCCACTGCTGAAAGCGCACCCGCGCGTTACCAGACCTGAAAATCCCACCCCCGAGGGCATCACGCCCAACCAGCCTTTCCGGCTGTACAGGTTCATAGTTCCGCCGCAGGCTCTTCACAACCACAATATCGCCTTCGCCGGCATGGCTGTCGTCATCAACAACGCCATGAACGCTCAGACCCAGGCGCTCTGGATTTCGGCGTATCTGGACAACAAGCTGGAGCTAGGCCGTCTGCCGTTGACGGTCGAGGAGGCCCAGTACGAGACGGTGCTGCATACGCAGTTTGGTAAGTGGAGGAGCCCTTGCGGCTATGGCGCACGGTTCCCGGATTTGGTGTTTGATGCTATGCCGTACACGGATATGCTGCTGCGTGATTTGGGGCTGGAAACGCGCCGGAAGAAGGGTTGGCTGGCGGAAGTATTCACGCCTTATGGACCGGAGGATTATAGAGGCTTGTCGGCGGAATGGCTGCGGAGGCATAGTTAGTAGCCGGGTTGGTGATGGTTTTTCGAGTGTGCACATAAAGGTGGGAGTGTCTCAACCCTCAAGCTTGTGGTTGGTATATATTTATCGATATATTCGCATCGGGTTGATTACTCCGAACAAGTAACAACGACGGGGTTGAACGCAACACCTCCTGAGTACGAAGAGTCGTACGAGCTGATCTCGGCCCGGAGCGACGGAGATGATTTCAATGCCGCGTGAAGAGGTAGTCGCAACAGACGACGCCGAAGAAGAAGAAGGCATAGCAGCGGACGAGACTAGCGCGGACGACGCAGTCGGCGTAATCGTCAAAGCAACAATTTGAGGCGCCAACATGATAGTGCGTGTTTGCGCCGGGAGAGTGATGGTCTGAGTCCGTTCTTCCACAGAAGCGTCACAGCGGTCTGGTTAGTGTGCGGCTGAAAACCACGAGGTAGTCGGTTTGCAGTTAGCGAATGCCCCATCGAAACCGAGAGGTACTTTTAGAACTAGACTCCGCACATATAAGAAGTCTAAGAGACGCGCGCGGGGCGACGCGAGACGAGGGCGGCTGGTCATTTTTTTGTCTTCACCTCACGTGGCTGAGGCAACTCGCTGATCTGTCGAGCGGGCCGTTGTTGAAAACCAAATCCCTCTGCGAGGAACCAGAGAGTTCCATTTCGCTTGGTCCTGCCGCCGCGTCTGGCTAGATCCTCTCACGTGAGTATATCTTCGTAGGCGTTTGCCGGGTCGCGAGCCGGTGTCAAGAGAGCGGAAGCATCAGGTTCCCGGCGCCCAACTATCAGCCTGGGTACGGCAACGGCAGGCCGTGCTCCCGACAATACGCATCCAGCTCCTCGACGGCCCTGCTCGCGGGCACTCTCTTCACCTTCTCGCAACGCAAGCCCAGTCCCGTTATCGCGACATCATCGTGCGCATCGACGTCGCCGTCCCAATCAAAGCGCAACAGCACGACGTCGTCGGCCTCGAAATCTGGCTTGTCAGCTAATATGCCCACCTGGCGATGCATGTGCGCGTAGTTCTTGCAGAGCCACGGGTGCAGGCGTACGATCTCCGACCAGCCGTCGGGTACGGTCGCGAAGTTTCGCGCCATCTGCACGCGTCTGTGGGGGAGGGGCTTCTCGTAATGGTCCGCTTCGATGGAGGGTGGAAGATATATGGCTGCGGCGTATCATTTTTAGATAAAAGTTTTGTGTGCGTGAGAATGTGGCGCACCTTTTTCTACGAGACTCCAGATTCCGTATTGCCAAGAAGGTGATGCTGGTGAGGGCGTCTCCGGGTTGCTATGCTGTATGGTCTTCAGTGGGATTGGGCCGTCGCTGTTCGTTCCCCATTCCTGTTCTTCTGCCTCTTTCAGGTCTTCCCAGTCCATGTTACCGATGTCCAAGTCCATCCCCCAGCTTGCGGCTTCTTTGACATGGCACCGGGTTATGTCAACTTTGTTGTCGTCCGGTGCATTGAGGTAGACGACCAGGACGCCCTTGACGTCATAGTCAGAGTGCGTTGCGACGATGAAAAAGAGCGGGTGAAACGTCGTGTCCTCATCTCTTAGGCGGATGTGGTATTCGTAGACGTCTTTGAAAGGCTTGTTGGCAAAATCGGGCTTCAGCGCGAGCTTGCACGTGTCTTCCGCGAATTCCGCTGAGTTCAATTCCTGTTCAAACGCTGACAGACGATGTCCATCAAGCTCGGCGGTGGCGTAGACAGCAAATTTGTAGTCTCCATCCAATGTGGCGAGGTGTCGCTCTGTATTGGGCGCCTTTCTTGGTAAGCCGGTCATGTCGTGGTTTGTGTCGCGGTTTGTGTTGTGAGGCTACTTAGGAAAGCAAGCGGTACCGGCTATGTACCACACGCGAGCCGCGGCATTCTTCGGGTAACATTCCCGCGAAAGGTAAGATGCCTCCGCCCCTTCGACGCGTCACCAGCCCACGTTACGTGCTGCTGGCCGCCTGCTACAGTAAGCCTCGCCAGTATGCACTCTGGTGAGGAGTTGGAGTGAGGCGCTGGTAACGTGTCAAAAACAGGTCCCGTAAGTGAGCTGGTCTTGAGAAGGCTGCCGTTGCATGCTTTGCGGATTCATTGCTATTGCTTGAGGCTGCTGGGGAAGTTCCGTTCGATTTTCAAGATCGAGGCTACGTCGGTGTTCACTTATATATGTAGGGGTCATATCCTGGTGCAGGGCCGTGATTACTAATGGAGTGCAGTAGTGTGTTCGTCGTAATAGCTGAATGTCTTGTAACAGATCGGCTACTATTGAGAACTTATGGGACCTTAGTAGGAGAGGAAAAAGCGTATATTTTTACGTATAGATCAAGATTTCTAGTCTAACTATATATTAAGAGTTATAAGTTTTATAGAACTCGTCTTTGTTATTATAAAGAGTTTCTACTGTAGATAGATAACTATGTAGGTTAGCGAGATATTGCGTAGTGCTATATGTGGTGGAGGCAGAGAACTAGAAACTTCTTATTGCTTTCGGTACAACAAGATCGGTACCTATTCTTCGCCTACTGTTAACCTTAGACTAGGCGAGACATGTTATAATCTTGTTTTCTTTGCCGGACAACCATTGAAACAGAAACTAAATCTATAAAACATATACAAATTCTATACAGTCGCACCCTCAAGTCGCCAAAAGCCGAGTTCCACTAAATGACAGATGTTCCCTAATGGTACCCCTGCGGGATTTGAAGCCCATCGAGAATACTCTTCCACACCTTGACTTGATCCATCTGGATGTTCTTGTTTCGCGAATTATTTTATGGGTCCGTCGAGGAGCGTCGTGGATTGTTGAGTATTCCGTCTTCTTTAATGTTAGTTAAAATTATTTTATGCATCCCCTATTCCTATATACGAAGGGACAATGGGAGTAATAACTTACATCGTTTTGCAAAAGGTTATACTGCTGTGCGACCTCCCTTGAGAAAGCAATATCGAATGGAGCATTTGCAACCTCCACTACCCAAAACTCGCTATGATCGGCCTTCGTAGACCCTTCTAGCTGCCATCCTACAGAGATAGTCCCTATCACTTTCAATTTGAGCCCTTCCAAAGGTAAGGTTGTGTGGTTTGTGCTGATTTTGCACTGGAGCTCTTCTGCCGTCTCTCTGCTTGCTAAGTTGGCGTTGCTACTGTTCTGGACGACAGTTGCTATCTTCAGCGTTGGTGGGTCGCTAAACAGTTTGATTCCGCGGCTTGGTGGTCGCGACTAGAGGAATGAGGAAAATCAGCTTAAGGCTCGGTTGAAAGCGAGTGTGCCTCGATGTATCAACTTACGTGTGACCGCGAACGTGAGCCGTCCATGATAATTGATTTGGTGTCTTTGGCTTTTGCTGGTGGACTCTGTCCTAAGAGCAACTTATGGGGTGGTAAAACCGGAGAACGTCAGCTGAAGTTCGAGAGAAATTAGTGATAGATAAATCGCTACCATAAGATCATGGAACTCCCTCAGGAATCCCTCCGGCTCCCTCTGGATCTCAGCCGCATGCGTTGCGGGGTTTACCGTCAACCAAGGCGTCCAAGGCTTTATTAGTATGTCCAATCACTTGCCGCGAGTACCCTGGTAGTAGTAATGTCCAGAATAACGCGTTGCCAAGCGCTGCTCTGATTGGTTAGCACGTCTGCTTCTTGTCGTCAGTCTTACATGGTCAGTGCATTTGTGCAACCCATCTTTACGAAGGCTGAGAATTGAGAGCAGTGAGTGTCGGGTGACGTGGTCTCGAAGCTGTGCATGTGCATATGCATCAACCTATTGTGAGTTGACGATCCACAAGTCGAGGCAGTGAGCCGAACACTGCCATGTTGCCACAAAACGCCACCAACTACGTTCCACTTTGATGCGATTTTTGGCCCCGCACTTCATTTCGAAAGAGATTTTTTACGCATACGCTGCTCTAGAGCGAGGTTCATCTCAACCATTGTATACTGCAGTCATGTCCATTGTATATAGTGAAGTTAAAGTTGACTTGAAAGCACTGCTGCCATGTTCACATTCCTGTCACGGGGGGCTTAGGCTGGAACACGGGCAGCTTCCCAGTAAAAGAGATGGAGGATGATCTCGCATGCTGCACGAATTCCGAGGCTGCAGCCCATCATCATATCTGTAAAAGAAATGCCGTCTCTTTTAGCCGCGAGTGGCTTATCTGTATAAGGTTAAATAGCCCTTGTAATCTGGCAAGACTCGCTGACCACTACAAAGTTGTTACGTTGAAGGTTTCGAGCCTGAATTTTTTGATCCGTTTCACATGGAGAAGCTGAAGCAGGCTCTGGTTCCTTCTACTCGCCCTGTTTTACCTATCTATAAAGACTCAACAGAAGACCTTCCGAGACCATTTCGTCAGGATTCAAATACCGACAATCATGGAGAAAATACTGCAGAGCATGCTTCACAAAAGGCTTCTTCAGTTAACGACCAAGCTTTTTATGGGGCAAAAGAGAAACTTGAATGTCTATGAATACAGGATACGTATCCATACGCGCCTACACAAGCACTTCATTCCACCTCCAACTTTCGAGGAAAACGGCCAATAAACGATGGCTCTCAGACGACAGAATGCGGTCCTTCTTCCTCGACTATCGATCCTAGAATAGAGCTACATGAGCACAAAAAGCAAGACCCATGCGGCCATGATGTTACTGGCACCCAGGACGTAAGCCCTTCGATGAAAACGGCAGTACAATTGAAAAGGAGCCGAACTGCTGTTGTTTCTCCACAGTCAACAGCTTTACGAAAAGCAAGAAGAAGAAATTCATGGCCCTTGCTGGCACCAGCAGCACCTTCAAGCCAGTCGGCAGCGCACCCAAGCCCAGAGCAGATGCTTCCTACAATAGCAACATCCGCAATATGTACCGCAGATAAATCTCCCACAGAGCAATCAAAGAAGCTAGCAACATCGGTGCAGATTATAGCAGAGATAAACCCTACAGCAGAAGTCGAAGCAACAACAGAAGATGCACGACCAATATCAGTACAAACAGCATCTTTGGCAGAGTCACTGGGACCGCCAACAACGTGGGACGACGTGCCAGCAGGCTACCCTATGCTTGCAAAGAGGATGGCAGATATGCCTACGGCATCCATTTTTAGAAGCTTCGCCGCTCTCAATCTTCAGAATCTTCTATATATGCAAGCAGAGCTACAAGATTTGGAAAAGGAACTACTAAAGCTCCAAGCAAAAGATGCCGCTGCAGGCAATGAAAGCATCCGGAGACGAAACTACGCAAGGGACTGGTGGTCGCTTCAGAGATCAGGCATCAAGGGTCGGTTATCTGAAGATGATCCTATCCAATGGCGTGTTGCTGTTATGATTCGGGACAAACTTCAGAAGTACAGTATGTTTTTTTATTGGGTTCACATATCTAATATTCGTTAGACAGTTCATACTTACAATGCAACAGATGAGGCGCTTATTCAAATGATGAAAATCCTCTCTGCAAAAGAGCCAGATGAACAAGATTATAAAAGTATACAAGAGTTCCTTGTATCCAAACCGATGCTAGATGGGGAGGCTCTCGTAGGTGGCGACAGAGACATATGGGGCGTGATGAACGAGAATTACCAAAAGGATCCAGAAGATGATCTCATTACCCTACTATCAAGAGAAAAGACGGACCGCCTGTCAAGATGGATTACCAGTTTGCTTGTAAAAAGACTTGACAAGAAGGCGAACAAGAAGGAGAACAAGGAGAACGATCCGAGAAAAAAGCGAGGTTCAGTTGTGGCGTTCTCAGTCGAGAGCATTAACCGTTGGACGTTTATGTTAACCACCGGGCTTGGAGCTATGCTTCCAGTGGCGTCAATGCTAGCTCTCCAACGCCTTGAGTCGGTCCAAGTTCGAACGGTGAGCTTGGTGTGGATCGCCGCTTTCAACTTTTTTCTGGCTATTCTTCTTCATTGGTTGGCATCAGTCAAGCGTGCTGAGATATTTGCTATTGCGTCAGCGTTTGCAGCTGTCAACGTTGTTTTTATAGCAAAATGAAAAATCGGCAGGGAAATGCCTGCTATTGACATGGTATCATAAGTAAATCCTCTCTCTACTCCTCTATTTAGACTTTTCTTTCTTCTTGTTCAAGCCATATACTCCGTGTGCGAGCGGCGCATAGCCGCATACTCTGCAAGCCGGTGCTGGTTTCTTTCTCTCTCTAGCTGACTAGCAGTATCTTCGCGACTTCGGTATGCCATCCTCCGCTCACCGGCTAGAACATGTCGTTAGTTGTATTTATGTATTGTAAGGCATTAACTGTACTTACGGGTGGATACTGCTGCAGGTGCCAAGTACAAACCAGCCTTCCTAAACACGAGGCGGCTGGAGGGGGGTATTTCCGCGGCCATCATGGCAACGGTTTCAGGCGGAAGGAATACACGATAAGGATACATATCCAGATCACCGCTTTCGAGTACCCAGATCGTAACCTTCTTGGATTGGAGACTGACGAAAATCTTCTTTCTTTTCGACAACACGGGTTCGTCGATGAAGCCGACGGTACCCGAAATCCATCCAGAGACGGTCATGTTCCGTACTTCCTTATTGATCCTGACGCGGATAATGAGGGGGACCCCTGTGTGTTTGAGAAGCCCGTGGCCGTTCGAGCGGATAGGTTCGGCATCCTTAGAGCTGAGGAGGAGGACATTGTCGGTTGGAATTGGGACAGGAGAGCTGAAGGGCATTATACCCTCGTCGTCCTTAGCAAAGTATGCGATTGATTTAAGCCAAATTTGATCTTGTGAGGCCGAGAGGACACCGAGCTTGCAAGGTCGGCGACGGTTGTCGTGGAGCTTTGGCACCATCAGTGAGCTTTTGTTTTTGAGCCCCAGGACAATCGTATACTTACAGCTATCATCGACATTAGAGGCATGGTGAAGTTGCGACGATGACAGTAATGACTTCAGTGTTGGCAGATGCGCAGGTGGAAGTTTTTGAAAGATAGAAGCGAGCGTGGTGCAAGAAGGAGAGGGTCGGTGGAACTTTGGGGCTGAGGTGCCGGGCGCCGGCATGTGGAGGGGGACTTGAGAAGCTCAGCCACTCTCCGTCTCGAAGCCGATGACGTTTTGCACCTCCCCCAAAAAATGGCGACCAATGATATAACGCACCCAAAGGTCCGTACTTTCAATCATCGGAGGTGAGATTGAACAGCCTGACAAGTTCCCAAGCAGATACCAAATTCAGTCAATATGCAGGTTATTGCTGATAGATGCTGAGCAGCAACTGTCTTGCATTTGGTAGTGCCCGTGATCCAGGTCACTGTGCGACGGTTTACGGTCTCGAGGTGGAGAAACGAACGCTCGCCGTTCGGTCAGCAAAAAGGACGATCCCCACGGGTGCTTCTTCACACGATGGAAATGCTCAACGAAACCCCTGTTAAGGACACGACTCATGAGCACAGCGGCCTCCGATGGTACACTGTACCCCGTGGAATCGAGTTGTCGTTGCTGATAGTATCGGGAACGGCAGCCAACGCAGGGAGGTTCGTCTGAGATCATCTTTAAAGCCACTTGCTAACGGACAAACACAGTGGCTAGTTTGCGCAATCCATGTATCCTCCAGCAGAGTAACGAACCGCCAGTTTTGACCTCTATGTCGCCGTGGGATATCGACCCCGGATTTCCGAGCTCTTATCCTTAAACGCGAATCGTTGCCGAAGCAATCAAGATACTTCGAGACAGGAAATAGAGGGAATGGGACATGACCGAGTGGAAGAGAACACATAAGAGCGAGGAAGGGTCAAGGGTCTATATACCTTATTAAGGTCATAAGATTCAAAGCAACAGTTTCCCGCTCTTTTCATGCGAGTGAAGCCAAAAGAGTGTCTGGAAAGTCTTACAGGTTTTTAGGCGCATACAACAATATGAGGTACGCATCTATTCCCTCCCCTGATGCTGGCAATTGGGTGAAACTCAGATAATAAGTGAGGGGCATGGTCGCAAGCTCGTGTAGCGATGTGGAAGTGTCGGAACGTTGTATGTATGACCCTAGAACTGTTGTTGAAGCCAGTTTACACTTCGATGTGGTTACTGAGCTTACAGGTTTCTAGGTTCCATCGATAGATGAAGACCAAGTGAGGTTGAAGGAGAATGTTGCGTCAAATTAAAGACGCGCCGACTCACGTTACGTAGCTGTAAAGGGCCTAGGTTAGTGCTGCACTCCCGGACGATCATGCAGTCCCCCAAAGCTTTGTACGCTTTCTCGCATTTAGAGTGACCTACCTCCTTCTAAGACGAAACAAAACATGTGTACCCATTGCAGTCGCACAGTTCACTTGATAGGGCTACGGACATCGAATCGGAGACACTCTGCCGCCTGGCATCAACCCTATCAGTCAAGACATACATACCATCTTACCTCTCCTGAAAGTTTGCGAAGAGCTTTAAAAGGCTCTTTCTTGATCAAAATATCAACACTCCGGGCCTTGTTGTGTTGAAAGTTTTTTGCGGTTGCTCGCATGCGAAGCGCGAAGCACGTGTCGAGGGGCTGGATAAAAAACGAGCCGACCTCCGCCCGGCTCCCCACAAACATTTTTACCATCTGAAGCTTCAACTACCTATCCAATGCGTGTATAGCATCAATAAACTATTGTCGCTCAGACAGAATCGACTCTCACCCAAACCTCTGTAAGCGTGTCGATGGTACATGCCTTGAAATACATATGGAAAGATCGTTTACAATGTTAGGAGCTTTCCTGCGATGAGAACAATGTCAGAAACTCAGCATATGACTTGGAATCATTTGTCGTACTCCATACTTTACCTATCGTCTTCGACAGACTAGTTTTTTGTCACACAACTCTTCGGTTATGATGCTCCCTCCTGGCTCTCCGGCTCCCCGACACCTACTTCTCTGTTTGCGTCAGTCCAAACCAACCGGTAACAAGCAAGAGATGTTTTGAGGATGTTGTTGAAATTAGCCGTGTCATGGCTCCACACCACTAGTGGACAGACAAGACCGTGCGGGCCGCATCGAGTTGCCTAGTCCGGTTAGAAGCCTACTCCACAGACATTCAACCGTTATCAACCACCACGTGATAGTGGAGATGGTCTTCATATATAGCGCATGCCCGCAGAACTTGGGGGATACTCGTCACTAACATTCACAATGGCGACCATCTTCCACAATGCTCGAATTTTCCAATCCCGGCTTCTGAACGGCACCGACCACACCTTTGCCGAGTGCATGATTGTCGACCATGCAACAGGAACCATCGCCCACGTTGGTAGCAAATCCGATGCTGAAGTCGCCAAGGCCGCCGAAGCCGGAGCTACGCCAACCGATTTGGGAAACAAGGTCATCTTACCCGCGTTCATGGACAGCCACATGCACCTCCTGCTCCTAGGTCTGGCCCTCAAAAAGCTAAGCCTAGAGCCCTGCGAGAACCTTGACGATATCCGAAGAGAGATCAAACGCTACGCTGAAGACCGTCCCGAGCTCCCCAGGATACTGTGCCGTGGATGGATGCAATCGACGACAAACGGCCTGGCTTTATCCAGTATGCTGGAAGGGCTCGATTCAAAAGGACGGCCGATCTTCATTGACTCCAAGGATCTGCATTCAACGTGGTGCAACGACGCTGCCATAGCAGAGATGGGAGCACATGACCTTCCGGACCCGGTCGGGGGGACAATCCATCGTGACGAGCACGGAGTACCGTCTGGTTTGTTCAGTGAAGGCGCTGCGATCGGACTGGTCTGGCCACACGTGTCCCGCGTCATCGGCGTCAACGAGAGGGCGGAAGCTCTTCAAGCCGCACTCAACGCTTACACCGCTGCTGGCTACACTGGCGTGGTGGACATGGCGATGGACGAGAGAGTTTGGGAGGCGTTGGAATTGCTGCAGGAGGGACAAAACCTGCCCATCCGGATCGCCGCGCACTGGCTCATCCTCCCCAAGAGCACCGACGCAGAGAACCTGGCGCAGGTGGACCGCGCAATCGAGCTGCACGCGAAATGCAACGCCCAAACGAGCGCGGGGCTCCGCATCGCCGGCATCAAAGTTGTCTGCGACGGTGTAGTGGACGGCTGCACCGCCACATTGTCCGAGCCCTACTCCTCAACCGGCACCAGCGCCGACCCGCTCTGGAGCGTTGAAATGCTCGGCCCGGTGATCAGGAAAGCAGACGCCGCAGGCCTGCAATGCGCACTCCACGCGATCGGCGACCTCGCCGTCAAGAACGCCATCGACACCCTCGAGCAAAACGTCACGCCGCACCACCGTCACCGCATCGAGCACCTGGAGCTCACGTCTGAAGAGGACGCGCAGAGACTTGGAAAGCTGGGTATCACCGCTTCAATCCAGCCCGTGCATGCCGATCCGGCGATCTTCCGCGCGTGGCCACGCTTGCTGGGCGAGCATCGCTGCAAGCGCGCGTTTGCGTACAGAGAGTTTTTGGATGGCGGGGCAACGCTGGCGATTGGCACTGATTCACCGACTGCGCCATATCTGCCGCTGCCGAACCTTTATACTGCAACCACGAGGCTTAGTGCCAGAGAGCCTGCGTCTGAGGAGAAGGTGAATGAGTGCTTCGCTCTGGAGCTTGCTAGTGCGGTGTGCGGTGCTACGTCTGGAGCGGCGTACAGCTGCTTTGCGGACGAGTGGACAGGCCAGATCAAGAAGGGCCTTAAGGCGGATTTTGTGGTGCTGGATATGGAGTGGTCTGCTAAGAAGTTGCTGGAGGCGAGGGTGCAGCAGACGTGGTTTGAGGGACGAAAGGTCTTTGACGCCAAAGGCATCGCATAGAATGCTTTAGACTACTTACTCTTTGATGGGCTAACAGATTTCCAGCATCGCGTTGATTGCTTTTTGGAGAGCTGATCTGATGTTTAATTTGGTGGAATGTTCTACTCCTAGGCGGGTCCCGCCAAGTCCATGACGGAGCCATTGAGAAGTATCGTATCCAAATATGCTTCGATAGCTTAGAATCGGGTACTGCTAGCTTGCCTTTTAAGCTCGCTATGTGCATTACACACGTGAGAAGTAGAGGAAATGGGCTTCTGTAAGTGTTAAGATATCCGTCTATGCTAGTCACATATACATGGCTAACTTACGTTAAGATCCAGCGGCTTAATAACAATAATCCATCACTACTCTCTTATCTTTCCTCGCGGTCACCCGTTCTTGAAAATACGAACTAAGTATTTAGTTTAGCGGCGCGCTGAAAATACGCAGAAGGATGACGCCACATGTGTTTAACGCCGACGGACATAGGCGGAGTTAGCCCTTAGACCCCACCTAATGGTGCTATAAAGCTTATCCTTTGCCCAATACTATCTTACAATCATTTCGAACAATTTCCCATCAACATCCATCTAAATCAAGCAATGGTCAACGTCGCAATCGCAGGAGGCACTGGAGCCGTCGGGCGCACCATCTTGGAGGTTCTGAAAGACCATCCGCAGCACACGCCCATCATCCTCACGCGGAAAGTAGGTTTCTCTGCAGCGCCTAACTATCTCCTCTCTCCTAACATATATCCGACTAGGCCCCGGAGGAAGTCCAGGAGCAATTTGGCGTCAAAGCAGTACAGCTTGACTACGATGACGTCGAATCCTTGAAGCAAGAGCTTGAAGCGCACTCGATCCACACTGTGATTTCGACCTTTGGCAACAGGGGCGACTCGTTCAAAATATCTCAAGTCAACCTGATCAAGGCTGCGGGCCAGTCTTCCGAGACGAAGCGGTTTGTTCCGAGTTCGTTTGGAGCTCCTTACCCCGAAGGGTATGTTCCGAGAATCATCTCCCAGTTTGATGAATACTTCAAGTTAACATTGAGAAAAGCTCCGACGCCATTTTGCCTCCGTTAAAGTACTACTTCGCCTCGATCGATGAGCTGAAGAAAACAAACCTCCAATGGACGGTCGTTCTGAACGGAATTTTCCTGGACTACTACGCCATGCCGCACATCAAGACGTACCTGAACCCGAACTCGTTGGCTCTCGACATCGCAAGCAGGATTGCGGCTATCCCAGGCGACGGCAACGTGCCCATCACTTTCACGTACACCTTCGACGTGGCGCGCTTCGTTGTCGCGATGCTGGACCTGGAGGAATGGCCGGAGGAGACTCGGCTGGCGGGCGACAGGGTGACGTTTAACGAGTTCGTGGCGCTGGCGGAGGAGGTGACGGGAAGCAATTTCACGGTGCAGTACGACGGCATGGAGAAGCTCAAGCGGTTTGAGGTCACCGAGCTGCCATCGCATGTCCCGCTCTATGAGAGCTTCCCGAAGCAGAGGCTTCAGTGGTTCCTCGCTATCTTCGAGACGTGGATGGCCGATGGCACGAGCAACGTCGCGCCGGAGCTGAACCAGCGCTTCCCGCATATCAAGCCGTTGACGGTTCGGGCAATGCTGGAGCAGCATTGGAAGGGCAAGGGCAAGGGAAATTAAGCCAAGTCGGTACTAGCGCCGGCTTGCTGCCTAGCGCAGGGCCCTTCTCCAATGTCAGGCCTTAAATACATTTCGCTCATTCCATCAACCTTTTTGTCTTACTCCTCCTCTTCTCTCATTGCCGACATGTCGTTGCAGCTGCTCGATATTCCCGCCGAGCTAATCAGTCTGATCGTCGAGCGCTTAGTCGCCGGAGAAAACACGTGCGACGAAGAGCTCATCAGATACGAATTATCGCCTGAGATCCTTCGCAGCCTGCGCAACTTAAGACTCACCTGCAGACATCTCTCTGCCATAGCGACGCCGGTTTTGTTTGAGCGTGTCGGCCTGTACCCCGAGGATGACAGCGTGACGCGCTACAAACTCATCTTGGGCGAACCCGAGCTTCGAAAACACGTGCGCTTTGTGCATATCAACACCCTTGACAAGGGAGAGGTACGCTGGACACTCATGCTGTAGATATAAAGGCTAACTATCCCCAGCGCGAGAGAGAAAACGAAGGGGAAGCTGTAGTATCAAAAAGATACAGGCAGGCGTTACTCCGCTTCAACGAGTTCCCTCACCTCAAAGCTGTCAAGATCCAGTTCTCTCCAAACTGTTCAGATTCGCATTCTTTATATGCGCCCTCGTGCTGGCCTCAAACCATCGCATTCCGTGAGCCGATCCTGGAGGATTTCATCAGAACGCTCGCAGATCCGCTTGCTCAGAATGTCACGGATATTACCTTTGGAAATCTTCAAAATGTCAATCATGACACCTTGATGCACTCAGCTGAGGCCAAGAAAGTGCTGGCACGGGCGACGTCCTTAACACTCAACATTGTCACGGAGCGTTACGAAGCGGCACCCGAGTACGAGATAATCCTTGAAGAGTATCCTCTCCCAACCGCCAAATCACAACAAAACACCAGCTGACAGAGTTTCAGATTGCACACCTTTTTCGAACAGCTTCCCTCTCAGTGGCTGTCTCCCGCAACGGCCAACTTGAAGCGGCTTGTGTTGCACTGCGATTGCTACTTTGGGTATCTACCGAACCTCGATCTAAACTCAGTACACTTCCCGGCGTTGGAAACGCTCTCACTGAGCAAATACACCTTTGCGCAGGATAAGCACGTGGACTGGATAACGTCCCACACGCGTCTACGCCGCCTCTACCTTCAGGACTGCTCTATCCTGGTATTTCGCGTCGTCTACGATCCCTTTTTCGTCCCCGCGTCTAATACCAATGAGGTGCGCTTGGGGACACGTCGTCCTACAGGACGTGGACGGCGAGGAAGGGCCCAACAGTACACAAAGCTACGCTGGGATGATATATTGACCCGTTTTCAAAATCGCCTACCGAAGCTAAGGGAGTTTCGCGTCGGAACCAACCATTTCAATATCGAGGATGTTTACGACACGGCAAGTCCCGAGGTATACGAAAACATGGCCATTGGCTTGTTTAGAGGGCGCTATACATGGTTCGACGGAGATTGGTTTAAGAAAAATTGTCCTGTCATACCCCATAAGCGCAATTTTTTGCGCAACTGGGGAGAGCTTACTCCCGAAGCAGAACAGTTTCTGGACTTTGTGGATCCTGTGCGCCAGGAGGAGCAGGATGAAAAAGACAAAGGCGCACTGATGGGCCTTCTCGAGGCCATCGGCATGAAGGTTCCTCGTGGTGATGAGAGCTGGGACGACAGGATATTCGACTTGCTTGAGCAGTAGCTTATTCGCCTGGTAAGCATTTCCCTTGAAACAGTCCATGTTGAAAGCCAACGCACCTCTTAGATTGGTACAGTGGAACTAAATACACAGCAGCTACAAATCCTCGACAACAGCGAGCCAGTCCTTACAACACATTCCTCACTCCTCTTCCGGAAACCGCCGCTCCCAGCACACCGTCGCCGGCTACATCGGGCGCGAGAAAAGCGACGAGTAATCCGTAGCAGGCACGTCCTCACGCTCCTTCGGATTCGCGAACCTAAAACTCCGCACCATAACCGCAACAATAACGCCCAAATTCACGTACGCAAACTTCTCGCCAATGCAGCGATGACGCCCAGCGCCAAACGGCAGGTACGGGCTCTTCGTGCCCTTTGACGGAACAGCGCCGTAGCCATAATCGACCATCTCGCCGCCGCCGTCGTCTTCTTCCTCGTCGGCTTCGTCTTCCCAGCGATGCGGATCCCAGCGCCCGGCATTCGGGAAGTGCTCGTCGCTAAGGGCGGTGATGCCCGGGGACGCGAGCAGCACGTGGCTGGTCGGGATGACGTACTGCGTGCCGGGGACATGCAGCGGGTTCTTGACTTTGCGCAGGATGGAGTGGATCGAGGAGTGCAGGCGCAGGGTTTCCTTGATGACGTTTTGGTGCAAAGGCAGCTTCTCGAGATCGCTGTATTGCAGGGGGGGAAGATGGCCGTTCTGCCCAAGCATGCGGAGTTGTTCTTTGTACAGCTCTTCCGTGATTGCGGGCTGCGAGGCTAGGCGCAGCATTATCCACGAGCTGATGGACGAGGAAGAGTGTTGCCCGGCCATCAGCAGCGTGATCATCATGTGAGCGATCTCCTTGTCTGGCACTGGTTTGCCGTCCTTGTACTTGCAGCGCATGAGATTCCAGATCATGTCTGAGCCTTCTTGGACCCCTTCCTTGCGTCGCTCCTCAATGATGTCCATGTATATAGCCCGCATCTTGGCATGCGCCACGTCTCTCTTCCGGTTATGGGGCAGCGGCGCCCACGGCAACATGAAGTTAATAGGCGTAAAGCCCTTGTCGAGATCGTGGTACAGGTCGGCGAACTCGGCGGTCAGTTTCCCGCGGACTTCCTCTCCTTGCAGCGCGCGGCCAGCGGTGAAGATGGTGATCTCAGCCATTGCGGCCGGGATGTCGACAGTGCCTGCGCATCCCTTGAATTTCGGCGATGTCTTGATGTAGTCGAGAACCTCCTTCTCGATCAATTGCACGTGCGCCTCGAGCGCGTGCTGCGTGAGTCCGAACTTGATGAACTTCTTTTGTTCCATTAGCTTCGAGTTCGGGCAGTCGTAGACGACATCGGAGCCGAAGACGGGCGTCGTCAGGGGACTGTAGACTTCCTTGGCGTTGACGTCTTTCAGCTTCCCGTTGAGAATAAACTCGTTGCCATCGGTGCCGAGGTAAACGGTGGTTTTCTGGCCCAGAAGTATGAAGGTAAAGATGTCGCCGTACTGGGAAAATGGTCAATATGGTTTAGAGGCGAAGGCTGCGGCAGAGGATTACCTTTTCCCTGCACTTCAAGAAGAAGCCATAGGGGTCCATTCCGTAGCTAATCGTGTTTCCGAGGAAAGGTACCCAATGGAAAACAACCGGCGGCTCGTTCTTGTTTCGATACAGCAACTGGCGGAGGACATTGACGTTAATCAAGACGACCGACGCAGCCGCCGCACAAGCGCTAATCTGAAGAATAGATTCCATTGTCAATGGCGTATGTTTGAATGAAAGGAGATTCTGGAAGAAAAAGGGTTTTCCAACTTCGAAGACGATAATGTCAAGCCAAGCTGCATAGCCACAATATAGTCCGATTTTCTGCGCGGCAGATCCGAGATCCGGGAAGTGCATTGGCCAATGACTTCAATGCACAGGATTCGTATCCTTACAGCATGATGCTCTGGGCTAAAATATATAAGGTTAGATACACTAGAGAATGTACGGTACTTTTATTATATGCAGCTCTGAAAGGCTTTCAAGAATCATTAGATGTGGTCGTGAAGTAGGCCGGCTTTCTTTAATGTATGTGTAAATAATTTGGACTGAAAACAAGTAGTAAATAGTAACAACCAGCGGAATTTCGCAATTAGCTGCTTAATTAGAAAACAGTTAGTCTCGCATCTGCATTCTCGTAGTTAATTCTATGACTGGCCGTAAATTCAGGTACCTATTGGAGGAAGGATGTTTGTCTTTTATATTATCTTATTCTTTGTTGGCCCCTACACGAGGTGATCAACACTTAAGCCGTTGCAGCAGCCCCCAATACTACATGAACGAAGTTGATCTTTCCATTCTCCGCAGTTGGCCCCATGAACACTGACTATTAGTAGATCTGCACTGTTTCCACTTCCCTATGTTATACACTCGCTTTTCGCATTGTACCCCGTAATATCTGGCCTTAGATATGCTTGTCAGATGATGGCAAACACGACACTGATGCTTTGTTCTAAAATTGGAAGCGACAGGGAGATTTCTTTCTGAATATAAAGAGAGCATCTCCCTCACTTTTCAGTACGCCATTAATCACACATCCCTTCTACCTCACTACCCAAGTTCTCGAAGCTTTAACACCACATCCATCTTACGTCTTTTCCATCGCCCTCCAACACAATATCCCAAGAACATGAAGGGACCGCTCTCTATTATTATCCTCGGAATAGCAATCTTCGCACCAGCTCTAGCTCAGGCCGACGCTCCTAATATCTGCCTACTCTACACGCCAACGGACCCTAACAATCACAGCGCCACTGAGAAATGCCAGAAATACTGCACTGACATTGGAAAGGGCGGCAAGGATGTGAAATATACTGTTGCTTGTGTCCCCTCTAGCACAGATTATAAGCCTGTTCCTGGCGAGGGTAAGAGTTTTCTATTAATACTTGGGATGGAGATATGAACAACGAGCTTACTTAAATCTTTAGATGGGATGGAGGCCGTTGAAGGACACTGCGAATGTCATTAGGAGTAAAGGTACGGCATTTGCCTCTGGAGACATATTTACGTATCCTATTTGCTTCCTAAGGTATTACTTTTTGAGTCTCAGCAACGAGGGCCACGGATCGTAGAGTACAGAATAAAATTTTAATTGGAAGAGAACTAATAACTCTCAACTCCGTATCTTACGAAACAACAAATCCTAAGATATTCATTATACTTCATAAAATTCTTAGATACCACATTGAAGTTGCTCGCAGCGCATTTAGGTTTGCTTGTAACAGTGCATTGTTAATAAGTCTTACAGTCTTAAAAACGTAGCGATGGGTATTATTGACATGTGATTTAGCTCTATACCTGTACAAGATCTTAGTTGTAGATCTCTTTCTAGCCTCCGTGGAGAGCACGCTGTTGGTCCCTAAGCACTAGCCGCTAGCAGATCTACACGGCTTACATCGCCCTATGATTCTAAACCGCCTCTTTTGCTCTTATGATACTTGGCCCCAAATGAGAGTTCTAGGCTACCGAAGAGTCCACTATAATCTAAACATAGCAACAGCAGAACCACTCTATCCTCGGTATAAAAGAACCTCTCACTCACTCGGTAATGCCATACTAAACAACCATCTCAGCCATTCTCATTTCGCAAATCCTGTTCCACTCTTTCGTCTACTTCCACGTTTCCCCAACGCCACAGTACTAGTAATAATGAAGAGCTCTTTCGCCATTGTTCTTGTCGGAACCGCGCTTTTTACCACGGCTTTCGCCTATCCTGATGGAATTCGGCTCGTGCAACCCGACAACGACCCGCTTAAGGGAAAATGCATGGTGTTTGACCCACCAAAGCCGCATGATTTAGAGGCAAATCAATGCAAAGACTACTGTTCTGGCTCTCAATCTTATGGCTGCTCCAATAACAACTTGCAGTACCAGACGCAGAGTAAGAAAATTAAATATCCGCTGGATTTGAAGTGTGAACTTTGAGCTTACTGAGACATTCTAGATGGACAAAAGTATGCCATGTCTAACTGCTATTGCAATTAAAGCTGGCCGGCACCTTTCCAATTCTTCGAAGTATCCGAATACGCTCCTATAGCCTAATAGTATAATGGACACTTCGGAAGCTGGTGGAGAGATAGAATTTGGATTTTAGCATAAGCCTCAGCGGGTACCTGGCGTTTATACGAATTAAAAATGTAAATGTTTCACGAAAGGTTATAAACTTCGTTTATACCTTCCTCTATAAGCTACTAGCTATTCGTGTATTTTAATACATTGTGCGTCGCGGAGAGAAGAAAGTACTATTAAGTTAATTATAGGGATCGGATTTAGGAGCGGCCATATGATTAGAACAATTTCGCGATCTGAAGTATTAGATCAGTACCTTGTACTGGCGCCGTTTTTGTTCGGGGTGTGTGGGGTGATCCGAAACAGCCCCCGCGCTGCCGACTTAATATTTGACCCTTCTCTTTCTTATTCCCAACTAATTATCCTGGGAGGTATATAATAGGAAGCTTGTTTATAGAGATTCTACAAGAGTCTACAGTCGTCATGTAATGTGAGCTCTTACCATATACTTCCCCGCCCCAATTCTAATCTTTCAGCTGTTCTACACTTCGCAACTATCCGAAAGCTCGCAGATAGTTCTAGAAACATTCTCTTATCTTCCAGGTATGCACCCGTACCTCTGCTTAAAGGCGCATTATGCAAAGACACAAATGCAGGAGATGATCTGGTTAAGCGGGCGGTTTCAAAGAGGGCGAGTCAAACACCACTCCGCGGGGGGCCAACACAAAGACTTTCCGAAACAAGCAACTGCAAGCGTAGGCGAGACCAATCTATGGATTTCCAGTCTCCACCAGCAATCATAAGCAGCGACGCATTATTACGTCGAACGGAACTTATTGGTAATGCACATGCAGCCAAATTATTAATCACTGCTCAACGCGGAAACGACATGACTACATAAAGCCGCTGTTTTTCGCAAACAGAAAAGACGAATAGAATATCAATTGCAACCACAACGACAGTGGATCCAAGCGGCAGCAAACACGATCGCCAACGAAATGTCGTACCAAGGGCATTGCAACTGCGAAAGTATCAAAGTGACGCTTAAAGAACAACCGTCTGAATCTCTGCTCTGTCATTGGTAGTGTATTTCCTGATCATCTTCTGTCGCTTCGCTAACGCATACAGTCATAATTGTCGCCGCACCGGTGGACGCAAGTCATACCGTCTGCACTGAGATTTTGCTGGTGCGCATCACTAACTACAACCAGTTTTCTCGGTCAACTATGTCCTCGATGAGCCCGAGGCTGTCATTGACGATTCTAATTCTGCACTGAAGGTGTACCAAGACAAGAACACTGCAAGCGGAAACACCGTTCAAGTGAGTATTTAAGCTGCGAAAACACTTTAGATCAGCTATTGACGTTTTGTTATTCAGCGAGGATTTTGCAGTGGTTGTGGAAGGTATTTACATGTCCTGAATTCTTTAGATTATGGGTGAAAGCTAATTTTCGTCTCGTTCAAAGTCCCATTTTCACCAAAAGCCCGCAATTCCCAGGCAAGGTGTTGGTGAAGGCGAATGTGTTCGACATCACAGCAACGCCGACTACGGAGGTGTTTAGTGTGGGAAGAGAAACGTGGTTGAAGCCAGTGGGAAATGCTAAGCAGGAGTAGAGCACTCCGTGTATATAATAACAGCGGATGATCGCGATTTGGTTTGATCGAAAGCTTCAAGCCATTGAAACCAAGATTAGGTTGAGTATTACAAGTGATGAAACTGATGATACTAGTGCTCAAAGCCGGTTAGATCCAAAACGCCATGGTAAGCAAGTTTCAAAATAAAAATACCTCCCAATGAAAGAAAGCCACCTGGAAACACCGGATAGCCGGAAGGACAACAGCAGCAGTGATACATATCACGGGAATCACAAGGGTGATGTCATAGCTTCGTACGGCATAGGTCTACTTGTAGGCTGACTAGAGATCCCTGGCTATGCTGTACCTTGGATTAGTGGCTTGTTTGTGCAGGTTTAACCCCACCGCAGCTGCATGTAAGCTATGGCACGCCGGTACTTAACAGTATAAGATAACGACTTGAGAGCAAACCATACAATCGGCAAGGCCGACGATATCATAACGTTACCGATACCTCGGGAGACCAAATTCGCGCTATTTGCCAGCTGATGAGACATCTCTGAGGCGCAAGCCTTTTCAGTGCTTCGCTAGATGATGGTGACCAAAGTCGGGTGTTAGGAACAAGTAAACGAAAAATGTATAATGAACACAACGAAAGAGAATTATGCGTGCCTGTCCAAGCAACAAGTAGCGAAAACTCTAACTAATACCCCATATTATGCAACCCAGAACAACACCAGCACCAACACCCTGCTAATGCCCCACGACCTTACAAGCAATGATTTCCTCCCAAAACTTCTCTACAAAATGGCCGATCTCGGGATTGACATGATCAGCAACAACGAACATATCGAGGAGGCGTTCATAGAACTCTTTGGGCCTGGCACGTATCGACTCGGCACGGACAGCAAACAGGGCGCCCTCCGCAAACATGATCTGCGGCGGATGGGGGTAGCCAAAAACGCGGGCCCAGAACTGGCCGGGGCTGCAGTCGGCGGTGAGCTGCTCGACGCCGGTGACAGCCTGCTGCTTCATCCAGAAGATGCGGTCGGGGTCGTCGTGCCAGTCGGCGCGCTCCCAGCGCTGGAACGGGCGGACGGTGCCGAGCGCCTGCGAGCCGAACACCATCATCTCGCCGGTTTTGGTCGTCAGCGCGCGGTTCTTCATCGCGGTGATGCTCATGGTCGTGTGTTCGCGCATGCAGGCTGCCCCGTCTCGGCTGCCTTGTAGGAACAGCGTCACGGGTGCCAGCGTCTCGTACCGCGTTACGATGTGGTGGAGGAAGGTGTGGCTCTCGCGGCCGATGTTGGGGAGGTGGTGGATCTGGCGGAAGTGTTTTCCTTTAGGCAGGTTTCCTGCGTTGAGGACGTGTTAGATTGTGCATGGGGGGAGGGCTGTGCTTTGTGTGGTGTAAGATCGGTATGTACCTTTGGAGTAGATGATGACATCGGCGGCCTCGGGCTTCAGCCAGGAGAGGTCTTCGTTGTAGTGGGCCACGACAATGTCGACGCGATTGGCTGCTTCCGTGGCCGGCAAATTGGAATTCTTGATGGTGGCCATGGTTGGATCAAAGGTGGGTTCAAGGTGAGACTGTGACTGAACGAGTGATGCGACTCAAAGAGTGAAATAAGTTTTGAAAACGTGCTGGACCCGAGGTTATATATGCCTCTTGGGGCGGGTTGGTGTGCAGTCACTATTGAGCGGTGGCTGCAGCGACCTGAGCTGAAGGGAAGCACATGCTTTTCGAGGGGAAGGAAGGTATCATGACAGAGGCGCGGATATTGCAACCCCCTCCCGCCAATCTCGTAGAACAATTGGATAGGTTGAAGCTGCAAGTCAAGCTTGCGTTGGGTGATATCATTGTGGCTGTTTGCCTTCTAGATCGGTCGGGACCGACAAAGTCCAATTCGCTGCCCACCTTCTCAGTGCATCTGAGAGTTCGGGGTGCAACGTTGTGCCGCTTGACGTGACGAGATTCAAAAGCAAGGAAGCCAAGATCTATCGGCCGAGGCTCTGGTATGACTCTTTGTTTTGGCCATTTACTATTGCCATGTCGACAGCATTCTGAAGTGGAGAAGCTAGCACGAGAACCGAGAAGCTATTGTAAGAATAAGAGCAGTTCTACAGCACCACTTACTTATATATTGGCCAAGGGCGGAAAAGAGCTGCTGACAAACGCACATGGTTCAAGTGTAACAGTGTGTGGTTTGCCACAGTGTTTGAGATTTCTTCACCAGGGATATGCTATCACCAGAAGTCAAGTGTAGGAGATGCTTCCGATGAAGTTGCACAATGTAGTTCGCTCTGATAAGGCTGTACCAGCTTCGGGTAAGCCCACCCGCTGCCTCGTTTCCTTGGTGCAACATGGAGATAACCGAGCCGTTGCGCAGGTGTCTTGCTGCAGCTCAAAGACAGCCGGCACGTTCGCCTTATTGCGTCATTTCTACGAGTACATGTGCGGAAAATCGGCCCACAAATCTCAAGCCCACAAGGCTGAAGTCCATATTTAGTGCCAGATAAGCGCAGCGGTTAGATGCATTTCATTGCGCTCTCCACAACGTGTTGCAAACTCATTGACCGGAGCTCTTCTCCGCTACTACCTTTGTCTGAAACAGTGAGACCTGCATCAGGTAATGCCGCTACTAACCGAACTGATGTTAGTTGGATGGACGACTTTTAATCGCCGCTTACTATCACTGCAGCTATGTTGCGATATCACCGGCTAAATCACTGGCTAATGATAACGGACTTTATACTCTCCAGATACTGTAACCTGCTCATTACCTAGCGGCTTGGTTAATGCAGCTATTTTCCCGGAGCACAGGAAGGTGTCATCGATGATAAAATGAAGGTCGTTCCGTTGTGGGAGCGCATTACTTAATAGAAGCCGTATAACCGGATTGGACGTTGTGTGCGTGCTGAAACTATAGGCGGACATTGCCCGATGGAGATGGCCGTGACTTTGGGTGTTCAGCTTTCAAGTCGGAAATTTAGAGGATATAGGGAAGTGTACTTGACTGCGCATGGTGAAGGATTAGCCAATGCCTGTTTAGCGATCGGTGCGGGCTCAACAACCTAGGTGAAATTCGAAGTCTTACAAGTGAACAATGAGTAACGTCCTTGACCCATGAGCGAGATTGACTGCTTAGCGAGATAGCCAATTAGATACCCTTCTCGGGCTTCGTCGGGTGCTCTCTTGGCAGACGGGTTTGGTAGCGATTACCTGGGTCCTAGTTCTTGCAAACCTTATGTGCTTTAATTCTCGCATGTAAACTTCTATTATTTTGCTTAGATTCAATGTCTAACAGTGGATAGTAACTATGCCAAAATTGTATACATGTTAGTAGTTATTATGCTTGTAGAGTACATGTCATCTTTTTATTGAGAGCCTCTGATTGGCTATCTTGCTGAGCAATCAATCTCGTTTAACCGTCAGGTACGTTTAAAAGAAACGGCTCAAGTCTCTTGAGGACCTACCAAGTCAGCAGCCATCCAAGCAATCGGCACTTCTCTTAAACGCTACACTCAGCAGCTTCAACCCCCAAATCAAGCACATTAGAAAGTATGGCCATAACAATGGTATTAACAATACGAGTGTCCTGTCTAAATCTATTACGTAAATCTGCACAGCCATCATCTACCCTCATCTAAACCTTCCTCAACAAGAAACGACCACCAAACCATTCCGTCATGATTAGAAATTAACATTACGAGCTACCCTCATTCTCGAGCTCCTGGAGCATGACATCAGCCGCCTTCTCAGCAACCATGTAAGTGGAAACAGCCGTGAAAGTGCCGGGGATGCGGGGGTAGACCGACGCGTCGACGACACGCAGGCCCTTGACGCCGCGCACGCGGAAGCTCGAGTCCAGGACGGCCATGTCGTCGTCGTCGGCGCCAATGGGGCACGTCGACGAGCAGTGGTGGCCCCACGCGTTGTTCATGACGTAGTCGTCAATCTGCTCCTTGGTCTGGACGTCGGGGCCGGGCAGGACCTCGGTGACGTTAACGAGCTGGCGGTCGAAGGCGTCGCGGGCCAGGTTAATGGCCTCGTACATGGTCTGCAGGTCCTGCTTGTAGTCGCCGCTGCCCGTGTCGAAGTAGTTGTACACAATGTCGGGCATATCGAGCGGGTCAGCGGAGGCGAGGGTGACGCTACCGGCCGTGTTGCGGGGGTGCGCCTTCAGGATGGCCCAGCTGAACCAGTCGTGCTCGACCGTGGCGTTGTAGCTGTAGTGAGGGAAGTAGCCGCGGAAGTTGACCGGGCCGCCGAAGACGAACGAGTCGAAGTTGTTGTCGGCGTTGACGCTGCTCTTGTAGAACATGGTCGCTGCAAGACCACTGGAAGAGTAGATGCCGCGGTTGCCAAGAATGTCGTTCTCCCAGCGGTCAACACACGGGTCCTCGTCGGTGTCGAGGCTGAAGGTGCAACCGTCGAAAGCAGCAAAGTCGTGGGGAGTGCGGGCCTGGACGGAGATTTCGTAGTGGTCCTGAAGGTTGGTGCCGACACCGGGAAGATCCTTGATCACAGAGATGTTGAAACGCTCAAGCTCCTCGGCCGGGCCAACACCGCTGAGCTTGAGGAGCTGCGGGGAGTTGTAAGTGCCACCGGCGACGATGACCTCGCGAGAAGCCAAAGCGCTGCCTGGAGTACCCTTCTCGGAGTTCTTGGACAGAGGGCTGGCGCGGTAGAGGTGCTTGCCGTCGAGGAACTCGACACCGTTGGCAGTGGGCGGGTTAGTAGACTCATCGAAAGTGACCTTGGTGACGTGGCAGTTCATGCGGAGATCGAGCGGGTACTTCTTGGAGCCGTCGAGGTTCTTAGCACCCTCCACGGCGAGGATGAACTCGCGGGCACCGTTACGCTTGTGGTCATCAGTGGACAGAGGAATCTGGTAGAAGCCGGGCTTGGTGTCGCGCTCCTTGGTGTCGGCGTTGGCATCGCCGGCAAGCAAAGAGCCCACGTTGAAGAGAGCGTTGGTCTCGTTGCCAAGAGCGTTGGCACCACCGAGAAGCAGTTCAAGGAGCATGGGGTCCTCGAGGACAATGCTGAGAGGGGCCGTCTCCGTGCCGAGCCAGCCGTCGTAACCGTGGCCCTCGGCGCCGGGGAGAAGGTACTGGTTCTTCTCCATCTTCTGGTAGTACTTGCGCATCTTGTCGGCAGACCACGATCCATCGCCAGTGAGAGTGGCAATGTAGTCGAAATCGGACTGATCGGGGTAGACGGCGATCAAGGCATTGTGGGCCGTGCAACCACCCAGAGTACCCGTGCGGGGGTAGAGCATACCCTTGATCTCAGAGCCCTCGGGAGGGTCCAGACCAACGTACTCGCCACCGTCGGGAGTGGTGTAGGCGAGCTTGAAGTCCTTCTTCTGCCTCTCATCGTCGGCGTAGTGCCTGACGAAAAAGTTCCAGGCCATATGCTCGTCCTCGGAAGACTTGGCCGAGTAGGCGGGGATGGTGTAGTTCTGGTTGGTGCCCTGGTCGTCACCAGCCTCTATGAGCAGGGTCTTGTGGCCAGCGAGAGCGAGACGGGCGGCGAGGGGACCGCCACCGGCGCCGGAACCGACAACGACATATTCGTAGCCGGTGAGTTTGACGGCCTGAGTGAGGGCGGCCGACGAGGCGATGAGGCTGAGGAGCCTGGGGAAAAGCATATTGGAAAGAGTGTATGCGAAGGAGGGACTGAGGGAGTGATTGAGTCAAGGAGAGACTGAGAGCGACCCTGGCCTTGATTGATTCAGAGGGACGAGGCCGCGGTTTAAAAAGTCATGGAGCAGGAGAGCCCATCACAGTTGATAGTCCGGCAAATGCCTGGATTCTCTTGATGTTTCCCTTGGCAGCCTGGTGGAGAGTGGAGTATGGCCGTATAGTCAGTGGCGCGGGCCTGGTGCTAGGACTGAACGGTCAGCCCCTATCCGGCGGGTTCTGCCAGGCACGAACTTGGGACCCTGGAACCCTGGAAGAACTGGTGAAGAAAGGCGAGAGATCGACATTCTTGGAGTGGAGGGGGTGTTTGGTGGACAGTGGGAGGTGGAGTTGGTGGAGTCGAGGCGAGCGGGAGATTAAGGTTGGACGCGTCCCTAACGTGCGCGCGACCCCGGTGCCCGAGCCCCGGAAGCGGATCAACGCCCGCCGTCCCGCGTGGAAGCTTCCGGTAGTGCCGACGCCCACACGCCCGTTCACAACGTCGCTCCAATTCCTCTTTTGTCGATTTTTTCTCCGTCACTTCGTCAATCCCATTTTCCTCCTTCCCACCGCCTGCCCTCTGCGGACAAACGAACCGAGCGGACGCGTTGGTGCCGGGAGTGCGCGCTCAACGGCGGCTTCACTCTTCACCGTCTCTCGGCCCGTCCTCCCACGTCTTCGACACCGCATGCAGCGGTAATTGAGATCGATCCGCCTAGCGGATCTGCCGGATCGAAGGAACATATTGCACAACAGTGCGCACATAAGCCTTAACACCAGATCATATTCAAGACGTCGTGGAGTAGTTTCTCGCATCCATCGCGACTCGATATGGCCCAGCATCGGCTTCCAACGACGTCGACATCGCTCCCCAATGCCAAACTGCGCATTTGATAGGCACCGTCGTCATGCGGTGTGCGGATTATCGCGTTCGGAAAAGAACTCGGCGTCTGTGTCCCGTTCGCTGAGTCGTGACCCGATTACCCAGCATCGTACCTCCACAAGCTCGGATGGCGTTCGAGTCTGTGGTGTTGATATCCCTTATCTCCATGGTGCTTTGTCCCTGCTCCCTTGGTGACGGGTTTATCCAATATCCGTTCTTACTCCACATTGCTGCAATGAGTAGGCCAAAGCACTGCCAAAGAAAGGGAAGGGGCTGCCGCTTTTGGCTTGGTAGCTTGGCCTGACTCGAGTACCGCCGAACATGCTAGCTCCGCGGACATTATTCCCAGAGACGTTTTGCTTCTTCCGAGTTGTTCATGCGGGCCCCTTTACACGAATGAGGTAACTGTGGAGCAGTTTTGTAGGCTTCAGATGCCTAGGACATGCAAGGTAACGCAAGGTCGAGTGACAGAGTGCTCAGTCAATGGCTGCTAACAAGAAGGAAAGGAAGACGGGAAAGGAAGTGACCGAAGAATCCGGAACGCAAGACATCTGTGAAGCAAAATTGCAGATGCTGACGACGGTCGGAGGCCTGACATTCTAGACTTACCATCAAGCAGTCGGACCTACAAATTTCGAAATTGGTTTGTCAAGGTGGTTGAAGCTTGTTGAGATGAGATTCTCTAGAACGCAAAGACATTGAGTTCTATCAAAGGAGGAAGACTTTGACGTAACAGTGAGGTCGCTATTCATTCACGATAGCGGGAACGTTCAGCTATAGATGCTATAAGGCTGTAGAGAGCTGAATCAACATTTACGCTCTATAAATAGGGCGAGCCAATCTGCAAAAGGGCAAGGATTCTGACGTGTGGCACGAAGAGACATGGTTCCGTGAACCGGGGTAACTCACAGGTGACGTGAATGGCTTGCCATGCGATTCAGTCAGATATGTAGCTAATACTTAAAGCTCTGCTTCTCTGCAACTTCGGACCGCAAAAGTACAACAGACGTATCCACTGTCCAGCAGTTATTAAGAACCTTTTATCAATTTGGACGCCTTTCAGTTCCAAACGCTAGACATGTACAAACTCGTGACCATCTAGATCATTTCCATAAAGCGAAACTGCCCGATCAACTCGTCCTCTGCAGAAGCGCGTGGTGCCTCTATTTCAATGAAGCCAGCCCAGATCCGTGGACCGCTCAAGTACGAGAGCTGTCATCATCAATCTCGTCTTCCTTGTCGTCTTCCTCCTTCTTCTTACTCTTATTCCTCTTCTTCTCAGACTTCCATGAATTCTTTACATCCAAGATAATCTTGTCCACTTCCTCTCCGGTTCCTTGCGATCTAAACTTATCCTGTAAGTAGTGATGGACGATCGAGCGCAACCAATGGTCCGTTCCCCTTTTTCGTATGAGATCATTTGCAACGGCCCTATCGAGTACGTTTGTCTCGTCCTCCAATGGAACCAACTCATATAAGTTTTTGAGGCTTTTCGTGTACTCGTCACGACGATGATCTAAGCTCTTGAGTTGTATTTCCCGGATGATATCGATGGGAAGATGAAAACCGATAGGGGGGGCAATCCCGTCATGATCCAGCGGCCTCTGTTACGAATCTTTCAGCAAGAGACAAATGAAACGCATATGCGGAGCGTACGTGAACAGCATAGGGCGTTTTCCCTGCGAACATAGTGGACCTGTAAAGGCGTCGCACCTGGAAATAGCCATTGTTTATTTTGGGTATGTAAATGTACCCTTCAGGAGGTTCCTTGCTAAAAACATGGACCTGGAGAGGGATGGTTTTCCATGTCAACAAAACCCAGGACTTGACGGAATTGGCGCTGATACCTCTTTGCTTGGCTCATAACAAGACCCCCTTATCCTTATCCTCTCCTTATCCTCTGCCTCCTTATCCATCCTCTTCTGCTCTCTCTTTGCCTTCCTTAGGTTCCTGCCCAGCTCTTTTATCACTACCTGCACCTTCCGCTCAGCATCCTTCTTCTTCTTCCAGTCCTCCGTCCACGGTCTTAGACTCTGATCTAAATCTTCTCGGTCTTTCGGGGCTGTTTCTTCGCCTGCATCTTCGACATGGACAGCTCGCTCTGTCGGGGCTGCTTGTTCGCCTGCATCTTCGACATGGACTGCCCGTCTTTGGGCAAAGGGGATTGAGATGGTGCACCGCAATTGACAGGGCCTCAGGCAAGGGCTCGTCCAAGCAAGAAGCCTAGACGCCATCATTGAGGAGGAAGCTTTCGTGAATCTTATGCGGCGCGGTGCAAAAAAGCCGAAACATGCGGTTGTCGCACAAGGCCGGGGGATCGCCAAGAAAGAAGCTATGGCTCGCTTACATAAGTACCCACGCCGCTACTTTAGCCGAGGGCCCGCCGCCCGGTACCCGGCTCTCCTCACGCAACATTTTTCTGCCCAGTCCCACCGCCGAGTGTCGCGTTCATTTGCTGGGTTGCCTGGCGTCCTGGCGTCGACCGTGACGTTCCAACTCCATCTCATCCCCGGCCATGCAGGGTCTCAAGAGAGCAGTTTCACCAGGCCAACCGCCTGACCCCAAGCGGGCCGCGGCCGTCACAAGGATACCCAAATCAATCAACGACTTGCCCGAGGAATTGCTCGATCAAATCTTCTCTTATCAGGCTGAAGACACAACTACATACCCATACCATGGCTGGAGGTGTCCATCCCGCGACAAAACAAACAAAAAGGCGCTGAAGAGCCTCTGTCAAGTTTCCAGAAAGATACGCCGGATAGCACAGCCGTTGCTATTCAACATGTTCGTCATCCAACACGGAACGAGCCAGGAGGATCTCCGCACGGTTGCGGCCCGGCCAGACCTTGCGGCCAAAATCGAGCAGCTCTTCTTCGGGGTTGATTCTGTGGCCTCCTACGTGATTGGCAACGATACCGTTTTTGATGAGACGGATCCCCTCCTCTTGGCTGCGAAGCAGGTGGATTTTGATGACCAAGAATGTTTTATCCGGGCCATCGGTAGACGGGATCCATGGGCGGAGATGGCACTGCTTGTGACTTTGACGCCCGGCCTACAAAAGCTTTGCATCAAAAGGCATGAGAACTGGTTAGTGCGGAATTCCTGGTTTTCCTTAACGTTGGAACGTGCTTCGAAATCGCCAGAGTCGACGCCCGGATCGCCGTTTTCAAAAGTTCGCCATCTTTGTTATAGATATGATGGACATAGCGAACCAGTGGCTGGCTTACCGTATAACCTCAACATAGCGTTTCCCAGCCTGCAGTCCTTAGAGTTAATTGCGGCTCACCGAGTTGAATTTAGGCAATGGCCAAAAAAGTCTTCGGACATTTCATCAATTTCCATAGTATTATCGGATTTGGACCAAAAGGTGGTCGGTAACATAATTTGCGGCTGCAAAGCCCTCAAAGAGTTCCGGTATTGCGAGAGAATATATACGGACATCAGTGTGCTCAAACTCCTGGATTACTTGCGCTCCCAGAGCAATTCGATCGAAGTGCTGGAATTCCAAGTTGTGGAACAGTATGACGAAATGAAGGGAGCTGGAAGTATTCCAGTAGGTTCACTCCAGCATTTCAGTCAACTCAAGCTACTGGAGATTACAGATAATCTACTCATAGGCAGACAAGTCCCTGGAGTAGCACCGGTCAAATTCGTCGATATCCTTCCGCATTCTTTCGAGCATCTAGTGATAATTCAAGCAGTAAACTTTCTAGAGCTAACCCTTTCTCTACTCAAAGACCTCGCCACTTCTGGTATAGAACGCTTTCCAGCTTTTCGAAAGGTCCTAGTTGCTCCTTGCACGGGTCTTCTGGAACCCAATTGTACTATAAATTCGTCTGTGGAGGCTGTCCAGGCGTCTATCGAAGAGATGCGCTCTTTGTCAGCTCAAAGAAACATCGATTTCGAAGTCCTCCTAATAGACACGGCAAAGTTGGCACCCAAAGTCAATCATAATGAAGAGTCGAACCGATCAACTGATAGTTAGTCTGCTTCAATTGTATTTTTTTTTTTTTTTTTTTTTTTTTTTTTTTTTGCTTGTATTGCTGTGAACTCGGTGGTACTATAATGCTAACCATATAATGTCTTTGATGCCCATTCCTAGACAATCTAAGCAACATCAATCGCAGGACGAATCTCATGAAGAAATCCAACCGTGTCAATTTCATTTGACAAGCTTCCCACGACCATGAACATTCCTCTGCCGCCAACACGAGGCCGCCCTTGCAATACTCGCACAGCCAGTCGCCGTCCGCGCAAAGCATTGGGCGCGACAAGTCGGCAAAAACAGGGATGCCTCCCCCCGACGCATGAGCTGCATACACGACCAGTCGACCGATCTCCTGCACCAGTAGTTAACTATTGACGCCGACAAGGGCAGCAGGCAACGATGCCTTGCTGGCCAACCAGCAGCGCGGCCCCTCGCAAAGCCCAGATGCGCTTAACCCGCTACAGTTACGCTGCGCTGCACATGAGGCTTGTCAGGGAGCGGATTGCCCTCCGAGGCCCGGCCTGGAGCGCACTGCTGCCTGCAAATGGGCACCTATGTACGCACGCTGCCGTACCTAACCCTCGCAAGCGCTTGCGCGTTTCGGGATCGAGTTTTTGCGCTGGCGCTTGACGTCTCGGATGGTTTTTTGCGCCAGTATGCTTGGCTATAGTTGCGGTGGTTCGATATATTCACGTGGGAGCGTCGTCTTTTTATATCTCGCAGAAAGAAACTTCTCTGTTTGTAAGGTTTCTTCTTTGCTTTGCTTGTTCACATGATGTTTGCAGGCGCTTTTTTCTTGTTGTGCTTGGTGGTGATGGGCGGTGTGGCCGCTCTTCCCAAAGCCCCAGATACTGCAGCACTGCTCAGCAAGCCGTCGGCCGATCTTGATGTTGCGGCGAGCCAGGTCGAGGCTTTGGCGAAGAATGCTCACGAGGCGGCTTTTGAGCAGTTGGAAGAATCGGGGCCGTTTCGTGCGGACACTTGCACGAAGGATAATGTTTCAGTTCGGAGAGAATGGTAAGCAAACTTGAAAATTGCACTCCTAATATCTTAACTCCAGAAGCCTCTGACTGAAACTAGGGGTGTTTTAAAAGACGAAGAAAAAAAAGAGTACATCAACGCTGTGCTCTGCCTCCAACGAAAGCCGGCAAACACGCCGCAAGCCCTTGCGCCGGGGGCAAAGACACGCTATGACGACTTTGTCGCCGTCCACATCAACCAAACCATGACTATTCATGAAACTGTAAGCTCAATTACATGTGTTTCGATGAACCTCAGACCTAACCAGAACAGGGAACGTTTCTCTCATGGCACAGATGGTTCACCTGGGCATACGAGCAAGCCCTGCGCAATGAATGCGGCTACACGGGAACCCAACCGTAAGCAACCAGTCGACGCGCACCAACCGCAAGAAACAAGCTCTAACCACCCCCTCCCCAACCAGGTACTGGGACTGGAGCCAAACAGCGCGAACCGGCTTCGCCGCCTCCCCCATATTTGACGGTAGCGCGGTGTCCCTGTCCGGCAACGGCGCACCCGTCCCCAACCAAGGGGAAGTGCTAGTCGGAGGGCCCGACACGACAGGGCTCGCACCGATCCGCCTCCCACCCGGCAGCGGAGGCGGCTGCGTGTACGCCGGCCCCTTCAGCAACATGAGCGTCAACCTCGGGCCCGCACTGCTGTTCCTACCGAACGGAAGCCACGTCTCGGCTTCCAACCCACTGGACTACAACGCGCGGTGCCTGCGACGGGACCTCACAGACGCAGTCTTGCGTGCAAACGCCAACGCCTCGTCCATCGCCACGCTCGTACTGGACTCCGGCGACATCCACAGCTTCCAGACCGCGATGCAGGGCGCGCCGGGGGCGAGCCTGGGCGTGCACGGCGGCGCGCACTACGCGCTGGGCGGCGATCCGGGGCGGGATTTTTTCGTGTCGCCCGGGGATCCGGCGTTCTTCTTGCATCATGCGATGGTGGATCGCGTGTGGTGGGTGTGGCAGATGCGGGGGCAGGGGGTGCGGCTGCCGCAGGTGGCGCAGACGGGGACGTTTTTGGATGTGCCCAAGTCGCGGAATACGTCGTTGGGGGATGCGGTCGATTTGGGGTTTGCGCTGGGGAGTATGGGGCTGCGAGAGCAGCTGATGAGGGTAGGGGATTTGGTGAGTACGGTTGGGGGTCCGTTTTGCTATGTTTATGAGTGATGTTGGGGGGAGAGTTGATGGGTGGGGGTTTGCTTTGAGGGGGTTGTGGGAAAGGGGAGGTTTACTGAGATGTTTTATTTTATAATGGGTATTCAATAATAAGCAGCAGTCAACAGCGAATACCCGAAACCACTCGCGAGATGTAGTTCCTTTCCCGCTTCATTCGATCGTTTCCATAGAGCTCCTAGTCGACATCATTATCATTTAGCTCAGGGACAACACCTGGTTGCTGTTCGAGTTACCTTTCTCTGACAAGTTTCGCCGTCTTTCTCAAAGCGTCCTACGCGGCGAACCCTCCTTGTACTCTTTCTCTAATTCAAAACGGGCGACTTTTGTTTGCTTGCTTGCATCATATCACGCCGGGACCATCACTTCAATAAAGCAGTCTGTCATATACCGTACTGTCTGTCCAACTAGAAAGGGCAAAAAAGTGAAGTCGCTACTTTACAGCAAGGCAGAAGGCAGAAGGCCGACAAAGGAAACTACGCGTGTCCAACCGACGCAAAGACACCCGCGTCTCCATCCCGTGCGTAAGCAAAGCCTTCTCAAAAGACTTTCCAACCCCGCAGCCGAACCAGCCTTGTATTATCACAAAAAGGCACCCAAAGACCGCTCGCACTGGCACCACAGTCCAGACCAGACTCGTACCCAAGTTGGCGGCGCATCCAAAGGATCAAACACCCACCGCACGTCCGCCTAACCCTCTTGGTCCAGCTGCCTCTCCAAACTCCCCAACAAATCCAGCTCCACCTCGCTCGCTTTGTCGTCCTGCTGCGCCAGCGGCGGGTTCGGCTCCAAGTCCTCCTTTTCCAGCGACTCCTTGGGCCCGTCCTTCGCGAGCGGCAGCTCCGGCGAGCTCGACCGGTCGCGCTTCGCCGGCACAACCGACGCCGGCTGCGGGTTGCTCAGCGACGTGGCCGGCCCCTCGGGCACCTCGGGCGCGGTCTCGGGCGGTGCCGTCGCGGTCTCGGTTTGCGCGGCGGCGGGGGCGTCGCCTTCTTGTGGCGGGGCGGTGGGGTCCTGCGATGTGGTGCGGTCGGGCAGGGGAGTTGGTGTGGCGGACGTCGCGCCCGCCGGTTCTGTCTTTGGTTCTGGCACGTCCTCAGGCGGCGGGGAGAGCTCGTCGTTGTCGCGGTCTTCGTCGTCGTCGTCACCGTCATCGCCGTCTTCCCCTTCTTCCGTCTCTTCGCCAGCATCTGCCATCGGAGTATCACCCGTGACCGGCGTACCCTCGATCTTGATGGGCGGATCGCCTGACTGTGTGGCGCCTTCCTGGCCAGACTCTCCATTGGCCGCGCCCTCGGCGCCGGGCTCGAACATGACCTTCTTCCTACCACGGCCGGGGCCCCTCTTCGGCTTTCTGCGTGGAGGCGGAGGCCTTCTCCTTGGGGGCGTTTGCTGGAGCAAGTCGCTGGCGACAACCACGCCCTGAGCGTTGACGACACCCAGACCCTCCACGACGGTGCCTGGCGTGGCCTCTGCCGGTGCAGCTTCCGCCATGGCCGCATCTTCTTCCACGACCTCGCCCTCTATGCTCTGACCCTCGGGCACCAACACCTTGAGGATCTGCACATTGCCGTCCGCATCTGCCCGTTTGACCTTGGTCTCCCTCACTGGTCCGGTGTGAGCGAGCGTGCCATTGGTGCCGATGATGCTGGAATACTGCGACGGCAAGCCTTTTCTGCGCTTGGCAAGATACTCTGGCTCCGGCTCCTCAAGATTTCGAGGGACTTGCGACCACTTCCGGGCCACAAATCCACGGTGTTGCTCTTTCGCCTCTTCGTCTTCTTCGCCCGGCTCCTTCTCCTCTTCCAGCGGCGGCGTCGGTGGTCTGTAGAGCCTTCCCGCTCGCGCAGCGCGAAGTAGCTGCTGACTGTGCTCGGGAAGTAGCTGTGAATCGCGCGGCATTGGCGGCTCGGGCCATGCATCCTTGGGCAAGGCCGGTTGAGCCTGGGGCACCGGGCCGATAACTGTGTCCGTCTGACGCCATTGCCGGACGGGCAGGCCCTCGAATACGTCGTGGTCGATCTGTCCACGGCCGGACCTGTTCGAGCGCCCGCTTGGACGAAACTAGGGAAGTACATACGTCAGCAACATATATCGCACCTCTGGGTGAATCGGATTCTGCCAAGCTTGGAAGACAACCATGGGGCTTCGGTCAGGCGCCGGAGTCTCGGTTGGCCTTCTCAGGTTCTCTCTGGCAGCGATTCTTCTCAGCTTCGGGACAGGTCTCTCCGCGGCAGTGTCCATGCTTTCTGGCGTGTCCGGTTCCCAAGGAACGTTCACTGTCGAGGGAGTGGAATACACGGCGGATCCATAATGCATGCCGTACGCGGGAGGAGTGCGCGTAGCGTGGCGGTGGTATATTTCTGATTCCGGTAAGAGTGACGGGTAGCCTCTGACTGGAGTGTACACGTCGTTGAAGTAATCCATGTCTGCTGCCGGTGATGGAGAGGGATAGTAGCCGTAACGACCTGGAAATCCCCACGGAACCATCTGGCCTGCAGTGTCTCCGTGGAAACGCAGAGGGTAAGGCAAGCCGTCATGGGTTAGAGACGGTCTGCGGCTGCTGGGATAGTGGTGCTGAGAAAGGCTTCGTGGGTGGAGAAACGCAACAGTGGTCTGGGCACTGTCTTGTCGCTCATGTAGCAGCAGTGAAGGTTCGTTGAGGCCGTGACTGTAGCGCCGCGGCATGTCCGATGGAGACTCAGACTCCTGGATGCGCACAGACGTCTCTCCAGACACGGTGAGTTGCGTCAAAAGTGCAGAAGTTCCGACATTGGTCGGACCCACGGTAGAACCAGACGGATGCGGGTAAATCGAGCCAGGGTTTCCATCTGATGCTTGGGACAAAGGTGGTAGTTCGCGAGACTCGACGGGAAAGGTCCAGGCGTTGGGGTAATCCATCGTTGCGAGTGGCCAAGGTGCGAGACAAAGACGGGCTTGTCAAGCGAGACAGTGACGTGAGAAGTTAAGATCAAGCGATTGAAAGTAAGGCAGCCGTAAGATGTTCCCAGAGTGCTTCAATACTACCGGCGTAGTCATCTTGTTCCCCAAGTCCGGGTTGAAGTGAAGTGAGGTGAGGGTAAGGGTGCATGAGAAGGGAAGGAAAGAAGAGAAGGCATATCTTACCGGAGCCATTGATGAGCGCGCGGCTCGCGACTGTTAAGGTGCCAGGGTCGAAGCAGGGCGACAAGTGGAAGGCGGTATGGTGGAGGGTGGTGGTTGCGGTTGCAGGCGTCAGGTGTCGGGTCGCGTCTGGGGAAAGTCGCGATTGCGATCTCAGCTGGAACGGGGGGCCGTGCACAAACACCCGCGGTTCAACCGGCCAGCTTGTTTTCCATCATGGCGGCGCAGGTGGATCGTAAGTGGGCTGGATGCCATTTCCTTGCACCTGATCAAAATGTACATAAAACGCGACAGAAACAATCAACAGACTTCTCATGGGATTACGCGCTTTGATGCAGGCGCTGTCTGTCTGATTGGATATGATACAATAACAGTCCGATGGAGAGATGAAACCCATGCTCCGACAAAGTGCCCCGATTGCCCTAAAATCACTGAAAACCATCTATTGCGCGGCCCGCGGCTTAATCCCAGCTGTAGGAACGTCAGCATGCAGTGTCTCAAGCCCGCGAAGACGAGAAACTTACCCAGTGTCCTTCTGTCTAACAACCCCGCCTTCGTTGCCCGTCTGCTTGCCCGTCTTGCCGCCCTCTACCACTAACCGGTCGAGCTGGAAGAACTGGCTGACGACGGTTTGCCTCTGTGAATAGCGTTAGCCCGATGTTCTCTTGTCGCGCGTCGGCCTGTAGCTGCTCCCCCATCTCGCGTCCCGCACTGGTGCATAGAACAATCTCTACGAGTGCTAATGCGTCCGACTTAGAACTGAGTCTTTCGGGGGCACAGCGTCAGGAACCCTGTCCGCACCGGGCGCTACTCCGCCTCCCACCCAAGACCAAGCGACAAGCGGAAAGACCCACCTTCAAGACCTGCAGCTCCTTCTGTCCCTTCTGTATCGCCTCCTGGATCGCGTGCTCATCGTTCAAGTGCTGGTTGTCACGGAAAGCGTCCTTGGTCCGGCGCAAGGCGTACTCGCGGAAGTTGTATGCGGCGAACTGGCGGCTTTGGCGGAGGAGCGAGCGGTACTGAAGGATGAGGGTCAGCTCCACGATCATTGGCATAAAGAAAAGACAGTGTTGATGCGGAGGAAGACAAGAGAGACGCTGTGCGCTTCGACGGCTCTTGCGCCTCGACATGGAAGTCTCGCGCCGGGGAACGGTGGAGGCGATGGAAATGAATGCGCGATGCGGGCGACAGAATGAGAGACCTACCAGTGACCGCGCCTGGAGCGCAGAGCTATCTGCGACTGCTGCCATGGCGAAATGTAAGTCGTCAGGAGGAGATGTCAAGGCGGAGAGGTGCTGTAGTGATTTGCTTCGTCTATGTCATCAAAAGACCGAGAGGCCGATGCAAATGGCAGAAAACGGTGCCGGACATAGCGGAGATAACCAATCAGCGACATCACGGACCGGCGGAGAAGATGTTTGATACTCAAATCGAAACCGCGGTACTTGACGTGTCTCATCGCGCTGGAAAAGTCGGAACCCTAATTCACTTGCCATCTGGATGAACCACTCTTAAAACCGTTGGAAGAGTCCCATCTTGCCATCTTCATTAAACCTCAAGAAGCCATGCAACCTCACTGCTTGTACTTTCAGTGAATCCGTCCGACTTCCTCGACGTGCAGATGAGACGCAGGTCCTGGCATCCCCCTAAAGTAATCTGTAGCGTTATCGAGGAAAAAGCTTTCAGGGAGTAGGACTTGATCTCCATGGCACCGTCGATTGTGTCCGCAGGTAGTGTCGGCGGTTGTGTCGTCCTGTCACCACTCGCAAGTTCGGAGGTGCACAGAGCGGACAGTCAGTGGATAATTACTACAGTCACAGGAGGAGATGTTGTTATTCATCTCCCCGCAATGAGGCGTGCTCCGTAAGAGCAAAGCACGTCGAGTCACTACGAATACAACCATTAACCAACATAATAGGAGCATGTAGATATGCTTGCGGTGCTTTCAGAACGATCCCCACAGGTCACTTCGTGGGTAGATTCGGAGGCTGCGCTTGTGGGTGGATGTGTTCCTCACGAGGGACATGTAGAGTATAACGACGTCTGCCCCTCCGACCGTTGTGCACTCCACGGCGGGATCCAAGCTCGGGCGGAGCGGAAGGCTTGGCATGAGAGCACGGGGGATTCACATGTTTCCTTCGGCTAGCCCTGGACATATTACATGGAACGGGCGACAGATGAGCGACTTATATTGCCAATGCAGCCATTGGAGCTTTTTACGGGCTAAGCTATGCAGCCTTCATGGTAATTGAGGCTTTATCGCTCCTGCGCTGGCTCGTATACGCGTCTACGCGAGCTTCTGGGTAATTGGAAGACATCATTCTACCATGCCACGGGCAGTAGCGCGACGTATGTATGTGCAATGGAATGTTGAGAAGCAATTCCTCCCTCGTGAGCTGTCGCGAGGCACAATGGGTGAATGGGTAGGTAGGTAGCATGGGCCGTCCCGCAGGCCGTCCAGCAGCGTTGTAGAAGCACTTTTTTTATTCTACACCACAATTCAGGGTCTCCGTTTGCGCTGAATCCTAGCGGGATCCTCTCTCAGCGCACATTGAGGTCCAGGCCTTGGTGCTTGAGCCGGGAGCTGAGGACACATTGCAAGGGTGATCGGAGTGATTTGCCCTGCGCTAGTCTCCTTTAGCCCCGCTCCCCTGGCTGAGAGCAACGCGCGATCCTCATCGGCGACACGAATCACCCATCACCTTGGGCCAAGTGTCTACTTCGCCTTTTCTTGTCTTTCCTTGATCCCCTTCAGCTTTAATTGACTCGGCTTCAACCTCACGGCGTGAAGCTCGCGTCCAGCTCTGCTGCCAAGCCCGGACCCGTAGCATGCCCGTTAGTGCCACTAGGCCCAGCTTCGAGCTCTGAGCACCCAAGACCACAACATCCTTCAACTGCCATCATGGCCTCAGAAAAGGCCTACCTCCGCCAGGACTCGGCGCCTGGTGCTCCCAGAGCGAAGTCTCCCGGACGCAGCTCCAAGTCCATTGCCAAGGCCCGCGACTACACCTCCGACGGCGTCAAGGACAATGATATTCTCAAGCTCCCCGGACGCGATTGGAGGCTCCTCGGCCTCCTCACCGTCGTTGCGGCCGTCGTGAGGCTCTTCCGCATCTACCAACCCAGCAGCGTCGTTTTCGACGAGGTCCAGTGAGTTCAGCCTCGGCACCACCGGCTCGCGCAAACAGCTACTAACAAGGCCTCGCAGCTTCGGTGGTTTCGCTTCCAAGTATATCAAGGGCCGGTTCTTCATGGACGTCCATCCTCCTCTCGCGAAGCTCCTCATAACTTTGGCTGGTTGGTTGGCTGGATTCGACGGCAACTTCGAATTCAAGAACATTGGCGATGACTACCTCGAGGCCAACGTCCCATATGTGGCCATGCGTCTCCTCCCCGCCGTTTTGGGAGTGCTGACCATTCCCACCATGTTCTTGACTCTCAAGGCGTACGGCTGCAAGACCAACATTGCGGCTCTGGGTGCCGGACTTGTCATCTTTGGTGGGTGCGCCGATGCGCCAATGGATTGCATATGCTAACAGATCTCAGAAAACGGTCTTCTCACCCAGTCCCGTCTGATTCTCCTCGACTCTCCTCTCGTCATCTGCACCGCTTTCACCGCCCTTGCCTGGACTTGCTTCACGAACCAGCACGAGCAAGGCCCCTCCAAGGCTTTCACGCCAAGCTGGTGGACCTGGCTCTCTCTTTCCGGCCTTGGACTTGGTGCCACTGCCAGCGTCAAGTGGGTCGGCTTGTTCACAATTGCTTGGGTGGGCAGCTTGACGATTCTTCAATTGTGGGTTCTTCTGGGAGACAACAAGAACGTCACGCCCCGCCTGTGGTTCAAGCACTTCTTCGCGCGCGTTTTCTGCTTGATTGTCATCCCCATCACCTTCTACATGGGCATGTTCGCCATTCACTTTATCTGCTTGGTCAACCCCGGCGACGGCGATGGCTTCATGTCCGCCGAGTTCCAGTCGACTCTGAACAACAAGGGCATGCAGTCGGTTGCGGCTGATGTTGTCTTTGGCAGCCGTGTGACTATCCGTCACTGGAACACCCAGGGCGGTTACCTCCACTCCCACGGTCACATGTACCCGACTGGAAGCAATCAGCAACAGATCACCCTCTACCCCCACAAGGACGAAAACAACGTCTTCCTCGTTGAGAACTCGACCCAGCCTGTTACCGCCGAAAACGTCACCATCCCCGGTCCTACGGCCTGGGATGGCATCAAGCCTGAGTTCGTCTACGATGGATCCATCATCAGGCTCTACCACGCTACCACCGACCGTCGCATTCACTCGCACGATGTCCGCGCTCCCATCACGGAGGCTGATTGGCAGAACGAAGTCTCGGCTTACGGCTACGAAGGATTTGAGGGTGACGCCAACGATCTTTTTAAGGTCGAAATTGTTCCTTCGTACTCCGATGGTACCCAGGCCAAGTCGCGTCTTCGTACGATCGAGTCCAAGTTCAAGCTCATCCACATCATGACCGGTTGCACGCTTTTCTCGCACAAGGTCAAGCTTCCCGATTGGGGCTTCGAGCAGCAGGAAGTGACTTGCGCCAGGGGCGGTACTCTTCCCAACAGCATCTGGTACATTGAGCAAAACGACCACCCGCAGTTTGGCGCCGAGACCGAAAAGGTCAACTACAAGAACCCCGGGTTCTTCGGCAAATTCTGGGAGCTCCAAAAGATCATGTGGAAGACCAACGCTGGTCTTACCGAGTCGCACGCTTGGGACTCTCGTCCTCCGTCCTGGCCTATTCTCCAGCGTGGTATCAACTTCTGGGGCAAGAACAGCCGCCAAATCTACCTCATGGGCAACCCCGTTATCTGGTGGACTTCCACTCTCGTCATCCTCGCCTACGTCGGTGTCAAGGGCCTTGCGGTCTTGAGATGGCAGCGTGGCTACAGCGACTACAGCCAGACCACCTTCAAGCGCTTCGACTACGAGGTTGGCATGACTGTTCTCGGCTGGGCTTTCCACTACTTCCCCTTCTACCTGATGCAGCGCCAGCTCTTCCTGCACCACTACCTTCCCGCTCTTTACTTTGCTATTATGGCCCTTTGCCAGTCCTACGATTTCGTCACCAACCGTTTCGCCGCTCTTCGCATCAGGGATCACCCCATGGTTGGGCAGACGGGTGCTGTCTTCTTCCTTGGTATCAGCATCTTTGTCTTCACTCTGTACGCTCCTCTTGCCTACGGCAACGCATGGACCAAGGACCAGTGCAAGGCTGTCAAGGTTTTCGAGAAGTGGGATTGGGACTGCAACAACTTCCACAACACCGTAAGTCAATCGTGTACATCTCTTGACCATAGTATTAACGTTGTGTAGTACGAGGAATACGGACCGGTCTACAACGGCATTGGCGCCTACGTCCCTTCCTCTGATGCCCCTTCGGCCCCGAAGTCTCAGGAGGCTCCTCCTCCGGTCCCTGTGCAACCGCAGGAACCAAGGGAGCCCAACGTCACTCCCAAGGCCGCTGCCGAAAACGCCCAGCACGTCGGCCGCCAGGAGAAGGTCGAGTACCGCGATGAGCACGGCAACATCCTCGACGAGGAACAGGTGCTGAGCGCAGCCGCCGAGGGCAAGGTCAGCTTCCAGACGCGGTACGAGACGCGCACGCGCCTCGTCGACGAGGAGGGCAACGAGATTCCCGGCGTCGATGTCCCCGAGGGCGTCGCGCCGCCGCACCCGGACGTCGAGGGCCAGAACCCGGAGACGGCCGAGGCGGCCGAAGGCGATGCCAGCGAGAAGCCGCCGGTTGTTTCGGCCAACGAGGACGAGACCAAGGAGGCCAGCGCCGAGGGCAAGGAGAAGAAGGGCGCGCCGCGTCCGGCTAGCGACGCCAAGGAGGCGACGAAGCAGTGATTGATTGATGGGGGTGGTGGCGGTGGAGGAATTACGATGGCAGACTTGCTTGTGTCGGCCGCCGCATGACGAGATAAAAAACCAAACTCCTTCGAGATAATTTTCTTTATTCCTTGTTGTTTCTTTATTGCTACTGTCGTAGGGTGTGTAGGATAGCGGGGACGCAACCAAGAGCGAGCTAGCGCGCGGTGCTGCGGCGTACTATACCTATCTTACTCTACACTGCTCGCGTTGTCGACTGATTGCCGCTTTGGTGTCTGCGTGCGCTGCATGGATTGATACGGGTGGTGATGCACGTGGTGTCGGCGCCCGGAAACGCTGCGTGGGCGATTGATGCATGGCTTTAAAATCTCAAGCGACGCACGTGCAGTGAGAGACAAGTTTGAACGTCGCCTGGATGCGACGCCCAACGAAGCCGTAGGGGAGAGAGGACGTTTTGAAAAGCTGATGTCTTCTGTGCTGGGAAGATGCATTGTTCCGGCAAAAGTCTTTCTGGAAGAGAGAGAGAGAGCATCGCGCTTACCGCCATCTAAGCATCTTATTCTCGCGGGGCGATGATGATGGCTGCTGACTTGTCATAGTGGTGACGGACATGAGGGCTCTGCGGTGCTGCTGCTCAGTGCTGCTTGGTGTTGGTGGTTGGTGGCGGGGGTGGGCGAGGGATGGGAGATCGTTGTTTTTCTCAATACTGGTGCTTCGTATACATCCGGGGTTTTGAATGTCTCTTTAGCCGCGGACGCAATACGCTTCATGGGCGACGAGGAAGCCATTGTAATGCGCGCTGGGATAAACGGTAGTGCTAATGTGGAAAGATAGCACGTCTTTGGGGAAATTTAGTTTTTATAATCACTCACCTAAGGGAAGAGCCTGCGGTTTGCAGTAGCCTACATGGTGGTTAACGTTAGCTCGTAAATTCGAACACTTCGTGCGTACTTGGAATATCCTTTGAAGTGGATGGGCAAGCCGGCAAGGTATGTGGCGGGTTTGTAATAGGTAGATTTCCTAGTTAAGTCTTTAATGATAGACTTGTGGGCTACGACGCGCTATATTCTCTACCTACGGGCCTGGTGCCGGGTACTGTCACTGATATGGGACCGAGAGTGATTGATGGGCGTTCAGTTGCTGGTGTATGTAGCTATGCGGAAGCGCGGATGATCGGGAGTCGAATTGCACAGCCCGTACGCTGAGCTCGAAGGATTTTCGTTTCAGTGAGTGGGTGATGGCTTTCGGCCGATGCTGGAAATTCGAAGACGAGGTGGTTGTGGTTGTGGTTGCTGGGTTATAGGTTGTGCTTTGGTCTGTTTGTGGGGCTGTATCTGGTTGTTGCGGTGCTGTTTCTATGAACATTCTTGACGATTACTAGAGTAACGTTCGTAACCGTTAAGGGGCATCTATTACCTACTGCCTAGCGAGATAGAGAAGAAAGTAAGCAGTCCCTACATAGTACTCCTTATCTAGCTATACCCCAAATTCCCAGGTTTACGTGAAGAGATCTTAGAGCACGCATACATAGTAAAATATCTTAACCGGATATCTGCTCCTACTCCGTACAATTATTACCTGGTAAGCCGATGAATCTCGCTTGATGGTGACAGACGCTACCCCTTGCAACAGTCATGCCTTTGTCTTTCTTGCAGTTCTCAACTATGGTAGCGTTTACGGATGAGAACGAAATCCACAAGCACTTCATCCTTCAAAGACAGTGGATCGCCGTCGCGCAATGTCTCAGTGATAAACGCGGTTTCCAACAGAACCATGTCTGACGCAATGTCTTCGTGGTTCTCGTCGTCTTCGTCGTCACTCTCTGCGTTCCAGTGACCAGTAATAAAGCCAAAGAGCTCTTTGACTTCGCCGTTGTCGATTTCGGCATTTTAGTTGTCATCTTCAACATCGTAGCCGCCAGCACTTCCTCCGTCAGCATCATCAGCATCGTCAACAGCATCCTAATCAGCGGTGGTAGCGCTTTCGTAAGAGCTATCGTTGTCGGCCACGTCCTCGTTCTTCTTCTCCATTAACAAGCTCTCTATCTCATATCCCAGATAATACAACGACTCTTTTTCTATCTTTATTCTCGGCTCGTCGAGGTCTTTGTCCCAGCAGAGCATTTCCCGCTCTTCCCTCGAGATTGGAGGTCAGTACACCCCAGCTGAGCAAAGCTATAAGCTCTACGATCTTAGAAATCGGACTCCGAGCGCAATGCGAGAGCGTCTTAGCCAGTATCTCCGGTATACTTACCATCTATACCACGCACGAGCACTTCTATGTCGTGACCATTAAGGTGAGCAGTATTCATAGGGGCAATGTCTTTTAGCTTTGTTTAATTAGTGTGAAGATAATCGCGCGCGGCTCCTCTGCGTAGACTGCAGTGAGTACGGAGTACAGTCCGTAAGTTCTTTGGCCTTCTTTCGCATCTGAGATATTACTCTGCGCAGTAATCAGGCTATGGCAGGCTTGGTAACGGCAGCCTCCCGCCGCTCTTTCAGAAAGATCTTAAACACAGGGTTTGCAGTGTCTTCTACGGCAAGTTCTATTCCGTCTGTGGAGAATGACCGACATTAGTGTCGATGCTGAAGTCTGCGAAAGTGTACTCATGCGGAGTGCGTGAACGAGCAGAAATTCGACAGGACACGCAGGATCGTTTATCTTGTGCGTCACAGGCCGCAAATAAAATACTCGTCCTCGTTCGTATCAGGCCTAAATGATATTTGTTTGATCAGAGCAGCTCTGAGCGTCATCGGATTTACTTGTGGCTCTCAACCAACCGAAGCCTTATAGATACGGTCACAACAATATCAACAAACCTGTCCTTGCCTGGTGGCAACTAAAAGATGATGTCAGACCACATTCGTGCCTCCATCCCAGTGTAGCCTTCGACGCTGTCACATCACCACTGCGGCCCTGAGAGCCATCACCAGATTAAAATTCGTTGATTTCATAATAGTCGCATCCCTTAACTTTAAACCATTAATCAACGCGTCTTTGGGCCATTTGCTTGCCATAGTCTAACTCGTTTAGATCCCTAAGAAAGCTTTCTCTCTGAATCGCACAGCAATGATCATGCTTTCGTTGATTATATTGTTAACGAGAGACCGAGTTCTCAGTTTGTGATGCTCTCTCAGCTGGGTGTCTTCGTGGATTTCAGTCAGAGCATAGTGTAGGTATTTCACACCGTTTGTGATGGATGTTTCGACACTGACTTTATTATGATTTCCGTTGCAGTTAATGGTTATTGGTTCTTCACCGTTTAGAGAGATAAGCAATAATACAAGCAGTCCCTACAGGTTACTCTTTATATAGCTATAAGCTCCCGCTTACGACACCAGCAAGACGGTCTTTAAACGAATACATACTATAAACACTTTAAGCAGATTTTGCTTCCCCTATATGCAAACATGATTATCTCATTTCGTGATAAATCTCGCTTAACGGTGAAGAGTATTATAAATCTAGAAAGGTACGAAAGCATTCTAGACGTTACAGTAATCCATCTCTTTAAAACTACCAACACGTCCAAGAAAGTACAAAGGCCACAAACACACAAAGAAACAAAGCAATCAACGCGGTCCATAAGCACAATTACGTCACGGCACAACGCACCTCTACACACAAAAGCGTAGATATTTCGTAACAAGTTCACAACAACTTCGCGCCGACAAGGCGAGAGAAGAGCGCGAGCCCGACGGAGCAGCCGAGCTGAAGGCACAGTCCTACTGTCCAACACAAAACCACTGAACACGAACGAGTGATGAGCGCTTTCAGTGTGACTGAACGCATACCGAATGAGCGGTTACTTAGCACCCCAGCCCGCTATAAGAGCGCAGCGACGATACCAGAGTAGCTACGCGCGGCCGGGAATAGCGTCTTCCGCTATACCTAGCGGAGTTCAAAAAGCAGGTATCAAATAGTACCAACAGCCTCCTACACCACAAATCATCAACACTGCCACCAAGGCAGACTTAATCATATAAAGCTACAAGGTCTACAACACTCTAAGGACAGGAACAGACTCGTCAAAAGACTTAGATATAGGGGACGTTGTGCGTTCGTGTAGTTATTTGGTGTCGTGTAGTGTGTGGGTTGTGGTTTGTGGTGTGGGTATGTGTCTTAGGGATAAGTAGCTTATCCGCCCACACCACACCAGCCCTCCTCGCTCCTAGCGCACCAGTCAGCACTCAGCAGGACAAGCAGATTATTGACAGAAAACAGCCTACACCGCCGGGGCAGACGCACAGCACACACCCCTTCCCCCACCCTTTCTTTTCCCTTCAGGTCCCTTTCCTCCGCTTACCCCTCCCTCTCTAGTGCCTTATTCTAGTGACACTCAGCAGCACTCCTTTCCAGCGATACTCGGCAGCAGCAGCCCCCAGCTTGCGCACCAACACCGCCACCAAACGCAAACGCAAACATGCAGTCAACCCTGGTCCTTTGTAGGAATGCCTTCTATTCTGTTCGTTTTGTTTTGTGTGGGATAACTACGGTCTGTCTCGTGGAGGGGGCCCCGTGTTTGTTGCTGTGTGTGTATGAAGGAGTAGGGGTGTGAAAGAGTAAGAGGGAGGAGAGGGGAGAGCGAGTGAAGGGCTAAGCATGTACGTGATGCTGCTGACCACTACCTCCTTGTGCTGGTGGAGCTCAGCTCCCGTTAATGCTGGCGTGGGATGCCACCACCCATGCATCATGTATGACAGGGTATGCCGCGTGCGATTGGGAGTGGTTCTGGGTATTTGGAAATGTAGAAGGTGCTTTACGAGTAGCTGACAGCCCCCTTTTACCTAGGTAAGCTTGTAATCGTTTTCTCGTAAACTTTTGGAATTTCAGATATTCACTGGCGTGCTCGGGGCTGGATGCCCGTGGAAACTGGATACTGGATGGAGAGGGGGGTTTTTATACTGTACCGTGGCCTGGGGATACGATGGATGCGGTGGATGGATGCTGTATGTATACAGTGCTGGCATGTCTCATACGTTAGGTACGTCTATTCTAGTCTCTACAAACCCCACCCACTTACTCTAAAACCCGCCCTTACCACCCCAGCCCTCCCTCCCCAGCGCCAACTCCACCGCCTCCCCCACGCCCTTGACACACTCGCGCGGAACACAACTCGGCGTCTCACCCTCACGATAGACGCCCGACTGCACCAGGACGGAGAACCAGTCGGTCCCGAGCGGGGAGGCGTAGTCGTTTGCGCCGCGGATGTCGCTTTCCGGGTTATCGCCTACCATGTAGACGCGCTTTAGTGGCTCCACCCCCACTTCTGCTCCTTCTGACTGCGTAGACTGCGTAGACTTTGCCCGCGCAGCCAACATCTCGCCCAGCCTTTCCTCAGCAAACTTATACGTCTCCCGCCCCGGTTTCCCAAACACCTTCCTTTGCAACGGCACCGCCGTCCCACACGCCCCCCGCGTCACATGTTCCCAGACGCCCTCGAGCGCAGCGCGGAAGCCGCCCTGGCCGAGCCGAGGAAGCGCATGCTTCGCGGCCCACCAGAGGTCCGGGTTCGAGAAAAAGAGAGGGGGCTGGCCGTCGGCTTGGAAGTTACCTTCTTTGTTGAGCGGGGAGAGGGTTTGCCACTCGCCGTTGCGGGAGAGCAGCAGGTCGACGATGAGGGCTGTGTCGAGGCCCCAGTCGCGGGGGTCTGCGTACACGAAGATGGCGTCGACCTTGAGCTTGCCTGGTGGGAGCGGGCGCGCGAATTGCTCGTAATACCCCGCCCAATGCTTACTAAAGGGCCACAGACTGGGGTCACTAGCCCAGACATCCGCGGGCGTAACGACGTGTTTATACCCATACATTTCCGCGACACCTCTACAGCTATCGCCGTCCCCGCCCACCACCAGCACCGTCTTGTCCTTGTATGCGTCCATGCGCGCAAACGGCGTGTGGCTCTGCACGAACTGGTCGAGGTGGATGGGGACGCCGAGTTTATCGCTGAGCTCGGCGACGCGCGCCGACTCGTGGGTGCCGCCGCCGTTGGTGAGGAGGATGAAGGGGATGGATTGGGTGCGGAGGTAGCGGAGTGTGGCGCTGGCGCGCGGGAGGGGTGTTGAGGAGCGCAGGAGCACGCCGTCGATGTCGAAGGCGAAGCCGAAGGTTGGTTTGGGGGTGGGTTGCTGCGGCGCTGAGGAGGCGGTTTGGAGGTGGCGCCGGCGGGGGAACGCGGGCGTTGCGGTGGTTGCGGTGCGTAGGCTTGGTGGGTGTGGGCGGAGGATGGGGCGCGCGAGGTGCCGTGCTAGGAGGGATGGCGCTGTTGCTGCTGCTGCTGCTGCTGTTGCTGTTGTGGCCATTGTGTGTGTGTGTGTGTGTGTGGGTGTGGATGGGGATGGGTGGTTGGTGTTGTGTTTACAGTTTGGCTTGCCCGGGCGGCGCAGATGCAGATGACGCACTTCGTATTTGCTGGCGGGGGTGGGGCAGCCGAGTTGATTTACATACCCGCCGCTCTCCTCTCACTCGCCCGCACACTCCAACCAACTCTCTCCTCATCAATTCAGTGAATACGAATCAATTCCCGTCTTGCGACACACTCTACTAAACCACAGAAAAAGAAAACAAAGGCAAAAAAAAAAAAAGCAACAAAGTACCTCCGCACTCAATACGCACACCCCGCCTCATCCCAAACCACGCTCGTGGGCTGCCCGACCAGCATACGCGCCACCGCCTCGCCAATCCTCCCCGTCCGGACGTCGCGCTTCCACACAACGACGCGATCGCTGTCCTGCAGCGCGACAGCGACGCGGTCGCCCTTGGCATTAAGCTGGAAGTGGCGGGGGGTGCGGCCGCCGGCGGGCGACAGCGCCGCGAAGGCCAGGGTGCCGTTGGGGCTGATGGCGAACGTGGCGAGCGAGTCCGACGGCTCGGCCGTGCTGTTCGCCGGGTTGGGGTTTGGTAGCGAGAAGGACGTGTCGTTGCGGTTGGAGACGAGCAGGAAGCGCTTGTCGGGCTGTGCGGGTGCGTTAGTGTGCGCTCGCTCTGTTGGCTACCTAGGTAGGTGCCTGTGTGGGTGTGCGAGAAGATGATGGATCAACTTACAGTCACGGCGATTTCGGCGGCCTGCGCGCCCGTGGGCACCGGTTCCGTCCCAAACGAAGGCGTGCGGTACACCTCCCTGAAGCTCATGCCGCCGTTGGGCGGATACGAGACAGCGTACGAGACGACGGTATTGGTCAACTCGGTAACGACAAACATGTACGTGGTGCTGTTAGCCGGCCCCTCGGTCAAGAAAGCGACGTGCCTGGGCCCCTCGCCAGGCGCCATCTTCAGCGATTCCCGCTGCGCGAGGAAACCTTTGTCCGCGGCAGAGAAGCCCAGCACGCGCACCAAGTCAGCGCCCAGATCGGGCACGAGCAGGTACCGCCCCGAGGGGTCGAGGACGGCCTCGTGCTCGTGCGGCGCGTCCTGGCGGCTAGCGATGGGGCCGGGCGCCGCCATGGTGAAGGCAATCTGCTGGGTAGGCGCGAGGGTGGCGTTGTCGGGGGCCGACCAGGCGGAGACGGCGCTGCCGCTGTAGTGGGCAGCGGCGAGGGAGCGGTGGCCGGGGGGGCCGTAGAGGGCGGCGCTGACGGGGCCGGTGATGCTGGCGAAGTGGCTGATGGGCGTGAGGGTGCCGTCGCGGGCGACGCGGTAGGAGTTCAGCGAGCCGTTGGGGGTGCTGAGGCCTTCGTCGAGGCAGTAGAGGATGCGGCGGGCGGGGTCGAGCGTCAGCCATGAGGGGCTGGCGCCGCAGTTGCGGTCGGTGTGCTGGGCCGTGAGGGTCGTGATCGTGCCGTTGTCGCTGGAGCAGCTGAGCCCGTACGTCGTCACGGTGCCCGTGTACGAGGTGACGAAGAGGTTGGAGGCGAGGCTGCTGCTCGCGGCGGCCGTGGCAGCCAGGATGTGCTGCCAGTGCACCATGGTGGTTGTATGTGATCCGTAAGAGAGTGGTAATCCGTAGTATGTAGCAGACTGCAAAAGCGCAGCGCAGCAGCCGTCGAGATCGTCTTAAGTGAAGTGAATGACAGCAGTTTCACCCGTCGCCGTCACCGCCGCGTACAGGTACCACGAAGGAGCGCGAACGAAGGAGAGCGAAGGAGCAAACACAAACAAGCACAAGCAAGCCAGGCGTTTCAGCAGCGCCAAACCCAGCGCCGCCCACCCAACCAATTTATACTCGGTACTCGGCGCGAAACCGCCCAACCCAACCCCGCGCCGCACCGTGGTGGCCCGCACCGTGATGGGCTGCAGGTGCAGGGGTGCGCGATGGCGCGGGTGCTTAAGGGCTTGGCTGCGGGCGTGGTGCACGATCGTACATAGGTAGCTATTTGTTGCTTGTGGCACTCTGAAGGTACACTCTCACTCTCACTCTCCCTTACTCTCACTCCCACACACTCTCTCTCTACCTCACTCTCTCTCCCATTTACTCTCCCTCTCTCCCTCTCTCACCTACCAGCCATATAGTCATGTACATACCCTCGCGCGTTTCGCATAAACACCCACCCACCCGCCACGCCCGCGCCGACGGAATCCCGGCACACGGTCCGGCCGGGGCCCCGCGCCTGATTGGGCCTTGTGTAGAGAGTATGTACTCGCTTAGGTTAGTTGATTGCCCGCTCGCGTGGCTCGCTTGTGGAGCCACCACCACCCTGCCACCCGGACGGCCTGGCGGACGGGCCGGTGAAAATTGATTGCGAATTTGGGGATGGATTGGGGGACGCGAGTTGCGAGGTGGGGTGAGCGCGCGCGTGGGGCGTGGAGCGTGGGGCGTGGGGGATACGGCCGTAGTGACGGGGTTGCAGGGTGGGTTTGCGCGTGGTTTTTTCATTTTCGTTTCCTTGGTCTTGGTCTTGGTTTCGCGATCGTGCCTTGATTTTGTCGCTCATGATGTGAGGAACTGGTGAGTGGGTGGGTGCGGCTATTACCTACCGCGCGTATGGGCATGGATAGGCATCGAGGTGACGCACGAGATGGAGGTACAGATAGCAAGGTCGCTGTACCGGGCAGCTGCTTGACGCGTTTCGCCAAAACTCAAAAGCCCTCTCCTTCTTGCACAGTCAGGTTCTGCGCACGCGACAAGGCCGGCGCGCCGGGCTGGGTGTGTCGGCGTCGGCGAGGAGATTGCCGCGCCAAAGGTTGAGTAAGAGTGTGGGGAGCGGAGACGCGCGGAGCGGAGTGGAGTGGAGTGGAGTGGAGCTGCGATGACGGAGTATGGGGACCGGGTAATTTGGGTTTATACATACACCGTAGCTGTCCGTGCGAGGCTCGGTGGTGCGCGAATTAGCCGGAGACGAGATGGGCTTGATGAGGGATTTCGGTGCTAGTGTAAGAGCTTGGGATTTTTGTTTTTGAATTTGGTTGGGCCACGGATAATTGATAATTTTGCTCGTCTTTTGGACTGGTTTGCTGGCCGTGTTAGGTGAAGGCTGCGGTACCTATGGAAGATTCCTTGGGGAGCTGTAGTAGACTGTAACGCTACGGTTGGTAGTTGTCAAGTGGGTATATAAAGGTGACACGATATTAGGTATAAGTGATTTAAAGGGATATAAAGGTATGAGCATGTAAGAGTGTGTAGGTATGTCGTAAGGGTATAGTATGGGAAGATTTAAAGGTGCAAGAGTAGTTTTGGGGATATAAAGACACGAGTTATCAATGGCTAAGGAGCAAGTCATACTTTTACCGGTATGACATCACATCGACACAGCTCAGCTTCACTGGGTATACGGGTCGAGCGGAGCCAAGCCGTGCCGCATTAATATCGATGGCGTAAGAGCAAGAGCTCAAGAGGTGTGTGTGTGTGGAGTGGCAGTGAATTCAAGCTCGGAGTGACTTCAAGATATACACTTACACGCACCAACACCCCACTCTCACGCCGCCACCACCCGCCTCCACACCTGTCCGAAGCTCTCGCCCTCATCCATCCAAATGCTCTCCGCTCTACGCGCGTAGCGTGCTCAAGCGCCAGACTCCCGCCTCCCGCCTCCCGCCACGATATCGATGGCCCATCTTGCGCTGCGTGCGAGTCTTTCCCCCGGGAATTCACGTTCAAGTCTGTAGTCACAGTGTCACTCTCGACGAAGTGGAAGCCGGCCCGAGCGGCACGCGGATCTGGAGACACGGCACCGCCACCCCGTGTCGTTGAGCGCCTGATGCGGCGTGTTGCGGAACGGCATGATAAGAGTTGGTGTTTAAGGGCCGGAGGGGGGTTTGGGCCTTACTGGCGGTGTCTGCGGTGGTGGTGCTGGACCAGGCTTGGATGGTGCTTGGATGGGGCTTTTGGAGTGAGTTGTCTTCGAGGTCTTCACTTTTCTTGATGATGCGTTAACGGGTCTTGACGAATTTTGCAGGTGGATTTATCTTTAGGGGCCGTGAAGGCTTGAGGGGAGGTCTTCGTCTCTTGGTCTCTAACCCTCTACCTACCTATCCTTTCAGCCTCTCATTTTCCAGTCCCTCAACCGCCCCGTCTCTCAACCTTCTTGACTTTCAACCTCCTCGTCCCTCAACTTCTCGTCTTCTAGCTTTGTCGTTTCTAAACCTCGTCGACCCTCAGCCTCGCCGTCCCTAACCTCGCCGTCTACCAGCCTCGGCGTCTCTGAACCTTGTTGTCTCTCAACCTTCCTGCCTCTCAACCTTGCTGCCTCTCAAACTCGGCTATAGTCTACCAAGATGATCTGCCTTGATTATCAGTGCTGATTGTGAGAGGCCACGCCAGCTCTTCAGGACAGAAAGAGGTCGGCCCGACACGACAAGAGCTTTTTGGTTGGACTTACGGGACAGAACAGCTTCACTTTAAAGAGCTTGAGTTCCTAATACTAGGTCGTCACGGCAAGAAGCAAAATTCATGGGTGCCGCTTCTTCATGACAGGACAACCTCACTTCGAAAAGATAGAGGCTCTTCCATTCCGGTTTGCCAGGGCAGAGCATATTTGAAGAGACAGCCTTTCAGCACCGCTTCTTCATGACAAACAGCAATCAGTAATCTCGCGGACATGACCAGAGCTTCTGGCTATAGTCTCTTCACGACAGGGCTATCCGTCGAGACAGTATCCTGCAGCAGAAATTGGCACCGCGGCCGCGTACAAAATTTTCCATCCGCACCAGGCTACTAGATTTCAAATCCTTATTTTTTTGGTTATCTCACCACCAGCTTCTTGGAGGCACTACATCCGCCGGCGCCTACACGCCTTTTCTTCCACTTCCAAAAGGTAATCATCTCCCCAAGCTTCACTCTTGGATCTCTAAAATGGACCTGCCGTCTTGTGGCTAATGCTGCCTACCAGGGTTCTTTCCAGTTCTCCCGTCAAATCTACCACTTCACCATAGCCAGCGGGCTATACGAGCAACCATCCTGACTCCTAACCAATCACCAGCCTCCACCCGTCACCGCCCCTCTTTGCCGCCACCCATGAGGCAGGCACCCCCAAGGGCTCTTTCCTATTTCTTTTCTTCTACCCTACTTACTTATACTTATTCTACTAATAAAACAACAATTTTATCTGCACCTTCTAATTTAGACTCCCACATCTTCACCGCCCCCTCCCGACACCAACCAAGAAGGCAACTATCCCCTAGGGCCCCTTCCCTTCTTTTAATCCTCGGCCGCTTGCTCATGGCTAGGATTCTGCTATATAAATAGCCTTCTTACCCTCTTCCCCCTCTCCTCCTCTTCCTCAACCCTCCACCACACCTCCGCCCCGCCTCCACTACACCACCACCACACCCCCATCCTCCACAGCCGGCAGCGCGGCCCAAAGGGGCCATGGAGGACGATGATGAATTCTGGGTCGTTGACCCATCGCTGAGGGAGCAGCTGGCTATTGAGCGCGAGAGATACTGCGAAAGACGTAAGCTTCATTCATTTATTCTTTCGCCGCTTTTTGTTCTTTCGTCACTGTTATTCTTTCGCCGCTGTTTACTCTTTCGCCGCTGTTTACTCTTTCGCCGCTGTTTGTTCTTTCGCTACTGGTTTCCCTTCGCTACTGTTGTTATTTCATCACTGTTGTTCTTTCGTCACTGTTAATTCGATCGTTTAGAACGATTAGAATCAGAGTCGAACGATTCACAATCAAGCCAAGATTCCCAAAGCTCTGCGAAATCCCGCCGTGGCATCCCCGGAAAAGACCTACGACTGCGGAAGCTGAGTTTTCTTTGCATGGAGAAGCGCTTCAGAGGGCGCTTGCAACGAGAAGTTGAAAGAGTGCTCCGAAAGACACCGGAACGAACTCCTGGCGAGTGTTGGTCAATTCCAAGGCGAGCGAAATCCTACGAACGACTTGAAATGGCTTTCAGATGGTGGGATGCGGATGCGCTCGCTGGAGACAATGAGCAAAAAGCCATTACTATTCAGTTCGGCTTCGCTGCCCTCCTGGTCAACAATCGGATGACGCTCTCTCAAATGAGAGGGTGGTTGGACCACGGCTATCATCTCTCGCATCTATGTGGCAATGAACGTTGCTGCAATGCGCATCATTTCACTGTTGAGCCCGGCTCAGTCAATCTGAAAAGACGAAGCTGTCACAGCAACTGTCTGAAATGGAGAAGATGCAAGCACGAGCCAAGGTGCATTGCAAGGCCTTGTGCTGCTGAATGTCCTTGCAGAACGCAGAAGACGTTGACCTCTGACGACAGCGGCACAATAACATTGACTGCGTCATCGCTGCAGTCAGTCACATCTCCGAATGCTTCCGTCGACAGCCAAGAGTATCCGAGCTCGTTGCGTCAGAGATTGTTGCGCCTGGAAGAGCGAAAACAACAGCTTGAGCAGTCAGAATCTGCTCATTCAGAGCATTCACCGGCTGTCGATCCAACCATAGAGCAGTCCAATTCGCTCGTTCGCGCTACTGAAGATGACGGAAATAATCACGATATCCGCCCTTTCAGTGGCAGCTTTCGGTATTTCTCTCGGTTCTGAATGAACATGGTTCATTTACTGCAGCTGGACGACAAATTCTTCTTTCCCCCTCTCCCCTTTTGCGGTTTTCATCATTCAAAGCTTTCAATCACTTTTCAGAAAAGTTTTCACTAGGCATTTCATAGTTCTCTGGCGGTTAGGATCTTCTTTCAAAACATCACGGAGTCAATTCACTCCCAATTTCCTTCATATAAATTTCCTTAATTGCATGAAAATCAAAACTTTCACTCAAAGATACAGAGGACCTCTTCACTCGCTTCTGGAAGCCAGACCTGGAGGGTCGTTTAGGTACGAAATGGGCCTCTCGCAACTCAGTGGGAGCTTGAAAAGTCCTCCTAGAGCGTGCAGCAACTGGTGCGTGTTCGCGGACTGTTCATCACGCTGTAGCGCTCTTTAAGCACGTCCTCCGCTGCTCCACGAACAGAAGTAAGACACCAGCTATTGTAAAGTTAAACAACTATATTAGGTATGCTATATACGACCTTGTAGATAACTTCTACTACGTTAGTAGTATTATCCTTCTTTACCGTTAAGCATGACTTACTACCTAAGAAGATAACAATACTTATACGGAGTAAAAGCGGAATATAGCTTAGATAATTATAGTATATATACGTTCTAAAATCCTTTCACTTATTGTCTAGGACTAAGGCTTTCAGCCCGAGAAGAAATACACAATAGAGACTACTTATATCTATAACTATCTCGTTTAAAAAGTGAAATCTAGTTACATAAATATAGTATTGTCAGCCAGTATCACTCTAACAACGCACAGCTTCAACCCTACGGTTAGTTGTTACACAATAAACTGACTCCCTTACACCACACGTTCTTCTACTGCAAGGAATTAAGGATCTCAACAAGAAACGTGTTCTTTTAGATAGCAGCATATATACCTCTATAGGTAGCAGTAATCTAGGAGGACAAGCGGCGTCCAATTCCTCGCGCCCAGCTTCACAAGTATATATACATTCGTAGACCCTTTTGTTTATATTTAGAAGTCGTGCTTATATCTAGATAAAAATTGTTTCATAGAGAATAGTTATATCCATATCTATCTCGCTAGAAAGGCGAAATCTGGTTTGGATAATTTAAGTATCTGTATGCTCTAGGTACGTTTCATTCATGTCTAGAACTCAGGCTCTTAGTTAGACGAGAATCATCCCATAGGGACTGCTTGTATCTATACCCGTCTGGCTACAGTGTGGATCCAGCTTGACGGTGACGGACGCTACCACGTATACCTTGATGTCGTCGTCCGGAGCACGGCGTCATCGACCACCAACTCCAGCCAAGCTCAGGGCTTCGCATAAGCCAGCGTCGCCCAGAAAAAACCAAGTAACGCGCGATCGGAAAAATGTAGTACGCAGGCGCCACCAAAAAGCCATACAAATACGAGCCCAGACCGCCATTGGGCAGCACTGAAGGCGCATCTCGTGTCCGAGCTCACGCCACGTGCGACAGAATGCAACATCGAGAAGTCAGACGAATCAGCTACAGGGGGGGCGCAGCAAATCAGGCACGCCAGGACAGCTTCCCCGGATCTGCTGTTCGTGGAGAAAATATCGGGGCCACCCCGCGCTGCGGGGTGCGCACCGGGTAATGAGCGGCGGCTAAGCCCTAAGGCCGGGTAATCAAACGCGTCTGCGGAGAACAGATCCTTTGGACGCGGCGAAGCGCCCAGTTACAGTGCCCGCTAGCCATGTACCCCAGCGGGCGACAAGCTTCAAGCAGCTAGAGCCCCGTTGCTTGGGTCCCCAGTGTTGCTTTCCCCGGGTTTGATGCTCTGTACCGTTGCAGCCGGGTCAATGGCGCGCGAGAAAAGCCCAAGCCACCGGGATATTTTCTTCTTCATGTGTAAGACAGCGGCTTGCGCCGCAATACAATTGTTTATATGCCAGTTGGGCCCTGCTGCTGCGGACTCTGACCGCGCGTTACTTACTTCCTCTTCTGCGAACGGATTTTGGTCGTTTGAGGCCAAGTCGCAATCATGAAGGTCCCAAAGACGTACAACACCTACTTCCTCGCGATCATCGCGACGATAGGTGGTATGCTGTGAGTACTGGCCGCCTTCGGTTTGGTAGCCGTTCACTGATCGCTGTTAGCTTCGGTTTCGATATTTCGTCCATGTCCGCCATCATCGGAACCGATCAGTATCTCGATTACTTCGACAACCCTCACGGCGTTACCCAAGGTGGTATCAATTCAGCCCTTGCTGCCGGTTCCGTAGTGGGCTCGCTCATCTCTGGTTTCATCTCCGACAAGTGGGGGCGTAGAGGCGCGATCTTCTTCGCGTGTTTGTGGTGGTTGGTCGGCACTGCGATCCAGGTCGCTACCAACGGTGTTGGCATGCTGATTGCTGGTCGCGTCATCAACGGTGTTTGCGTCGGTATCACCTCCTCGCAGGTACCCGTGTACCTTGCCGAAATTGCCAGACACGACAAACGCGGCCAGCTCATCATCATCCAGCAGCTGGCCATTGAGTGGGGTATCCTGATCATGTACTTTGCTGGCTATGGATGCAGCTTCATTGACGGCACCGCGTCTTTCCGCACGGCCTGGGGCATTCAGTTTATTCCTTGTGTCTTTTTGATGGTCGGTCTCCCGTTCTTGCCAGAGTAAGTGGTGTCCGCTCCCGATACCCAAAATTTGATATCTGACAATAACCACAGATCCCCTCGATGGTTTGCAAAGGTCGACCGCACCGAAGAAGCTATCCATACTCTCGCAAAGATCCAGGCTGGTGGCAGAACCGACGATCCTCTCGTGCTTGCCGAATTCCAGGAAATTATGACGGTTTTGGCCGCCGAGCGGGCCTCACAAAGCGGCTGGAAAAAATTTATCTACAAGGGCATGTGGAAGCGTACCATGGCTGGATTCAGTGTCCAAGCTTGGCAACAGATGTCAGGTAATGCTAGGAAATCCCCGCTCCTTCCCCTTTCAACCAATTTCCAAAATATTTCCCCACACCCTCCCTCCGACCCAAACACCCCTCCCCAGTCATTCTGCATGATATTTCTCTTAAGATAGAGCTGATTTACGCCCCTAGGCGCCAATGTCATGACATATTACGTAAGCGCGTAAATAACCGTAATATTGACACTTAACATTGGCTGATGTAATTTTAGATCGTTTACGTCTTCAAGATGGCTGACCTGAGCGGAAACGTCAACCTTATCGCGTCAGGAATCCAATACGCGCTCTTCATCATCTTTACTACCATCATGTTCTTCTACGTCGACAAGGTGGGGCGGCGGCAGCTGCTGGTATGGGGCGCCATCGCGATGTCGTTCTGTCACTTCGTGGTCGGCGGCGTATTAGGCGCCCACTACACATACGTGCCCGACGGCGTAGACGGCGACCTCAACGTCGTGATGAAAGTGAAGGGCGCGCCGGCCCACACTGTCATCGCGTTCTCCTACCTGCTCGTCATCGTGTACGCCCTGACGCTGGCGCCGGTCTGCTGGATCTACGCCGCGGAAGTATGGTCTCTCGAGACGCGTGCACACGGCATGGGCATTGCCGCCGTCGGGAACTGGCTTTTCAACTTCGCTCTGGGCCTGTTTATCCCCCCGGCGTTCCGCAACATCTTGTGGAAGACGTTTGTTATCTTCGGAGTGCTGTGTCTCGCCGCTGCGACACAATTCTTCTTCACCTACCCCGAGACTTGCGGAAAGACGATTGAGGAGGTTGAGTTCATGTTTAGCAAGGAGGGACCGCATCCCTGGAAGACGAAGAAGGGCCAATCGAGAATTGCGGAAGAGGTGGATCATATCAAGGATACGCAAGCAAAGGGCGTCGAGGCAGGAGAGATTATTCGTGAGGTTATCCATCATGAGAAAAACCCTGAGGGGCACGTTTGATGTGCCTTTGGCAGCGAAACGGGGTTGTTGTTTAACTTTGTATCACAACAAAGAGCAAACGCATGTCATCTAAATATAACAATGCGTACCTAGAACGATGTAACAGCGCCTAACGTTTCCTTCTCTCCTCATACTCTTAAGAAATACCTTTTCTCTCTTAATTAGTCATGCCGTCGTGTCCTTCCAAATCCTCTTGTACTCCAGTATCCTTTTCCCCTTGTGGCTACCCGGCAACTACCGGCTGCTGTATTGTAGCTTACCATAACTACCTAAAGAGCACTCAGTGGGTATAGCAGATCCTACATAGTATGTGGTTCGGAGTCGGGTAGGCAGTCAAATATAATGGGCAAATTATCCGGTTGCTGAGGCTTTATAGGGAGGAATAAATACAAACACTGAGCACGTGAGGCTCAATTTAATGGTAGTGCCGGCAGGAAATGCATACACCTGAACCGATTGGTGTCATTAGGCCTCCATACGACTTAGAGTTATCTCAATTCATAGTCATTTGGAGACGAGTCGACTATAGAGCGGAGACGTTCAGTGTTACACAGAGCTTGCCACGAGGCTCCGGGTAGCATTGTAATAGACTAAACATCCCTGCCAACGCTGAACGAGGGATCCCGGAACCGCCGGACAAATCAATCTCCAACCTCATGTCTACAAATAAAACAGAAACAAACGCTCGCCAGTCGCCATGAGACCCGCACCGTACTTATGGGTCCTCCTGGGTCCTTTCGTACACCGCATTGACGGGATGGCGCATTTCTTTTGTTCCTGACTGGTGGGATTTGTCCTGAAAGGATGCCAGTGGGTGTGTTGGTTTGTCCTGGTAGACAAAAACCAAGCAGGTCAGGACGAATGGTGGTAGGTATATCCTATGCGTGGCTTTGGTTCTACGTTTGAGGCCCTCAAGCTCGGAGTGCTGTAGACAGAACGGTCATGGTTTACTAGTGCTCATCGTTCAGAATTTATCAAGAGCATGGAAAGGGTAGCAGGCGGTGTGCAGGATGAACACCGTTTGCGCATTGCCTAATTGGGACTGGTGGGTGAAAAGGAAGTGCCTTCCCTGCCAGGCCCAACACCCATCCTTCGCCAGACCCTTCACTTTCCGTCGCGTGTAACTCTTCGCTACTTCACTTGTCACTCCCTTGCACCGTGTATAAAATCGTTCAAGCTGGCGCCCACCGGCCCTTCACGCACTCGCCGTCGCAGTAAGTCCAGACTAACTTACCGCTGCAACGCTGCTCTTCGCGCATACGCAAACTACCTGACATTCTCCGGCTGACAGGCGGCCGCGCCCAAGGAGGCGGACGGCGTAGGCGTCGCGTCACCGTAAACGAAAACTACTCGCACATCCAGGTCGTGCCCCAGGACCAGATCCGTCGCGGCAGCTCTCAAGACGACTGGTACGAAGACGACTACGACGAAGAGGACTCGCCGCCAGCCTACAAGCACGTTGCGACGACCATCCACGCCACGCCACTCCGCACAACCGTTTCCGCCTTCGCAACCTCACAGAGCACTACCGTGGCGCAATCAGGACACACTTTCGCAGAGATGGCGCGTGGCGGGTCGCGTGTCCCGAGGGAGAATGTCCCGCCGCCCCGCGATGTTTCGCCCGCAGTCACAGCCAAGATCAAGCTCAAGTCCAAGCAGAAGCAGTGGAAGCCGCTGGACCTGGGCGATCACAACAGTAAGTCTACCCCACACTCACCCAGAAATCCCTTGTATGCATGCCAGGACCTTGCGAAGCGCCAAGGATTAAGTCTCATGAACCAGTGACTCCTCGCGATGACCCGGGCCTCAACCGTTTCGCCGTGCTTTCAGACGAAACTCCCGCTACGGTTGATGCTTCCAGACGTGTCCCAGCTGCTGACGCGGCCGAAGTCCTAGATTTTCCCAACGTCGACCTCTACGAGGACGACTCAGCTTACAGCGAAGGCGACCCCACGACTACCGTCGGCTCAAGCTCCATGGCGGCCCGCTTGGCTGAAGACGACGAGATTTTGATCATCTTTCCCAAGGGCTTGCCTGACCCTATTTACCTTCGCTCGGAAGTCGGAAATCATCATGGTGAGATTCAGTACATCAAGCATCCGAATCGCGACGTCACCGCGCATCAGTGGTCTGCGACCTACTTTGAGTGGATCGTCATCGGGTGTTACTCCTGCGTACGGAAGACAATCGAAGGCCCAGTGGTTTCTCCGGACTTCTTGAAGCTCATCGGATCCACGCGCGAACGCCCGAGCTCTTTGGAATACTTCTGCGAGCTCGCCGAGGAATATGGTAAGAGTGTTCACGCAGAACCTTCCAACTTCACTGTCGCCTCGTCACGCCCAGGGTTCAAGACAAACACTGCCGAAGAGCTTCGTCGCCATGACCAAATTCCGATTGTGGCTGGACCTTCTACCAAAGATGATGACTTTCCGGTCCTCGGTTCGCTCGCCCTAAAAAACCTGAAACCAAACACTCAGGAAGCTCCTCCAAAGGTATATGGGGCGACCAAGCGTCCGCAAAGCGAAGAGCCACCTCGTGTTCCCACTCCGCTCCGTTTGCAAACCTTCCGTGATGACAACCCGTTTGTCGAAGCTCCCACCGCTCCGCGCGGGCAGATGGACAGAGATTTTCGCTTCCCTTCGCCAAACGTTGGTAGAACCAAACGTGACGTCCGCGACTCACCACCACCTCGCCCTGAAGCTTCCATGGATCAGTCTAGGCTCGACAGAAAGGTCTTTTTTATTCAACAGGAACGTGACCACATCCAACAGCTACGCCAGGCGAAGCAGCAGCAAGTCTCTGCTCCTCCCGATCCCGAAGAGCTTGTCAAGGGCCTGCAGTCGGTGATGCCTTTGCAACAGATCCGTTCATCAGTGCAAGAACTAAACCCTAGCCGCGAGCGCATGCTGGATTATCTCAACCGCGTCGGTGACGAGTTCAAGTCTACGCAGAAGGTAGCGCAGACGCCTGCTTACGATTCTCCGGTTGAGCCACATCCCACTGGAGCAGTTGAGATCGATTTCGCTTCTGAAGAAGACCGCACTCCGGTACCGCGTGTGCTTAACTCGTTTCTGCCCACGTCAACTGTCGAAACAGTTCGCCCCGGGCCGATGGAGCACCCTCCTGGATTTCACCTGCAACCGAGCCAGAACGCGGAAGCTGGAAAGTGTCTTACCTCTTCCGGTTCACAATTCTCACGCAAGGACTTGCACACCAGCGATCCCGAGCCTGGCTATGAAGGGCGCCTCGTAGATGTCTACAACACTTCTGCTGCGTCCGAGGCTCTGCCTACGCCGCAAAACTTTGGTGGGCCCTTCTTCTACGACGACATGCCCAGTGCGAGCAACCCTACCGCAAGGACCTCCACTCGCATGAGCTATGGTGAGAGACTCGACAAATGGTGGACCTCTGGAAACCTAAGCCAACGCCACGACGAATATCTGAAGGCGTTGGCGAAGACTTCCAAGAATGAAGAAGCTCACAAGGATTTTGTCGTCACTGACCGCGCCCTTCTACCCCTCTACGAGACATTTTCATCCTACGTTCGCGATATTGAGAAGAAGAAGAAGGGGGTAGAGAAGGTGCCAGACCACTTTATGCGCTTCGCTTCGCCTCCGGATTTTGCGATCGACCGCAGCCGCGACGGCAACAAGAGCTTCTTCGGCGAGGACTGGGGCGAGGTACCTAAGCGCATCGGGCGTGATCCCCGCTACTTCACGTCCTCGGTCGCGCCGGTGTTCGTACCTGCTACGAGAGCCCCAGGTCAGCCCGCTGCCGGGACCAACGCCTATGGCCTCCTGTCCACCGGTCCGGGCCTTAGAGGCAGTGCGGAGGACTTGGGCAAGCTCAAGGGCTTTGGTTCTTTTGGCGACGCTTATCGTTCGCTGCCCCGTGGCCCGAGTGGTGGCAGCGGCCTTCAGAGCTTCGGCTTCGGTGCTGGTGGCCAGGGCGGGGAGATGTAGAATCCTGGCCCGGCTGCTGATCCTGGCTGGATGCCGTCGATCAAATCGCCGTGGCGCTAGGCGGATGTCTGAGACAGAAGGCTCTCTGACGACTCATCGCGCATTTCGTCTCTACTTGGCTGCTGCAGGTGCTTGAAGACCAACTTGTCTTACATCGAATGGCCTGCGGCTGCAGGTATTTCGTCGACTTCTCTCAACAACAGCAAAGCAAGATGTGATGCTGGAGCGACCGTTCTTCTTCCAAGACCTTGCAACAAGCCCACCATCGCCCTTGTTCACGGATTCTCTCGCTGCCACGTTCAGTCAACTATTTCAAACGACATTTGGCTCCTCTTCGTAGCCATGTCTGGTTGCACATTGCACATCCCGCGATGTCTTGAGCCGAGCGTGCTGCTGAATGGTCTTTTCTCTTTCGCCCTGGCAAAGCAAACGCAAACACAAACACACAAAAAAAGAACGACACAGATGCTTATTACCTGCACTAATGGCTCAAATGAGACACAGGATTCTTTTTCTCTCTCTCTTTATGTGCGATTTGCTTCGCAGCTTCTCTACTCTCTGTCTTTCCTTAATTACTCCTTTCTTTTTCTTTCTTTCCAAGCTGCTTTCTTTCCTCCCTACTCAAAATCATAAGATCGGCACATCAATGAAGGAGACAGAACGGCGGGTGCGTGCGTGCGTGCGTGCGTGGGATTGGCCATAACGGGGTTCCAGAGATGAGGCTACGCGAGGCAAGGGCCTAGCTGCTGCTGATGCTGGATATGGAGATGCGTGCGGGCGTGAGCGTGAGCTGTAGGTAGATAGAAGCACGGTCGCTCGGGCCGGGATGCTGGATCTGCTCATGGTAGAATGAATAAATGGGCTTGTCCGCCAGCTGTAGGGGGGTGAGGGGTGATTTGTGTGCTGTGATGAGTGAGGTGCTGTTGCTGTGGGTGGAGGTGTCTGTCTGTTTGTGCGTGCTGTGTGGTGTGCGGATGTGAATGCATGTATGTATTTATCATACATACACTTTAATCCCCTCGCGTCTTTCTCGTCTCTCTAAAGAAGCGAGAGAATAAGAACACGAGCATGTCCCGTAAAGTCACGCCAGGACGAAAACACGCCTACAAGGGCACGAGGGTATGTACAAATACATGGAAGCAGACACATTACAGTAGTTAGGAATGGAAAGATGAAAACAGGTAAGCCACGTACCAGCCTTCTCAACCCGACCGTCTTACCTACCGTACATAACTACCAGCTCCGTCACCACATACAGCTGTTATTCGATGGCACCTTCCATCGGCGTGAATTGCCATCGTCACTGATCCTCTCTGCACAGAGCACTACGTTAGCAATTTCGTGACTGTTGAAGACGTCACATACATTTCTACCCAGAGTACTCAAGTCAGACCTTTGCTGGCATCTTCCAACTCGCTCTCAGTCGGTGTGATGTTGGCAACGACTCATGTTACGGTAGGCTTGGAATTTCTCCCGGTCTTGAGTGCCCTCAGGTTCCAGTGTCCTTTTGTATGTGCAGAGGAATGCGATGGTCATAGGCTATCCCGTGAGCTGTTCAGAAGTGAAGCCATGATAGCCACCTTGGAAGGTTATAGAGAGCCGCTCGAATCCCATGAGCATAATCTCATTGGAAATATTGGGCATAAGTGGCCGAGTGGATCTAGCACTCCCGATATTGCATCGTATATTTGTATAAGAAATCCCCCTGGTGTGAACCGTCGTAAGACCTTAAGGATTGCTGCTTACCAAAAGTTCCAACGCATTTATAGTACGCTCGCCACAACTCCCGTCCTGTGTCAGCTCATCGATTTGTTGCCATTACAGCAGATACTACAACTTGTCAGTGTATCGATGCTCTCTTCAGTGTGAAGACAGGGTTGTAGATAGTATAGCGCACAAACACTGCTCTCTGTCATGTACGTTATAGCGGCGAGTCGGTTATTCAGTATCTAAGAAGAAGACTGCTGCGGCGATTTTTCGCTATAAGCGTTTTGCAGGGGGTACATTGGTATTCGGTTTGCCGGGCTGAGGGCACGACGAGGGTCCCTCCGAACACTGATGCTGGTTTCACATAAAAGGCTTTTGTCGCTGCGTCGGTGATGCTGTACATTAGGTACCTCTAACTATTAATATATACCGTCACTATTCTAAATAGCCGCCTTACGTCATTACTCTCCTCTCCCCCTTCAAGCAGACTCTCTTTAGACTCATCCATTCACTTCGCTATTTACGATTAAGCAGCACATTGATCCGCTTCTTTTTTGGCCTTGATTGTAAGCCAATGCGTCGATGGCAGACGGTTGAAGCGGGTGGTAGATTGTTATCCCGTTAGCGGTGTTGGGTGGGATCTGCTCTTTCTTATGAAAATATATAGCCCATACTCCCCAGCCCTCGTTACTGTTTGGAGATACGAGCTGCTACACTGTACAGCAACACGTATACTAAAACAATAAGCTAAGTCTCTATATAGCGTATACATATTTACCGGCTCATCGTTATCTCCCAAATTCCAACCCCTTAACTGTCCGGACAGATCCTCGAGCCCGACAATATCGTTCCTAACTATACACGCCAGCTACGTAGCCTCTCTGCCCTCATTGTTTTACCATACACGGCGTGGGCGAAGACAAGAACCGTTTCATCTCTACAATACGGGATCACCCTTGCATCGCTAATATCTTCAGCAATTATGCATGTCTCAAAGCATTCAAAGGACTCAGAATTCACAAAGAAAGCCCATAACAAACTATCTATAACAGACGAACTATCTTTTCCTCTAGCAATCCCAGCTACTCCCTCACATAAAAACCCTCACCATCGAGCTAGTTCGTGCTATGCGCTACTTTCAAGCGCCTTCAAACAGGCCGATTATCCATTCGAAGCACAAGAATGGCTACAGACAGAGAGAAACATATAATAGCATTTCATCATCAATAGATCATGTGCTACGATTACGGAGCTCGCCTATACAGTAACAAGGATTTAGATATAAGAGATATTCCTTCCGCATACTTCAGCATGCTGAGCCGCCGATGCCCTGAGAAGGGACTAAGAGCATCCTAAAAATAGGAAATACTATGTACCTGGATAATGAGAAAAGGTAGGGTATACTACAGATTATCTATAGCTTATTTCTGCAGACGGTATAAGGCCTGCTGTCCTGCGACTTAGAAATATTCTACTTCTATTAATACCATCCACCATCGCAACCGCCCATAACTATGCACCAACACCACCGCAAACAGACGTCCAGCACCATCACCTCCTCCCACCCCCCAAAAAAACCTAGCTCACAATTCAGTTGCAGCCTCTCACTCTCTTGCGCACACGCAAAGCGAGAGTAATCCCCATTACTACTCTGATCTTTCCTGTCTTTCAATAGCCATGAAAATTTCCCCAAGCTTGCCCAAAGAAACAAACAGGCAAGCAAGCAAGTTAGCAACATCAACACGTCTTTTATCCACCCTCCACCACATCCAACCACTTACATACACATCCATCCAGCGCCAACCACACCCCCAATCATAAAGCCACGAACTCCATTTCCAAACAGTGACGTCTCAAACACCATGCACCAACCACGCCAACCCTCACACTTCCGCACTACTAACACCAGACCAGCATCACAACCAACGCATAAAATGCACACACACACACACACACACACACACACACATATATATATATATAACATTCTCCACTTCCCAGCGCCCCCTCCACGCACCGCACACGACGCAAAATCCCGCCCATAAACGCGGCATACCAATTCGGCCCATTGCCTTCTGCGAAAAACGTTCTTGATCCTCTACTGCGGCCGAAGTTCTAATGCTTCTGCAAGGTTTCTGATTCCACTAAACATTTCATGACGTGCTGTTGTTATTTTCTTTTGAAATTGGGTTTGCTTTGGTTCGTGTTGACGGTGATAGTGGATGCAAGCGCAGAAAAGTGGTGCGTGGTGCTGTTTTCTTGAGCTGCTGCTCACCACCACCCCCTTCCTTCCCTTCCCTTCCATGCCCTACTTCTTAAGTCTTAGCCCCCACCGACAGACACTACCAACACACACGACCGCAGTCACGCAACACGACAGCCCCGTCTGGGGTCATCGAAATTCGCTTCCAGGTTCGAGCCGTCTTCCTTGTCTGGAAGAATAGAAAGCAAGCACAGCTAGTAAGACGAGCAAGCAAGCAAAAGGCCTCGTTGTGTTTACGTACCGTAACCGTAACCGTAACCGTAACCTTCTGCACCAGCTATTCAGCTATTCAGCTACTCAGCAACTCAGCAACTCAGCAACTCAGGTATCAGCAAACCACCCCCACCCACCCCCACCCCTAAAGAACTCTACGCCCAAACCTCCCGAAACTCGCCCAAATCGCACTGGCCATAGCGCTCCGCCGCCACCGCGACAATCATATCGAGCGTGGCGCGCGTGTTTGCGTCTGGGATGATTTCTTCCTCTGCTTCAGCTCCATCTTTACCTTTTCCTTCCCCGGCCTCAATCTCGCCTTCTTCGTTTTCACCTTCGACTTCTTCTTCGTTTTCTTCTTCTTTGCCGTCAACGGCAGCAGCACCTGCATCCGCACCCCCCCCACGCAACCACCCCCCCTCCACCAATCTCGCTCTCAATCCCTCGTCCCGCGCCGCAAACGCGTGTATTTTGTCCTGCAGGAGGGGCTTGCCACTACCATTTTCCTTCTTCGCCTCGCCGTCAGCGTCAACATTGCTGTTTTCTGCCTCCTGATCGTCGGCTGTGCCGTCCATGCCAAAGTTGATGTCTGTGTTTGTGTTTGTGTCCATGGTAGCGGTAGCGGTAGCAGTGTCCGGGTCCAAGAACTCCAGGCGCGAGAGCAGGCGCTCGCGGGCGGCGGCGAGTTGGTGGTGCTGCTGGGCGGTGGCGTCGAGGTCGAGATTGTCTTTGTCTTTGTTGGTGGTAGAGTCGGTGTTGCTGTCGGTGGCGGGATCCGCGTCCGCTGCGTTCTTGGCGGGTAGTGCCATGTCGGGGGTAGATATCGGCTCAGAGTCGTCGGCATTGACCATCTCTGCATCCCCACCCAACGCATCCAAGACCCTCCTCCTCGCCCTCTCTAACACTGCCTCCGCCTCCGCCTCACTCTCAACACCCTCAGTACCCACCTCCTCCCCCTCCCCAGCACCCTCACCCTCCTCCACACCAGCCCACCCCTCCGTCGCCCGCGCAACCTCCTCCCCCCGCCAGCCACAAGCGACCCAAACGGCCCTCCTCGCCAAATCGCGCACAACAGCGACCTCCTCAGCGCCCAGCTCGCCCATCTCCGGCACCCTAGCCAGCAGCGCCCAGATCCACGCGCTGAGCGTCGTGCCCACATTCCTTCCGCGGCGCAGCAACCCCTCCGCCAGCGGCAGCACGGCCAGCACAACGGCGCGGTCCATGAGGGCCGCCTGGGCGCGCGCCGGGGGTTGCGTCGTCAGCACGGTCTGCCAGTCGCGCACGGCGTGTTTGATTGCACGCGCCTTGCGCGGGAACGTCGTGATATGGGCGGGGGAGAGGGCGGCGAGGGCGGCGGCCGGGGGCGGGGTTTGCAGGCGGACGCGGAGCGCGGCGTAGCGCGCGAGCAGGGCGGCCGTGTATGCTGCTTGCGGGGTGTTGGTGGGCGCGTGCCCAGAGTTGCCTGGCTTCACGGGCCCCAGCACCGGCGCAGCGACGTACGCGCCGTCGGTGTAGAAGCCCCGCTCCCCGTCGTACACGCCCTCCTCGTCCACGCTCCGCTCTCGCTCCGCGACCATCAGGTTCGGGATCCCGTGCGCCTCGGCGCGCACCATGCGCAGGTAGCGCAGCGCGTCCATGCCGTCGCTGCTGATGTCGCCGTCCCATTCTGCGTCGCTGCTGTAATCTTGCTCATCCAGCCCCGGCAGCGCGCTCACTTGCCCGTATGTCGCGTGCACGCGTGGCTGCTGCTTGTGGTGGTGGTTGTGGTTGTTGTTGTTGTTGTTGTTGTTGTTGCGGTCGAAGCGCCGCTCGTAGCGCATGGGGGCGGGGGTGTTTGAGCCTGAGCCGGGGAGGGCACTTGAGCCTGAGCCTGAAAAGGTGGTTGCGCCTGCGCTTGCGTCCTCGCCCTCCCCAAAACCAGGGTCATCATAATCCACCCCTCCCCTCTCTCTCTCCCCCGACGACGACGGCCTCGGTGGAGGAGGTGCCGCAAGCGGACGGCCGTAATCATCCGGCCTCGCGCGCTTGTTGTACTGCGCGCCATCGGTGGTGGTGGCGAGGTTCTTGCGCTTTTGGGGGGGCATTTTCGCGGGTTGTTGGCGGTTTGCTGGTCGGTGGGTGCTGGTTGGTGAGATGTAGAGAGCGAGAAGAGGAAGAGAGGAAGCGCGACGAAAGCGCGCAGAAAGTGAAGCAAGTGAAGCGCAGAACCACTTTCAACTTTCGTCACTGCGCGCGCGCGCGTGCAAGGGCGTGCAAGGAGCTTGGGCCCGGCAATGCGGAGATTACGGCGTTAAGGCCGCACCCGATGGGATCATTTATATATATATATATATATATACATTAACAGCTGTCTGTCTGTCTGTTTGGTTTATATACATACATCCTTCCCAGACTATTCCCATGCACAAAAGTACATAGGTTAAACCGGGCATTCTCGCATGCTCGAATGCTCACATCGCCGCACCATCCACAGTCCACAATCCAAGCGCACATGCTCCTCCCACAGTATGTACATACATACACACATCCACCCAGAACAGAAACAGAAACACGACGAAATAAACAGAATACCATCGTGTAGGGAAAAAGGAAAAAGTATGTAATGCCGATGCCATTGTCCCCGATCCCATTCCCGCCAAAAACGCCGCGCTCCAATCAAGCACCTTGAACACCACTTTACACACACCCGGCTACTCATTCATCATCAATCGTCCACACGCCCGCCTCCCTCGCCCTCCCCCTCCCACGCCCCTCCTTCAGCTCCTCCGACAAATGCGCCGTGTCCTCGACCAATGGCGGGACATGCCACCCGGCGCTCTTGGCGACGCGCACCACCCTCAACTCGGGAAAAAAGCCCTCGTCCAGGGCAGCGACCAAATCCAGCGGTTCGAGATCGAGGTCCGGCCCCTCGTGGCGCGGGCCCGTGTCGCCCGAGGAGCTGAGCTCGAGGCGTTGTAAGGAGCAGGACGACAGCCCCGTGCCTTCGCGCCCGAACGCGTTGAATGTGATGTAGTCGAGCGAGAGGCGCAGGAACGCGAGGCCCCGGGCACGGCTGCCACCTGAAGCCGCGCCTGGCTGGACGTCCTCGCCCGCGCACGCCCGCAGCACCCCGTCCAGCGACGCGTGCCCCAGGTCGCGGATATTCTCGACCGTGAGCTCGCGCAGCTGAGGCCCAGCATGCGCCAGCAGACCCAGGACCTCCGCCTCCTTGAGCCGCGGACAATGCGTCAGCGACAGCACGGCCAGGCTCGGCGGCAAGTGCGTGGCGCCCGAGACGGGGTCGCCCAGGCCGCTGATGAAGCGCCCGTGGATGCCGCCGCTGAGATGCAGCGCCTCGAGGGCTGGGGGCCAGCGCATGTGCGCCGACAGGAAGGCGTCGCTGTCGTTGCTCGAGCGGGGGAAATACAGCGTCTTCAGACTTTCAAGGGGACGGAGCGCGTGCGCCAGCGAGGCCAGCGCAATCGCCTCGCTTGTCAGCGACAGGTCCAGCGTCCGCAGCTTGGTGCACTTGCTCAGCGCGGCGAAGCAGTTGACTGCAAACGACGACTGCGGCGCCATGAAGACCTCGAGGCTCCCCTTGACCCGCCCGAGCAGCCGCGCCGTCACCGACTTGCTGCTCTGGTGCACAATGTGCCGCAGGTCGAGCACCCGCACCAGCTCGGCTAGCTCGCTGCGCTTGACGTGCGCGTTGATCGATGGGCAGATGGTCCGCACGAAGGGCGCGAAGTTGGGGCCGATCAGGTGCGGCGCTTCGTACAGGCGCGCTATCGCCGCGTTGTACCATTGGTGGTTCACCAGGCAGCACGCGTATAGTGTGCGCTGCGACGAGGGGTGGCGCGGGATGTATGAGAGTATCTCGAGCAGGATCTCGTTCGGTAGGTAGATGGCTTCGCGGGGGGGGGGGGGGGGGGGGGGGGGGCGTGGAGGAGGGCGGTTGGGAGGGCGACTGGGAGGACTCGGAGGAGCGCGGAGAGGACTCCTCATGGACGCAGTCAGTTGGCGGCGCAGACGGCGGCGCGGGTGGCGGGGCCTTTGGACGACGTGCGAGCGCCGCCATAGCTGCTGTTGCTGCTGCTGGAGCTTGCGCGATCAAGGAACTGCTACAGTATGGGAGGCGCAAGCAGCCTGTGCATTCGGTTCGGCGTGGGATGCGTCGTGAATGGAACAATTTGCTATGGGCGAGGCGAATGGAGACGGTGGTGCAGACGAATGACGTTGGACCGAGGTCTTTGATCTTCAGCCCTACGCGCTGATCCGTCCATGATCCATGTACAACACTACGAAACAATAAATGCAGAGTAGCGTCTTCGTTTATTTACTTTTACTTTCAATCCAGCTAATCGTACAGATACAGAGTAGGTAGAGTACACCCACTTCACCTTACAAAAACCCCTCCTCCTCCAGCCTCCTCCGCTCATCCCTCACCTCGCGATCCATCCTCCGCGTAACCCTCCCCTTCTTCTCACTCTTGCCCCTCTTCTCCTTCAAGCGTCTCTTATCCTCCTTACTCAGCTTCGCCGCCGCAACGCCCAAGTCCCTAAACCCGACCGCGTCGCCATGGACGCGCGCCGCGTCCGCCGCGCCGCCCTTGCCCAGCCGCACCGTGCGCGGCACCCGCGTCGCCGCGCCCAGCGCCCACAGGTCGCCCCACCGCGCCTTGCGCGCGTCGCGGTACGCTTGCTTGCCGAAGCTGCGCGGGACCGTCCACCGCTCCAGCCGCCCCGCGGGTGTGCACATGTCCATTATGATGTGCCCGCGGCGCTTGAGCGGCGGGAGGATCAGCCGTGGTAGCGTCAGCGTGAGCGCTTGTGTTTGCGCGGCTGAGGCGGCTACTGCTGCTTTGGCTGAGGCTGCGTCTTGTTCCGCCGTTGTCGATGGTGCTGCTTCTTCCGTCGTGGTCGTAGGCTCTTGTGTCGGCTCCTGCTGTGCCTGCTCTTGCTCCGCGACTATCGTCTCCGCTTCTACTCCCGCTTCAGCATCAACCCCCTCTTCCACATCCACATCCACCACCTCCTCAAACCCATGCCCCTCGAACGCCGCATCCGCCGCCGTCTCGCCCTGCTCAAACCTTCTCTCCCTCCTAAGATCGACGCCCCTCTGCACCGCCAAATAGCTAAACTGGACATCCTCATGGTTCCTGTCGCGGGCGCCCAGCAAGCGCTGCAGATACGGCGGGCGAATATAGCGCTGCTTAAAGTAGCAAAAGTCCTTGCGGTTGCGGCTCACGCCCGGGATCTGGTACATGGGGCAGGCGGTGTGATTGGTGCACGGCGCGACAATCATGGCCTGCTCCTTCTTGGTCCAGCGGCCCTTGTGCTTCGAGTCCTGGAGCAGCGTCTCGGTGCGCTCCGCCCCGGGGCTCGCAATGACGGTGTCGAGCAGCTGCGCGCGCGCGCCCGCTATCACCTCGAACCCGCGCGGGAGCCCCTTCTCTAGCAGCACCAGCACGCCGCCCCGCGGCGACGTCAGCGACCACAGCTTCTGCAGCGCCGCCTTGCGCAGCCACTCCTCCCGGATCCCCCACAGAAAGTGCGGCGCCACCACCACGTCGAACACCTTGCGCGCCTTGGGGCCCACCTTGTCCGCCGGCCCGATCGTCTCCGGCAGCCGCGGTATGAACGTCGTGTTATCCAGGAACTGCGCCGCGCGCTTGCGCAGCGTGTCCGCGCCCGTGACGACGGACGCCTTGCCCACGGGCGCGGGCGCCCCCTCCGCCGCCTCTCCTGCTTCCTGTATCCGCGCCCATTCTGCGCGCAGCACCTCGCGCCACGCGACGACGGCCGCGCCGCCCGAGCTTGCGTCTAGGATCAGCGGGCCCCCTTCTTTCTGCAGCAGCCCCGAAAGCCACTCCCCGCCTAGGCGGCGCCGCACCTCAACCAGCACGCTGACCATGCTCGCGTACGTGCCCGGCATCACGGCCGCGAGGTACGCGTCGCTCTCCATGGGCGCCATGCTAGTCTGGCCCGGCTCGAGCGGGATGGGCTTCTGGACGAGCTCGCCGCCCGCAGGTCGCGGCGTCGCGGCCGAGTAGGGCAGGCGCCGCCCGCCGAAGACGCGCTGCGCCGCCTCGCTGAGGTGCTTGTTCGAGGCCGCGGCGAGGATGTTGGAGATGGGCTCCACGAAGGCGGCTTTGGGGAGGTGGATCGTCGAGGGCGATGTCGCCCAGCGCCCGGCTAGCGTCAGCGGGTGCGCGCGCACTTTCTCGCCGCCGCTGCCCTCGTACTCTTCCTCTTCGCCTTCCTCTGCCTCGAACCCTAGCTCTTCCGCCTCTGCCATCTCCTCCCCCTCCTCCCCCTCCTCCACTTCCTCAACAAACTCCTCCCCTTCCTCGCCCTCCTCCATCTCCACCTCCCTTGCCCCCTCCCCAACAGCACCCGCCTCCCCACCAACAAAATACTCCACAGCCTTGAGCGTGCCATCCTTGCGCTCAACAAACAAGCTATCCCGCACACTATAAACCTCGCCCTTAGCGAGCCCGCTCTCGCCCTCCCCATCCTCTTCATGCTCAACGCGCTCAGCCACCAGCTCCTCCATCGGCACCACCCGCAGCGGCGCCCCGTACAGCCGCTCGTAGACGCGGTACTCCTCGCCCGAGAGATGGGCCTCGGGCAGCACGTCGCCGAAGGCTTGGCGCGCGGCGCGCACGGCTGCTTCTAGCTCGGCGGGCGTGCGCGGGCGTGTGCGCTCTTCTTGTGCGGCTTGTGTCTCTGCTTCTGCTTCCGCCTCTGGAGCTTCTTGTTGTGCTTGTCCTTGCTCTTGTGCTTGTGCTTGTCCATGCTCTTGTGCCTGTCCTTGTCCCTCCTCCGACGGCGCCCGCCTCGCCACCTGCACACCGAAGCCACGCCGCTGCAGCTGCTGCTGCCGTTGTTGCCATTGCCGCACCCCCGCGAGCGCGCTCCGCCGTCCCGTCGTGCCCGCGGCCGTGCGAGTGGCGTGCCTAGCCGCTGCTAGCATTGTTTGTGTGTGTGTGTAGTGGTGGTGGCGGTAGGTGTGTGTGTGTTCGTCCGTTCGTTTGTTTGTTCGTTCGTTCGTTCGCCGTTCGCCGTTCGTGATGTAAGGTGGATAGGTAGGTAGGCAGTCGGATAGGCAGGTAGGCGGATAGGTCCTCGTAGGAGTGAGTCCTCGGTCGGTCGTCCAGTCGTGGCAAACACCGCCGCTCTCTCTCTGTCACTCTTCTTTCGTACGAGCGAGCGTGCAGACCTCTTGACCTCTCGCGCAGTAAATGAACGAACGAGCGCGCGCGTATGCGTGTGTGGCGTCGCCCTCGCAAAAAGGCAAAGGTAAAGTAACGTCAAGACAATAATTAATTCAGAAGGACCGAGCTCCCTCCACCCACCAACCAGCACGCACCCACCAACCAAAGCCAAAGCCGCAAAGAATGGAAGACGGCAAATCACCGGCCGAGCTTTTGTCACCGCCGCGCAAAAACGTACGAGTCGTGCCTTCCCGCCAAGACTGGCCCCGCTTGACTCGCGCCCTGTTGCCCGTTGCCCAATCCTTACTCTAGGTTAGGTTAGGTTCAGCCTTATGGATCTAGGATTGGGCGCACACGGACGTTGGAATTTTTTTTTTTTTTTATCGGCGCCGGTGCCCGCCCCCCGCCACTGCTTGCCTGGGGACTAGGCTGAGCTGGGCTGGGCTGCAACACCATCATCGCTATCCTATCACAAGTAGACTGGACTAGACTAGATTGTCCAGCATGAACGCATGCACAAAAGCCAGTGGCACAATGGCACAACCGTCGAGTGTAGAAGAGTGGCATGGATACTATGTAACCCGAGAAAGCAATTCTGCAAGCCCGCACCCCCCAACCAACCCCAACCGTGACCTTCCCGCCTTCAAACCTGGCCTCCCGCCCCGCACTGGCCGTGCTCAATTGCAGCTTCCATCTGTCGCCAGTTCAGTCATCCACACTGGCTTCGACTTCTTCCGCCCAGAGCTACCGCCTCGTGCTGGAGCCGACCCTGTGCTTCCGCCACCGCCACCGTCGTCTCACCTTCCCCCCCTCGTCCCCGTGTGTGTTCAATCTGGTGTTCGTCCCCTGATAGTAGCTCAAAACCTCCCCACGAGCAGACACTGTACCGGAAATGTGTAACCCCGAAAGCACAAGTAAAACGCAAAAAAGGCAAAAAGCAAAAAAAGACTAAAGAAAAAAAGGAAAAGGGGAAAATAGCACGTTGGTGAAGGAAAACTGGAGAGCAGTCTGATGATCCTCTTGCCGATGTCGTGGACCATCGCGATTATAAGGTCGTCGTCGTTGGTCCAGGTTGTCCTTGGTGACTTGCTGAGAGGCGCAACCAAACCACTTGCCCCGGGCCCGCCGGCCTTCCCTACCCTCGACGATCCAGAGCACCTTTCGAGAGCCGATCCGAACAGCGCGTAAGAGGATGCCAACGACCAGGGCGGTGCGTCGCCCGAGCGGGCGGAAACACACAGAGACCGGGTCCTCGCCAGGATAGCGTATGGATGGGCCGGGGGGACCGAGCGGGGGCAGGCCGAGGAATCGGTCCAACGAGAGCAAGCCGACAAAACAAGAGATGAGAGCTGAGTGTGTGTGAACAAGGAGTCTTCGCCGTCCGGACGCCCAGATGCTGCCGGACGGCAATGCCGCGTTTCCCAGATGTTGCAGAGTGCCATCGGAGTAAACGGGGGTTTCAGACCGATGCCACGTGAAAAGATGGATTGTGTGGAAAGATGCCAGGCTAGGGCCGATTCGTTTCATTCATCAGTAGCCGGGCTGGTACTGGTCATTGCGCTTGGACGAACGAAGTTGCCTGTGGCGGCGAGAGCGAGATTAGCATTTGAACGTGAAGACCCCCCGCGCCAAGCACGCATCGCACTAAAGCCGCAGAGGAGAAGAGGTCTTACTAAGGTCGAATGTAATATTAAACTCACATTCCGGTGCCACCTTCGCGGGGGTTGACGGGGCCACGACGCTTGTCGGTGATGGTGCCGGCGGCGGCGGTCGGGCCAGCGGTGGCAGCGGCGGTGTTGGTGACATGGCGGCCACGGACCTTGTCCTCCTCGTCGGGCTGGGCCTGGTTACCGGCGGCCTGGGCAATGGCCTGGGCGTTCTTCTGGTACTTGTAGACGGTCCAGTCGAAGACGTAGTCGTACTGGAAGCCCTCACGGACGAAAAGGTCGCGGAAGATCTTGCGCAGGTACGAGTAGTCGGGCTTGTCGTCGAAGCGGAGCGAGCGCGTGTAGTTGAGGTAGATGGCGAACTCGTTGGGGAAGCCACGGCACAGGACCTCGGTGGGGGTCGTCATCTTCTTCTCCATGATGCGGTCGTACTTCTGCTTCTTGGTGGCCGCCTTCAGGCCCTGCCAGGGAAGGGAGCCGCGGCAGAAGTAGAGCATCACGTAGCCCAGGGACTCCATGTCGTCACGGCGGGACTGCTCGACACCCAGGTGGGTGTTGATGCTGGCATAACGGGCGGTACCAGTCAAGTTCTTGTTCTCTCTGTAGGGAATGTGGAAGTGAGTCTTGGGGTCACGGTACTTCTTGGCAAGACCAAAGTCGATGACGTTGACCTGGTTGCCACGCTTGCCGATGCCCATGAGGAAGTTGTCCGGCTTGATATCACGGTGGATGAACGACTTGGCGTGGATGTACTCGATGCGGGAGATGAGCTGGTCGGCAAGGAGCAGAACCGTCTTCAGCGAGAACTTGCGGTTGCAGAAGTTGAACAGATCCTCGAGCGAGGGGCCAAGGAGGTCGAGCACCATGGCGTTGTAGTCGCACTCGGTGCCGAACCAGCGGACGAAGGGGATACCGACGCCGCCGGCCAGCGACTTGTAGACGCGAGCCTCATATTCGAGCTGGGGGTGCTTGGCCTTGACGCTCTCGAGCTTGATGGCAATCTCCTCGCCAGAGATGATGTTGGTGCCTGTAGGGAGGAGTCAGTAGGGCGTCACGGCGACAAGTGGCTTTTGGGGGCCAAGTCCATACCAAGGTAGATGTCACCAAAGGAGCCGCTACCGATCTTGCGGCCGATACGGTACTTGTTGCCGACGCGGAGGTCCTGGAGCAAGGTCAGCGAGAGAGGCCATGTGAAGCTGCGACCGACGACGATGGGGGGGCGGCCAACAGCGGATCGGAGAAAAGGAGCTAGGGAGGATCAACGTACCATTGTCGTCATCGTTCGGTGGACTACCTGTCAGGACGAGCAAGCAGCGGGTGGTGAGGTGTGGTGTTGGAAAGGGTTGTGGTGGTTTGGTGGTTTTCGTGGGGTTAAGTTCAGCCTGTTGCGGGCGAGAAGGCCGGTCAGCAAGGCTTTGCCGGCAAGGCGGTGTGGGTAAGGCCGAGCAGGTGACGGTGGACCGACGCGGGCAGCAGTGAGGGGGCGGGCTGGAACAACGGTCGGCGGCAGTGCTGGGCGGAGAAGGGCCTTTGGGCGAGAAGTGTGAGACTTACGGGCGAACACACGCAGTGGAGGTGAGCAAGAGGGAGAGTCAAGAAGAAGAAGAGGGTCGGGGAGGAAGATTCAGGAAGCGGCTCGACAAGGGAGCACTCAGCTTCGCGGGCTGCGGTGCGGTGGAGAGTTGTGTGTGTGTACAGTAGGTAGGTAGAGAGAGGAGCGGCGAGGAAGGGTCGATGGGGGTTAGGCATGCACCGGGGCTAGTGTGAATAAGCGCCTTTCTGGGCTCTGGGCACCAAAGCAAGATTGCGCGAACCACGGCAAAGACAGACAGCGTTGGGCTGCCCCTGTTGAGTCTGGGCTGCCTAGCTAGCTGTCGCTCTGTCTCTCTTTCTGCTTGCTTGCCTGCCCCTTTCCTCCGTCATGCAATGCGAAAAGTCATCTCAATGCATGCATCAACCCTTCGCTTCTATTAAAAGCCTGCCCGCACGGAACCCCGAGCCCGCTGCTTTCAGCCATGCCACCTCCCACCCCCGTCAAAGGCCCCCGATCCAGCGCTGAGGTGCGATTTGGCTGCCGGCCGTTGCGACTACGCGAGCGCACCTCATACGAAGATCGCCACAACTCCACCCGGCCCGGCCATAACGTCACCCTCCAAGCGCCCAAATCCCTCTTCCGAATTTCTGATTTTAAACTAACCAAAGGGCCCAAGCTGCGTCTCACCCATGTGCCAGAGAGTCAGCCGCACCGCAACCTAAAATATGCAACGCGGGAGCCTCACCGGTGAAAGCTGTGACGTCGCACCCTCGCTACATGCACCACATGCGTGCCCCAACTCCCTATCGTGGCCTTCCCGTTCCGTCGAGCAAAAGCCCTGCGCTCCACCGCAAACCGCGCTTTTCGTTGCGTCTCGCCCTAGCCGCCGCCGCCAAAGCCGCCCGGACACGTGGCTCAGCAGGCCACCTCCCTTTTGTCTCCACGCCCTTTCAGCTCAGCCTCGCTTCCTTCGGTAATCCAACACGCGCCTAACACATTGTTGTTGGTCGTGTGTTTGTTATTGAGACGGACATAACGCCGGACGTTGCCTGCACCAAACCCCCATTTCCCGCAGATTATCCCTCGTCAATCTCCATGCGCCCTCCGCCAAGTGACCGCCCGCCAAGCCCCTCCTCCGCCAGCGTCAGCACGCCCTCCGACGCCCGCAGATCGCCCGGTATCGCGTGCTGGCATCAGACGCGCCGTGCGGGTGGCCGCGGCCCGGCCGTTGCTCCGTACCTATTGGCTTGGGATGTTGCGGACCGCGGGGGCGACGAGGCGCAATATCTGCCCTGCGATAAGTCCTGCTGGCCGCTGGACGATCCTGCCTGTTGTACTACGTATCTACTGTGTTGGCTTGCCGCGCGGAGTAGGTGCCTATTACAGCTATAGGGGTGCATGTTGTTATAAGCCACATGTTCTTTGTGGGCTACTCTTTAGGTTTGTTGAGCTTTGCTGAGCTTACACTCTAGGCACAGCCCTATGAAGCAATCTACGGATAGTGATTTAATCTACTTATAGCAGTATGACACAATTATAGTGCTTTTGAATATTTAAATTCAGAGCGTCCTGATACACTTTCGCTTCTACAATATCATTCGATATGGGGAATCGGATAACAATATATACCCATGTAACCGTAGAGACCTTCCCTATACGGATACGGGTAACCTGATGTACCTGGAACTTCTCTCAGACCATGGCGACGAAAGACCATCCACGTCTGCTGATCGTGTTACTTGTACCGTGTATCCGCCAGACATGTGGCGTTGCGTTTGCTTCGGGCAAGATTTCCAACGGCTCTCGATTTGATTGCGCAATGTATCTGTGAACTGTCTCTTCCGTTGTCCACGTTGGCCTGGCCGTCAATGCGTGTGCAGGTTGATCGCCATGACGTCTAACGTGGCAGTGATAAACCTCCGACTGCAGCGCGCAATCCCTGTACCAGCTTCTTCAGACATGTCAAAGGGGATGCAATTCCAAGGCAACGAACCGACGTGTGTTTAGGGGAGCTTGCAGCATGCAATTGATCGCCAGGGCTTCAAATCAAACACGCATGGAAACAGGAAATCAAAAGCCGGGACTCTTCGGTTGATCGACTGACAAACGAACGCACTGGTCCAGACGAATTGCCGACGGAAACGTACGAAAGGAAAGCGACAGGAGACAACAAACATAGGCTTCACAATGCAGTCACCAACAGGCCATTGACGAGACAGTCGCTTCCACCGAGCCTCAATTATCCGAGACTATATACAGCGCGCAGCTCGGCACATCGAGCAGACTCGTCAGAGCCTGGCTGCGAGTGCTTCGGCAGGGATATAGTGCAGCCTCTATTCCTCTAGGTTCGCGACGTTTAATGACCGCCAGTGCTCTTGAGGCCTGTGTTGCGGGGGTCGTTCTTCCACTCATCGGCTACAGCGCAAAGTTAGCTAGCTGCACATCGGCGTGAATTTTGTGTGGAGAGCGCGGGAATATGCGGCGATCGAATCGCATTGAGCCACTCGCGGTGCGGCTCGGAGAAAAGGAACGGAGGGCCTCGGGCAAGGAATGGTGGAGAGTAGGGAGTTACGCACTGCTCTTGATGGTGTTGGAAAGGCTGTTGACACCGTAAAGGATGATGAGGCCTGCGGTCGCGGGGTTAGCGGTGTCCTCGGCTGTAGGTTGAAGATGCGATCAAGCTTGGAACTGGCGGCAGATTCATCGGAGAATGGCAGCGTTGGTTCGTAAAGCCATCGGAGGGGCAAGCATACCGGCAGCGTAGAAAGGAGCCATGGGCCTAGCTATAACACCGAACATTGTCAGCCCTGTTCCTCTTACACCTATCCTCGCATCTGGAGCCGGAGTCGGCGTCGCTTCACATACCGACGGGCGTGGGCCACTTCTTGCCGAGGAGAGACATTGTGCTTGATGCGCGGTGTGCGGATTGACGTTTGGAACGGGGATTGGAGCTGAGGTGAGGTTGAGCTTCTCGTTGTTCGCTTTTGGCCGGCGATGAGGTCGAAGTCGGAACTCTGAGGGCTCCTGGTCTTGGCGCGAGGGAAAACGGACCATGCCGCTTTGGGCATTAGCTTCGTAGGTGGGATGCGATGCGACGCCATGTAAACAACCAACATCAACCAGCAGACGCTCTACCTTGCTACGAATTCTTCCGCCCAGCAACCGTCAGCTGCAAACATGGCAAACGCTCTCGAAGGCTGCGTTTCCTCGCTGCGCTCCAGCATGCAATTGCTGGATTCTTCCATCTCCATCCTCGACTCTGGCGTCAACGACCTTCCCCGCCTCTCCAAGGTCCTGCAAACTACAAGGGTGCGTTGGTTTCTTTCCCGAGCTCTCTCAATACATAGCAATGGGCCTCTTCTCCGAGCCGTGCTGACACAATCTACAGCATTTCGAGCTCATCTCCGAACCGGACCTGCACACTGCCCAACGGGCACTCCTCTCCGAAATCCGCCCCGAAGTCGACAATCTCCTCGCGCGCGTCTCCAACTACCTTGACAAGCTCGAGCGCCGCGAGCAATCTTTGATCGCCAAGTGCGAGCTCAACGAGGGCCGGTTGAACCAGTATGAGGCGCCCGCCGCGTCGTCCGGGCGCGCCTCGGCAGCGGGCTCACGGAGCGCCAGCAGGGCGGGCCAAGGACGTGGATTGACTGGCCTCGAGGAGCTCAAGGTCAAGCAGCTCCGACAGAAGAAGGAGAGGCTGAGCTATGCGGTTGATCGCTTGAACCTGCAAGCGCAGCAGAGGCAGAGGCAGTTGCGCATGAGCATGGCGGCTCCGCAGCAGTTCCGGTACGATGACGAGTTTTGAATATGAATACGGGCTTTCTTTGGCTTTGGAGTTGGGCTAGGACCGGTTGATACCCTTGTTTTGGTGTTGAGTGGCCACATCCGCTCTCTTGAAGAGATGGGGAATTGTACAGAGCTGCGATGGAATTGGCAACCGCTCGCGCCGCCGCTTGTGGTGGCATTCGTCGCAATAACCCGAAATCTATCTTTCGTTTCTATAAAGACAAACACGCACAGCAATTGCCATGGTAGCATCATATCAACGAGAGATTCAGACAGGTCGGATGCATACGAAGATATTAATACACGAAGGTACAAGAGTATTCTACGAGAGTACCAAGGAAGGACGGCAAAACAACAAAATGTAGGTCCTATACCCATATGCACTCTTTCCCGGTCCAAACATCGCCGAGCCTAGCTGCTAATCTTACGTCTTTCAGTCTACCCAACCCTTCCGCCTGCCATCGCAACGTATTATAGTCATTAGCGCCTATCGACAATCAATCAAAACACTATCGCATCAATCCCTCATGAAAGCTTCCATATGATAGCAGAAGCGCTTGCCGCATAATTCACCACTCCAGGCTTCATATCTACAAGGTTTGGTGGATGTCTATCTGCATTTTACTTCTGATGAGAGGTATATGATACATGGTGACGAGATATGTTGCTCCTATTCTTTGGTATGTTTCTACTCTTATTTTATTGTGAAAGGTTTTAGGCTCTGCACCTGCGTATTCTCCTACCCTGGTGAGATTATTTCATGTCCTTAAATTTTCTGCCCTCGTATTTCTATGGAGTACCCTCACATTTTCCATTTATATACCTATACAGCCTGCCCTTCATTTTTATATTCACTGTGGCTACCCAGATGAAGGGTACTTCGTAGGTCTAGTAGCCTCTACTAACACAGTCACGAGGTGCAAAGTAGTCAATGGATAAGAGTCAGAATCCCCGAAAGTAGGTTAATTCACTGCTTTTATATACCCGCTAATATACCCATCGTAATAAGGACAAAAGAGAAGTGAAGTGGCTAAGCTAACTACATAAGAAGTTCATATTCGTTGTATATCATTTCGTTCATACGGCGATGCCGGCATCAGCGTAGAGAAAGGTCATCAAGCGCCGCTGTCACTCAGAACGGGTACACGACGCCACTCTGACGAGCGAGCCCAATCCGCGGCGTCGCCTGCGTCTGGTCAAACACGACAAACTGGCTCTTGATAAAGATATCGCCATAGATCGACGTGTCCATGCCATGGTTCTCCTGGATGCCGCCAAAGCACGTCTGCGCGTCGACGGGGGCGTAGTTGATGTAGGCGCCGGGCACCGTGGCCGTCTTGCCGCCGATGACCGCGCTCCACGCTGGCAAAACTGTGTCGCAAGGGAACACCCACGCGCCCCAAACGGGGCTGTTGACGGCGCCCGGTACGGCCGCGTAGTACGTGCGCACGACATCGGCGGGCAGCGTCAGCAGCGACGAGCCCGTGTCCATGATTCCGGGCCAGGAGGCAGAGGAGTTGGTGGCACTGCCGTTGTTGCCGACGCTGTAGCCGTCGGTGGTGAACTCCCAGAGGCCCTTGGACGCGTCCACGGGCACGTACGAGATGTCGCCAGTGTACTCGTCGGGGTTGATAGTACCGAAGGTGTACGAGCCCGCGGCGCCTTTCTTGAGGTTGGCCGTGAACAGGGCTTGCGGCAGGTGCGTCTTGATGTTGTTGAAGAAGCTCTGCTGCTTGACGGGCTTGACCGTGTTGACCTTGTCGAAAGCCATGCCCATCAGCCCGTCGTACGGGCTATCCGTGAACTTGTCAGACACCATGTTTGCGGCCTCGATGACCTGCTTCTCGAACGTCAGGCTGCCCAGTTCCACCTTGTCCTCGTACACGACGCCCTCGGCGTAGCTGCCGTCCAGGTAGTGCGTGCCCCAGGTCCAGTCGGCGACGCGGCTGGACGAAGGCTCGTACAGGTTGTGCGTGCCTGCGTCCGCGGATGGTATCAGCGTCGACAGCGCCCAGAAGTCCGACGATCCCGTGTCCACTTTCAAGTGCACTTTCTTGTTGCCCACCGTCACAGGCACCATGTACGCGATGTCGTAACCGGCCTGCGGAGTGGCGACGACGGAGCCGTTTGCGCCGCCGTCGCGCTTTTCGTGCTCAGCCAGGGCTCTCTTAGCCGCTCGCCGCACGTGTGCGGGTGCCGGCGCATTGTATCTCTTGAAAAGTTTCTCTAGCTCCAACGGCCCGCTTCTTGCGACTCTGCCGGCAGGTTCCTCGGAAAGAGTGACGCCTTGGTTCCGCTTCTCTAGGGGCTTGGTGTCGGCAAAAGAAATAAGGCCCAGCAGGGCAGTGAAAAATACCGTTCTCATGGTAAGGAATGGGGTCTTCTGGTATGAAAGAAAGTCGAAGTCAGAAGACTCAAAAGGAAAGAAGGTGTGGGGAGAGACGACCAGGAGGGGGGGAGAAGGAGGTCTAGAGAGAAGGTGCAGGGCGGCCGACGAATGCGCCTGCGTATATACTCAGCCACTGTTTGGGTTACGTTCTGGGGTACTCGACCCCTCGGCCATGATGGCGTTGACTTTGCAGGAAGGCTTTCGCCTGGCGGCGGGCAGTGTCACGGCAGCGGCACCATCGGGGGCGGCCATTGGCTGCTTTGCCCGAAAAACGGGGGGCGTTTCCACGACTTGAAACCTCTGCAGCTGCGGGTCGAGTTAGGGTTCCGCTCCAAGACAAAAGACCTCAAAAGTCCGAGAAGAGTCGAGGCCCCCGACGCGCGTTCGGGGATACGGGGTGTGCGGATTTTCTTATCTAAGCCCGCAGGCGGTTGGCGGGTACACAGCGGCTGGTCCCAAAGCGGATTGTGACGAGAGCCCATTGGGTACGTTGACTTCCCGTTGGGCCGAAGACGAGGCCTGTGGCTGCTGATTCGCACGACTCTGATGTCAGTTGGTGCAATCCGGGGTCTCGTTCCCATTTGCCGGTGTCGATCTCCGCCGCCCGCTACGACATCATTGGCTAGACTCGCGGCCGCCCCCCTGTGGAACTCTGGCAATCAAGGGAGATCACACCAGCCCTATCTCCACTACCACGCGTTCAGCACGAGCTCTCTCCCTCGTAAAGTTGACTCGTGCAATTGCAAATCTTCGTCCATCATCATCGCTCTAAAGGCAAAGACCTTGCTGCCGGCCTCACGCTCTCTCGTGCCTTTTTTGGTTCCAATCACTACGTACTCAGTCCTAGCCCAGGGGAAACAAGGTTCGCGGCTCGGGGGTTTCCAGCCCGCATCCGGCCCAGTTTGGCACGATTTTTTACGGCTCAACCCGAGAGCCTTTTTCTAGGGCCAAGCCGCGTGGCTGGAGATATATATGGCTCCCAGCAAAAAGGCAACCCCGCCCTCAACCGACGAACGGTTCTCTATCGATGCTCATTTGCTCTCGTGGACGTCAGAATGTCAGAAATGTGATAATGGCCGTTGGCTAGTCGCATATGTAGTGTCGTTGACCGGTACAGTGGCACCATGGCCCACGCCCCTTTGCGCCATTGTTGCTACTCTAGACCGTTTGTTCCAACGACTTACTTTAGCTCTCTCCTAGTGTGCGGGGAATGTCGCACCACGATCCGAAGGACGGGACTGGGTAGCTTCATGGCTTCATGGACAAGCCACCGAGCTTAGGAACGGCTTGGAAGCCGGCGCTTTGTCTCCACAGTGGGCTTTCTTTTGCTCAACGATTTTACAGTTCTAAGCTACCTTGTTGTGGTGGTGGAATCGCTGACGGGTCATCAGGATAAGGATTCTGCTGTCTGTGCTTTTGTGTCACCGGATGGCGGTGTTCCGAGCGCATGTTGTGTGCCTGCAGATGCGGGGGAAAGTACCTGGATGTATGTACAACGATGTGTTGTCGTCACATTTTATGTCGCGAAATGACTATGATGCACACAATTTACTGAAGCGGCATTGTTCATACTGCCCTTGTACATGACTTTAATGCAGATGTATCCTGCAGGGTGAGTTTCGTAATAAGCTATAGAGGTACAAGGATATAGATGCATCCTACGAGACTAAAGATTGTAGGTAAATGGTAAAGGCATCGGGTAATTTTCCCGTCCTTTTCGACTTTTTGCCCACCATATGTACCTTTGGCCTGTTCGTCTTTGCATCCCCGCACTCCTTATAGTATACTCACATTTCTTTATCTTCTTACTGTCGTGTCTTGTTTTTAAACCCTTTCACTTTTCTGCTTCTATACTCTTGTAAGATACTTCTTTACCGTTGTGCCTTCTTACCATCACATCTTTGTAGGGTATCTTAACTCTTGCATCTTTCTATCACCATACTCTTAGGGTAATTCCGTATTCATATATATATTAGCCTTTTGCTAGCCCTATGCGCCTCCCGCCCGCCACTGTAAAGCCCTCCGCTAAGGGTGACTCGAAGCAGAAGGAATTGTTGTTTGGTCCTTTGAAGGTATAACTGGAGGAGGAGTAGGAGGAGGAGGAGGAGGAGGCCATAGGCGCGAAGCAGTGGCGATTGCTACATTTAGTTGCATAGGCTGTTCGCTATCGGTTCGGGTGCGTTGACTGCTTTCTACCTGCCATCCCACGACAATCAACGAGGTCACGTTCACATTCACTAGAAGCTTCACAGTCAAAATCGGAACTTACTTTAACAGGAAGGTAGGATAAAAGTACCTAGGCGTTTGCATGTCACGTGAAGCAACCTCGCACGCTGTGGGCAAGTGGTCTATCAATACTTCACCCTCACCCTCACCATTCTCCTCCTTCTCATTCCCCTCTTCTTCCTCCTTCTCATCCTCAGAAGAACCATGACCAACACCCCTCCAATCAAGCAAGAACCACAACGCGAAGCCTCAGCCGCGCAATCGAGCACTACCGTGCCGAGCAATGTACTGAAACCTCAGCCGCGCAAGACAACGTTGACGCAAAGTGTGGCGCAGAACATGTCTCCCAACCCTAAATCGACTCAATCAAGCAACGTCACATCAATCTTGGGGAAGGGAAAGAGAAAGATGGAAGACGACCTGGAGACAAGCGTTTGCGCCGCCAACAGATCGAAGCCGCGCACAGCCAGTCGGAACTACAGCGACAGCTGATCGAGTCCGAGGGCAAACGTTCGAAGCTGCAGGATCAGCTGGCTGAGTCTGAGGGCAAACGTTCGAAGTTGCAGCAACAGTTGACCGAGTCCGAGCGTGAACACTCCAACGTACAACACCATCTAAGAGTCACTTCCATTGACAAGTTTGCCGATATCCAGCTTCAGTTGACCGAATCAGCAAAGAAATACGGCGACCTTGAAAGGGACTACAAGGATAAATGGGCGAAATTGAACACTATCACTTCCTCGAAGAATCGGCTACATGTCAAGAAAGATCAACTACAACGCGAGAAAGATCGACTCCAACGCGAGAACGATCTGCTGCAACTCGAGGAAGATCTGTTCGAACTCTTGAAGAATCAGCTGCAACTCGAAGTGAAGACGTGCAGCGAGAAACAGTTCTACGAGCGCGGCCGATATTCCCTTCTGCTAGAACATCTGCAAAAGAACAAGATTGACATCCCTAAGGAGCTCACGACCTCTCCTTAGCTTAGCATAGCATGCTAACGGCATTACGGAATGAGCATGACGGAAAGCTCTTGATAACAGCTTATGGTGGGCGAATTATGGCGTTTCGGGCTACTATCTGCGTGGTATTTCGGCAAAAGTTCCTGACTACGGTTTATACGGGACGAATGGTGGCGTTGAGGGTTGGGAGCTTATGGCAATTCGACAAAACTTTTTAAATATGGTTTATAGCAGGAAGCATGGAACAGTGCAGACACAAAAAGTCAACAAAAGTCTTTGATAGCCATGGTCGAACGAATAACAGCATGGGAAGGCTAGTCATGGCAATACAATTAAAAGTTCCTAAAGGTAATACGGGTGGTGATGATGAGTAACGTTTCTACTATCACTATGAAAACGTAAAACACAAAAGGCACTGGAAAATTTACTCACCCTCTCTATTTAATTAACTCACCCTACGTGATGACAAACCAGCAGACCTACCGTACTTTTATAGAATACTAACCTGCTCTTATATATCCGCACCTTTATACCCTTTTAAGTACTATTATACCTACGCAAGTCCTCAACACCCTAGCTACCTAGCGACCACATAGCCTGGCAATATAGCTACTTATAACTACCGAAGGAGTGATCAATGGATAGACGAGGTTCTACTTGTTAAGGGGTAGGCGAAATAGTTATAGGGACTAGTAGGTATACTGTCGTTAAGAGCGTTTTATTGTCCTTTTATGCCTATACTAATTTCACTCAATCACTGGTCCCGCTATAAATAAAGCACTTTTGAATTAAATGTCTGTCCTGTTCCCGAGCTACCATTCATTCGTCCTTCCACTGAATATCAAGAACTTTTTGTCGTTGTCCCGTAATACTAACGTCCAACGCCGCCGTTCACCCCCCGCCATTGATTATTAACTGTTATGAAGAACTTTTCACTGAGTTGCCCTGCCTCATTCAGTGCTCGCTCTTGAACAATTCTCGCTCCTCACTGAAAGCTCGCTCTTCAGTAAGTTCTCGCTCCTCTCAATGAGCCCTACGAGCAGGGAAATCGAACTCTCTCGGAATGTCAACCCCTTGCATCTCCAGAAGCTGCATCAAGAAGCAGTTCCGGCCATGTTCGGTGAAGTACTCGTCGCGATACCATCTCATCTCGGCGAGCAGCTGATCCCTTTGATTTATGAGAAACTCCTTTTCCGCGATTTTGATCTCATATCTCGCTCTGAGTATGTAGTATGGCTTTTTTGACTCGCTCAGCTGTTGCTGCAGTTCAGTACGGACTTCTTTCAGCATATTTCTCTCTTCTGCGCACTCTGTCAATTGCTCTTACAGCCTGTTTTTTTTTTCTTCTAAACACTGCCCGAGGCGCTTTCCTAGCTCCGTGGCTTCGTCGTTATGCTCTCTCTTTCGCTTCTTTGAGGCGTCTTGCGCAGTTGACTGATGTTCTGAACTGCGAGTTGACTGATGCTCCGAGCTGTGAGTTGACTGCCGTTCCAAACAATATTCTGAATCCTCAACATTTTCAATGATGTTGCCACATTCCTCCGATGAACGACTAAGGTCCTCTTTGATACTGTTATTTGAGGAACCAACACTTGAGGACTGGCTTCTGCTTTGCGTGGTATTGCTCGGTCCAGTGTTCAGTGCATTGAGCGATCGAGCGTTGAAAGCATTCAACCGTGATCTTTGCGTGTCTGGAATGTCGTCGGTCATTGCTCTCATGGTCTTGCAATCTGTTGACTAACGGGTTTTGGGAGGAGGAGGAGTAGGCGAATATAGAGGTGGCGGTGGTGGTTGAATAAAAAGAAGAAGAGGAGGAGGAGAAGAAGGACAAGGGGGAGGTATTTATAGACCCCTACTCGAGCACACGCAGTTGCCTAATTTGGTAAGTGTCCTATTATACCTTCCTATCCTAGTAGTACGAAGACGGCCTACTCCCTTCCTGCCTTCCTCTTCTGACCGCAAACAGAGTAGGCGGTATAGCGTAACTAGAAAGAGCTTTCCCGCTCTTTCCCGACGTAGATTCGACTATAAAGTACTATATACTATTAAAAACTATCCCTATCGATTATCTATAGGAATAGACATCCAGACGAAAAGTAGAACGTAGTCTATAGTCGACTATATACGTATATAGACACAACTTTCTCCTCGCTATACGACTACCACGCCATTACACCCCCTAGAGTACTCCATACCCTCGCTTACGTAGCTAGCCTAACCACACAAAAAGCACGCGATAGCCACATAACTACAAAGCCTCGAGTAGCAGGTGAAGGGTTGAGTAGGCTGAAAATGCAACTAAGACTTAGTACCAAGATCCGGTGTTTGTAGTCCGTGAAAGAGTGTGTTTATGGGTATGTGACTTGCGCGTGGATATGCGGGTATCATGCCTTTGTACCCACGTGGAGTGCTCTGTACTCTTGTGCAGGTAGTTATGCTGTATGTGTAGGAAATAAGAGATCGGTGTCTGTGCACTGTATGTGTGTGTATGCGTCAGTTTAAGTAGATGCGCTCTTCCTGAATGTACTGTACAAACGAAAAAGCAAGCACGTTTCCCGTTCGCTATCCACAACCACCACGTACCCACCAATTTCCCCCAGAGAGGGCCTCCCTTCCCACCCCACCCCAACCCACACACTAAGCCGGCAACCAGCCAATCTCCTCCATCGGCCACCTAATCAACGCCCTAAACTCCTCATCCAGGGCGTAATAAATGCCCGCAATAAGATGGCACATCCAGCCGCGCATCCACCACGCACTATCCAGCTGCTTCAGCAGCACGCAAAAGTGCGCAAAGATGGCCAGCGCCTCGGGCTTGCGCTGCTGCAGCAGCGCCACAAACTCGTTGTCCACGCAGTACAGCCACCGGAACGTCGACTGCGACTCGTATGCTGGCGCCGGGGAAGAGGTCACCCACGCGAGCGAGCGCGAAAGGTCGTTTAGTGCGGTCAGGTAGGTGGGCCGCAGGGGCGCGGGCGTCGTGTCGTGGATGAAGGCGCGCAGGTGCGTTATGTTCTGTTTAAGGGAGTTAGTTTGTGGGAGGACTTGCTTTTTCTTTTTTCTTTTGGGGGGTGGGTGGGAGATGGTTGCGCCGTACCTCGTTCTCGGGCAGGTCGGCCCCGTGCTGCATCTGCAGGCGGCGCACGGCCGACGAAAACATGGGTCCCAAGGGCCCGTTCTTGATAGAGTCGGGCGCCATTTCGATGATGGAGCGGATGCCGCGGAAGAGGACGAGCCACTCGGCGATGCCCTTGTCGCTAAAGAGGAGGAACTCGCCCGGCTTGGGGCCCTTGCCCAGCGTGAAGATGCACATGAAGATGGTGAAGATGTACAGGGCGTGGCAGTTCTGCTCGGTGATGTTTGTCTGTAGGAGGGCCGAGGCTTCGCGCAGCCCCAGGTCGTGGTGCGCGAACGCCTGCGCACGGTAGTAGTCTGCGCGCGCGGGCTTGAAATGGCTGAGGTGGATGGCTGACATGGCTAGGATGCCGTGCATGACGAAGGGGAAGGCGAAGCCGATTTCTGGCACGTTGATCCGGTAGAGGCTGCGCAGGGCGGGCAGCGGCGACATGGTTTGCGCGGTTGAGGTGCAGTAGTTGTGCAGGAGTTCGAGGTCGGCGATGTTGAGCGTGGGGGAGGGGGGCGAGGAGAGGGAGGGCGGGATGGTGGGCGGGGTGATTAAGGTCGTGGGCGTGGTTTGGGATTGGGATGCGCCTGGCGTTGCTGCTGCGGCGGCATGGCTACTGGCGGTGGCGTACGGACTGGGCGTGTCGGCAGTGAAGGTTGGTGAGACACCGATTGAGGAGTGACCGCTGGGAGAGTAGCCTATCGGTGAGTGGCCGGTGGAGGAGTGTGCGGCTGGCGAATGGATAGCATGGTCGTCTACTGTCGGCGGCGCGAGGAGCTCGCCGGGACTGCTAGGCGCGGATGATGATGCTGTGCCTTGCAGAAAGTCGCAGCGGATGGAGTGACGGATGCAGTTTGTGCAGGCTGGTTTCTTCTCGTCGCACTACGTGGTAGTTAGTTGGTGTTGATGAATTAGTATTGGTCAATTTCCAGCTATAGGTAGGAGAGAGAACAGCTTCTTATGTCGATTGCCATGGGAACCCGGATGGGCTCAGGACTTCGTACTCGTGTTGTGTTATAAGCGGCGCGCGGATCATAAGGCAAAGGACTCATGGACCCCAACCAATCAAACAAAAAGGGAAGAAGATCCCCACGCAAGGACTAACGGAGAAATCAAGGATAAATATAAGCTTACCTTGATCCTACGCCTCTTGCAGTTGGCACAGCCGGAGCGCGACTTGCGGTGTGACCGACGCGAGGCGATGCGGGCGGCGGCCGAGGACGACTGCATGCTTCTTGCTTGTTTGCTTCCTCGCTACTACCGTCGACAAAGCGAGTGATTGTATGCGAAAGTTGACACGGTAAGGGAACGAGCGGGAACGAGCGAGACCTCCCGCAGCTCCCCTTCGTATTCGCATGTCGGCGCCCGGGGGCCGAGCTTCCGCGGCACCGGAGGTGGAGATTTGAGCCGCCACTCCGCCTTCTAGCTTCCATTTAGACTCATCAGTGTCATTCGACATGGTCCTTGTCATTCTGCTCTCATCTCAGCATTTGCATCTACCTTTACTATCTGGACCAATTCCTCTTCTAGGTATCTCCCCATATTCAAGGTTATGTCCCCCAATGCTTCCCGGAACGCCCAAGTACCCACAATGCCCGCCCTTTTGCAATCGCTCAAAACATGAAACATCATTACGGATCCCTCTACACCTCCGTCAAAGTGACAACCTCCTGCTTAGTCGGGCGCGCCGTCACAATCTTGAACCCGCTTTCCGCCGGCCTCTCGCCACGGAGCAACAAGCCAATAGCACTAGGATGGTCCCAGTTCATCCAGACGCAGACGCCAAACATGAGCAGCGCATCGAAAATGTACAAAAACACCTCGGTCGTCATCAAGAAGCCGTCGTTGCCCATGATGTACTCGATGACACGGAAGATGCTCCGGATCATGATGAGCACGCTGACGACGTACAGCGTCGTGAGGTACTTGCGCCATTGGATGGCCGGGTTCTGCGACTGCGCCGTGGGGTTGCGCCCGAGCCGGACGTGGAAAATCGCCGTGACGACGATGAAGAAGCCGAAGAAGAAGAGCTGCACGAACAGCCCGCCGATGATGACGTGTTCGCCCGTCTCTAGCGCATCGGGGTGGCCGTGCGCGGCCATGGCCATCAATCCGCCGCCTGTTGCATGTTGCGTTAGCTTGGATGCGCCATTGAGGTGTGTGTGTGTGTGTGTGTGTGGGCGAGTTGAAGACTTACCAGACGCTTGCATCAGGAACGACAGCACGTCGCCGCACACAAACAGCTTGGTCAAGAAACGCCGCCTGATGATGGAGCGCGAGTCGGCCTCGGTGAGCAGGATGATGCGCCCAAGGACCATGTAGATGGACGCGGCGAAGAGGGCCGGCGCAACCAGCAGGAAGATGCTCTGGATGATATACGGCGTCAGAGTCCAGTAGCCAGGTTCCTGGGCAGCGGAGCCCGCGCGGCCAGCATATCCAATGAGCTCAACTACAAAGCGGCAGATGTCAGTGTTCTGCATCGTACTCGCGGAGATCGCCATGGAAACGGAGATCAACCCGGGGTTTGGAGACTTACACCACCCGCCCAGCACAAAGGCAATCAGATACCACGTCCGCGTCTTGAACATCTGCACCATATGCAACGTCGTCGAGAGGAAGAACAAAATGGCGAAGATAACCGCGCCCGCCATCGTGGGCACGTAGCGGTAAAAGGCGAAGACAGCATGTTTGTAGTCGGGATCGGACATATTGGCAGCGTATGCGTATGCGTATGCGTATGTGTATGTATATGCGTATGGTACAAAGTAGCTAGTCGAGCAAGCTCCGCGAGGAGCAAAGGCAATTCGTAGATCGACGACGACGAGGCGGCGGCGGCGGCGGCGGCGGCGGTAGTTTGCAGGGAGCGTCGAAGCAAGCGATAGACAGCAGCGGCTGGCTGGTGAGCAGGCTCCTACGGAGTAGGAGTAGGAGTACTCCTAGGACGACAGGTAGAAACAGCGACAGCGACGGCGACGGCGTAGGTAAGTGTCCGTGAAAGCAGACGTATGTACGGAGTATGTACAGTACAGAAAGACCAAAAAGCAGCGGCCCCAGCCAGCTACATATAACAACGGCCTCTGCATCCATCGCGCCCCCGCCGAAAATAGGTAACTACCTAAGCCCCTCGACCTACTCCTAGGAGTAGTTAGCTTGTCGCGAGCGAGCGAACGAGCGAACGAGCGACAGGGATCATCGTGTTCGTATTCGCGTATTCTTATACCGACCGGCCTTCACCATCACTACCAAGAAGCACAACAACAAGCACAACAACAAGCACAACAAGCAGCAGCAGCCCAACACGCGCGAACCACACCCTTCATTTCACTCACTACACTCACGCAAACCCTCACAGCTCACTCCCATCCTCTCCCCCCCTCCTCTTCACGTCCAGGCAGCAGGCGCAAAACCAGCCTCTCGCACCCGCTCTCGCACCCGCACCCGTATTCGCACCCTCGTACTCGTTCCAACAAAGCGTCCTACCATACACAACGCGCCACCAGCGCTAAGAGTAGGCAACTAGCGGGCACTCCGCCCGCCCCTCCGCCCCTCGGCGCGGCGCCCAGCGGCGCCCAGAGACACGTGCGCCGTCGTCCACTCTCCGCCTTACCCCTCCTACCATGTCGTTAAATTATCGCGTGCATCGCAAAGCTTAAGTGGCGCGTCTACTTTTGCGCGTGTGCGGAAGCGAAACGATCGAGTTGCGGCTGCCAACCCCGACACCGAACAGAGGATCTGGTGGGAAGTCGCGGCATATCGGCGCCATCGTCGTGGCTGCGGCTCTTGCCGGCTTGAAGGTGAAAAGGTTGCCCGTTGCGCCATCAAATGCCGCCGTCACCAACATTCAGGAAGCAGTTGGCGAGCTCGTCGAACTGCTGCAGCTGAAAGACAGTGTGCGTCTCGCCAGGATGTACGTGGTCCAAATTGAACTTGCCTCTCTCAATTCGAGGACCATTGACGACGGTAAGGCGGGTCATGCAACACGACCATCTGCACGGCCTCTGAGTTGTTCTGATACTCTCCGTCAACATCATCTCACGATGTTCGTCATCACTCTCCAAAGACGACAAGAAGGTTGCCACGCCGCGCGCCAAGGGGGGGGGGGGGGGGGGGGGGGGGGGTTGGATGCGTTGCTTCTTCTTCTTCTTCTCCCAGGCAGTAGGTAAGCACCTAAGTAGGCGAAAGTGGTGATGGTGAACGACACACCCGACCCTACCAAACCCGATCAGATCGAACTTTAACGCCACGCATCACGCCCGAATCGCATCGCGGCCAGCACCAAGCTTGCAAGCACAATCTTCGATGCGTGCCGCAATGGATGCGCGTTCTAGAGGGCGATCATATGGATCTGCGCTGTACCTATAGCTCATCATCACCGACGGGTTGGAAACGGAAAGACAAAAACAAGAGCAAAAACAAAGGAGAAAAGTAAAAGCGAAGAAACAAAGTAAAGAGACCCGTCCATCACCGCTTGCAACATGTACCTCGTCTGAAAGAAAAGAAGCAAAGCCAAAGATATCGACACTTTGCTGACTTCTCTCAGATCATCATATTTTTATAGTAGTTAAGAATAGTCTGCACATGATAGCTACCAGTGTAGAACATACATGTTCAGTATGGTAAACACTTTGAAGAGTTACAATAAAGCTTTTAGTACAATAGAGACCGTAAACCACCTCAGTGAGTCTCCTTTTCTACCTCTATATATGAATATCTCACATTTGTAACTACGAAAAACAAAGCTCAACTTATTTAATCATCCGTCAAAGGAGGACAGCATATTCGCTACCCAACAACTACAGCAAGCACAACTTCGACAAAATCTCCAAACATCAGCCTCGACGAAAACAATCTGTCCTGCCGCTCGCTCCACAACACTCAGCGTCCACTGAGCAAAGTTGGTGCACCTAGTTGAGATGGAAAACACTTTCGAGTGCTGCCATGTCCAGTCCTCTTCCTACGTAAGTCTCGCACTGCCTCCACACCCAGAGATGAGGAAGTGTGTGCGACGCGCTGATGCGGCGGAGTTGTAACTTGTTCGTGGGTGGTGGTGGAGAGGATCTGTGGCTGGTTTTGATGGTGTTGGCTATTAGTCTGTGATGGCGAGCTTTGTCATCGTTCAAGATGCTCGCAGCTTGATGTGTGTTGTGTGTTTAGTTTACCTGGCAAAGAATGCTGCGTAGAGTGGAGGTTTGGGATTATTGCTGGCGGGACCCGCAGTGTATTTTAGTTCGTCCAATATGTTTCCGATATTCCTTGTTTGCAGCGCCAAAAGATGTTGCGTGCGATGGATGAAGGGGATGTGTCAACGACGGTTAGGATTATTGATATATCCGCCACCAACGCAATCCTCACCCACTCGCTCACTCACTCCCCTCCTACTCTCCACCACCCCGACCAACAACAACCCTATACACCCCCTCCGCCGCCCTCTCCACCCTTACCCTAACCAGCCCATCCCACCCCACCTCGACACTGACCCCTCCCTCATGCACAGCCAACCCCATCGCATCCCTCCCCTCAAGCAACACGCTCAAATCCTCCAACCCTCTCCCCACCACCCTAGCAGGCACAACAGCGACGCCCTGCGACCCGCTCGGGACGCTCCACTCTAGCACCCTCGCGCCTCCATCCTCCTCCTCCCACCTCGCCCAAAACCTCCCGCGCGGCGTCACGAACCCGCCCTCCGCCGACTCCAGCTCTCCCCAGCCCAACGGCTCTACCACCCACGCTCGCCCCCCGCGCTCCGTAACCCGCAGCCCGACGACAAACTGCGACAGCGCAGCTGTGGGCCCGGCGCTCCAGCCGTGCGCGTGCGAGACGTAGCTCGCGTCATTCGCGTAGCCCCTATCTTTCCGATAGGCCCAGGAGCCGTCGTCGCGCCAGCCCTCGGCGAGCGTGCTCTGCGTGCCGTTCGGGTGGTCGAGGTACCAGCCCCAGGTCGTGCGGAGAAGACGCAACGCGCGCGCAGGGTAGTGAGCCGAGAAGTGGGCGAGCAGCTCGAGAGAGGAGATGAAGGGCGAGATTGTGTGGGGGAGTTCTGGGGCTGCGGGGCCGAGCGGCGTCCAGTTTGCTGTGAGGGCTTGGGAGAGGGCGGTGCTGCTGTTGCGTGGCGGGAGGTTGTAGAGCAGGGCTAGGGCGTTGGCGTCTTGTGGGTAGAGGTTGGGGTGCGTGGCGTTGTCGGCGTAGAGGGCGTGGGCGGGCGAGAAGAGGTGCTTGTTTATGGCGGTGTGGAGAGTGGTGGCGCGGTGGGTGAAGAGGGCGCTGAGGGAGGTGAGGTTCGTGGTCGTGTTGGAGTCGCTCTCGCTGAGCCAGTCTGCGAGCGTGGCGCCGGTTGTGAGGGTGTGGTAGAGGCTGTGGGGAAATGGTCAGTCAGTTATACTCAAGCAAGATTGAGAGAATGGAGGGAGCACGCACATCATGTTCGCCTCGCTGTTATTCCCGCCCTGCACCAAGCGCGCCCAGTCCCTCGTCCCCGTCACATTCAACAAGCCGCTCTCCCCCACCTTCGCATACACAAACTCCATCGCCTTCAAATAGCCCTCCCAATTCCTGCTCAAAAACGCCACATCATCCGAGTACAACACGTAGTTATACGTGCCAATCATCGTCCACATATGATAAGTATCACTGCCCTTCTGGAGCAGCGGCGGGCCGGCCTCAGGAAACGCGCCCGTCGACGCATTCTGGTAGTCAAACATGACCTGGAGGGCGTTCCTCGCGCTGTCCAAATCCCCCGTACTAACCGCCACGCCCGGCAGCGCCACGCCCATATCCCCCGGCCACACCGCGCGGTCGCGCTTCGCGCCATCGACGAGTATCGTGTCCCCGGGGCCGAGCGTGCCGTTGTTGGCCCAGCCCTCGCTCAGGAACGGCACCGCGCGGCCGGTGTCAGGCGGCACCGCGTTCGTCTGCAGCGTGTATGCGCCCGCGTACCAGATGCGGTTGAGCAGCTCGTCGCTGCTGTGGAAGTACCCCTGATACGCGCGCAAATCGGGCCACGTCGGCTGGAACCCGATCTCCGTGTTTATGTCGCTGATGCTGATGCTCGTGTCCGTGGTATTCGTCACAAGGAACAGCGTCAGGTAGCGGAACCCGCCGCGCAGCTGTGCGTCCGGCACCGCGTACGCTGCGTCCTGTGTCTTGCCCGTGAAGCGCGCGTACACGGCCCGGTCTGGGCCCTTGAACGCTCCGTTCGACCCGTCTGACCACTCGCCGATCCAGTCTTTCGCTTCCGAGAATGCGAGGCCGAGGGCACCGGCGTCCGTGGATGAGTATTGCAGGTGCACGATGCCGCCGACCTCGATGCCGAAGTCGAGGACCAGCGCCGAGCCATTGCCCCGCAGTTCGATGGGCGATGAGGCGGTGTAGTTTCCAATCTGCTCGCCGGTCGCGAGGTCGATGATCGCTTTGGGCGAGACAAGGCGCGAGGATGGGGCGTAGATGTTGGAGTCCCAAGGCCCAGGGAAGGCGGCGCCGGTAGGGCCAGAGCAAGTCGTGTTTCTCCAGCAGGACGATGACGCAGACGACGAGGACGAGAGCGAGGAACCGGCCTGCGCCGAAACAGCAGCCGCAGCAGCAGCAGTATCAGCGCCGAGCACAGCGGCCACTGTCACAGCAGCAGCGAAAGACACAAATCTCAGCATCATGCAATGCCGCCCCAAAATCAACAGGGCCGTAGAAGGTACATAGCACCCGTCCGCGCCTTTTCCGGGCGCAGCGCTTTTTCAATGGCTTCAATGCTGCGTGCTGCAGGCCATGACGTTTCGCGCAGCAGGTTGCCCGAATGGGCAGTTCGCGGGGGATATTAACCCGAGCGCGAGGCAGTTTCTCCGGGTCAGTTGGCTGGGGCCTGGCGATCCCCTTGACGATTGCGGGGGCGGGTAGATTTGCATTGGTCGAGAGGGCTGGCGGGGGTCGGCTGGCGATATTGGGTCTGTGCGGTACTCGCTTCGTGGGAGCTGGGTTTCCGCTTGGCTATGCATGTGGTGGCAAGGGTGCTGAAAGCGTGTGTTTTAGGGCTGTCCGGCGAGGATGGGTGTTTTTGAACAACCACTTTGTTGCTCTGCCAGGCATGTGTTCGTGTCCGGACTCCTACCACCGCATGGCTCGAACTGGCTTGGTAGTTATTCACCAGTCGTGAAGATAGACTAAGAAGTTGAAGTCGTCAATATTCAGGCCTGGTCCTTCTACTTGGGGCCGTCTGAGTGAATCTAAAGGTACGTTTGATTTCGTTGCCGAATCGAGCAAAGTGGGGTCATCCCACTGCACACAGGAAAACAAGTCGCAGTGGGGAACTCCAAAAGCGTCGCAGTTTGTATTTGAACATGCAGGAGGAACAGCTGCTGTGGTAGAACTCTCTGGTAAACTTAACCTGAACAAATCCTCGCCGAAGTCGTTTATTCTGGTATGTACATCTATAGGAATTGTATCTTCGAGATTAACCGGCATTGACTCCATCCTTTCCTGGATAGTTCCAAGGTCCGGGGCTGTCTGATCCATGATATTTTGCAACTCTGGAGCCTGGCCTGGGAGCTGTCGACTTTGAACATCACTGCGAGGCTGCAAAGTTTCCATATGTATGTCTGGCATTGGACACCAAGTCGTTGTCTGCGAGGCACTTGATACCGATTCAGTCGGAGAATTTTTCTCAAGAACACTGAATTGTGACATGTACGTTGGTGGGACACCGGATTTCTCCTCGTTAGCACCGTCAATTGCTCCGCCATCGTGATTTCTTCTCTTCTGAATCGTGGAGTGTTGAGGGTATGCGCGGATCATGGCAATACAGATCCTGATTCGAGCAAAAAAACTTGTGTCTGATTTCCGTTTCTTTGCCATATACTTTGCGTATTCTATGGCACCCTTGTTAAAACAGTCCATAGCGTACACATCGATATGGTGGTCGAGTAGCACTTGACAAGCCGATACGTTTGCGGATTCTGCGGCGAGGTGGAGTAACGTCTGGCTCAGTAGTGTTTGGGCATGTATTACGGTGTCGTCTTCCTTCAACAGGGCTGTTAAATGAGCGCAAATGGTCTCCTCGGTTATCCTTGGTTGAGTTGTTCGATCCTGCGATCCTACCGACTGTAGTAGCTTTATTGCAGAGGAGTGAATTGTCCTGTTTGATTTTGATGTTTTTAACGGAAAGCCTTTGACTAAAATTTCAGTTCTATTGTTGCCAGAAAATCTGGCAATGGCGCTCCCTCCAGTATCGCAAAGGCTGGGAGATGGTGCTAAGAAGTCTTCGGCAAGCCATGCAATATAGCCATCTGAGTATTGTAGGTCCGCTGCGTTGTTTTCAACAGGACTTGGGCATATGGTTACATCTGTCTCTGCCGTGTCCTCGGTAGTGTCCAGATCAGTACAACCGTGAAGCGGGTTGACGAAGGTGGAAGATAAAGGCGAATTGGAAGACTGTAGCAAATCGTGACTCTTCTTTCCAATCGTTTCCAAGTAGCGTTGATATGCCCGTAAGCTTCTCTTACGTCGGAGTTCAATTTTGTTTTCGTCTTTTAACCTGAAATCCTTTTGATTGGCCCCGGTCAATTCTTTAAATTTCGTTCGACAGTGATACTGACTATCAAAACATTAGCCTGAGTGTATAGGTAGGGAAAAGGTTGTAGCTTTATTAAGTACCTGGGTACAAACCCATTTACTTCGTCCTTGAGTAAAGATGGTATCTTCTGAATTGGGCAGTTCGTGTCCAGTATGAGCCGAACGAGAGCTCGCTCCTGTTTTGGACTCCACTTCAGGGAAGGTCTTCCAGGACGGGCATTCTGAGAACTTTTCGGTCGTTTCTCTGGTTGAACGTGCTGATCAGTCCTCTTCCGCTTCAGGGTTTGTGAGCCCTGTTGTTCGGCTCTGGTGTCGCAAGGTCCATCCTTGGGGCGATCGGTAAGGTCATTGGATTTGTTCATGTTGAAAAAGTGAGTTGAGAAGGCTGATGACAGACAAAGACATCGTCTACAGACCCGGACGGCTGCGCATACTTATAGACGGGGCAAGGCTGGAGGTCTGTGAAAATCATTGGTTAACAGGGTTTTTTGAACTCGCTCAAAAGGGAGTAGCTGGCTCTTCCCAGATGCAAGGCGCATGCAAGTCCAGACAAGGTCCCCGGGCGCTATTCCCCATCCAGCGAGTTCAAAAAATACCCCCTCACCAATCAACTCGTGATAAGTAGATTATCAGCTTACCGGTGCCACTTTGACGCAATCTTACGCAGACCTTTTCCCGAATGTCCGACTTCAAAAAACTGTCGTGTTACTGTGGCTTTTGAGCCTAATTTTGGCACACGACAGCCATGTCTTTACTCTTTCTCGTGGCCTTACCATACTAAGAACAGTCTTTTAAAAATCCATTTTCGGACTTTCAAAAACTAAGTAGTTGTCAACTCAGCTGGCTCATCACTGTGGCGCAGCTTCATCGTCCCAAAATGTCGATTGCAAAAAAGCGCCTGTGTGGTTATATAGTGCTCGCACGATTGAGAGCCCTGCTGTACATAGCTGTCAGTTCATTCCGTCAACACCAAGAATTCACACACCTTCTCCACACCTGAATTTACCATGGCACTTACCCAAGAATCCGTCATCGGCCTCGCCCTCGGCATCCCTACACTACTCCTCGCAATCCTCGCCCTGTTTCTCAAGCACCGGACCCGTCTCAACAAGCGTCCGTCTCCGTCCCGTGTCACTGGCGTGCATGTACTTACTGGCTGACACGGCATTGCAGCAGCGTCTGCCAACAACGACAACAAAAACGACGCCGCCGCCGCGGGAACTAGCTCGTCACAAAGTCCCGTCTAGGCAGCCCCGCTCTTGCAAGCAATCCTAGTGGGAAGATGAAGCGTACAATACATGCGATTATGGGCGTGCTCTCAGTAGACTGTCTGGTTGTTTATTTCATAATTGAACAATATGGATGAAGGGCAGCGAGAATAGAAAGACTGGGAGGACAGAGACGAGAGAAGAGGAAAGGACAAGAGGAACAAGCAGAAATCCAAGGAACGTTAGACGTCCTGACTTACCTCACCATGTAAAGAACGTTCCCCCTTCTCCCCCCACAAACATTCAAGCACACAAACCTCACAAAGCACGCAACCCCCACAACCAATCAAACAATCAAACAACTAGACACCACCACACATAGCAAACCAATCGATCTTTTCGTCTTAATGATCTAAGCAGTAGTAGTCGTTCATATATGCAAGCTCTTCATCGTCTGACAAAAACAGAAAAAAAAGAAAGGAAAAAGAAACAGAGGAAATCTCAAACATTCAATGGAAGTCTTGCAGGTCGAAGAAATGCCGCACGCCCGGCTTTCAGCTCTCTTTTTGTCTGCCCCCGCTTCGCTTCGCTTCGTCGCTGCTGCTGGCGCTTCTGCTGCTGTGCTTTCTTTCTTCGCTCCCTCCCTTCCTCGTCACCACTGTCTGCTTGTGAGTGAGGGCCAGCAAGCTAGCTGGCTGGCTGGCCAACAGAGCTCTGGGGTGAGAGTAAGAGTTCATCGACCCAACAGTCCAGCCCAGCACACCTCACAAACAAGGCCCCCCTATCTATCCCTATCATACACGCAAGCGTGAGTGACCTCGTGAGAGAGTGAGAGAGAGTAATCTACCCCCTCCCGCTTAAGAAGAAGCAGGCTTCTCCACGTTCCCCCTAACGCCGCCCTTGGCGCCAACCTCACGCACAACGCACTGCACGGACAGGTCCGCGCCGACGTTGATCTGGACCTCGACCTTGCCGCCCTTCTTGACGCCCTTGAGCGCCGCCTCGGCAATCGCGCCCGACGTCTTCCACACCTTGGAGCGAATCTCCTCGGGCTCGTCGTCCGAGTCAAAGTCCGAGACGTCCTCGTCCTCCTCGCCCTCCTTGGCGCCATCCTCCTTCGGCTTCGCCTCCGGCTTCTCCACCTTGATGTCGCGCGCGCCCTCACAGATCTTGACCAGCACGTCGCCGCCCTCGCGCGGCGTCGCAATCGTCGCCGTGCGGCGCACCGGCACCGCCGTGAACGCCGGAATCAGCGGCTGGAAGATGCCCGACTCCTCGCTCTCCGAGATGCACAGCACGCCCAGCGCCTTGGCCAAGTGAGGCGTCACCGTCACCGCGGGGTGCGTGCTCTGCTCAATGTCCTCGTGCTCGAACTCCGCGATCAACGACGCCTGGATCGCCGCACCGCGCGCCGCCAGCTCAGAGGGGTTGATGGCCGCGGGGGTGGTGGCGGGCGCCAGAACCGACGTGCTCTCCGGGAACGCGGACTGCATGTTGCGCGCGATCTTGGGCGTGTGCGAGGTACCGCCGGCGAGGATGATCTCGTCAACGTCGAGGACGTCGAGCTCGGCCTTCTCGACGGCGTGGGTGACCAGGCGGACGAAGCTGGCAACGTGCTTGTTGGCGAGCAGGTCGTAGCGGGTGCGGTTGATGGTGGCGGTGTAGTCGATGCCGTCCGCCAGGCTCTCAACGCTGAAGTTGGCCGACTGGCCGATCGACAGCGACTTCTTGACCGCCTCGCACTCGAGCTTCAGCTTGGCCATGCTGCGCTCGTTCTGGCGCGGGTCCGACGCCTTGTGCTTCTTCATGAACTCCTTGGCGAAGTAGTCCATAAGGACCTCGTCGAGCTGGGCACCACCAAGGTCGTAGTCGTGCGCAGTGGCGAGGATGGTGTAGATGCCGCCGTGCGAGGCAACAACGGCGACGTCGGAGCGGGTGCCACCCAGATCCGCAACCACGACGACCTTGTCCGAGACCTTGGCATCGGGGCGGGCATCGTAAGCCAGGACGGCGGAGATGGGCTCGTGGATGAACTGCAGGACCTCAAGCTCGGCGTCCTTGGCGGCCTTGGTGAGGGCCTCCTTCTGGTGGTCGGAGAAGTTGGTGGGGACGGTGATAACGGCGGCGTTGACGGTCTTGCCCAGGTAGTCGGTGGCCGAGTTCTTCAGGCGGCGCAGGTGCCTGGTGGTGATCTCGGAGACGGTGCGCGTGTGCTCGGCATCCTCCTCGGTGTCCTTTATCGAGAAGGCGATGGTCGACTCGTGCTCCTTGGGGTGAGCCGACTGGTGGCACGGCGTAGGGTCTATCGACTTGAACCTGCATAGCTATCAGACATGTGGCTTCGGCGAAACAAGGGCCGGGGAACGCACTCTTGGCCGATGAAGTCCCTGAAGTAGGCAACGGTGTTCTTGGGGTTGCGGACAAGCTGCGACTTGGCCTGGGTGCCCTGGAACTCTTCACCGGAGACGTAGGACAGGATGGTGGGGATCTGACGGTCTACAGCGAGCATTGTCAGCGCTCAATCGTCGCGGAAAACGGGGCCAGCGCCGTGTCACTCACCTCCCTCCTCGTTGGCAATGACCTCGGCCTTGCCCTCCTGCTGGGATGTCAGTATTCGATATTTCAGATACGGGGAAGCGTGGCCGGCGTACGCCAGAAGTCCAGGCGATGGAACTGTAGGAGTTGCCGAAGGAAATGCCAATGGCGACCCTCTGGGGGCTAGTCTCGTCGGCGCTCATGATTGCTGGTGGTGAAATGCGTGTATTGCTGCTTGCATTTCAGCCCGCGGCCATCGAGATTTTTTGTTTGGGATGCGCGGGATTACGTAAGGCTCCCGCCCTGCAGCTAAATGCCCGCTACCAAACCCACCTTTACAACTACAAACACTCCCCCATCTTACCATGGCCGCCCGAATCCTGTTACCCAGCGACGATGCCCCTCCTAAAACCCCAGCAAGCCCTTGATGCGCATCTCGAGCCTGTGACCGACACGCCCCACCCGCAAACACCCACCACTACGCCCGGCGCCCTGCAAACCGACCGCCGCAAAGACGCTGCCTGGATCAACTCCAACAGCGGCCCCATAAGCCTCTCCCAAGCAGCGGATATGGAAGGAGGCCCGACACAGCTACTAGTACCAGACACGCTGTTCGAGAAGTTGCGGGTTGAGGTTTCGGTAGGGCGGAACAGTTGCGCGCGTTGATTGCGTCAAGGGTACATAACAACCGAGTAGGCACTGTAGCATAGAGACACAAAAGCACTGAGCGTAAAAGCGCAGCGCGCGTACGTTCATTGTCAACATTCCACAACACGTACAGGCGAGTAGCTATAGATACGAGATAACACAGAGGTACGAAGACATGAGGGTATTTCACGTGGAAATGGGGGCGTAGAGGTTGGACAGTCCCAAAATATGTTGTGAGAGTATGGAGGTATGAAGTTTGGGAGGTATCAAAGTATTTCATAGATTTATACAGCTAGACACTGCGTATCCGAAATGGGGAGGCTAGGACAGTAAAAGAGAGGGCAAATCATCCGGGACCTTCACCATTATTGCACTAAAAATGCCGTCTTGAACGACCCATAGCTGCGTAACAACATTGTTCGAAAGACTCGACGTCTATCTAGCCATCATCATAATCTCCACAGTCCCCATTCCAGCAAGCAGCCATATCTACGGCAGAACCCTCGACGGGTCCCTAGGGAACAAGCTGGCGAGCCTGACATTACCAACGCCAGCCCAGAAGGCAACAATACGCTCGAGACCGAACCCGCCACCGGCGTGGGGCGGACAGCCGTAGCGGAAGCCGTCGACGTAGTCCTTGAGGCCCGCGCCGTCGGGGTTGACCGGCGGGTCCATCGCCTTGCAGCGCTGCGACAGCAGGCCCGCGTCGTGCACACGCTGCGCGCCCGACATGATCTCCTGCCCGCGCATGAACATGTCGTACGAGTTGGAGAGCTGCGGGTCGTGCGGCGACGGCATCGTGTAGAACGGACGCACGGCCAGCGGGAACTGGTCCAGGACGTAGAAGTCGGAGCCGAACTTGTCGAGGACGAGCTTGCCGAGAAGCTTCTCCTGGGGGGTGCTGTGCGGGACGGGATGCGTTAGCCGTGAATTCTTAGGGTGATGGTGATTGTTACATGGGAACAGCTTACCTCAGGTCCTCGTAGTCGCCCAACTCCTCACCGGCTTCGCGGAGCATCTGGACACCCTCCTTGAACGGGATAATGGGGACCTTGCCGTCGGCCGGCAGCTTGAAGTCCTCAATGATGTGCTTGCCCGAGCTGGCCCACTCGCGGATAATGTCAGTCTCCTTGCCGTAGCGCTCACGCAGACCCTTGAAGATGAAGAGAAGCATCTCGACGATGAGGTCGACGACCTCGTGGTAGTCCTCCTCGAATGCCATTTCCATATCGAGACCAGTGAACTCAGTCAAGTGACGCGCCGTGTTCGAGTTCTCGGCACGGAAGACGGGGCCAATCTCGAAGACCTTCTCGAAGCCACCAGCGATCAGCATCTGCTTGTACAGCTGCGGCGACTGCGCCAGGTAGGCCTTGCGGTCAAAGTACGTGCACTCGAAGACGTTGCTGCCACCCTCGGACGCCGCACCCAGCAGCTTGGGCGTCTGGATCATGGTGAAGTTCTTGGAGATCAAGAACTCCTGGTACAGCTGACAGATGCCGCTCTTGATGGTGAAGATGGCCTTGTTGTGGCCAGCACGCAGGTCAAGCACACGGTTGTCGAGCCTGGTAGCCAGCGCAACGCGCGGCCTCTCGCCCTCCTTCTCCTCCTCCGCGGCAGCGCCCTCCTCAGGCAGAGGCCTCTCCGCATCCTCGACCTGCAGCGGCAGCTGAGGCTCCGCCTTGGAAATGATGAACAGCCTCTGGATGTGAACCTCGAGGTTCTTGATCGTCGCGCTCTTGATGGGCTCCTTGACGTCGCGGACGAGGCCGTGGACCAGGACAATCGACTGTGCGCTGACGCTGCCCGCAAACTTGACCATCTGCCGCGACAGCTTCTCGCTCGCCGCAACCACGGCCTGAATCGTCTGATCGCCCTGGCGCAGGTTCAGGAACGCCAGCTTCGCCGACTGCGAACGCGCGTTGATGACGGTGCAGCGGAAAACGACCGCCTCCTCCTGCGCCTTGAGCTCGGTGAAGCTGATGCGCTTGTCGCCCGAGGGAGTGTACGGGGTGGAGCCCACCATGGGCAGGTCGCCGTAGTCGTTCGCAGAGACATCGGCCGCGCTCTCGCCGCCCTGGCTCTTCAGACGCTCCGCCATTTCACGCTCCTTGGCGGCGGCCTTCTTGGCGGCCTGTAAACTCAGTCGTCAGCGACTACCCATTGCGACTGCGTGCGTGCCGATTGATACCTTCTCGGCCTCCTTCTGAGCCTTCTTCAAGGCATTCTTGGAGGGGCCGGCCTCAGCGGGGGGTGCGTTGTCAGCCATTGTGTGTTTGAGAAATCAAGAAGTAAAACAACTCCGGTAGTGACCGTGAGTATGAGCTCTGACGTGTTGGTTGTTGTCGGGCGGAATTTGTTCGGCGGCGAGGTTCGACTTTTGTGGTGGGGTGCTTCCGGGATGTTGCCCCGCGGCAGTGGACTCACCGCGCCGGTGACTCAAGTCCGAATGTCACATCACTGCAAGCCGTCCACCATTGTCATCGCACAGAACAAGCATAAACCCAGCAGAGAATTCAAGTATTGCTAGCACAAAAACTATAAACTATCTTTACGACACCATTCGCCAATACCTTTGTACCCTAAAGCAAGCCCTCCAGGGACGCCATCGCTATGATATGTGTACCACTGCATACCCGATGCAAACCGTGGTAGTGTCATAGGAAACCGTCGGATATTTCCACAAGACGCCGTGAATCAGAGGTGTAGTCGCATCACACCCAAGAATTAAAGAAAATTTAACGAGCCAACGCGACACTAGGCTAAGTAAGAAATCTCCGTATGTCTAGTACTTGTCATCTTGCTGTTGTGACTGGCGCTCATTGACTTCGAAGATGTTGATGTGGTGATCGTTATACGATGAGGCCGCAATCATCATGCGATGAGGGTGGAATGCCGTGGAGGAAATTGGGTTCGTCCGCTTTGTGTGCAAGAAGCCAGCGTACGGCTCAAAGGACGAGAGAGACTTTCCAGTGTTGAGGTTGAAAAGCTTGACGACATGACGTTCGGAGCCACTATGACAAATTAGTCTGGTTGTGGGAGAATCCCAAGGGACCAAACTTACGTAGCAAATACCGGCGCATGCTCGTGAACGCTGAGAGTTCGCAAGTTGTCCTTGGACGCTTGGATTGTCTTCACGCTGCGGTCCATGCGAATGTCCCAAAGCTTGACCTCGCCACTACGACACGCGCTCACCAGCTCGCGCTGGCCGCCACGTTGAAGATGGACGTTTGTTACCCATTGCCTGTGTTCCTTCCACACTTTGACCATCTCGCGCTTCTTCTCCATGCGCTGGTCATAGATGCGCACAGCGCCGTCGCCAAAACCGGCAGCGAACACATGGCCTTCGACTTGGTCTGAAGTCAGTGAGGTAATACACGATCCAGAGCGCGCATTGATATCCTATGTCACTGTCAGTACACCGCTTTTGACTATGCATCTGTGACCACTTACCAAAGCACAAGTCTCCGTGCCAGCATTCCAAACGCGGATGACCCGGACATCACCGGCCACCAGGACGTGCCCACGGCCTTGCTGCCAATCAAAGACAAGGCCAGCATATCTGTTGCTCGGCACCAGATCCGTCAACGCCCGGAAAGCAGTCGCGAGTTCAGCTTTTCTAGGGTTCTCGTAGTCCCGATAAAGTTTTATTACTCCATCGGAGGAGCCAGTCATCAGAAGCGCTTGGTCGTCTTCGTTGATAAACTTGACTTCGGTGATCTTGGAGCCGTAGGGATTGCCGTTGGAGAACCGGTTCAGCTTGCTACTCCGTTCCCAGTCCCAGACTGTAACAACATCAGTGTCATCTGTCACCACAAGGTGGTCTTCAAACTGATGGAAGGTCATCTTCGCCGGCTGAGACAGGTTGTTGAAAAAACCGCTAGGCTTGTTCCAGGGACTGCTGCCGCCAGTCTCCTTCAATGGTTGGGTCTCAGCGATGATCCTGTCGTTGCGGTTACGGCGCCACAACCGTTGGTTGTAGTCCATACTACCCGGCTCATCGCCTTCGGCAGGCCTCATCTGCGGCTCTCGGAAGTACTCCACTGACCACTCAAAGAACTTGCTTTTCAAAGGAATGCTAGGCAGCTGGTCCACCTCGCGAGGCTTGTAGTTCCGTGACACGGGTACTTTTTCGGAACCCAGCATAACAGTCATGCGGCCAGAGTCCGATTCATCTTGCGCTTTGGTCCATTCAGAAGGGATCCGTCCTCTAGCGGATGGGCTGGGCTTAGCCGAGTTCTTCAGTGTGTTGCTAGGACTGGTATCTTGGTTTGAGCCGCCAAACGCAAGGTTCTTGAGCGAAGCTGCAACGCTGGCCGTACGGCGCATACCAGAAGCCAAGAAGCCGTCTTGCTTCGTGGTGTTAGGAGGCGTGGAAGGCTGTGATCCTTGCGAAGTGGCCTGGGAAAGGTCTACGAATGACCTGCGAGAAGGCACCTTGTCCCTCCTCTTTTTCTGATTGCTGAGCTCTGACACTTCATCCATCAGAGAATGGGCATATGGCATGAGAGAAGATTCAATGAGAGCATTGAGCACATAATCGATGATGAGAGTTGCGTTGACAGCCACCTCAGGGTGGGGATCGACAGAGAGAATCAGAATCTCCTTCCAAACGGCGGAGAAAACGGTGTTCTGGCTCATGGTCTCAGATGAATCATGATTGTCGTTAGCGGTTCCAGGGCGCTGGCCATTGACGTCCTCTACGTTGTTGGTGGGTTTCAAGAGAGCTTCCTTCTCTTCCAGCATCTGCTTGTAAGCAACGACAATAAACTTGTTGTCATACCTGGCCACAAATGTAGAAAAGAAGACGAGAAGTTCCTTCCGAACCATGCTATTACCGTCATGGGCCATGAACAGGAGATTACCTGCAATGGACTCTTCAATCTGGGCAACTTGCGGAGTGACGTCAGGGATACCCAAGAAGGTCGTCAAGGCATGGAGCATCGAAGCGCGAACTTCGGCGACCGGGTCTGTACGAAGGTACATGAGACGCTGGTATGCGCCGCACTGAATGCCAGTCCATTTGGCCTCTGGATAATCGATCCACAGCATGCTCAAGCAAAGGCAAGACCACTGCCGAAGCAAGGGGTTTTCAACGTCTCCTAGATGCTGCAAGCAGCTGTCCATAAGCTCAGGGCTGAGCGACACGACCTGTCCTTGATGGAAATCCTTGCAGAACATGGCTATGATGAAGGCGCACATGGCGCGGTGTTCAGCAGGGTTTCCGATGGGAATTCCTGTGTGATGTCAGTTGCGCTATTCTCTGAATGATTCAGTGGCGCTTACCTGAGTTGGGATGCAGGATGCTAATAAAATACGTGTAACCGTTATCCTTGAGCAGATCACTTTGGCACGATTGATCGACAGCCAATATGCGAGCCCATATGAACACCATGACCGGCTTCAACTCGACAGCTTGAGATTGCAACAGTTTCAAGACGTAAGGGAAGATACCAATGCTGAGTGCAAGGTTGACAGCCCATGGGCCCAGATCAAGGAATTTGCTCAGCAAGACCAGTGCGCGCAGACGGTGAACCTGACTCAGAAGCACCTGCAGAACAATGGGGAGCTGTTCCGGCACTTTTTGCTCCATGGCGCCGCCTTGGTTCAGGTACACGTCGAAGGCCGTGAGTTGTTCTGCGAAAAAGTTGGAATGCTGATACTCGTAGTGCTTCTCGCCTCGTTCGGCTGCAATGAGATCCGGAAGCTGCGCAAGTATCATCTCCACGGCGAGATCCCAGCTTCTCCAGAGCGGATGATCATGCGTTTCGGGTATTTCAGGATAGCATTGCGGGTGGCAATGGTAGACTCTCATGATGCGCTGTGCTAGAAGGAAATTGCGGAAGAGAGCCGCGACCATGAGGTCTTGGCGGAACAGCTTCTTGAAGAGAGGCTTGGAGAGCGAGTTCCATGCAATGGTGTCAGTGATTGCAGTGAAGATCCAGTTGAGCTCGCCAATGGGCGTACGACGTTCAGAGACCCGACCTGGGATGTTAGCCGCGTCACCAAGAGTGATGCCTGATGGGAGCGGATTTTGCAAAATGAAGAAGCGAACAGCCATCTCAATCGGCGTGGTAAGACACGAGGTGAAGACGTCTGCCGGCAGGTCTGGATTTGTCGGCAGCGTTTCTTTCTCCTTGCAGGCGGCTAGGTGAATGCAGTCACTAAAGTCCATAATTTCGGCATTGGGCTCTCTTCTCTGAAGCTCAGCATTTTCTTGTTCATGCTTTTCTGCAAACTTGTTGAAGTTTTGGATGATGAGCCCCGCGTCAGAACAATCGTAGACGAACAGACTCGGCGCACCGAGCCAAGACTGGAGGTCGTAGAGAGAGATGGGTATGTACTGCGTGTAGTTCCTGTTGAAGACCCAAATCTCACCGGATGAGGTAGGCCTGGGCACACCATGGCCATTGTAGTGGAAGAGCACACGCTCATTCCTTGCGTTCTTACGTAGTGTCGAACAGTACCTGCGCGTCTCATCGACGGTGGGGTCGAGGCAAAGCTTGTATCTTGTGCGCATGCTAAGCTGTTCGTATTGAGTCTGCAGAGCCTTGCCGATGTTGTTCATAGGCGTGTGGCCCGAGGTTCCTGTGGATATGGTGGGGTCGATCCAGCACTCGAGCTTGGCGCAGGGATTAGTCTTGATGACGTCTGGGGGATCGACGCCGATGTTGAGGCAAAGCGCGAGCACAGCCGACACGGTTTTGAGCCTGTCTTTCATGCGCCATTCCTGTAGAGGATAGGTTTCGCTGTCGTCCTTGGGATTGCCGTTTGTCTCGTGCTTCTTGTCGGTAAAGTACATGAAGAAGGACTCAACTGCTGTCAGCATTTGCGCGTCTCAAGCCGACAGAGGCACTCACCGAGCTCAAGAGATTTTGATACTCCTCCGAGGTCAGCTGGCTCTCCCAGCCGTGGCGGATCTTCCACTCGCCGTCGTCATGGCTCTCAAGGTCCTCGTCTCGCTGCACCGGCGGCGGCTCCTCGCGGCGGGGTCCAAAATCGCTTTTTGCACGAACCATGCGAGGCCTACCTACACCGCGACCGTTGGATTGGGGGGGCTCTTCGCGCACGTGGGCGGAGGAGGGACGCGGGCCGTTGGTCGCGTTGTCAGCCAGGCGCAAGGCTGGGTCCATGGTGGTGGAAGTGGGCTCGTTGTCGGGGCGCGGAGGGTTCGCAGAGGTGGGGCGGGCAACCATCATGCTGGCGATTGAGGCGGGCGTGCGGGCCGTCCCATGGGTGAGGCAGGATTGTGGGAGCTAGAAGGGTGGTGGGGACGCGTAGGTAGCTCTCATCAGCTGAAGCGTCGTTGGGTTGCAGCTCGCGCGGCGCTCGGGCGGTGAGAGGGCTTGGCAAAGGCAGCTATCGATAGCGCTGTCGGGCGGCGGGAATACTATGTTCCGCGGGGAGCCGGCCTCAGCGGGCTGGGGGCAGGGATAATGGACAGGGCGTGACGCGGAATGCTGGCTTGTTGTTGTTGTTTGGCGCCCGCCAGCCGCCAGCTGCCCGGTGTGCCTACGCATGGCATGAACTGCCGTCTGGAGATTGGTCCGCGGCGCAATTTCGAGCCTCGTTTCTCGCTGCGGATCCCTTCAGGGGGACGCGCAAAACGGCAAAGCCTCTTGTCATGATTCGCCTGGGCGCCTCAGGCAAGCGGTGCTGCGAGAGCCGCGCCGCATGGTCCTTTAATCCACCTCATCACCCATGAACGTGCCGACCCGCGCTAAGATAACGTGCTGCGAGTCTTCTCCTCGACAAGCCACCGTGACCCTTTCTCGCTCCGCCAATCGTCCCGGGTCCTGAAGCTGCGGAGGCGCGCACAGACTCGGCCTTGCGATACATGACCGACGCCATCCCGTGCGAGACGTTCTCAGCCGCTGCTTTTGCATTTCCATCCTTGTCCGACCCAACCTCGACCCTCCTTTCGCTCTCGCGGCTGATGAGCCTCTAACCGGTGAATCGCCTGCTCGCGACTTGTCCCTAGGCGATCCCCTTCGCCATGTCGTTCCTTTTCAAGTCGAAGAAGCAGCAAGCCTCGGCCCTCCCTGCAGCTACTCGAGACACCACGACCTCTCCCCAAGCACAGCCACCGGCCCCGTCGTCCGCTATACCAACCGCCAATGCTCCCCGCACCGCTCACCACAGCCAGGGAAGTGGCAGCGTCGCCACTCACCATAGTCAGGGAAGCACTAGCGCCGCCGCCGCCCATACGCCCACGCCCGTCAGCAGCGTGAACAATTCCGTGGGCTCCTTGCCGCCCGCTGCTGCCACTGCCAGTCCCAAACAAGAGGTCCACCGCGACAGAGCGAATTCTGAGAGCCAGGCAAGTTGTCTTTAGGCCTCTCACTTTCCCAGGGCGAACATCGCGAACTGACCAATTCGCGAGGTAGAATAATGTACGGCCGGCACCAGCACCCGCTCCACGCGGCGCTCCGCCCGCTGCTCCGCCCGCTGATTCTCCATACCCATGGTCCCAGCGACGTTTGGCTTTCACGACCGCCGCAAATCCATTCCCTCGTTATGGTGCGGCGGTTAATTGCAGTGCCTCTAAAGAGGGAATAGTGTACCTAATGGGAGGGCTGGTCAACGGGTCAACCGTGAAAGGTGATCTCTGGATGGTGGAAGCTGGGGCGGGCAACATGGCTTGCTACCCCGTGGCTACCGCTTCAGAAGGTCCGGGCCCAAGGGTCGGACACGCCAGCTTGCTTGTTGGAAATGCTTTCATCGTGTTTGGCGGTGACACTAAAGTTAACGAAGGAGATATCCTCGATGACACTCTTTATCTGCTTAATACCTGTATGTGGACCTGATCAAACCACTGACAAGTCACGGCTGACCGGAAAATAGCGACGAAACAATGGTCGCGCGCCCTGCCGGCAGGACCCCGACCATCCGGTCGTTACGGTCATACACTGAACATTCTAGGCTCGAAGATCTTTGTTTTTGGTGGTCAGGTCGAGGGATATTTCTTCAACGACCTTGTCGCGTTTGATTTGAATGCGCTGCAGCAACCGAACAACAAATGGGATATCCTCACGCCGAACAGCGCAGATGTCAACGCCCCCCCTGGCATGTATCCGCCTGCTAGAACAAATCATACCGTTATAGCCTGGCAGGACAAACTCTTCCTGTAAGCCATCTCTGCTGATCGACAGCGCTTGTCTACTAACAGTTTCTACTAGATTCGGTGGTACCGATGGACAGACTTGGTTTAGTGATGTCTGGTGCTACGACCCCAAAGCAAACAGATGGGAAGAGATTGACTGCATCGGCTACATACCGATCGCTCGTGAAGGGCATGCAGCTGCCATCGTGAACGACACCATGTACGTCTTCGGCGGCCGGACCAAGGAAGGCACGGACCTAGGGGACCTGGCTGCGTTCCGCATATCGTCGCGTCGATGGTACATGTTTCAGAACATGGGCCCATCGCCATCTCCGCGTTCAGGGCATAGCATGACTGCTTTCGGACGGCACATCGTTGTTTTAGCAGGTGAACCGAGTTCTACTGCTCCGGACCGGAACGAGTTGAGTCTCGCGTATGTCCTAGACACTTCCAAAATTCGCTATCCTGCGAGCGAACCGGGCGTGATGAGCCCTCCCCCCGGATCGGGCGTGCTGAGTCCTCCTCCTGGGGCGGCAGGCGCACCCGCTGGCCGCAAAGTGAGTGGAGGAAGCGGGATACCTACCAGGATAGGGCGCGAGAGCGTGACGGGTGGTCCGCCCAGCAGACTTCCAGGCCCTCCTGGTGCGCAGCCACCGAACGGTGCACCTGGATCCCGAATGCCTCGTGCCGCCGTAGGCACCACCGTCTCCTCCGGTCCGCCTCCACAACAACAAGCTCCTGAGCCAAGAGTGAATGGCCCGAGTCCTGGTCCAGGTCCGATCAACACGCGAAGCAGGACTCCCGAAAAGTCGTTACGCGGTTATGGATCGCCAGTCGATACTACAAGAGCTGCTGCGTTCGATAGAGGCAATCTATCGCCAGTGCCCCGAGACAGTCCGACCAGAGAAATAGAGCCCACGAGCATGGCTGCGCGAGCGATGCGGGAGCAAAGCCCCATCAGCGGAGGACCCAGGAGCCCTGCTCAACAAAGAATGGCGCATCAGCACAAAGAATCCGGAGAATCCCTTCGGCAGCCTCCCCCTCGTTCTGAGTCGCGTACTGCTAGGCAACAACCATCCCAAGACAAGATCGACCACTCCGTGGTTCGCCGTCCTTCGGCGGAGCATCAACGAGCGATGAGCCGGGACCAGGATCGAGTAGAACATCAACGCGCGATGAGCAGGGACCATGACCGGACGGAACATCAGCGTGCAATGAGTCGGGATCAAGAACGTGTGCAGATGGACAGTGCCCTCGGTTCGACGCCGGTTCCTAAGCAGCAAAACGATGAGGTTGTCAGGGAGCTTGAAGCCGCCAAGAGCCGTAATGCGTGGTTGGCATCTGAACTGGCCTTGGCACGTAAAGCCGGTTATCAACCGAGTGCCTCCAACAACCCTATTTTGGACGAGAAGGCAGCTGAAGCATTCGGTGATGACGACAGGCCTTTGGTTGAAGCTCTCATCAAGATGAGGGCGGAACTGGCCAAGATTCAAGGGTCCATCGAGGAACAAGCCGAGTCGTTCGGGAAACAGGTGGCGGAAGTTGAGAAACAGCGGGATGCTGCTATCAACGAGGCGGTGTATGCCAAAACCAAACTTGCTGCCCATGGTGGCAGTCAGGCTGGTACGCCTCAACCGGACGGCGGTAGAGGCACTGTCACTCCCGACCAGGACCGCATGCAGGATATGAGCAGACGTCTGGCGTCATCTCTGTCTGCACAAAGCCAACTGTCGACACGGGTGGATACGCTGCTTGCCGAAATCGAGGCTGAGAAGAAGGCGCGCAAGTTGGCGGAAGAAACGGCGGACGCGGCTCAAAAGCGCGCCAACGAACTTGACTCTTACCGACAGCGGACGATGATGGAAGTGGAATCACTTCGTGGTGAGCTTCATGAGGCAGAGAAGGTCGCCCGGGAAGAGTCTGCAACCTCGGCCGAGGCTCAAGCGTCTGCGCGCATGCTCACTCTCGATAAAACTTCGTTGTCAGGAAAGCTCGCTAAAGCTCTTGAAGATGCTAAGAACCACTCTACCGTTTTGCAGTCGCTTCACGATGCTGTCACAGCTTCCACGGACAAGGCGACCCTTTTCGAGTCCAAGTTAGAAGAAGAGAGGTCCTACCGTAGCGAACTGGAAGAGAAACTTGCTCAGCTCAAGGCTGAGCACGAGGAAAGTACCAGGGATCTGGAAACCACTACGAGACGTTTGAAGGACGTCGAGGAGTTGGCGGACAAACACGCTGCGGAAGCGAACATGCACCGTCAAGCAGTTTTGTCCGGGCTTTCCCAAGTGGCTGCGCGCAGCGAAGACGATGATGAGGTGAATAACGAGCGCATTCAAATTCTTCAAGAACAGGTCGAATCCTCGAACGCCATGGTTCGGAAGAACCAAGAGGCTGCTGACAATGCCTCCGAGAAGCTGCGTCGCGCCGAAGAGCGCATTGCCGGGTTGGAGACTTTCCAGGAACAGGCGAGTAGAGAAGGTTTGTCTATCCGGAAACAGCTTCAATCTACCATGCGCGAGCTGCAGGCGGTGCAGTCAGACAAGTCGGAGATCCAGCAGGAGTACGAACGGCACCGGTTGGAGAGCAACGCACTTGAGGTCCAGCTCAAAACGCTCAAGAGTCTCCTGGAGGAACGAGGCATCAGTGTCGCTGAACACAGAAGATCGCGCGTTCTCGAGAGTCCAAGTTCTCGCTTCAGCACTCCCGAGCTCAACCGTGTGCGCGAACTTGAGCAACAGCTCGAGGCCAGTCTCAAGGCGCATGACGAAATGCGCTCGACCTTCGAGAACCGCGAGCAAGAGATCAGCAAGGACTGGGAGGAAAAGATCACGGCACTTCACAATGATCACCAGGCCGCTGTCAAGTACCTCCGCGGCACGGAAAAGATGTTGAGTAAGATGAAGCAAGAGCTCGAGCGCTACAAGATCCTGAATAGCGATCTGCAGCAACAGCTCGAGACCGCTAAATCGGATCCTAGCGTGACTGAGCAATCAGCTAACTGGGAATCCGAACGTCAGACTCTCCGCGATGAGCTTACGAATGCGAAGCAGACGCTTCAAACCACGGTTTCGCAGCTCGAGAGCCAGATCTCTGCCCTTAAATCCGACCTGGCCACCGCACGCCAGGAGCAAGAAGCAGCCGCCCACCGCATCCAACAGCTCGAAGCTGAGGCCGCTGAGGGCCGCGCGGACATGGAGACGCTGCGCCAGGAGCGCATGATGCTGGAGGAGCGAGTCAATGAAGCAGAGCACCGCGCGCAGATGTTCCTCGACCAATTCGAGAACTCGGTCGACAGCTTGCGTCGGGAAGCGACCTTGCCTGCGGAGCATGGAGCTGGCCAAGCTAACAACACGCACCATCGTTCGCACAACAGCATTGCCGGCGACAGCATCTACAGCCAAGCCACTGATGTGACGGACCGCAGCGCCACTCCCGAGGCGAACCCAGACGCGGTTGCCGCGGCGGCCGCGACACGCAACAGTATGGCGCTCGACAGCCTGGCGACGGAGCTGGACGCGCTGCGCAGCCACTGGGAGACGACGAACAAGGCATACCGGCTGAGCAACCAGTTCGACTTTGAGCCGACGCCGACGAGCATCAAGGGCAACGAGATGAGCGAGAGCCTGGCGCACTGGCGGCAGCGCATGGACCTGGGCGACGAGGACGACGATGATGACGGGGACCTGCGCCAGCCGACGCCACTGGCGACGGGCAACAACGCTGCCGGCGCGCAGTACAGCAAAGGTCATGAGCGCATGGTGAGCACCGAGAGCGACAATGTCAAGACGCCCACGATGGGCGCGGTCAACGGGTTCCAGTTCCAGTCGCCCAAGTCACCCACGGGGCCCGGGGGCACGGCGATGATCTAATGGACGTGGGTTGATGTAGTAGATGAAAGAGCCTAATATCGAACTGGCTTCGGCAGCGAGCGAGCGAGCGAGCGAGTGGGTTTTTTGGACATGAACTACGGAAAACGAGCTGCGATGGCGAATGAAATGGGAGTTCTTTTTTTCGTTTTTTCCTCTTCTTCCTCTTCCTTTTCTTTTCCTTTTTCCTTGCGGACGGGATACCTCTGTTGTTTCTATTTTTTCTTCATGCTCCTTACTTTTTCTTTTTTGTTGGTTGCTTTTTGCATCCGCCCTACCTCCCTCTTACGCGACGGACGGACTTAGTACCCCCTACACCCCACCCCAGTCCGGTTCGGGCTCTTCTGCTGATGCAGCTGCTCTCTTGAAATCGATACTATTTAGTTTCCTTTGGCCTGTACGTGGCCTCCTGATACCTTGTTTTTTTGCTGTTGCGGTTTACTATTGGACTCTCCCTTTTTTCTTTCTTTAGTTACAAAAGCTGGAAATACGCCTGTCTGGTTGGCTGGCTGTTGGCTCGGCGCAGTACGGTTCCGCGCGGCCTATTATACTAGCCCATGGACCACTGTATCGCTGCTTTGCTCTCCCCTCTTTGTCTGCGTCTACAGACTCGAGAGATGAGCGGGCCGCAGCAGCAGCAGATGGCAGCAGGCAAAAAAGTAATGGGACGGAAATCACCAGCCATGTCTCTTCGTTTCGTGTCGTTTTTGTTGTCTTGTTTGGCTGATAGCTGCAGCTGTACTTCCTCTCTCTCTCTCTAGCTCTCCCATACGCGCTTTCTCGCGCTCTATATAGACGGACGCGGACTGTTGCGTTCGTTTGTGTTTTCCATTTCCTCATTTTTGCTGCGCTTTCGGGTGGGAGTTGTAGGCTAGGCTAGGTAGGGAGGGAGGTAGGTAGGCTAGCTAGATGTGAGATGGCGGGTGGAATGGGATGGGTGGAATGGAATGGAATGGAATGGGATTTATTGTGAGCGTGGTTTTGTTTGTGGCGGTGGTTGCTTGGCGTTTGTGCGTGCGTGTGCGCGTGATTGTTTGTTTTACATTGCTTGCGTGTTTGCGTGTTTGCTGTTTGTTTGCTTGGTGACTGTTCAGTGCAGTGCAGGCTGCTGCGCGGCCAAGTGCTAGGGTCAGGGGCGGATACCTATAATCGCTGTTCTATTTCCCTGCGTCGCACCATGAATGAAATTATCGTTCAGTAGCGAGAGCGCGTCAAATCAATTATTTCAATTCGAGAGTCGTAAAACACGACGAAGAGACAGATAGAACTATATCCGCAAGCAAGAGAAACCGCAAGGCGTAGAAACTAGAGTAAATGTTATTTATTCCGCTGTAGTAATTGCGTTTTGGGGAAGCAAAAGAAATATATCAAGGTGGGTTAGATTTCAAAGGTCACACTTCTTGGTACAGATCCGTGTACCCTTATACGTAGGTTTGATATTCGATAGGCCTTGTAGAGCAGGTCGTGGCTACACTCAAAGCTTGGATTCGTGGGTGGAAGAGTGGCTTGTAGAAGCTTGTAGACCGCGATACGGTGTGTATATATTATTATAACTATTTTTTCTATTATGTCTTTTTCTCGATCTATTAAGCATTGTTGAAAATTTCTTTTCTCTATCTGTGGTACATAGCATATGTAACTGCAAGGGCAGATGCTCGTGTTTGGTTCAATTTCCTATATATCCAAAAAAAAAAAAAAAAAAAAAAAAAAACCACGCTATAAACGCATAAACCCGCTAACTATCATAAAACCCTACGATCATCATCATCGTCGTCATCATCATAATATGTATAAATAAATATGCAAAATACACGCAAACCCGCTCGCGACTGTCTGTACCAACCCAAACTCAACCAACAACAAAACACAAAAAACAAAAACCCTCCTCCTCCTACCCCATAACAGTCAACCAGCCCCTCTCCCACGCCACATCCAACCAAAACACCTCCTCCTCTTCCTCCTCCTCCCCATCCCCTCCATTACCCCCCTTCCCAACCCTCCGATCCAACCCCCACCACACCTCCCTAACCAAGCGCCGCATACACAGCAGCGGCTGCCGCGGCAAGCGGCGCATAAACTCCTCGAGCCTCTCCTCCACGAACGCGCGCGCTTGGCTGATGCGCTCGGGCCGCAGGTGCTCGGGCTGCAGGCACTCCTCTGTCGAGGAGGACAGGTCCAGGAAGTCGAGGTTCTGCGGCCGGGGTTGGGGTTGGGGCTGAGGGTGGAGGCGCAGTTCGGAGGCGGCCGCGACGAGCAGGATCGGCTGCGTGCTGCAGGTGCCGCTGCTGGGGGGGAGGTGGGACAGCAGGGACAGGATGTGCAGGGCTAGGGACGTGAGGTGGTGCGTTGGGGAGTGGGAGTGGGAGGGGAGTTGGCGGGGTTGGGGGGCGAATGGAGTGGTGCTGGTGGGGGTGTATGCTGCAACGCTCGCGCCGATGCTGCTGTTGCTGTTGCTGCGCTCCCACCACCACCCCCACGGCACTTCTGCCCCAGCAGGCCCAATCCCCCCTCCAACCCCTCCAATCCCACTACCACCCACACCACACGCCCCACCACTCCCCAGCCTCCTCCCCAGCAGCGGCGGAAACACACGATACAGCTCCAACAACCCCGCACAGCGATACGCCTCCCCGAGCGCCACAAAATCGGCCTTGGTAGTATTTCTGTCGCCGAAATCGACCATGTCGTCTTCGCGCGGCAGGGAGCAGTTCAGGAGCGCTTCCTCTAGCTGCGCGGCGACGAGGATGCGCTCGCAGGCTTGGCGCTGGGTGTGGAGCGTGTAGGGGTGGGGGTTGTTGTAGTTGGGGGGGTTACGGTGGTGCTTGAGGTGGCTCAATCGCTCGCAGCGGATTAGCCGCCCGACTTCGGCGAACAGCGTCTGCACTTGCGGCGCGATGCCCGTCCAGGGGTGGGGCAGGAGTTTACTGGCTGTGGCGGGGGTAGCGGCCGCGCCAGCAGCAGCAGCAGCACCACCACCAGGCACATGGCAAGTGCTCCACCGTCCCAACGGCGGGCCAGGCGCCCCCTCCTGCGACACGAACCCAATAAGCATCTCCCAATAAATGAGGCTCTCCTCAAAGAACTGATTCTGGCGAACAATAGCCACATTCTGCGGTGGGACGGGATTAAGCAAACGAGGATAAATGAGGCTCCTCGCAGCCCTCAAATTGGCAATGCCCAAATCCGTGCAATCGAGCCAGCAAGCCGAAAGCCCGAGCAGCAAAATCGCCAAAAGCGCGCGCTCGCTGCTAGTGCGCCCCTGCGCGACGCGGGCCAGCTCGTCGTCGAGCGTCGCGTGGGCTTGGCGGCGCAGCTGCCGGCCTAGCGCGCTGGCGGCTGGGTGCGTGTTTGAGAGCTGTGCGGCGGCCATTGCTTGGATCGCGTAGAAGATTGCGGGACTGCTGTCCCAGATGCGGGCGACGGCGCTGCGGAACGGGTTTAGTGACGAGTCGAAGGCGGAGTATAGCATGCACACGTTTTGGAAGTAGTGCTCGACGAGCGCCATGCCGGGCTCGATGAGCGTGGGCGGGATGGGTGATGGTGGGTAGGATGCGCGTGCGTAGCTCCGGATTAGGGCGCGTGAGAGGGGCGTGTTCAGCCGGGGAATGTCGTCGGGGGCTGCTGCTTCTTGTTGTTGTTGTTGCTGTTCTGCATCTGCTGGGTCGTTGGGGGGCTGGTCGTGCAGGTACTCCTCCTCGCCCGCGACGTCCAGCGTCGTCCAGTCTATGTTCGGGACATCCAGGTCGAACATGTCGAGAGGGAAGTCTTCCAGCGCAGGGGGCTCCATGGTCGCGTCGTCCCAGGCGGGCGGCTCAAACGGCGGCTCCGCAGGCAGATCCAGCGGCGGGAGGTCCGCGATGGGCTCGCCCGTGTGAGGTGCGTCCATGTTCGGCTCGGGGTGGCCTCGGCCTTCCGTGTCCACGCATTCCTCCTCTTCACCACCCATCACCACCGCACTAGCAGCCTCTTCTCCTCTCTCCTCACCACCACCACCACTCCCATCCATCTCCCTCCTCCTCGCGCCACCTTTTCCCCTCCCACCCCTCTTCCTTACCCGCCCCGCACCCGGCCTCTCCTCCCTCACGATCTCAAAAGCACTCCCCCGAGCACCCTCGCCAGCACTCCCCCCAGCATCCCCACCCCGCAAAGCCCTATCCTCAAGAACCTGATTCGGGCCTAGCACCAAGCCCCTCGAAGCGCCAGGCATGTACGCCTCGTACTTGGTGCTCCACTTGATGAGTTTCCTATAGCCGGGGCAGGCAACGCCGCGGCCGACGCAGTTGCGGCATTCTGGTTTTGTTTCGTCGCATTTGAGCTGGTGGGCAGGGGGTGTTAGCGTGTGAGGGGTGTAGGGTTGGGTTGGGTGAAGTTGGAATTGAAGGTGATGAATGTGGTTGGGGGATAGCTTGCTTGTTTGCTGAACGAATAGAGAGAGGTTTGATAGAGAGGGCTGAGCAGAGAACGATAGAGAAACAAAGAAGTCTTGCGTACACCCGATCTTTCTGCTTCCACTTCACACCTTATCACGTACCCGCTTGATCTTGCATCTCTGGCACCCGTCCCTCGACTTCGGTTTCCGGCGGGGTTCGACAACCGCCTTATCCGTCGTCACCATCTCCACTGTTCCTCTTTCCCTTCTCTTTTCTTGTTCCCTCTCTTCTCGGCCCACACTTTCACCCGTCAGCACCACGCGATGACAACAGCGCACAGCTCAGCCGGCGCCGTATCCCGGCGGAGCTACCTAGCAGCAGGAAGCAATAGCTAGCAAGCAAGCAAGCAGGCGCCCGTCAGCGGTAACAAAGATCGCGCGCGGCGGCAGCGTTAGCAACGGCTCAACGACAACAGGGAAGCAGAGCAGTGATAGGTAGGTAGGTGGTCGCCTCTGCAACGAAGCTCGGCAGCGCATCCGACGTCGTTGGGGCCGGCCTGGCTCGGTTCGCGTGCGGGCCTGCCGAGAGGGGCATAGCTGCGGCGGTGATTGGCGCCCCCGGCCGCTCATCTGTACTTACTGAAGACTGGCTGCTGGAGTGGCATATGTCATTGATTTGACAGGTCAAAAGACCTGCTGCTATGCAGAGTGCGTGCGTGGGTGGACCAATGACCGGCGGCTTTGCCGTTTGGCCCCTCTTCTTCCGCTTGCTTGCTGGTGCTGCGTCCAACGGCCAACGGCGGGCGTACACCGAGCTTGCCAAGTCAACCACAGGCGAGGATCATCAGGCAAGAACCCCGGGCAGTCACGTGCACATGCTTATGTCTGGAGATAAAAAGAGTCGTTATTATCGAGTATCTAGAATTAAATGGCGAGGCACACATATTATGTCATTTGCACTGGTGCTGCTGGGTTCTGGGCACAGGACAGCAGTGCTGCACATCACAAGGGCTAGCTCACTGGGGCAGATAATAGCGTTCGGGCTCTGGGGGCATCTCGGGGCGGGTCTGGTGGTGGGCTTCTGCATGGCTTCAAAGACGTTAGCGTTGGTCTTGAGACATCTACGAAGATATAGATGGTGTTTGGTGGCTAGGATCAGAAGGAAGGCAACGGAAATATCCACACGGTTTTGCGCTCTCGGTGGTATACTGATAATTTACATCCGAAATGTTTCATCATCTAGAAGGCTGGGTGCCTGGGAAAAAAGGGGAATGAGAGAGTTGGAAATGTAACTTACGTTATTTGGAGGCGGATAGTGTCGCATCCCTAAAACCGTCGATGAAAGCTTGTCGGGATGCGTCGAAACTAGCCAGCGCGGACAGACACAAGGGCTCCGCCACTTGAGAACTGAGGAAAACCGTTTCGAGGTATCTAGGTATCTCCCGCGGCTCGGAGAGCCGAGCACTGAACCGTTCCTAAACCATTTCGCTTTGACGTGTCGAAGCCGGTGAGCTATTCCATTCGAGTTTTTTTCATAGAACACAAGTTGTCTCCGGGACGCTTCATAAGCCCAGGAAAAAAGCCGCACGTTTTTATGCCTGCCCAGTCTGAAGAAAAACTCAGGAAATGCTCCGATTGTTGACCCCACCCACGCCTTTCACGCTCGTCGAAAGCCAGACATCATTTACGCCTTCTCCTGGCGCTTGGCGGTACCCTGCTGGAAGTTGTTCTTGGCGCGGCGGGGGACGGTCTTCAGGTAGCGCATGCGGCCGGAACCGGTGGTGTGCCTCCTCTTGGCCTTCTCGCCCCAGTTGTCTGCATGTCCTATGTCAGCTTCGTCCCTGCGGGGTGCCGAGGCGTCTCGAGCGAGGGCTTGCGGGATCGAGTGAAGTCGTGGGCAGGCGGGGTTCAAGGCGAGGGGAACGTACAGCCACGGGTCTTAGCCGCGGGGTAACCGCACGACGCGCAAGTGTGCTTCTGGATGTGGAGGGAGCGGCGACCTGTGGGAGCTGCGCGTTAGTGATCGTCCTTCATCGCAGGCGGCCTGCGTCTTGCGCCCGGCCGATGTCCGGATTGGATTCTACTGACCGCAACGGCGGCACAGAGTGTGCGTCTTGTTGTGGCGCTTGCCGAAGCTGGAGGTACCCTTCGCTGTGTGGCCGTCAGTCTGTGTCCCGATGGCGATGCAACTCTTGCGGCGGCGCGGTTGTCGACGTACTCATTTTGGATTAGGGACTGTGAAGAGATGCGTCAGTAACGTGATGCGGGAATGGCAGAGCTTCAAGGCGGAGGGAATTACCGGTTGGCGTCTTTTGTCGTGGCTTCGAGGTGTCGTCGTCGGTGTTGTCGTCCCGTCGGATCTGTAGGGCGAAAGCCAGTATCAATTTTCGGAGCGCGTTCGCTAAAGTGTGGATCACGTGCTAGCTTTATCGCCGCCCAATTTCTCCAACCAACTTCAAACTAGCCGCCGCCCTGACGCCCGTCGACGCCGCTTCTCGATGCTCGTCGAGTTTATGCATTCAATCATGCGTTTGCATTCAGTTGCAGTGCAGTTCGTCCAGCACGCGGGCACTGGCTGCTTCCACTCCGCTATCAATCCTTGAACGGCACACTGCGCATCAGCACTGAGAACATTGAAACATTTAGAGCAAGACCACGAATAATTTGCCCACCTTTTAACTACATGTAATGTAAGGTCTACCGTGCCCACTAAGTACTCCTTGGGCAGCTATAACAAGCTACAATTCTACGATCGGTAATCGATGGGTAGATATACAAAAGGTAAAAAGATGCTAGGTATAAACATCCAGAGCTTCGAGCAATAACATTGCTTGCCATGAATTATTACTACATACGCTTAACAGCACTGCCTGTCAAGTGCCCTTCAGCCTGCCCCAGTCAGCGCCGACGTCCACATGTCCGTCCGCATCCACGACCTTGCCTCTATCCCACTCCCTGCCCTCGCCCTTCTTCCTCCAACGCACGTCTTCTTCGGTCTTCTCTCCACCCTTCTCCCAACGCTTCACTTCCTCTTCCGTGAAGCCGGCTGCCTTTAGCCTTTCCGCGCCCTGCTGCTTCCAGCGCTGGCGATCGCGCAGAGCTTCAAGCGCCTGGTCCCAGTCGTCTTCCACGTCGGAACCGGGATGGATGTCCTGCGACGGATCGTAGTTGTCGGCGAAGTGCGCATCCATGGCAGATGAAGATGTAAAGGCACCGCGGCCGCGGCCTCGGACCTTGGGCGCTGGTGGAGGTGGAGCTGGCCCGATGATTGCTTCCAGAGGGTCCGAATCCGAGGCGGGTGATAGCGACCTACGCCTTGGCGGGTCTCTCTTCGTTGTCATACCTTTGCGGCTGCCGTCTTTGCTGTTTCCGGCATCAGCGGTTGATGCAGATGGCGACTGCTTCTCACGACGAGATCTGCGGCGATCCTTGGACACGCTGCGTGACCTGCCAGAGGAGGGAGATCTCCGGCGCCGATGCCTGTGGCGTGAACCATGGCGGTCTCTGTCTCCATCCTCTGACAGACTCCTATCACGATGCTTGCGGCTCGACGTATGGCGTCGCTCTGGACTCTCATCTGGCGAGCGAGACCTATGCCTGTGTTTGCGGCTCGAAGCGTGTCGTCTGTCCCTGCTGCGATCTTCTGATTCGCCCCTGTCTCGATGTCTGTGACTTCTATGCCGGTGACTGGAATGCCGTGACCGATAGTCCTCACGATCGTCGTCACTGCCGTACTCGCGACGACTGCGTTTCTCTTTCCGCTCGCTTCGGTCCTCCGACCTATCGCGCCTTGACCGTCGGGATCTGTGCCCATCGTCGTGTCGTCTTGTGTGATCACCGTCGGAGTACGCGTCACCGTCGTCCGTCCGGCGTCGCTTCGCCGGTCGCTCGTCTCTGTCTCTGTGACGGTGCTCCACAGCGCCATGGCCGTCTTTGGACCGTGACTGCTCGCCCTCAACGCCGTACTCTCTGCGTTTGTCCCGCAACGCTTTAAGTCTAGCTCTTGACTCCTCCGCTTCCTTGGCCAGCAGTGCCTGATTATGGGTATCGGTCTCGCGGAGAATGTTTCTGAGAAAGCGGGTGTTTGGCTTCGGAGCTGCACCGGTAGGTCTAGTGACCAGTTAGCATACATTCGAGCCGTAAAATGCCAGTCTTGACCTACCTCTTGGGCAAATAAGCCTGAAGCCCTACCGCCGCATACCTCGCGGAGCTCGCTTTCGCATCCTTTTTCAGCAGCTCCGCCACATGGTCGTCTGTGTAATTCTCCGAGGGCATGGTCGAGTCCCTGGCTTTGTCGGAAACACAGTCAAGTCGGCGACCAAGACATGTCGCGGGAGACGACCGTCTTCGCAAAGCAGTCGCGATACAGTGACGCGGGGGGCGCGACTAAAACGGCATGACTAAGCTGACCAGGGCTCGGATCATCCCCGCGATCGTCTTGTTTGCGCCGCCATATAAACAAACCCGCACAACAATGGCGCAATCACACACTGAAGCAATTGAGCGCCTCAACGAGCTCCAGAAGAGCCAGGATATCAAGATCATCGATCTCAGCAATGAGGTCCGCCCGAAACCCGCCCAGGATGGCGCGAAGCGCAAGTCGACCGGCTCGGAAATGTCCGCAGAGGGCGAAGAGCATACCACGCCGGCCAGTCTGCAGGCAGACCTGATTCACTACAAGGTAAGGAGAGGAAAGGCCTACGCAAATGGCAGACATTCGCTGACATGCACGACAGGAACTCTTTACCAAACTCCGCTTCAGCTACGTCGAGCAAGTCACCAAAGAGAAGTTCCTCACGGCAATCACCATGGACCCACCGCAATTCGTGGAACCGCAAGAAAACGTGCAACTAGAAGCGCAACTAGTAGAAGTCAAAGCAGCGCTGAAAGCGCAAAAAGTCGAAGTCGCAGAGATGATTGCTGAGCTGGAGCGACGCGGCCGAGACCTCAGCAAACGTACGCCCAGCAACACCACCGTCACCCCTCCAACGACACACGCTAACAACGCACGCAGGCTACGAGACGATCCAACTGCGCACGACGCAGCTGACCACGCTGCCCGAGCGCATCGCCACGCTCGAAACGGCCATCTCCACCCTCCGCGCCACCCAAGCCCCCCACCCCACGAACCCAGCGCTGTCGCTGCCGCTCCCGGAAACGCTGTCCGCGCTGAACGAGCGGCAAGCTGAGCTCGCGGCGCTGGACAAGCAGCTCGCGGGGCTGCAGGCGGCGGTGCCGCGCAAGACGCGCGAGCTGGAGCGCCTGGAGGCCGAGCTCAAGCCCTTGGAGATGCAGCGGAAGGGGACGGTGGCGGCGGCGCAGGAGGCGCGGCGGCGGCGCGAGGCGGGCGAGGCGGGCATGGGTGACGGCTTGGAGGAGAGGGGGCGCTGGCTTACGGCTGTGGAGGGCGGGCTGAGGGGCATGCTGGAGGTGGATGCGTAGGCTTTGTCGTGGGTGCGTGGCGTTTGGTGCTGGGTTATGATACCATGGCGTTAGGACATTGCTAATTGCGTATACGCTGCGGCGCTTTCAAATCTTGCATATGCTGAAGCATCCATCGCGGCTGTTTGAGCGAGCCGGTTACTAACCTTTCTACGGCCAAGCTCATTCCTATAAAAACCCCTCCGCCACTACCAATCAGCATCATCACTGACCAGAGCTCTCCGAGAATCAAAACGCGCTAGATTACGCATTTACTGCGTTTTACATGTCCTCACGCTCCTCACCGTGGGCGTGGCCCTCACAGTCAACTAGGCAAAGGATCCAGCACCCTAGACAACAACTCTACACATCTTATTATTCCAGGTACTGTGTGAGTTGCTGATCACCGCCACTGTTTTCTGAACTTAGTGGGTGATGTTGTATAGTAATGGTGGTGAGTGGTATTCCGTTTGTGAGAGGAAGAAAGAAGGGGAGTGTATGTTTGTGCTTGTTTTGAGGTCAAACGGTTTAGAGATGATGTCCACGTCTTGGGCTTCTAACTGTGTTGCTGAAACCCAATACGCTACATGCTGGTAGTGGTTGCTCATAGCATGTTGGAAGAACTGTGGAAATCTCGGGTGGTGTTGGATTGGACGCTGGTGGAGAGTGAGTATTGGGTATTTATGCTCTCTCGACGCTGTGATTGCGAGATCCAATTGGATAGGATAAGTTTATCGGAGTGGAACGTTTAACATGTCCATGGGTCAAGAATAACTACGAAGAAATTATGCATATTATAGCACCTTGAAGGTATTAATATCATGGATGCGCGAAGAAAGAGTATAAAGTCGATCAGAAGCTACACCGTACACAGCAGGAAAAAAAGCTACTAAAACAATCATTCACAGCGCCAAACCAAGCCAATAGCAAGGCCAGATAAGAAAAGCGATAAACAGCCAAAGCAATTTGTAGCTTCCAACACACATATTCGCAGACGACAAGTTCTCCACGCAACCCCTCACCGGCCACGACATACGCCACCCTAAGCAGACCACGGCAAAAAGGTTGCCGACGCAGCCCGTGCAGCCCGCAGCACCCCAGTAAGCGTTTGTCAAAAACTGGCCTGACAGAGGCAGTGAGTTTCCCGAAACGACGCGCTGCAGAGCGCGGGGTGGAGGCCCGAGGTTGTCTGGCGATGGTTTGGATAAAACTCCGCTTCTTTCTCCACTGTGGTCGACGGAATCAGTCGACTTTCTGCGTCCTATCCCAACGTCAACGTCAACGTCAACGTCAACGTCAACGTCAACCCCGCCGCTGCAACTTTTGTGTCTGCAACGCTGCAACTCTGCACCATCACCACCACCACTACTACCACTGTTTTTGTTGCTGCTGCTGCTGCTGCTTGTCAAGATGCTTATCCAGGAAAGCTATAAGGATGTGCCTACGAAGGAGGGCGGAAACATGCGTATGTTGTTGATCATGTCTTTGCGCGAGCTCAATTGCTGATTGCGGACGTCGACAGGCATTTTCATGTTCCACCCTACCATCCATGGGTTTGTTTGACCTTGGATAGAAGGTTGTGGTCGAATTGGTTGCTGATTCAACCATCAGGTACCCCAAGGCGAAGTTCCCCGGTGTGGTCGTCTTCAGCGAAATTTATCAAGGTAATTGACTTTCTTGCATTTCATTCTTATCATGTTCCTCTTAAAATTCTCTCTCCTCTGCACGCAAGCCCAAAAGAACGACTTCACACGCATCTCTAGCATGCAAGCACCGCCCTCGCACTCCCATCTCCATCCCCAGCACGCCCCGCTCCCCACCCGCAGCACCCCTTTAACACGCCACAGTAACGGGCCCCGTGCAGCGCTTCGCGCGCCGCATCGCCGGCGAAGGATACATCGTCGCCGCGCCCTCCAGCTACCACGAATTCACTGGCCCGGAGCCACTCGCGTACGACGGGCCGGGCACCGACGCCGGCAACGCGTGGAAAGTGACCAAGAAGCTGGCCGCGTACGACGAGGACGCGTCGCTGGCTGTGGACACGCTGCTCGCACTCGAGACGTGCAACGGCCGCGTCGGCACCACGGGTATGTGTCTTGGTGGCCACTTGGCGTACCGCTGCGCCCTGGACAAGCGCGTCGCGGCTGCCGTCTGCTTTTTTGCTACCGATATCCATGCACGCAGTTTGGGCGAGGGTAAGAATGATGATAGCTTGAAGCGCGCGGGCGATATCAAGGGCGAGTTGGTTATGGTGAGTTTGGCTGAATTGAGAGGGTTGTGTGCAGTCGAGAGCTGGAGTTGGCTGATTGACGCTGTGATAGATCTTCGGCAAGAAGGACAACCACGTCCCCCCCGAGGGCCGCGACCTCATCCGCAAGACGCTCCACGACGCGGGCGTGACGTTCAACTTTTACGAGCACGCGCACGCGCAGCGTAAGTCCTCTACACACCTCATACTCTTCTCTTCTCTTCCCTCATCCCTCTTCCTTCCCTCATCCCTTCACGACCACCCCGTCATCTAACACGCAACACAGACGCCTTCATCCGCGACGAGCTCTCCAAGGGCCGCTACGACCCCGCCGTCACCGGCATCTGCTGGCAGATGCTGCTCGAGCTGTTCGGACGCACGCTGCGCTCGGACCTGGGGCCGCGCGAGGGCGGCGAGCAGGAGATCGAGGACGTGTGCTAAACTTGCTGGAAACGTACGAGACGTAGTAGATAAGAAGAGTTAAGCTCGAGAGGAGAGGATGGTGTTCCTGCCCGTTGATGTCGATACAAAAAAGCCAGTACAAACGCAATCAAACCCCATCACCAGGCCTCAATGCCCGTCTGTCTTACAATGTGTACTCCACTATACTCTACTGTACTCTACGCGTCAAAGCCGAGCCAGCATCGACAACAACCAACAACCAACAACTAATAAAACCGCACTGACTGAGCGATGGTTGCAGCAACGGCTGTATATTGCTATTGCGGCTTCACCGGCTCGTTAAGGCGACACGGCAGAAGAACACTATAAGGCTGGGCGTGCTGGAAGTGCGTTTGGCGTTTAAGTCTTTAGTGGTGCGGTTGGCTTGGTTTGTGTATTCTGCTCTTAATCCTCGCCATTATCATCATCATTAGTATTTAGTGCAGCTAGTGCGCGCTAATACCTAGTACTCCTGTTCCTCACCACTAATATACTATCCAGCGCAACACCACCATCTCCAAACACATAGAACCGCACATCTACACCGAAACCATTCAACAGACATTCATATAAGCGAACAATTAGCGCCGAGACGGCGGGACGCCGATCATACAAGTGAAATTCTACATATGTAACTCCCATAGGGGAGTTGAATGGTGGGATGTTGAAGTGGTTGGTAGAAAGCGGACAGGGGTACTATAGATAGCTGTGTTGGGTTCGGCGGCTTGAGTGCTGTTGATGCTTGATGCTGAGGAATAGGAGAGTAGCGGTGTTGCTCTGCGTAACTTGGGAGTGGTTTTGTCGTCGCTGTTTCCTTACAGATACTTCTTTCATAAAAAGGACGTAGGAATCGTAGCTGTCTTACTAAGTTTATATATGATCTATAACCTGCCTACTACGAATAGTATTATAAATACTATCTAGCATTACAGACCTACACTATATTTCCCCACCACCACCCTGTTTCCCCTTTCCCACACCACGAGCAACCACCTCCACCTCCACACCACGCACAACCCCCCACCCCTATCCACAAAAACCAACCCAAACAACTAACTGCACCACCAAGGCACTCCCGAAAGCAGCACTTATCAGCCTTCCAGCCATCGCATCAACCCAAAATATCGTCTACAACCTTAATAGGCGTCTCATAACCTCAACCCTAACCACCCAACCACTCAATTACTCAACCACTCAGCCACTAAGACTCTACACTAACTAGTATCAGGTATTTGAATAAGATAAGCACCTCCAGCAAGCCTCAAAGACGTCAATCCCCGCTACCATCCGCTACTAATCCTCTCCATCACCCATCCACCACCACCACCACCACCAGTACGTCCCACATCCTCCTACATAAACAGTAAACCTCAATCCACTCTTTCATAGGAGCTGGCTTATTTGCATGCTCCCCCTAGGCAGTTGGCTCGGAAGATTTCCGATTTTAATCTCGTCGCGGAGTGCGTGCCGAATGTTGACAATGTTCTCTAGCCCATCCGTTTCTTTTATTGTGTTTCTTTTATTCGTTCGTAAATCATGAGATTCATAACCCGCCTCTAGCACCCATGACCCAACTACCACCGCCCTTCAAGCCTCCTCTCATCCGCTCATCTACCCTCCTCCCCATTCCAACTCCCATCCCCATCCTCTTCCCCTTCCCATGCCCCTCTCGCTCCCTCTAACACGCACACAAACACACCAAACCAACAGTACAGTACAGCACAGTACACTAAAGTACAACCCGCAACCACACACTCACCACAAACAACACAAACACACACACATATCCATGCCATTCGTGATCCATACATCAATCAGTCATTTCGTCAACAAGCAAAGACAGCGTCCGCACCAGCACCAGCAACGACAACGACAACAGCACCACTCACCCAAAACCGTATCGTCATAAAAACGCCCGCAACAGCTGGGCGAAACACACGCCCCAGCCGCTCCGGACGAAGAAGGGTTAGAGGAGACGATGAGAAAGGAGATACTCTCCCGGCCAATCCGTTTCTCCCCACCACCACCGTCATGCCGTTTAAGATTCTCGCAAACCTCAAAGCACACCAAAACACGCCCGCCGCTCACCACACCGGCGCATCTCCCATCCTTACCATCAACCGCGCGTTTAGTTCTTCTTGCGGCCCTTGCCCACAACCTCCTTCTCCGCAGGCGAGGGCACGCCGGCCTTCTCCTCAACCTTGGTGCGCTTCGTCTCGACATACGGGTGCTTGATCGTCAAGCACCAGATATCGAGGTAGTCGCAGATCGTGGTGATGACGTCCCAGACAAAGCTAGCATGCACGCCGATCGCAAGGCCCAGACACATGAACATGAACGCGACCTGGTAGACGCCGTCGCCCAGAGCCGAGGGCCAGCCGACCTTGCGGATGCTGCTGAGGTCGAGCCCGTCAATGTGGATGTCGTGCAGTCTCTCCGCGAGGAACGGGCCCAGGCTGTCCGCGACGCCGAAGACCAGCGGCGCGACGAGGATGTTGGTGCGCGGGAAGGCGGACTTGGTCAGGTGCGCGACGATCATGCGGCCGACCGAGAAGGCGTTGATGAGGCCGACGTAGAAGACAAACGGCACCAGGTGCTGCGTCAGGATGACGGGCTGCAGGTACAGGTACGCCGGGATGAGGATCCAGGCCATGGAGAAGGGGATCAGGCCGAGCAGCGCGCCGCGCGCCTTCTGGCCCCGGAGACGACGCGCTTCGATGACGTTGTTGGCGGACGTGACCGTGTTGAACACGAGCAGGATACCGCCGTAGACCATGTACCACTCGTTCCAGGCCAGGTTGTACAGACAGTTGGGCAGGAAGGATGGCCGCGAGATACCAATGGTCTGCAGCATGGGCTGCTGCCAGAAGCTGCCGCCACCAAGGTAGCCGGTAAGGGCGTACACGACGCAGAGAGTGAGGATGCCTTCAACAGGACCGGAAATGAGCCCAAGGGTTAGGGTGTGCGTGTGGTACTCATCCCATGTTTGCACGTAGAACGTGAGCAAAGCTACAATATCAATCAGTAAACCGCGCGCAGACAGAGACCAGGTTTATAGCTGAACGAGCGAGCCATGGAAGTAAAAGAGCGGTACACACAGGCAAAGAGGGTCATGACAGTCTTCCAGCCCTGTCCAAGGTTCATGGCAGCGGCAAAGAGCAGGACTTCCAGAGACGTGTTGATAGCGTCGACACCTGAGTCGCATATTAGCAAGCATTCTCTCAAATCTTGAGCATCACGTCACTAACCGTGGTCGAAGAGCTCGCCCAGCGGACCACTCTGACGAGTGCGGCGCCTTCACAGGTCAGCTTCATGCTCCAAAACAAACACACCATTCTTTCTCGATAACATACGCTTGTGATCCATCCACAGCATCGAATGTCTGATACAGGAACAGGCCGATCGCCCAGCTGTAGTAGACCCAGGGCGGGCAGTCGACGTCCAGCGTAGGGGTGTACCAAAGAAGGGTCAAGAAGTTGGCGACGACGAAACCAAAGCCGGTGAGGGTAATCTATATTTCCAGAACCAACGATTTAGCAAATGTTCTTCCACAGACGGGCTCATGGTGGGATGAGGATATGAGTGAGGTCATAGGTAGGCTTACGAGGTTCGGCCTAGAAACCACCAGCAGTCAGCATTTGTGATAACCCATGGAGCATAATCTCTTGCAGATTGTCGCCCAAACAGCGCATAACAAGACTCGAGCTCACTTACGCCATGGACATGGGGAAGCAGTTGATGACCACATTGTTATAGAACGGCTTGAGCACGTAGCGCGACACCAAGCTGTGATCAACGCCCGAGTACTTGTACTCCTTCAGCTTCGGCAGCTTGTCCTGCCTGATGTATACCATCCTGGTTGGAGTCCCACGCTTTTCGACTGAGTGACGATTGGCAATGGATAGCAACAAACACCTTGGTGATGCTGCGGCGCGGGACGCGGATGCGGGAAACCGGTGTGTAAGCAGAGGTCGACGAGTATGCGGTTGCGCGCTGAAAACGACGAGGTCTGCGTAGGTAGGTATGTATCTCCGGAAGCGGTGTTGGAGAAGTCAGAAGCAGGTTCCGCGCAAAAAGATTGTTTGGTGTTCTGTCGCGGTGGACAGGATTCCCGACGCGCTGGCGTCATCGGGCCGGTTGCGCTCCTAGACACGTCTCACATGCATCGAGGCTGATAGGCTGCTCGAGCAATCACATGCTGGACAAATCAGGGAAACAACGTTGTTGGACTTCTGACGAGGCAACGACTTCACCGCATAAAAATCTAGATTAGCCGGCTTGGAGACTCTGTTGTCACGAGGCGTTGAGTAAATCTTGATGGTGCTGAGTGGATTGCACACGGTTTGGAGCAACAATCTCATGGTTAAGTTTACATATTTCTGGTGGATGTAGCAGACAGCTTGTTTATCACCACTTCAAAACCTCGGTCTGGTCAACATTTGGCATTTCTCCAGGGTTTAAGAATATCCACAACCACACTGAGAGTGGACATGGCTAGACGGGCATCCGTGCTTCACGAACCACGACATCGGAGGATGATAGACTAGTTTCGCGCTTCTTAACGGGCCTGACCTGATCAATCTCCTTCGACAAGAGCAAAATGCATGCCCCAATGCCGTACGCGCCTTTCCCAAACTATACCTGGACTTGACCCGCAGCAAATGCATTCGGCAGCATCCTCCTCAACGATATCGCGCCATTCAATCCAGACCTAAAGGGTTTCATTGCGCTCCCGTCGCTCGACTCCTATTTCGTCGGACTCCATGGCATCGGGACCATGATACGGCTCTTCATCGTCTGAATCAGCGGCACCGTCTTGTGCACCGTCTCGCCCCAGCCCTCGATGCTCCAGCTCTGCTCACGGCGCTTCTTCCTCTCCTCGAGGTTCGCAAATTGCCAGAGGTGGTGCACCGTGTTGAGCTCACCAATCTGGACGAACCAGGCGCCGACGCCCTCCATGACCTCGCGACGCGCTGCGAGACCGCGCCTCCAGTGCGTCTCCCACTCGAGGAGGTTGCCCGGGTGCAACGTGTAGGAGCGCAGCTCGAAGATGCCGCCGAGGTCGCGTGGAGGGGTCGTGGGCCAGAAAGAGAACTCCTGCATTAGCGAGGTGCGCTTGCTGTGGATGAGCGATTTGAGCTTGGAGTCAAAGTTGGCGAACTCGGGGTGGTGCTGAATGGAGTACAGCGAGTCATGGTAACCGTGGTAGCGCTGGTACTCCCAGATGTGCACTGTAGTTGCAGATAACGTCAACCCCTGTCTCCGGGCAGGGGAACGGAGGTGGATGGCACTACTACTGACCGAATGTGTCGCAATCACCCACTTCAGTCCTCCAGCTGCCGACCAAGTGTACCTTGTTCTCGGGCATAGAGGCCATGCGGGGATACCAGTTGCCCACGAGCTCGACGTACTTGTCTACCTTGTCCGGCTTGACCTCGTGGAAGACGATCGAGTGGACGTACTTGCCGCGAGCTAGTACCTGGGAGAAGCTTCTCTCCATGTCGCGGTCGAGATTGCGACCTTCCTTGGTACCGTAGATTAGCGTGGACAACTTGCCCTTGGCTTTGCTTTCATCGGCGGCTGCTTCGCGCGCCCGTGCTTCTTCTGCGAATTGATGTGGTAGTGAGCCAACTGCCCTCATAAGGGACCCAGGGGATAAGGAAACGTCGATCCCGGCGTTGAAAGGCGCGGACGGATCGACAGAAGTTGGAGACGCACCACGACTGACAGAAGACATCGGGGAAGACAAAGAAGGGGACCCACTCTCTGCTTGCTCACGCTTCTCATGCTGCTCCCTCAGATGCTGCCGGAAACCACGCTGCTTCTCATCGAAGCTGCTCGCCCCATCGGGTTTGATGTCGGCGAGCGCGGGAGCCCGCGAGGCATGCTGCTGAGCGGCGAGAGCGGTGAAGGGGCGCGACAATGGGACAGAGCGTGGCGGCACAGAGATGCGCAGAACGGGGGCGATTCGGCAAAACATGATGGAAGGGGTATCGCAGAGCGGTGTTTGGAGCGAGAGAATGAGTAGACGTCGGAGCTGACAGAAGGGTGGGAGGATCCCCCCAGACGATCTAAACAGGCTGATGACGTCGCTCGACAGGCGAGCTCGGGGGCTTAGCGCTCTAACACTGCAGGTGCAGCCGCGATGAACAGAACGACAACAGGTGCGGGAGGAGGAAGCTGTGTGCCAGTCGTGATTGTCTGCATCAAGGGACTATCCGTCTGTTGTGCGCGCGGGGAATGGCCGTGTGTCGCTTTGGGCTACCTCCGCGTTCTTAAAGCTTTCCCCGCAACCCGCAGTCCCTCGCTTCCCGCCCCCACGCCCAATGAGCGTGGACCAGATCCAGAGGCCAACCATCTCGCGGGTATGCATGCCATTCGTCACACACTACTCTTCTACCTCCACCTGCCCATCTCGAATCATCTCATCAGATAGCTATGTACACACGCCCCGCCCCCCAATGCCATCCGCGCCCGCCCTTCCTTCCGTTTTCTGCGCCCAAGGAGCCCTTTTCTGAATCCAAGCCATTATCCTAACAGCCCGGCCTCATTCGGCTCCACCGGGCCAGCCTGTGCCTCGGCGCCAAAAATGCACCGAGAAACGACGAACTTTTGGAGAATACAGGACGCTTCGTTATCCCGTAAAAAGGTTTGCGGAGAAATGAACTGTGACGCAACACTTAAGGCTTCATGCGCTCGTAGAATAGGATGTAGGCCACCTTGCTGTCCTTGGCCCCCTTGTCAGGCAGAGGCGTCCTCTTGCCTGTCGAGCTGGGAGTTGCCGTGCCGTTGACGACGCCTGCCCACTTCTTGCCAGCGGCTCCAGCGGCCCCCGAACCGTTGACCTGGTTCCAACCACCCTCGGATTGCTGGTCGTCATCCTCCTCGAAGCCTGCCTGCTCAAAGATGTTCTTGTTGGCGTTCTGGTCTCGCTTGTGCTGCTCTAGAGCCTTGGCCAGCAGACGAGGATCTTCCTCGCTGCCGCCCTCGGAAACATCCTCGCTGCGAACGCGGCGAATGATGGTATCATCCATCCGAATCCACTCCTTGCCTTCCTGGCGACGGACATCGACAGTGTAATGACCACCGCTGGCATTCTTGCCGTGGTGGTATACGACACCGGTCAAGCGGTACTTGGGTGAGCCACCCTTGACGGCCAAACCAGGACGGATATGTTGCGGGAAGACTTCCTTGGGGATTTCCAATTCCAGTGGGTAACCAACCTTCTTCCAAATCTTCTGTGTGCCTCCAGTGTTGTCGTACTGGAAGCGCTTGAGGTGAAGGATAAGGACAGGCGGGAGTGTTTCAATAAAGACTTGCTTTGTCGCGGATGTGCCAGGTCCGCGAGGAGAGTTAAAGTCGCCCTGAAGAGTTTCCGGGCGGGTAAGCCCCTTCAAAGCTTCAATGATGTTGTTAACGTTTGGCGCGCCAATATCGAGTTGGAGTGGCTGATAGGGCTCAAGAGTCACAGAGGTCTTCAGACCCGGGACCTTAAGTTCCGACCGGAGCTTTCCGCCAAAGATTTTTGTGATGGGCGTGTCCAAATCCATGCCAGACTCTCGTGTGATCGATGATTTTTGCTTAGGTCCGACCTCAAGCCACCCGTCAGCCCCGCTTGACTCAGAAGTTGCTGATACGGGCTCTTTGTTTGTGACCGGGGGAGGCGGCGCAGTCTTCATGACATGAGCGCACTCATCGTGAAGACCAGCCAGAAGGAAACCAAGAAACTCTTCAGCATCTTGCTGATGACCGCGCTGTTTTTCGTTAGAAGGCTGAAAATATATAGGTTTTACGCTAGTCACTTACTCTCATGGATGAGAATCTGGGCAGACGTTTGATTACATCATAGACAAATTCCGGAATGAACGCGTCGCCATACTGCTCTAGCTCCGTATCCTTGAGCCTCAGTCTAAGCTGCTCTGTCGATGCTGCAGAATCAATTACGGGAAACTCGCGCATAAACATAATCCTTCAAGATATGTTAGCACTTCGGAAACACGTGAACAATTAACAGGGGACATACATAGCGTCAATCAGAGGAGTCTCGCTCTTGAAGCTATATGCCGCACGCTTGCCAACCTGATCCAAGAAATTGTAAAAAGGTATGCAGAAAACGAGTGTTTGAAGAACCTGCATGCAGCGTTAACATTGCAGAAGAGGTCGTGCGTATTGTTTTCAGCTTACCGAGTTCATATAGCACATGTTGCCAGTATTTACAAGGCCTCGCGGCTCAAGGAAGGGAATCTTGTGGTCCGAGGCGGCGTTATAGGTCCGGAGAACTTCCGCAGTCGAGTCTGCCTTTGGCGGAGCAAAGCCATTAGTGGTAACAGCTCCATTCGTCGTTCCAGACGATGCGGCTGCGTTATTGGCGTTCTTCGCTCTCACGAGATCCGCCCATGACTTGGGTGCAGCCGGTTTTGGTGGAGGCGAAGCAGCAGTCGCAGTCCGCTCTGACTCGGGAGATGTTGGCGCCGCCGGAGTTGCAGCCTCTGGCGTTTCCTGCGCAGCACCACCAGCAGTACTTGGCCTTTCAGCAGTCGATGTAGCTGTGCTATCCTTCCGTTGAGAAGCCGGAACAGTTGCATCCTTTGGCTTGAGTGGCACAAGCGGCACAGCAGGGATAGTAGTTTTGCGCGAGTGACCTGCGGTGGTCTGCTGGGCTCGAGGAGTAGAAGCAGGCAAGGTGGAAGAAGGAGTCGTGGGGTGGGTGGAATCCGCCTCCGAAGGCGCTTGCGACGTAGCGGGCGTCTCGCGTTCCGATGCGGCGGCCAACGTCGAGTCTTGAGACTCGGTGTGTTCCTCTGGTTGCTCGGCCTCCAATACTTGATCCCTTGTCGGAAGTTCCAGCACAGGCTCGGTCGACGCAGGCAGGTCGTGGCGACGCCGCCGTTGCCGACGCGCCTTGGGGGGAAACGGTTCATCAGGGTGAGAGTGCCATGGGAGCTGGGCGACAGTCAGAAACAGGTGAGATTTGACGGGTGCGCAAAATTGGAAGCTTACCTGGGGCCAGAACGGCATCCTGCGGCCAAGCGCCGGAGGCGCGTTGGCGGCGGGAGCCGACTGCCTCGCGGTGGCAGGGAGTGGCGGCGTCGTGGTGCTAGGCGCCGTGGTCGGCGTCGAAGGCGACACCAAGGACTGCGCGTATACCGAAGGGGTCGAGGGCGCGGGCGCGGGCGCAATGGCGAGCGCAGGCGCAGGTTGCGGAGCCGGGGAGTGCGCGACCAAAGGAGCGGCGGGAGGCGTGTGGGTGTGGGCGACCGGCGGAGTGCGGACGTGCTGGCGGTGGGCGGGAGCGACGGAGTGGATGGCCGGATGCGAGGAGACGACCACGGGAGAGTGCGGTGGCGGGTGCTGCGGAAAAGGCCGTGGCGGCAACGGGTGCTGATACGGGTGGTGATAGGACGGATGGTAGAGTTGCTGGGGGTAGTAGGGATGGCCGTGATACTGAACCGGATGGTGATATCCCGAGTATAGAGGCATGGTGGGCACCGGCGAATGCGCCTGCGGTGGAAGATAGTAATCCTGCCTTCTCATAGAAGGCGGCAAACTATGGCCAGGCATCATGGGTGGGCGGAGAAAGATGCCTCACAATCCAGCGCTGGTCTCAAGGACTCAGCCACCGACTTGTGAGGCGAACGGGAATAATTATGAGAAGGCCGCCAAGAGGTGCCTTCTGCTCACTGAGAGAGTGCGATGGCGCCGGCAACGGCGGTGCGGCGGCGGCGGGGTGAAAGCTGAGGGTTGGGGCGGGCGAGGTGTGATGTGATGCGATGTCGCGGGTTGGCCGTTGGCGGAGAATGATCGGCCAAAGACGACAATTTGTGATGGGATGCGCCCGCACCAAGCAAAGGCTGACATGTTCTCAACTCTTTCATATGCGGCGAAATAGCGGAGCGGAGCCGAAAGCACCCTCGCTAGCTAGCTTGTTTGTTTGTTTGTTTGCTTGCACTCGATAGGTATTATTTGTACTAACCTCTGTCACCGTCAAGCGAGATTCACCTTCTTGCGAGGTAGAAGAAGACATCCACTCAAGATACTTGTAGCATGTGTGTGCTCTAAGGTCTTCCCGCACATACTCGGGACTTAGACTTGTAGCTAGACAAGGAGTAATCCATAGAGATTACTTGTGTCCTTACCTACCTCGCAGCTACGACGGTGAATCGCACTTGACGGTGAGGAGCGTTTGATGTGCTCTAAGAGCCTTTCACTTACATCCAGGACTCGGGCTTGTACCTAGATAAAGAGTACTCTATGGGGTCTGCTTGTATACTTCCCTGACTCGCTGGACGGTGAATCTCGCTCCACGGTGACGGACATTAGTAGACAGACAAAACCTCAAACGAGACCTACGGTTACGGCTTGTTCGTCCCTCTGGAGAGTACCGAGTCCACTTCAATATGCACCTTTTTCGGTTGGACAAGCGCCTCAGTGACCCGCTGGCGGCTCTCTCTCATCTGCTGGGTCAGTCATCCATCGAGTCTTGTTCGGTGTGCGGGCTAGTAGCTGCTGCCTATCTGGTGTACCTGATAGGGTACAGCTCCTGCCGGAACGTGATCTGAGGCACGTGATACGGCTCGAGGCAGCCATCATCAATCGCCCCTCGTCAAGCATGGAATGACTCTGCTCTCGACCCTCAAGTCCGCCCTCTGGGGGACCAAAAGCGCCACCCAACGCTCTGCAACAACCTAGTGGTAACCCTCTACCATCTCCTCCCAGCTCCGCCTCTCCGCCCGAATTCCAGTCGGCGGGCGCGTCTGAAGCTCTGCTCTGTCGTTCGCAATTCGTCATAGCCGGCTGCGAAACACCGTCATGTCCGCCAGCTCGAACCCACCGGCCGCCGCCCCCAAGTCAGCCAACACAGCGGCCCAGCTCTCCCCGGTACAGTCGCAAGGGAGCCCCTCCGGCTCTGCCGACAATTACGGTCAACGCCGCAGTGGCGGTTCTGGCAGCTTTGGTGCGGGGGCGGCGTCGCGAGCTTACCCCTCGCCACGGAATAACCAGGCCTCGAAGAAAAAGCACAAGGGCGTCAGAAAATACGGGGCTGCGGACGAAGATGCAATTGCGGAGGCCGTAAGTGAAGGATCACCATGCGCGTTCCTTCGCAAGCGTGTCTAACAGCTTTCCGCAGGTCGCCATGCGCTCCACTAACAGCCGGAAGGGTCAGACTTCCATTACTCACCTGATGAACTTCAGCCTGCCGCCTCGCCCTCAATCCCATGGACACGGCTCGGGCCGGAGCTACCGGAGAAATCCCACTTGGGGCTTGGGGTCTGGCTATCATGCAATCGACAAAGCGAGGTGTGTGGAACTGATGCAGAAAGTCTCGCTATGCTGACGTTTGCGCCAGATATGTCCATGCGAATTACCGGTTTATCGTTGATCCTCGCGCCGACTACCAAGCGCAGAGCGCCGACGCCGACGTCCACTTGGATTGGAACAACGTCCTGCAGATTCTAGCTTCTGCCCAATCACAGTCCGCTTCATGTCCGATATGTCTTGGGACTCCGGTTGCGCCCCGAATGGCCAGATGTGGCCATATTTTCTGTTTGCCGTGTCTGCTTCGCTTTATGCAATCTGAAAGCGAGCCTCCCAAGGTGCCGGAGAAGAAAGCAAGGTTTAAAAAATGTCCGATTTGTGAGGACAACATCTACACATCTGAAACAAGGCCGGTTAGATGGTTCATGGGGCAAGAGGGCGAGCCACCAAGGGAAGGCGGAGACGTCGTCCTTCGGCTCGTCACACGCCCAGCCGGCAGCACATTGGCTTTGCCCAAAGACGGCGCTGATGCTCTGGGCAGAGATGGAGATATTCCTTGGTACCTGGCGGCTGAAGTCATGGATTACGCGCGCGTCATGAAGGGCAGTGAGGACTACATGCTCGAGCAATTGGAAAATGACATTCAGGAAGTGGATAGGCAGGGCAAGGAGGACGAGCTGATGTTCGGAGAGGACAATGCTGAGTGGACCCGCAAAGCCATAAAAATGATTCGCGAAGCCAAAGAGAAGGTCAAAGGCATCGGCAACCCTCCCCCGGTAACGAAACCACTCGATGGGAAGTCAAAGAAGCCTGACGTTGTGGAAGAGTCTGGTCAGGCGGCGGCCGAAGCGGACACTAACCAAACTGACAATACCACCTCGAGCGCCCCTGCATTGGAGCCTATTCAAACCTCGGAACAGGCTGATGGGCTTCCTGCTGAAATGCAGCAACCGGCGCTAAGCAATTTGTCAACTTCCATTGCCGAGTTCCGGAGCAAACAGCATGAACATCAAACGCCATCGGAATATTTCTTCTATCAAGCACTTCTCCATTATTACCTTTCGCCTTTGGACATCCGCATTCTAAAGGCAGCTTTCGGTAGTTTTGCCTCATTCCCTTCGACGATTCTTCCGAGAGTAGAGCGGGTCTCGACTGGTCATGTTGTTGATGATGAATTGCGAAAGCGTACCAAATACCTGGCACATCTGCCATACGGATGCGAAATTGGCTTTCTTGAATGCGATTGGACCGACACCGTAACACCGGAGATCTTAGAGACATTCAAACCAGAAATCGAGCGCAGGCGTAAGAGGAATCAAGACAAGGAGGCTAGAGAGGAGAAGGCACGAATCAGAGCCGAGAAGGAGGAAGACCAGAAGGTATATGCTCAGGCACGGCGGAAGAGGCCGAGCATCTCAATCAACCGATTTCACGCCGATGAGTTCCAGCCGTTAGCACCTCCGGAGTCCGCCGAAAATGCGGACTCCCTAGATGCCGACCACGCTTCAACGTCGCCTCCTTATCCTCGGAGACAGGGCTCTGCTTTCGCCTCTCTTGCGTCACCGTCGACGAGTCCAAATGCTCCTCGGACGGTATGGGGGACTACAGCCATCCACTCTACGTCGCCTCCGTTACTTGCCCAGGACCATGGTCCTGCCGATGATGGATGGCTGCAGGGCTGGGAGAAAGATCTTTTGGGAGAGGAAGAATTGATGGCGCAGGTGCAGGCCATGTCTCTCGGGAATGGAGAAGGCTCCTCCAGCGCAGCGGCGAGCGGAGCAGCGAGTGGAGGAGGAGGAGGAAGTGGAGGCGGCGCCAAGAAGAAAAAGAAGAAGATCACCTTGATGAGCACTACAGCACGTAGGGGAGCGTGATATATATCGGGGTTGTGATTGGCTGGCGCATCTGGAAGTACCTGCAGGATTGGGACAGGGGTCGGCATGCTTTGCTTATACTCGTAGTGAACAACGGCATTGATGCGCAAGGCGCGATTTGAATAGCGTACTGAGCGGTGTACTTTGTCTTTCGTCGCACGGAAGTGTTCAGTCAAACAAAGGTGGTCGGGTCTATCTCGCAGTGGTGCAGGCTTGGTGTAATAATCGCGCGCTTTAGGCTTTAGCCTTTGACGTCGGTCGCCTAGCAAATTTGGCGCTGTTGTCAACAAAGCCAGCGCAACAACTACACCACGCACAAGCCATTGAGCACCAGCAGAGCCTGGAGGTCGTCAGTCCCGTACATCCTCTTTGTGCTGCTCTGCCAATTCGCATGAGTCGCACTGTTTCTCGCCCTATCGCGGCTTGATTCAGGTAACCCCCGTTTTCCATCCGAGACCTCCTTTACCATGTCGGACCGCGTGACGCGTTCGCAGACGGGCAAGACGCCTAGGTAATGATTGTCCTTGTGGATGCAGAGGCAGAACAGCCTCCGCCTCTTGCTTCGCGCCCTGAGACGCATTGACTGACGGGTGTGAACAGAAAGCCGTCCAACCCTGGCTTCATCGAGACGCCCAGCAGGCGCCGCACCACCCGCAAATCCGTGGCTCCCACCTCCGACGGCGGCGACTCGGGCTCCGAGCGCGCGACACCAGTGCCTCCCATCAACTTGCAGAGCGAACTCTCCAAGGCCGAGGAGACTGCTAATGGCCACGTGGACGGGTACACCAATGGACACGCCAATGGATACGCCAATGGACACGCCAATGGACACGCCAATGGCCATGCCAACGGCCATGCCAACGGCCATGGAGAGCTGAAGAAGGAGGAGGTCATTCTCAATGGCAAGAAGGTCGTGGATCCCACGGTGGAGCAGAACACGCATATGGAGTTTGGGGGTTCCTGGGGCACCGGCGCCATGATGATTTGCTTCCCGCTGCTCATGTACTACATGTGGCTGGGCGCGACATACTATGACGGCCGCTTTCCTCTGCCCGAGGCGGGCCAGAGCCTGGGTGACTTCTTCCAGCAGATGTTCGACCAGTGCTACACCGGCGCTTTCCCGCACAGGCGCGCCTGGACGATCTACTGGACTTTCCTGGCCATGCAGGTGGTGTTTTACCTGTTCATGCCCGGTGTCTACTCCAAGGGCCAGCCTCTGCCGCACCTTGGCGGCAAACAGCTCACGTACTACTGCTCCGCCGTGTACAGCTTCTACACGACGATCGCCCTGTCCTTCGTTCTCCACTACACTGGCTACTTCAAGTTGTACACTCTGATCGACGAGTTTGGCCCTTTGATGTCCGTGGCCATCTGCTCCGGATTCCTGCTCAGCTTCTACTTCTACATCAGCGCGCATATCCGTGGCGCCACTGTTCGGATGACTGGCTACCCTGTGTATGATTTCTTCATGGGTGCTGAGCTGAACCCCCGCCTGTTCAAGTGGCTTGACTGGAAGATGTTCTTCGAGGTTCGCATGCCTTGGTTCATTCTGTTCTTCACCACCCTGGGCACGGCCGCTAGGCAGTACGAAAACGAGGGCTACGTCAGCGGAGAGGTTGCTTTCTTGCTGATGGCGCACTGGCTCTACGCTAACGCATGCTGCAAGGGTGAGGATTTGATTGTTACGACCTGGTAAGTTCCTGCGAGGCGGAAAGGCGTATGCAAAGCTAACATTCTCGCTAGGGACATGTACTTTGAGAAGCTCGGCTTTATGCTGACTTTCTGGAACCTGGCAGGCGTGCCGCTCTCTTACTGCCACTGCACCATCTACCTGGCGAACCACCACCCGTCGGAGTACTCGCACTCGCCGTGGGTGCTGGCGCTGATGTTTGTGGGCTACCTGTTCGTGTACTGGGTGTGGGACACGACCAACAGCCAGAAGAACCACTTCCGGCGCAAGGAACGGGGCTCAGACTACGACCGCAAGTCGTTCCCGGTGCTGCCGTGGCGCGAGGTGCACAACCCGCAGACGATCCCGACGGAAACGGGCAACGACATTCTGGTCGACGGCTGGTACGGGCTCGCGCGCAAGCCGCACTACACGTGCGACCTGTACTTTGCGCTCAACTGGGGCCTGATCACCGGCTTCAAGAGCCCGTTCCCCTGGTTCTACCCCGTCTTCTTCAGCATCATGATCGTCCACCGCGCGTACAGGGACATTCAGCGCTGCAGGGCCAAGTACGGCGAGGCGTGGATGGAGTACGAGCGCAGGGTCCCGTACCTGTTCATCCCGGTAAGTCATCCTGCACCTTATGCGCTTGAGGAGATCGCACAGCTAACATGTCTTGCGCGCAGTATGTCATCTAAGCATGTACAGCATCTCGGCTATAGAAGAGGCACTTGCCTGGTCGAGTTTCTTTCGGCTTTTACCTTTTCGGGCTCGAGTCAGTTTAGACGTTTCTAGAAAGCGATAATTTGGAGCGTGCTTCTTCAGCGATCTTTGTGCCTGTCGTTCGGCGGGTGGCTACGCTTGCGTGCATGTGCGCCGTCGCGTCTGCGTGCGCTCGGTGCTGCTTGTTTTTGTGTTGTGCATAGCGGAACTGCATGGCGAAACTGCATAGCGAAACTGCATAGCGAGGGCATGTCTGGCCACTGTCGTGCGCGACGGTGGTGCTGCGCTGCATTGTTGTTCTAGTGCGTCTATTGTGGCATTGAGGAGCGGGGAAGAGCATGAAGAAACGTCGATGAGGTGTCGCGAGCCAAACTATCCACGACCACTTGTATATGTATGTGTGGGTGGATGGCGGTGGTATGTATGTACGTGTCTATGTGTGTATTTGTCTGCCTGTTTGTGTGTGTTTGTGTTTTGTGATTTGTGGTTTCTCTTCTTTTTTCTTTTTTCTTCTTTCTTCTTTCTTATTTCTTCTTCCTTAGTTCTTCGTTTTTAGTTTTTAGTTTTTAGTTCTTTCTTCTCTCTTTCTCAGTTTTTTGCGTTCGTTTCGAGTAAGTGATGTTGTTACTGTATAGGTTTAGTAAATAGATGAGGTTGAATGCTTTTGTTATGGGTTGCTTGTTTGCTTGCTTGCTTGCTTGGCTGCTGCGAAGCTGAGGGGCTGCATTGCTTTGCGTTGCGCTGTATATGTATGTACGCTGCTTCTGGTTGTGTGTTTCTTGTTCTTTTTGTACTGTGCTTTGCGCTCTGCCAGCTTGGGTGGGTGCAGCGCGTGTTACTAGGTACGTTGTATTAATTTTTTGGTTTGCCGCTGTGCCGCACTCTCTCTTTCTCTCTCCCTCTCCCTCTCTCTGCTTCCTCTTTCCCCTTCATCATCATCCCCCATCGTTCACACGCCCCGCCCCTACCCCTGCGACCTTCACCACACCTCTTATGTACATACAGACATACATGCCTAGATGAACACGCACAGAAAGTAGCCAACCAGCCAGCCAGCCAGCCAATACCAACCGCCGCACCTGATACCTACCTCACTCCGTAGCAGCGCGCGCGCGACTCCATCCTTCTTTCTTGGCCGAGACGAGGCGAGACGGCCCGCTCACACGCACGCGCAGCGCACGCGCAGCGGCCATGTGCCTGGCTGGCTGGCTGCCTGGTTGGCAGTGCCAAGATGCATGCCATGCGCGCGCGCCCCTGCACCACGCCGTACCACGCGCGGCGTTGCCGAGACGCCTGGCGACAGGGGTGTGGGGTGCAGGGTGCAGGGGTGCGCGCGCGTGGACGGGGGTGCTTGTTACTTAGATAGTTATATGAGGGGTTGTATGGGCTGGGGGAGTTGACTACTGTGGTGCTGTAGAGGAAGAGATGGATGGATGGATAGGGAGATTGGACGGTTAGGGTAGGTCAAGTGGTAGGTGAGTGATGGTGAGTGATAGGTGCGCCTCTAATGAGGGTAGGCAGGTAATACAACCTATGTAATCCGTACGGAGTAACCAAACCACCCCGGCACCCCCAAGCAAACAAACTAACTAACCCGTAACTAACCTGCTCGCGCCGTCCGCGCACAACGCTTCTGTCTTTACTCACAACTCACACCACACCAGCTTCTACGTCGTTACTAGTCGCCTACTACAACACAAGCCTCCCCTTTACAGTGCAGCACCCACCTACCTAGCGCACTACACTATTGCACAGCACCACCGCATCGGACATTACCTTATTACCCAACCCAATCCCTGCCATCGAATCAGAGCGCCTCACAAGCCTGCACGCCCGCCCAAACCCCCTGTTCCTGACCCGACCCGACCCGACCAGATCCCGACCAGATCCTGGTAACTACATAGCCAAGGCGTGCGTGCACGCAGGCACGCGCTGGGTTCGTGCTGCTGCCGTCTCCCGCTTTCTTGGATGGATGGTTGTTCCTTGGTTGTGGAGCCGTGCTTGGTTGTGGACCTACAGACTTGCTTTTTGGGCTGCGCACCTGGGGCCCTGCAGACCCGTCCACGGACCTGCAGGCCTACCAACCTGATCCTGATCCTGATCCTGATCGACAGGGACGGCGGTGGCGACGGAGATGGCGCTGCGCTGCGTGCTTTGCACCTGCCATGTCCTGCCCGGCCCTGTATGGCTGGTGGCAAGGCCATGGGGCGATGGCGCTGGCGGTCGTGTCGCACTGTGCCGGGCGTGGGCGTGGGCGTGACTGACTGACTGATTGACTGCTAGAGGAGGAGGGAGGGGTATATCTTGGGGGTGAGGGTTCTTTTGTTGCTTCGTTTGCTCTCTCCCTCTTTTATTCTCGGTGTAAGCCTCTCGGTGTAAGCTTCTCGTTCTTTGGTTAACCGTCGTTTTACACTATGGTGCGCTTGGGCTTTGCGGCTGCGCTGCTTGGTGCGGCTTCTTCTTCTGCTGCCACTGCTTCGCTCGAGAAGCGTGCGGCGGAGGGCGTGCCGCAGTATGTGCTCGACTATGGTTAGTACCTAGAGCAGCATTTTCCATCTCTCCAACCAACACTCTTCTCACAAGCACCACTCCCCTAAACCCCACTCCAAAAGAAAAAACCACCCCTCACTAACCCGCCTCCCCCCCAACAGCACCACTGAGCTACCTCCACCACTCCGAAGCCTACTTCCCAGCCTCCATCCCCGCACACCTCACGCACGTGCAACCAGAGACGAACTACACACCCATAACGAGCGCGCCCGACCCTCTGACGCTGGACAACCTGGACCAGCTCTCCGACGCCGTCTACCTCACCTCCAAAGACGACGTCACCACCGACCCGGCCTGGCTGCGCGGCAGCAAGCCCGACTGCGCGGGCGCGACGGGCGAGGACCCCACTGCCGCCGTCGTGCTGGTCGAGAAGGGAACGGGGATCCTCGATGCGTTTTACCTGTATTTTTACGCGTACGATTGGGGCGGCGCGTATTTGAGTGGCGCGATTCAGGCGGGTGAGTTTTAAGTGTTTTTTGTGGGTTGGCGTTGGAAAGAGTGCTGATGTTGATGTTGTGGACGCAGGTAACCATGTCGGTGACTGGTGAGCGCAAGTTCTGTTTTGTTTTGCTGTGTGCGGTTTGGATGAGAGCGAGAGTGAGCTAAACTCGCGCGCGCCACCTACCTAGGGAGCACAATATGGTGCGTTTCGAGAACGGCACGCCGACGTACGTCTGGTACTCGCAGCACAGCAACGGGCAAGCTTTTGCGTACAAAGTGCTGCACAAGGACGGGAAACGAGTAAACCCCCCCGCCACATCCATCTCACCTAGGTACCTACCACAGTGACCAAACCAGCTAACCTACCTCCCCCACCACACAAGCCCCTCAACTACATCGCCAACGGCACGCACGCCAACTACGCCATCCCCGGGACGCACGACCATGCGATCCCGAACCTGAACCTGCCGGCCGGGCTCGTCGAGGACCACACTGACGGCCCCGACACCCAGGGCGCGACGCGCTGGGACCCGCTGCTTGGGGCGTGGTTTTTCGGGTACAGCAACAGCTCTGGCTCGCCCGTGTTTACGGCGCTGGGGGCTGGGAGAGGGGGTGCGGAGGGGGAGTGTGCTGCTGCTGGTGCTCCGACTGTGGATGCTGACGCGCAGGTCCCGACTAATTGGCTGCTGTTTGAGGGCAAGTGGGGCGATCAGGAGTATCCGGAAAGTGACCCTAGGCAGAAGGACTGGTTTGATGGCCTGTTGAAGAGGTATGGGTCGGGGCCGACGGGGCCGGTGAGGAAGCAGTTGGGGCGCGAGAAGGTGTGTCCCGACAATGGGATTTTGTGTATTCTGCGGTGGGTTCTGGGGCCGTGAGGGAACTGTGTATAGTCAGTCTATTTGTAGTTAAAGCTGAGAGAAAACGCGTCGCGTACAGCCGTAGGGCTGAAGCCCCACCGCGGGAGCTTTGACCTCGCTCCCATTCCGTCACCAAAGCTCCAAGCTGTGGCCAACCATTGTCATCATCCCACCTGCTCACCTCACACAAGTCCAACCATGGCTGCAGCAGCTGCTTCTCGTACCCCAGGCGACCAAGCCCTGGTGAGTCTGCCCGTCTGCGACTCTGCTACTTCGGAAGCTAACCCGTGCAGTTCCCCACGCTACCCAGCGAGCTTATTTGCAACATCCTAGAGCTGCTCGACCCGCCCGACCTCGCCAAATTCGCCCTGACCTGCCGCTGGGGCTATGATCAGGCTATACCGCAGCTATGGAAGGACCTCGAGTTGAAGGACTGCTGGACGCTGCATCCTAGGAACACGCGGTTACAGCTCGCCAGTCTGAGATGTGAGACCGAAGACTCGGACGAACACGATGATACCCCGATAGTAAAGAAGCTGCTGGTCATCGCCCAGTATGAAACACCAGTCTCTTGCGCAGAATAGAGGGTTAACCTGCGCAGGAACCCCTTTGTTGCATCAAAGGTCCAGACGGTCCTGCACCGCTGCCATTTGCCCACGCCTAATATCTTCACCGAACTACCGCATATATCCTTCGAGGCGCCAGCGTTGTCCCGAGACGTGCGTACCCAGAAACTGCTACGAATGGCCATATGGAACATGACCAACGTACATACCTTACGCATTATATTTGGCCATTACCACCTGACCTATGGTCTGCTTTATGGCTTCCTCCACCCGCAGCGCCCGCGCGAGGTCCCGCTTAGGAAACTCTGGCTCGAAAGCTGCTCGCTCGCGTGCCCGGTACCTGGCCCTGCTGGCATGATCTTTCCCGACTTGTCGGGCCTCGAGTCCATAAGACTAAGAAGGCTGTCGTACCTCGACCATACTTTCACTCCAATGAGGTCGGCACTTGCACGCGGCAAAGCTGAGATACCCGGCCTTCAGACGACCTCGCAACAGCTTTATAATGGCATTGGAGGCGAGTATAAGACAACCCTTACAGAAGGTTGGTTTTACGAGAAACCGATATGGCAGGAACTGGTCGATTCCGAAGATGCATGCCGGTTCGATGATATAATTTACGATAGTATCCCTGGGGCGGAAAGAGCTATATACAAGGTCTCACATGAAGACAGTCCCCCCATGCCCCCTTCCGAGAAAGCTCTGCCGTCGTTTTTCCTGAGCATTCTGCTCCGTAATTCGTCGTTTACACTTGCATCGCTCAACCTGGATTGGCTTCTTACGTGGACCGGCCGAACTGAGGCTATGGCTCCGGAAATCTACCAGATACTGCGCTTTCTGAGCGTCTCCCGCTTCCCTAACCTCCGAGCTTTCCAGCTGCGCAATGCTGCCACCACCGAATATACCAAGGTCCCCGAAGACGTCTACTTGCTTGATGAGGCTGAATCGGAGGGTTCAGATGACGAGCGTCGTCCCGTCAAGTTTTTGAGCTTCATGGAAGCTCATCCGAACCTTCAGTGCCTTGCCTGGCCCATGTGTCGATTTTTCAGTCATAGCAAGCCGCATCCCGACGTTGCTGCGAGGGCCGACCGCGTAGTTGCGAACCTCTCCCGTACGTTGACAGAGCTACGAGTCGACTCGCAGTTCTCTCGGCACGTCGAGAAGAGGACGGACGAGTCCTCTCACGGCGAGGCGCTGAACTTGCGCACCCGGCGCCGCCGCTTCATCAGCGAGTTCGCGGCGCGCATGACCAGGCTCGAAATCATCAAGATGGAGGGCGGAATCCCGCTGGACGAGAAGCGCGAGACGGTGCGCGCGCTGCACCGATGCCAGCTCAAGAAGGTCGTCATGATCGGCGTCTCGTGCCCCATCGGCAACACCTGGGGCAACCAGAACGACTTCCACACGTGGCCGCTGTGGATGCAGCAGGGCTGGACGCTGGAGAATGAGGACCTCGCCGCGCTGACAAGCACGTCCAAGTCGGCGCTCACGCCTCCCGGCCCGGACTTTGTCTTCACGCCGCAGTACGGCTGGCCGGCCTCGTCGGTCATGACGCACACGCTGGCGTCGCTGCACGCGCCCAGCATCACGGAGCTCAAGTTCTGCGGCTACAACGGCGCGCCGATAATTTTCGCGCCGACGGGGCTGGCCGACGCGCTGCTCCGCCCGCTGCGCCATTTCGATAACCTAAAGGAGCTCGTCCTCAGCATGTGGATGCTGACGTTCTTTGACGGCTCCGACCGCGACCAGGAAGTCATTGCGTACTGGCTGAATGCGCGGGAGCCGTCGTCGACTGCGCTGGCGCTGCTGGACCTCCCCGACCCGGATTTGCCGGAGGAAACGAACACGGATGCTGACGGCTTCTACTCCTCGTCTTCCTCGTCCGCGGCCTCTGACGACGGGGCCGCGCCTGTGCAAACGCAAACGCAAACGCAAACGCAAGCGCACGCGCCCCTCCTCCACAACCACCAGCACCATCACCACCACCAGCACAACCAACACAACGCACCCCCACCCCCCGCCCACCTCATAAGCATAACAGGCGACCCACTCAACGGCCCGGAGCCCGTCCTCGCACTCGCGCCACTATCCTGGCCTCAACGCCTAGAAGCGCATTTCCGGCCCCAGGCGCTCGCGGCCCAGGTGGTGCGGCAGGTGGGGCCGCATTTGTCGGAGGTGGCGAAAGGAAGGGTAGGCGGCGTTAGGGTTCGCGCGAGTTTTTGCCTTAATGGCGATATTTTTGATTTGGATGTTAGGGTTGGGAAGGAGGGTGTGGGGGGTGGGGAGGGGGCGGGAGGGGTTGGAGGGATCGGAGGTGCTGGGGGGGTTGGGGTGGGCGGTGCTGGGAGTGGTGGAAGTGGTGTGGGTGGCGGTGGTGGGGAAGGGGAAAGGAGGTCCAGAGGTGAGGGATTAGGCAGGGATGTCTTGCTGGGGTTTAGGGGACCTTGCGAGGAGGGGGAACGGGAGAGGTGGTGGGGGAAGTTGAGGGGGAGGCGGTGGTTTTAGTGCGCTGCTTTTCTTTGGTTTTTGGTTTGGTTCGTTTGGGATGGGGTAGGTGGGGTGGAGTTAGGTGGGAGTTGCGGCGTATATAGAGTGGTGTGTGAAGGGGCGTGATGTTTTGATACCTAGGTAAGGTACCTGCCTATCTACTACGTACAGCTGCGGGTTGCACGCTTGGCTAGGCTGGGGGATAGCTATATAGTACAGTTTAAACAAAATAAATAAAACAAAACAAAACAAATAAACAAGGTAAGTACAGCGCAATCAAACACTAAAAAAACGATACGTCTATTCTCTAACACAAGAGAGTCTCTTAGCTCCATATATATATATATATATATAAAAGAACATTTATACTTACTTATACTTATTCCTACTACTAGTTATAGTTGGAGTTAGTTATAGTATAGTAAAGTTACTTGGCAGTTAACGCCTTCTCGTATATAATATAATAGTAATATAGGGAGAGAGGAGGGAAAGAGGGGGGAAAGAGAGGAGGTCTCCACCGTTATTTAGTCATATAAAGATTAGAATGGTATTTGCTATTTGCTGTAACTACGTACGACCTTACTGGTTCTTTTATTTAGATAGCGTGAGATAGAGACGTACATACACCAGAAACTTCACGCCCAACCCGCCCCAGCCACCAACCAACGGCAACAAGCAAAAAACCCCACTACTCACCCTCACCCAGCAAACATCCAAAACCAATCCAAACCAATCCAAACAAAGGATGCACTAATAAAACGTAAATTGGTATCAAACACCAGCAGCGCCCGCCGGCTCCAAGAGTAAAAGTAAAGTAAAAAGAACACACAACAACAACAACTATATAAAAGCCCCTCCCCACGCAATTCAACTCAACTCAACAGCCATATTACCACAGCATATCCTTCCTTACCAACACCGGCATTCAGAAACTTACTCCCCCTCCCCAGCCCATATCTCCCGTTCCTTACATACCCATACTGATCCACTTAACTTAGTCCTCGTCAAAGATCTGGTACGTATTCACGAGAATCGTGTCCACGACCTTGGCCTGCAAGCCCGCGTCGGCCATTTGGCCTCTATGCGGGCCCATCAAGCTCGGGCTGTACAAACAAATGGTCAGCACCACATCCAATAACAAAAGCAAAAGGGTATGGAGCAAATTAAGGAAAGGAAAAGAAAGGAAATGTCCACATACGCAAAACAAATCGCCAAATTCGTCGTGCTCATACGATTACTCGCGCTACGATCCTGCACGCGATTCAAATGCAGCACAAGCGCACGCAACGTCGCGTAATTCGGATCCGGAAGCGCATTGATAATGGCGTGCAAGCTATCGCGGCGCACAATGTCGTCGTCGATGCGCGCCGAGTCGATAAAGGCCTCGTAGTGCTCCTGCGTGAGCAGCGGGTCGGGCAGGTCGCGGAAGAACTGCTTTAGCAGGCCTGCGACGCTGTTGACGTCGTGGAAGAAGGCTTCCGGGTTACGGAAGTCGACGATTTCCGAGTCTGTCGTTGCTGGTGTGTGAGTTTTTGTTTTTGGTTGGGAAGTTTGGTGTTGAGGGGAGGGGTGGATGGCGCTTACCGTGGTCGAACATGGCTTTCATCGCTTGGATGTGCGAGTTCGTGCCTGGCACCCGGTAGATGCCTTCGGCGTCGAGGCCGAACAGGTCCACGGCCTGGATGCACTGGTACACGACCATGGGCACGGGGGTGCCGTCTCTGTGGAACAGCTCCTCCAACGTAATGCCAAACACCGGCTTGATCGGCGGCGCGTTAGCATACGAAGAAGCGTTAGTCACTGGCCCGCCAAAGCCTGCGCTCTTTGGCGGAGACATGCCGTAGCCATCGCTAGAGCCGTTGTAAGGCGGGTTCGACGACATTGGGTACGGCGGGGTTTCCCGCGTCGGCGAAGAGTAAGGGTTGTGTTTCGGACCATCCTGCGGCGACATAAGCGATTGTCCTGGCGCGGAATCATAGTTCAAGTATGATCCCCCAGCGCCGCTCTGCTGCTGAGGCTGAGACTCCATATGCGAGCCGGTATCAATAGGACCCAATTGGGGCGGCTTGGTATGCACTGGAGTTGCACTTGGCTGTGGCGGTGGCGCCAAAGTCTAACCTTTGTTAGACGAGTAAAGAAAACTCAAGTTAAAATGCTTACCGGGTGCTGCTTATACATGATTATGGGTGGCGAGGTGACTTTGCTGGATTGGCTCCTGATGTAGGATTGGAAATCCTTCTCATTGTCAACCCTGTAGACAATGTCCCTCAGACTCGACTGCGGTGGCTCGCCAGGGTTGTTGAGAGGCGCAACCAAAATGCCGTTGCCCAGAATGAGCTTTTCGTTGAAAGAAGCTGCAAGCGGCTTTGTGAGCAGTTACAGAACAGCGGTACACACGAAGCAAGCTTACCGAATTTCTGCAATTGCAGCGCGACGGCGGCATCACACTCCTTGGTCAAGTCGAGAAGAGCGCTCACCGCCTCGGGTCTCTGCTTGTCCACCAGTTCCTGCCTCAACATCTGTGCGTTCTGCACCTTGGCCGCGTAATCCTGGTCCGCAGCCTGCAGCTTGCGGTGTAGATCTTCCTCGTGTTGCTGCGCGCTCTTGGGCCCCTTGATACCGAAAACCCTACCGGCGCTCTTGTCGCCGGTCCTGACCTTGTCGTAGTCTTCGGCCAGAGAGTCGTACTTCGACTTTGCCTTCTCCATTTGCGCGATCGCGTCCGAGACCTTTTTCTCGTTTGACAGTCCAGTCTGCTTCCACGTCTTGCGCCCTTTTTCCATGTTGCTGCACAGCTCGTTCAAGTCCTCGTGCATCTGGTGCAGCGACAGCGCGAACTGCATGCCGTTCTCGCCCATGCGTTCGTGGAGCCGGGTGGCCTCCTCGAACTGGGCGGCATAGGTGCCCTGGCGGACTTCGTTGCGGCGCAGAGACTCATGGGTGGAGCGGCAGAGCTTCTTGATGCCCTGCGCCTGCTCCTCCTCGAGTCTGGAGCGCTTGTTGAGGAAGCCGGAGAAGTCCTAGGCGCCAAGGGTCAGTGGTGGTCGTGGTGGTCGTGGTGGTGGCCGGGAACCCCCGCGCGCGCGCCTTGCGACATACCCTGGCGGATGCGATACTTTGCTTCAGGCGGGTGAGCAGCGTAGTCAATCCGATCTGTGAAGGTTAGAAGTGTGTCGTATGTGGCGCAGGCTCGGGAGAACGCACGTCAGAATACAAGACCTCGTCGACCTTTGTGATGGGCTCGTTGAAGGCGGGGCCATGGTTGTTGTTGTTGTTGCTGTTGTGCTCGACACTGTTGGGAGTGGAGCCGGAAGGCGAGGGTAAGTCGTGCGAAGGGTCCATTGCAGGTTGGTGTTTTGGGGTGGAGAGTCGGTCAGGGCGGAATTGCCTGTCGTGGACGCGCCGACTGTGGAGGCGCACAGGGCTGAGCCCACGCACAGATCACTCAATGACGAACTCAATCTCCGCTGCTGCCCGTCACGAGATAGTTAGATCCCATCCCATCTCGGAAACAAACATCTTCAACAAAACAAAACCATGCCTGACGCAGATTCCCTCCCCCGCCCTTCTCCCGCTCTGCGTAAGGTCTCACCGCCCCACCTTCACCCTCGATACTGACCTTCTCGCAGCCTCGGAAGTCGTCCAGTGCCTGGAAAATGCCCGCTTCGTAAGGCACCAACTCCCACAGCTACACGACGTCGTGCCCAAATATAGCCAGCTAACCCCGGATGCGCAGCTCCACCTCGCGACCTCGTCGCCCGACGCCGTCCCACACATCTCGCTCATGAACTACACGTACCTGGCGACGACGCCCTTCTCCAACACGCCGCAAATCGTCATGACGACGGAGCCGACGTCGCACAAGACGGACAACCTGCGGCGCAACCCGCGGGTCTCGCTACTAGTGCACGACTGGGTGTCGACGCGGCCGCCGACGCTGTCGTCGTCAGGCCGCGAGGGCAGCCCGCCGCCAGCCGGGGGTGCGGCGCGCTCGCGCAGCTCGCTGGCCACGCTGCTGCTGGGCATCAACTCTGCGGCGCTGTCGCGCATCTCGGCCACGATCAACGGCGACGCCGTCTTCGTGCCGCATGGCTCCGACGAGGAAAAGTGGCTCAAGGCCCGCCATCTCGAGAACAACACGTTCGGCAACGAGATGGACGACCCGGCTGCCGGCGGGGGGCCCGACCTCTTCGGCACCAGCCCCACCGCTATGCACAGTGGTGATGGCGGCCGGCTGCGCTGGGTCGAGGGCGAGGAGGTCAAGGTCGTCGTCGTCAAGATCAAGGACGGCAGGATCTCGGACTGGAAGGGCCAGGTCACGGACTGGAGCATTGCTGACGCCAATGGTGCTTCTGCCCCGCCGCTTGTCAACGGCTTTTGAGGCGGCGGCGGAGCAATGTGTTGCTACGAATACATACTTAGTTAAGCAGTCTCGGTTGCTGAAAACCGACTATAGTGGGTTTAAAAAACACGCTTCAGTGCAAGCGCGGGAAAACTAGGCGCAAATCAGGGTCTAATCTATCTATCGGGGCGGGCAGGCGACAGGGCGGGGGTGATTGCGGGCAGTCTTGGCGTCGGATGTTTAATAACGCGGTAGATCAGGCAGGCAGGCAGGCTCGCTCGAGGAGTCACGAAAATGAAAAACGAAAACGACATGACTACCATTTGGTCCCTTTTGGCGCTGACTGTTCAACGTGCGACGTTACTCTCATTACCTATAGGAGTACTGAGAAAGCGGTGGAAACAGCCACTCGACACCTACCCGGCTAAGTATGCCGATAAACAATAAACAACAAACGCCTTTTTTTTTTTTAATTTTTTTTTTTTATTTTTTTTTTTAACAACTCAACTGGAAGCTCCCGTTGCTGCCCCGCTCAAACACTGTCACTAGGTATGTCACCAATCTCACCAGCAACAGCACCCCCAAGCTACAAGCCATAACTCCCAAACCAAGCCCCCACACGGAAAGAACAGCCCCCACGACCAACCCGATGGCAGGTCCCCATCGACACGAACACGGCAAGCACGGTTCCCAAAAAGAAATTAGGCCACGCCGCCACGGCTTGTTGGATGGGTGTACGCATCGCCGCTCCGCAGCGCATGTGATTCATGAGGAGGCACTCGCATTGCAGTAGCTGATAGCTGAGAAGTAGCTAGGTAGCTATCCAGTGAGGGCGTGGCGTGCACTGTGCTATATATTGGGTGGTACAAAAGCAGTGCTCGCGCCTCGACTTTTTGGTTTTGGTTTTTGGAGAGCGGGGCTTGGCTTGTGTGAGTGGGTATGGCAGGGTTTGTGTTGCGCCCTTGTTGTCGTTGTTTGTGATTGGTCTTGGGTTCTTTCTGCTGCGCTGCTGTACGGGTATTGTTCCGTCTTTGGGCGTTGGTGAGGGGAGCGACTTCTGCGTGGCGGTAGGCTGGCACGGGTATCCGTGTGTGTGTGTGTGTGTGTGTGCGCGCGGTTCTCGCGCAACCCGCGGAGCTGACTGACTGACTGGGTGGCCGGGCGAGCGTGTACTTTGCGCGTCGGTGGCGGCGAGGGTATGCTCTTTGGCTGGTAGGTAGGTTGCGTTTTGCGGCGACAGGTCGGCGGGCCATTGAGGCTATATGTGGGGAGGGGGAGAGGTAGCGTCGTAGGCAGGCAGGCAGGCAGGCAGGCCAGCTCGAGGCGCAAGTTCTCCCTCTTCTTTCTCGCTTTCGGCACCATCGTGCTTTTGCGCTTCTTCAGCCTCTGCAATCCCCGCCTCCGCAACTTGCTCCTCACCCCACCACCGCCGTCTTAGCCGCCTCGACTTCCTCCTCTCCTACTCCCTCCCCCACACCCTCCTCCTCATCTCCCCTATCCGCAGGCCTCCGATCCAAAACCCCCAAATCCACGCCCTCCTCCCCCGCCACACTAGCCACAACGCCCGCCCACCTAACCAGCGCCGGATGCGCCGCCGCGACCGTCTCAAACGTGACCTCCCCCACACCCTCACCCTCACCAACACTAAACCTCCACACGCCCTCCGCATCAAAATACTCCTCGCCGCACAAAACCCCGACATCGAGCTCCCTCCGCGCATCCCTCACCCTATCCCTCGCAACCTCGAACCGCTCGCCCCCAACCCCCCGCAACGCAACCGCCACCCCTTCAAGCACGCCCAGCAGCCACCCCGCGCGCAGCCCTAGCACCGCGCCGAGCGGGTACCCCTCGTCGAAGCCGGCCTGCACGTGCGCGCTCTTGCTCGATGCGATCCCGTCCCGGTACCCCGCTGTGACGTGCACGCTGCGCAGGCGCGGGATATCCGAGACGGTGCGGCGGGCAGACGGGGCGTCATTGTCGCCATTGGCGTCGGCATTGGCGTTGCTCCGCTGCTGCACCCCACCATCGTCGTTGTCGTCGTCGTTGTCGTCAGAGGAGTCGCCAAACACGTCGTCGAGCCGATGCTGCACCGCAGGCGGCTCCGGCGCCGCTTCGTCGCCGAAGATGTCGTCGAGCGCCGTCGCTGTTGCGCTGGTGGACGCGGGTGCGGGCGTGCCGCCTCTGCTGCCGTTGCTGCCAAAGGGCGAGGTGGGCGAGCGGTCGCCGGCGGCTGTGGCTTCGCGGAGCATGGTGCGTGGATGCGTGGGTGAGTGGGTAGGTAGGCGATCGATTATTCCGCCTGGAGATATATATGTATATATCTCTCTCGTGGACGCGAGACGCGTCTCGTTCGAGTGTGCAGGAAGCGTACTGTATGCGGGCGTAGGGGAAAAGCAATTCGATTGCAGCACCTGTGGCGCGGAGAATATGTTTAGGTAGTGTAGTTATTTGCTTCTGCGGCGTTTAGACCCCGCCAAAGAATTCTGCCGCGAGCGAGTGAGTGAGCGAATGGGCTTATCGATAAGCCCGCAGCAAGTACAAGAAAAAGGAAAAAAAAGTGCAGGCGACAGGCAGCGGCAGGGATTATCTGCGCCCACGCGACAGAGCTGCAGCGTGACGTCGTGGCCGATACCCCCCTGGCTCTGATCCACCTACTGTACCTACCTACTGAGGCGCAGCGCAGCGCAAGTATTGGTACCTGACGATGAGCTGCGGCATAAAAAAAGAAAAGGAAAAGGAAAAAAAGGAAAAAAGGAAAAAGACTTCAATCAACAGAAAAGTCCTCTCTAACAAACACAAACAACTACATGTGGGCTATTTGATACTGCACTGTCGAGTCGCGCTTTGTCGAGCCAAAGCACACACGAGCCACGAAGCGCGCGTCGTGACGACGAGCACAAGTCAACAGGACAGAGAAAAAAGCATCAACGTACTCGTACCTACGCACCCACCTACCTACATAGTAGAGTACTCGCATATAGAAACGCACAAGGGAGCGCAGTAGAAGCGAGCTAGACACCAAAGGGGCAATAATCGAGCGAGCGCTAAGCATAGGCGGGGCAGAGGGGACTCCCTAGCGTCGAAGGTTCTATCCCACCAGGAGCAATAAGATTGGCCACCAGGCAGGCCAGACGAGTCGAGTCAACCATGATACTGCTCATCCGCACACATGCGCGCCGCCGCGCTGCACCGCACCAAGGAAGCTGGTCGGCGGGCCCGTCCGTAAACTTTGTACGCGGCGGACCGACGAGCAAAGCTGCGCCGGCTCCTACAACAATATGGCGTAGGTATAACAGGCGCGCGACCGGAGCGCTGGCTCCAACGGCGCAGCACCTGCTTCTCGCACATCGCCTCCTTGCTCGCTCCCTCGTCTTGTCTACTCGTACCTTCTCTTGTCGTTGCAGCTCGCCATGCCTGGAGCTATCGCCACGCTGCTCCTGGCTGCCCTCCCGCTCCTGGCCGGCTACCTCTATGTCGAGTTGCGCCGGATCCGCTACCGCCAGTTCGCTGATATCCCTAGCCCCCCGACGAGCTTGCTCTGGGGACATGGCAAGGCTATCGCGGATGCGTACGCTAAAGGCGACATCAGGCGGCACTCTGGTGCGTGGTGTTGCGGTTGCACTGTCCCACCCGCCGCCCTCATCATCAATCATCTCATCTTGACGTGATAATGGCGGCACGGCGGACACTGCTTCCGCGTATTCCCATTGTACTCGAGTACCCGAGTCGGCCAAAAGCATTGACTGACGGATTAACTCAAGACTACGTCTTCCACGAAATCGCGAAAACGCTGGGTGTGCCGCCGATGGTCATGTTCGACCTGCGCCCCTTCTACTGGGCCATCTGCGTCATCACTTCGCACGAGGTGGCGGAGCAGGTCTCCCGGCCCTCGAAACTGCACCCTTATAGCACGCCCAAGTCGCCCACGATGAGGTAAGTGTGTGATGATTAGTATTCCGCCAACCGCCGAAAATTTGATGGCTAATGATCGCCAAGGCAACTGGACCCTCTAATTGGCGAGCATGCCCTTATCCACAGACAGGTGAGCTAGGTCCCACAATTTTTTCATTTTTATCTCTTCTCTTGCGTCCGTCTCAAGCTCGTCCTCTTGCCCGAGCCAATGGGAGGCTCTCTGAGCATATCAATTGTCCTTGCGTATTTCATTCGTGTAGATAGGCGAAGATCCTCAGTTTGGGCACGTTGTGCGGAACTGGTCTGTTTTGCACGTAAGCAACAATCTCCACTCCACTATCATTCCCATACCATATTGACCAAAAATAGATAATGTCCAGTTCTCTGGATGCCAGTGAGAGTTGATAGGATTTGCCGTGACTGAGAGGATCCCACGATCCCCCCTTAACGACATACTTCAGAAACTTGGTATCTGACTCTGCTGGTGCTTGTAGGGAGAAGAATGGAAATCCCTGCGCAAGCGTTACAATGCCGGCTTCGCGCCTCAGCATCTAATGACTCTCTTGCCGCAGATTATGGACAAGACGAAACAGTTCGTTGCCCGACTAGACAATCTCGCTCGCAAGGGCGAAGAATTTGGACTCGATGGCCTATGCATTGATCTTACCTTTGACATTATCGGCATGTCACTGAAGCCTCCCACGTTAGCGTTGCACTGCCGCTAACAGATCTTCAGGGGCTGTCACCATGGACGTGGACCTCGACGCGCAGCGGCCCAGAGAAGAGCAGAGCGAAATCGTGCGATACTACCGCGATCTTACGACGTCGTATACGGCGGACGGCAACGAAATGGGCTTCACCTTCAACCTCAAGACCTTGTGGCAGCGAAGGAAGCTTGCGCGTCTGGCCGACCAAGCCATCAAAGACGCCGTCCGTCAAAAGTTCCAGGAGATCCAGGAAAGTGAGGAGACTCAAAAGACGCGCAGTGTCCTCGCCCTCAGCCTCCGCGACGTCAAAGAGCTGACACCGCATGTGCTCCAAGTGACAGCTGACCAGATCAAGTCGTTCCTGTTCGCTGGTCACGACACCACTAGCATCATGCTGCAATGGACGTTTTACGAGCTTTCTCGTAGTCCCAAGGTCATGGCAAAGCTCCGTGCTGAACTCTACTCTGTCTTTGGTCCAGCGACGGATTACGAGTCCATGGCGGAGATTCTGGTGTCCAGGGGCGAGTGGGCAATTAACCAGCTGACCTACACCTCGGCCATTATCAAGGAGATCCTCCGCCTGTATCCACCCGCAGGCTCCGCGCGCAGAGTGCCGTATGGCGATGGATTTTTTGTCACGTTGCCTGACGGCAAGGAGGTCTGTCTCGATGGCGTTGTCCTGTACAACTGCCAATACATGATTCATCGCGATCCCGCGATATATGGCGAGACAAAAGACGATTTCGTGCCTGAACGCTGGCTAGACGACCTTAATACGTCCGCAGATGACGACGTCCCCGAGAAACATGGCAGCGGGGAGGGCAAGGTACCCGCTAGCGCTTGGCGACCGTTTGAGAGAGGTCCTCGTAACTGTATAGGGCAGGAGCTGGCAAACCTAGAGGCCAGAGTTATTATAGCAACTGCAGTCCACAGGTACGACTTTGTCAAGGTTGGGACTGGCGAGCTGCGACGCGATGAAGACGGAAAGCTGGTCGTCAATGCCAAGGGCCAGTACGAGGTGGAGCACGAGCTGTTTAATGTAGGCACCCGCGACTTCCCCGCAACGTGTAACGATGATGCTGACGGGCGTAGACACGACAGGTGACGGCTAAGCCGGTTGACGGCATGCGTATGCGGGTGGGATTCCATCAGGACCAGTCTTAGGTGGACTCGAAGAAAAGAGTTGACTGAGGTAGAAATAAAATTGAAACGTCGACTGCAGTCATTTTTAGCGGAGCGGATAGGGCTGCTCGCAATCCCCGGAGGGACCTGAGTCGTCGGACGTACGTGGTAGGTGTTTCGAGCAAGCGGCGGGACCTAAAACGTCATGGGCTTCGGTCAGTCTTCGATGGGAGGCCGTGCAGCCATGTGGCCGGCATGGACGGGTCGAGACGAGGAGAAGGGCCGCCATGATGGAAGAAGCGAAACCGGCAGATGACGAGTTGTTGCAGGGCGTGTCACGTAGATGTCTGGAGCACCGGCCAAGTCGGAGATTAAGTGGTGGTGCACATTCGGCCTCGTGATGCAGACTCTCACAGGGGATCTGCACCGATCTGCTCGCAATCACCGACTTATCGCGTGGCAGAGGGTGGGCCAGCGCGAGCTGAGCAGCCCCTGGGATCCTCGTCGCGTGGGCGTGGGCCCCTGTCGTGCAGAAAAAAGTGTGAGTGATCCAAGGGTGGTTTAGGTACTGCTAGTGCTAGCCAGCCGCTTCGGGCCAGCGGCTCTCGCCAAAACAAATCGTGCGACGGGCCTGGCTTTCGTTAGTGGTCCTGGCCCTGGCAAGGCTGGAGGGCGCCGTTTGATTTGCGAGAATCACTGCCGAGCACCTCTGACTCGCCATTACGTGCAGGCCTACCCGCCTGCATACACTTAACCTTTGCAACAACCGCCAATGCCCTGCGCTCCGGCGCGACGCTGTCCGCAGCCATGGACTCGTTGACCGACTTTGCCTGCCTGCCTCTCTTCCACCCCATTCTCTATGAAAAGGAGGCCCTGAAGCTCAAGGAGGGCCAGAGTGAGGAGGGCCTCGACGAGACCTTGCGCAACCAGGCCGTTGCCGCCGGAATTGAGGTTGCTGAACTGGACAAGACTGTGAGCTTTCGCCGCACACGAAGCCGCCCTGCATTAGCGCTGACTGACCCCTCCCAGGTCGCCCAGCTCAACCGCCTGAGCATCACCATTTCTCCCGTTCGCCGCTCCTCGGTCTCTGGAGATACCCAGGGCTCTTACCCGTCCGACGTCACCACCCCGGAGTCGCCATGCGCCAACGACAGGCTCGACAGCGCCTCCTTAGCCTCGAGCGCAATGTTTTCCACCTCACCTCCGCCTTCTACTCCTGCGAGCAATCGTTACTCTCGCTTTTCCGGCAGTGGTTTCTCTTCGATGCGCGCCAGTCTCAAGGACAAGCTCAGGAAGCAGTCAACGCGCCTGCGCGGAAGATCCACAGGGTACGTATCTTCGCCCTGTCCTTGCGATTCAGCATAGCGCGCGCCGAGCTGAGCATCGCAATGCCTAACTTGTCGCTTCCCAAGATCCAATCATGGTTTCGCCACGATGGCCCGCTTCAGCGGTCTCTTTTTCTCCCTTTTTGCATCTTCTTCGGTGAATAAGCCATACTGACCGAACTGCCTCTAGTCGCGAAGATGAGTCTGCTATAGTGTCGACTAGACATGAGAGACCAGAATATTCCAATCGTTTCAGCAGTTATGTCGGGGGGCGCGGCATCCATAGAACAGTCCAAAACAGAGACGATTCGGCCAGCTCGGCCACCGACATTGACGTGCACTCACTTGCTTTGATGGATCCCTCGAGGCCTTCAAGCAGCGATTCGCTCGTTGCTCCCCAAGCCACCCTGAATGGAACGATCTCGGACGCCCAGCGAACTGCGCTGAAACTCGCAATGGAGAGCCCGAGCTTTGCAAAAATGTGGGCTGAGTACTGCAAGATGTTCGAGCGGATCTCCTCCTTCGAAATCAAACAAAGGAACCTCCTCCAGTTCTATGAGAAATTCTCTGAGACAACGTTAGCTAACCAAAAGCGCGAATGGAAGGAGATGATAATCCAAAAGGTAAGCCTCAGACGAAACTGTTATGAGACACTAGGGAACATGGCTGATACACGAAGAAACAGAACACCAAGGAGATGGACGACGTCAATAGGAGACAAGCAGGAGAGCAATTCTCCCTCTTCAGAACCCAGCAAAAGGCTCATGAAAACAGCATGAATGCTCTGAAGCATATGAAGAGATACTGCAGCGGTTCGACAGTTGCTGATTTGCAGAAAAGGAGAGTTACAGAAGAGGACAAGAAAAGACTCAAGGCTCAGGAAAAAGCTCACCAAGACTTGGAAGTAAAGCACCAGAACGCAATGGTGTCTCTCGAACAGCGACAGGAAAAGGAGAAGAAGGATAGGCTGGAGGCTCATGAAAAAGAGTGGAAGAAATTTGAAGAGACTACCATGGAGGCTTCTGTTGCCTTGCGGAGGATCTGCCGAGATCTGGAACGTCAACTCAACGATCTCATCCGGACCAGGCGTCTTCGTGCGATCCAGCGCTGGAACCTCGATGTCCGTCTTTGGGAAAAGAACGCCCCTGAGGATGTCGACGTTCCGTCCATGGAGGACATGCCCAACATCCCCTGGCCGGACCGACTCCAGGCGGAGACATTTGCGACTCGATCATCGAGCATCTTAGACACGTACATCACCTTCAACAACCTGCCGCCCGTTGTTTCTCTCAGGGCTTCATCGATGAACAACACTACCGAACAGTCGACCTGATCACCTGCGCCCGCGCGGCGAATGGGCAGGCTGAAATGAAAGTCGAAACGAAATAGCTTTGCATAGCGACTGGAGTTTTTATGCTGGGACATCGGACACCCGATTTCACGTGGCTTTTTTCCTTTGCTGATACCCCCCGGCTGCTTCCGGGATCTGCTGATACCCATGGGCATATAGTTCGTCTTTCTTTGCGCAAAAGGTCGCCACAGATAAAAACGGCGACTTTCTTCTTCTTCTTAGATGGCTGCGGAATGGAGATGGTCCTTTGCTAGGTGTGGCGGGATGCTTAATTGCCTTTTTTCTTCTTTTTTTGCTTTTTTGCTTTGCTTGCTTGCTTTAAGAGATCTTCGACGACCAACAAGGACCACTGCAGGACGAGTCAAACTTTTTTTTTCTTTGTGTTTTGCTTTGCTGCTGATGGAAAAACGCTCCAAGTTATGAAGACAAAACCTCTCTAATGACCACACATAAAGTTACGCCTGATGGCGGCATGCTTTAAGACGACGGGGCAGGCTCCGGCCACGGAGCGTAAGCCGTGGAGCGTAAAAGTTTCCTTTGCGAGTCCTATGCGTGCATTAATTGTCGGCCTTGTTCCTTGTTGTTTCGTCTTTCTTCTTCATTTCTCTTATTTCTTGCGTGTCTTTTCCCTCTTTTTCGCAGACGCCGTTTGCGTTTGCGTTTGCGTTCGTGTCTGCGTTTGTGGCTGCGTTTGCCCGTAATATATGGACGTGGGTAGGTAGGTGCTTGGTGCAGCAGCTTTCGACGCTTGGACTTTTGACGTTGACGTTGCGGTTGCGGACGTTTGGCTTGGCTTGGCTTTGTTCGCGCTGCTGTTGTTGTTGCTGCTGCTGCTGCCTTCCATGGGTCTTTCCCTCTTTCCTGTTCATTGTTTTTTCCTTCTTCCTACGGTCCTGACCCATTGCCGGTTCCTTGTTTTTTTTTTTTTTTTTTTTTTTTTCGCGCGCCGCATCGTATTGCATCGGCACCCCTAGCTCTGTCATCACCTACCGTGGGCTCTCATTAGGTTACCACGCTAGGCACGCACGTAGAAGCTGCCGGCTCAACGCTGCCCATGCCGCGTTGCAGCGACGACGACACGGGCCCCTGCGCGCGCGCACCCATGTAGGTAGGTAGTCTCGGCTCAGGACACACCGTAGCAGCAGCGCCACACGCGGCGTAGGCTCAACATCAACGGCGAACGAACCCGCGGTTCAGCGAAAGGTGTTGAAGCTTGCTCAGTAGGTTCGACAATGCGATGGCGAGGCCTGGCGTCTGCCTGCTGCCAGCTGGTATTGCTCACGGGGCCTGGAGAGACTAACGCGCAAGCAAGCAAGGCTGACGCTCCAGCTTTGGACGGCTTCGCGCCTGCGGATTGCTTGCTTGCCCGCTTGCGTGCGTGTTGTGTACGGCTCTTCCGTGCCGAAACTCCTGGATAGATGGTTCGCGTCAAGTGAAACTGTAATCTGTACTGGAGGCACTTTCTTCGTTCTGCGGTGCTGACGACAGGGCGCTGGTTCAAGTTAACGACCTAACGAACGAACTCATGACGTTTGCTGCGACTGGGGCACTGACTTAAACTACCTAACTCTCGCTCTCGCTCTCGCAATAGCAGCACCTACTGCAACCATTCATACCTAACTAGACACATCCGACAAGCACCGTCACATAGAAATAGACATAGACACACCGATAGAACGCAACAAGAACCAAAACCCTCGCCGTCAAGCATTAAAACCAAAGAAACAGGCATCAATCGTAATCTACTAACTCGTACAGGGGATATCAAAGGAAAGAAAGCCCACCCAGTCAACATCCAACATCTCAGAACAAACAAACAGACATTAACCCCTCCACCACCCCCCCGCACGCCTAGCACGCATCCCCCGGACACGCAACATTGGAGCCATACTTATCGCCCGAGATGCCGGCAATCTGAAAAATAGCATTGACGACGCCGCCGATGCCCTCGCCCGAAATCAGGCCCGCCGCGATGGCGTACCCGTAGATGGCGAACGACTCGGGATGTTTCTTGGCCCAGTACCAGGCTGGGACTGCGCCCATGATCATGGCTAGGCCGTAGCTGAGGGGAGTTAGAGAGATAGGATGAGTTTTTATTTTTGTTTTATTTTTTTGGGGGAAGGGGTCAAGAAAGAGAGGGCTTACTAGGTCTGTGGCAGGACGAACGCCAGCGCTATGCACATCATGTTGGGGTGGTACGCGCGCATCCATTCCCACTTGCCGGTCCAGACAAAGTGGCGGACAAGCACCATCGCGGAGCCGAAAACGGCAAATACGATAGCGAAGATGCCGGACGAGGTCGGGATCGGGAACTCTGGATCCGTGACGGCGACGGCGACGGCGCGCCACGCGGAGACCGAGGGCGCAGAGAACGTGCAAGACGCGGCCTCGGCGTCCAGAATACACGGGTACGCGGTGGCGAAGAGGACGAACATGCCGGGGGCGAGAAATATGGCGACGATGGTGCCGACGCCCTGCGCGATCCACTGCTGGATCGGCGGGGTGCGCAGCAGGAAGCCGACGCGGAAATCGGCGACCAGGTCCGTGGACTGGTTGGCGCCCATGTTTGCGATAGCACCGCCGAGCAGGTTGAGCTTCTGGGCGTGGGCAACGGCCCAATGCTCGCCCTTGGTTGCGCCACCGAGGACGATCTGGGAGGCCTTGGAGGCCGCGGTCAAGGGAGTGGTATCTGTGACACCGGTGCACTGGATGGCGAGGAGAGAGAAGAAGAAGGCGAGGAAGACGGAGAGGATGGACATGCCAACTGGCATGTCGAACTCGACGCCCATGACGACGCAGGTGCAGATGATGCTGAGGACGAGGCCGGGCAGCCACATCCACATCTTGACCAGGTCCTTCGGGTCGGCCGGGTCCTTGGCCATGTCCTGATCTGCCTCCGACGCGGTTTCCTTGGGTCCGCTGGTCTGCTTGCCGGCGGCGCGGGAGATGGCTGCGCCGACGCCATAGCAGGCGCGCCAAAGGGCTCGGAAACCGATGGCGAAGATGCGCCACTGCATGGCGAGCTCGGTGAAGGAGACCGCAATCATGCACAGGACGCCGGGCCAAAGGAGCCAGTACCGGGGGCTGGGCGTGTACTTGTTGGAAGCACTGGCGCCGAGGGACGCGAAGCTCATGTAGTCCTTCCACTTGGGGTCTTCGGATGCTTGCACACCGAAAGCGGCGCCGTTATGAACAAGCGCGGGGCCGATAATCGCCCAGGCAAGGATACTTCCGCCGTAGAAGGAGAAGGCAACGTTGAGACCGACGAGCATGCCGGAGCCGATGAAAGCAGGGGTAAACTCGATCAGCCAGCCCCAATTCTCCACGTGGATGGCGAGGTTCTTGTAGTCGCCCCAGATGAAGAACCAAGTGAAGATATGCCAGTCCCAGAGGATGCCGGTGGCATACTGGGAGACGACGCGCAAGATGATGGCAGCAGCAAACGAGTAGCCCAGGGCCTTTGTCTTGAGCTTGGCAATGGCCGCTCCCGAGACGGCCTCGTGCATGGAGCGGATGGTCATGGCCGTGGCCGAGGCCGTGGGGAAGATGAGGTTCAGCTCGCGCGCGACATGGATAACGAAGAACTTGCGCAGCGGTGTGGCGAAGAAGAACCCAAAGTAGCCACCGACGGCGGTGAGGGAAACGATGCGCCAGAAGTCCTTGGAGGGCGTGGACACCAGATTCAGCTGGTACAGCGCGGGGTACGCGGAGACGAAGACGTTGGAGAGACCGCCCGAGGCCGTGGCCGCGGTCTGGATGATGTTGTTTTCCTTGGGGCCGAAGCCGCCGCCCAGGATAGGAAAGTTCTCAGCAAAGGCGGTGGAGAAGAACTTGATGACAGCGAAACCGAGAATAGCCTATGAAAGCGTTAGCGGGAGAGAAACTAGGCGGTTGGTTCAAGCGGGGCAGCAGTATACGCACGCCGAACAAGTTGGCAGTGAAGGTCCAGCCGGTCTTCAAACCGAGATAGACGTTTGAGGCGTTGACGAGGGCGCCGCAGATGCAGCCCATGACGACGGCGCGGATGGTGAGGACGCGGTCCCGTTCCTCAGGGAGATCGTCGAAGGGGACGAAGGGGTCTGGCTCCGGGATTGGCACTTCCTCTTCCGACACCTGGACGGATTTCGTCTCGCCGATAGCCGCGTCTTTGGTCATTGAGTCATCGTGCGGGTAGATGGTCTTTTCTTGCTCTGGCACACTGCGTAACAGGTCAGTATGGTCGTTTGGCTTGGGCTTGGGGATTGCGTACCCGTCGCCGACTTCGACGGTGTGGTCGATGGTCTCGTTGGCGTTCATCTTGAAGAGCCGCGGCCAGACAGTGGCAGTGACAGTGACGCTTCAAAGCGCAAAAAAGGACGAACAAGCCCTAAGAATTGGGCTGAACAGGAAACTTTGTGTTTCTTACACAAGCACAAGAGCCTCGAAACACGAGAGGGAAGGGGAGACAAAGAACCGTCAGGGTCGAGGGCCCAGGGACTAGATAAATAGCACAACCGCCCACACACAAAGGCGGGCAAGCACACCTGCAGCGCGGCACGCATCCCAGGCAAGCAGAACCCCGGTATCGCAGCTTGCAGCCCCGACGGCGCGGTTGTCTGCATAGAAGGGCGCTAGAAGCGCCTGCGTGGGGTCGAGAGTCACCAGCCGCGTGAATACGAGAGCGCCGCGATAGCGGACGGATAACGGTTGCGGCCTACCTAGCTGCAGGCATTGGCATTGGCATGGCGAAGCAAGACAAGATAGCCCGATTCGGCAGCCCCCGGCGGGGCGCCATCATGCAATGCTCGCACGATCGCAGCGCCGATAATATATCCATGCGAGCGGATTGGACGACTCGACCGTGGTTGAGGGGGCGCGAGTCGTGAGTCGTGACCCTGTTGGGCTTTGTCGGAGTCGTTTGCGCTTTGCGGCTCTCTGGGAAAGCTTGGCTTGGCTCGCTGTTGGCGTTAGGTGTGGGTATGGATGTCGCGCCGGCTATTGTGTAGGTACCTTAGTAGCTAGCTACATGGCTGGCTGGATAGTGCGCGGCCTGGCGGGTCTTGGGTCGGGCACGGGTGGGGTGCGAGAGGCGAGAGGCGAGAGGCGAGAGGCGAACTCCGCGGCGTGAGGTGTGTGACTGTTTGTCGTTGAAGCTCGTTGTTGTTTGTTTGTGGCTGACTCCTCGCTTGGTGCAGAGCAGCGATAACGAGCACGCGACACCCACCCACAGACACTCCTAGGAACTGCCGACGCGATACGCACGCGATACGGCCGTGCCATACCGTGCCATGGAGTGCCGCTATCGCAGCGCAGCTTTTTACCCACAACCCGTCCCCGTCGCCGACCCCAATACGGGTCCGTTCCGCAATCCTGCCTTTATCTCTGCCCGCGCGCCACCTGCTGTACTGTCCGCTGCCGCCGCCGTGCCGTTGATCCTGTGGAGAGACGGTTCGAGAGTGAATTCACCACCAATCATGCCCCGTCGTGGGTGGCTGGTTTGGTTTGGCATGTCATTGTTGCTTTTTCGCGCCTGGTGAGGCACGGCGGTCATGGGGTTATTTCTGGTTGCAGTCCACTCCTACTCCTAGCAGTAGCTGTGTTGCCATTGGCGGCGTCTCGCCGTCGTAGATACTCATAGAGTACAAGTTTGTTTGGTTTTTGCTCTACATGTTTTCAGAGGAGTATGGTTACATGGGCGCAGCGCCTCGTTGCATCGTCAACGAGAGGATGTGGGTGCAACAGCCTGCAGATCACTGCGCCACTGCGGCTGGCTTCCGTCTCTTCTCTACACACACGCACCCCCGCTCATCAATCGCCTGCGGCCTAGTTCAGTTGCGGTCCAGCTTGCCTCGCCAGTCGCCAATGTGATCAGAGATGATCTTCGCCGCTCGCGCTGGCGTGTGGTTCCTGCCGAGGGCCTCGACAAAGTCGCCCTCGGGATCTGCGGGGCATGTGGCATTAGCGCGCGCTGTGCTTAGCTTCTAGACGCATAGCCCGTGTCCGGGGTACGTTGTGATCGGGGTTGCGGGCCTGGTCCGTACTTACCCATCAGGTAGAAGTAGATGCTGTGATCGACCAGGTAATCCTGGCCGGGCTTGACGTCCGACGGCGTCGAGAAGTAAACTCGGTAGGCCTTGCAGACGGACTTGACGGCCTCGTACGTGCCCGTCAGCCCGATCATGTCCGGGTGGAACTCGGCCAGATACGTCTTCATGACTGCGGGCGTGTCGCGCGCCGGGTCGCAGGTGATGAAGATGGGCCGCATCGTGTTGCCACTGATCTCCTTCACCTGATCAATCATCTCGGCCATCTTGTCCAGCTCCTCGGGGCAGATGTCAGGACAGTGGGTAAAGCCGAAGTACACCTGGTATCGTAAGCCCAAATTCAGCCATTGTTCGTGGCGTACGGCAGAGACGATCTGCAAGATAGCTGCTGTCACTGTAGGGCATTCTTGTGCTCGCTTGCACGGTTACACCAACCACACAGCGCCTGCCGAGGCATCACACAAAGATCTCGCCCGCACTCCAAAGCATCTTGCAAAACGAGGTTCCTCGCTACTGCCTTCTACCTTGCGTAGGATTTGGTGTCACATACCAGCGCGTATTTGCCCTTCATGTCTTCGTCGGTGAACCGGTTTCCGTTCTGATCGACAAGATCAAAGGCGCCACCGACCTTCGGCCTGCCCATCCCCTTCGTCTGGTCCGCAATGCGCTGCCGTTCTATCCTCGCCTTCTCATGGCGGAAATAAGCGATCAGGCCCGCGCCGACCGCGAAGAACAGACCCGCGGCTTTCAACGAGAACGGCTGCATCCAGAGTCAGTGAACCATCCGCACAGCGCGGGCTTGCGACCACGCAGCAGGCCATTCCTCCACCTGCGGTCATGACTGACCCCGGATTTGTGTCGCGACTTGGCCTCCTGCACCGTCTTGTAGCCGGACCGGGGCGAGCTCGAAAATGCGCGGACGCGCTGCTGCTGCTGCTGCCTCAACGGAGCTGAAGCCGGGTTCCTGGGAGCTGTCCGCGCCGAGTAGGCACGCGTCGACGAGGCATTGAGGCATGGCGAAGCAGTGACGGCGCGGCGCGTCGCGCCGGCAGCTGCGGTTTTCGAGTGCGTCGCGTTGCGTAGGGCTGAGACCCAGGCGCCGGATCGGGAGACGCTTGCTTGGGCCATGGTCGCGGAGACGGGCTATGGCAGGGTGAATTGAAGAGATGACTGGAAGGAAAGTGAGTTGAGCGGACAGCGAATGTCCGCGGCGGATGCCCGCAAGGGAAAACGTCGGCCGCTGAGCTCATCGCACCACCATGACTCGACGAGGCGTCACGTGCTTTGGCGTTTAAGTGAGCGCGTCTCGCAGTCGGTCACATATCAACCATACCTCATGTACGTTCCAATCCATGTCTGTGTCTGTTTCATCAAGAAGTGTTGAAATTCGGTTCAGATCCATTGGATTCCATCCGTCCAAGTGGCGACTATAAAAAACGCGCCAGCATTCATCGTCTGGTCTCTTTACTTCTCCATTCCATCTTCTCCACCTCTCAAATCACAATCATGGCGTCATCCACCACATCCGCCGATGCTCCAAGCAATGAAGGCCTTTCGCTCCCCTTCAACGCTCTCAAGGACTCGCTGAAGGGGCTCATCACCGCCCTTGAAGCAGAGCAGAATTTCGAGCAGCAGGAGCAAATGCGCAGCGGCAAGGTCTTCTTTATGTGGGACTTTGTGTCCAACACGGCGCGCATGCTCGAGAACCTCCACATCACGCCCGACCGCTTCGCGGCTGAGAAGGCCGAGCAAAAGTCCGACATCATGCAGCGCTGCATGTTTGCTGATGTCCTCTTCAATGACACCACTGGCAAAATGACGCTGATGTGCAGTGGTGACACGACCGAGTTCGGCCAGCATGTCAAGAGGGCCAGTGCTGATTGCCAGCAAAAGGCGATGCAGTGGGGTGAAGCCGAACGCGTCCTGGGTTAGTGACGGAATTGGATTCGTGTTTCGTATTGGGATTGTCGTTGTCTTGCTCGAGTTTCGTTGTTTGGATTGAAGTCTCGTTTCTATTGGGTTGGATGCAAAACGAGCTGGACGCTGCTACCTAACCCTATGAACTGTTTTCCCTGGACCAACCAAAAGCAACAAATTCGGATTCCTCAAGATGACCGCCATAGACGGCATCCGTCTGTAATTCTTCACAGAGAAACGCGTCGTTTTAGAAATTTTCTTTCTTTTTTTTTT